ATTGGTGGGATCTTCCTGCAAATTTGGCAACTTAAGTAATTGAATGTGCTCTATCTTTTTTATATAAACACCAAAGAAGGTTTATGTGAAAGAAACTGTTCAAATGATGAGTCGGACTCTTTGCCATTTTAACCAGCTGCGTTTGGAAGTTCATAAACTCCACGAAAGAAAAGCTTTGTGGAATCTCTCAAAAGGCATTTTGTAGAGAAATAGTGGATCCTTTTGATGAAACCAAACGTATGTTTAAAGAAGGCTTTATGTGTGCAAAAAGTCCCTTTAAAGTTCGGCGCCGACTCATTCTCCCCAACCCAATAGTTAGTTAGTTCTATTTAGGTAGATTTAGTTAGTGTTTGATTTCTTGATTCGACTCATTTTGGAGGTAATCGACAATGGACAATCATGCAAGACGGTGCTCCATCTCACAAAGCTACGGAAACACAAGATTGAATTGCTCAAAAATTTCCCGATCAAATCACTGCTGATATGAGTATACGTCATCAAAGAGATTGGCCTTCAAATAGCTCGGACCTTAACCCGTTCGATTACTCTATCTGGTTCATTGAAAAGCTTTCGCTAAGGCACACAAATCAATTGATAGTCTTATAGAGTTTCTGAAGAAAGTTTGGGATGAAATTCCTATGAGTGTGATCGAGAAAGACGTTGACGCCTTTCCAAATCGATTGAGGTAATGTATTGTATTGCGTATTGCGAAAAATGGTGGAAATTTCAAACAAAAGTGATCTTTATTGACTTAATTGTTTGATTTCAATCTATTTTTTTGTTATAAAATCGTTTTTTCGGAGAAATATTCGAGTTATATGTTACTTCAAGTTGTATGTTACTTGTCCGGATAATTTTGAGACACCATGTAGAGGTTAAAAGCTTTAAACTTGATTCCGGAGTTGATTCTATTCTTATTTGTTGTTCTATTCTTATTCTTAAAAGGATATTTTCAAATGAGTCATTTGCATCGTTAGAAAACTCAAGAATTTCTTGACAAAAACAGCAAGAACTTTCTGAAAAGTCTAAAAAGTCTAAAAACTATCTCAAAATCTAAAAGAAGACAAGAATAGAGAATGAAATCATTGTCTGATGAGAAATCAAGAATAGAGAAATCATTGTCTTATAACTAGAAATGAAACAACAAAGATACAACAAAGATTACAAGAAAATCCTTGCCGATCCTTGTAGAGGAGATCACGAAATTGAAGAAGAATGAGAATGAGATGAAAAGTGTTCGCGATAAGCGCTCCTTTTTCGCCTCGACTAGGCCCAATTGCGCCAATTTATTTCCGAGAGCTTTTCCGGCTCGTGAAAGCCATTCACACTATTCATGGCCCTCCCTTTAGCTTTCCTTTTCCTTTTTTTCTATCGAAAAGTGATGCCTTTGATGATGATGGGACTCCACATTACCCAAAAAAAAATTCATTTATAATCCATGAAAGCAAAAAAGCCCACCAAAAATTTCGTATTTTTTTTGACATAAGCTTCCGTTTGCAAAAGTCATTGAATAAAATTGACTTAAATTCGTCTAAACACTGTCAAAAGCAATGCTTATACAGCGTACTTGTTTACTTGTCGCAAAAGCGATTAGAAAATCAATTTGATGATTTGATTTTCTCCAGAGAATTACCCGATTACCAATAGGAGGCTTTCCCCGGAAATTTATTTAAATAATTGCCTTTTTTCTTAAATTCTATTCGTTTTGCTCATTCGAATTCCTTCCCCGGTTGGGTAGGCAGAAGATAAAAAAGGAAGATTCTCTCAAAAGAAGAAGAAGAAAAAGAAGAAAAAGAAGAAGAATTTTTGAGAGAGGTCAAAAGACATCCGGGTGTGCGGTGGACGGCATTACGGCCCATTCAGTAGTCTCAGCGTCGAGTTTGGGCCTGGGAGTTTGATCTTTTCTCTCACAGTCTCTTTTCGTTTCTTTCTATTTAAAGTCACCACTTTCTTTGGAGTAAAGAAGCGAGAGATGAGAAGAAGTCTCGAGTGTTGCCAAGGAGCCTTCTCCCACGTCAATCCGCTGACTCTCCGCCTTATTGGGTGGTCTTTTTTTTGTCTCCCGTGAGAAAGTCTTTATAATTGATTAAACCAGCTAAGTACTTGATTTGGCTATGAAAAGCTAGTTTAGCAATTCAGAACTTATAATCAATTCAGTAGCTTTGAACTTTGAATTCTTTAAATTCTCTCTGATTAACTAAAGACTTGCTATGAGAATTTCAAGATAAGAGCAAGAAATTTGGGTTTTCCTAGAGTTTGTCTTAGCTTAAGCTACCGTAAATACTGTAATAGTACCCCAGCCCCCCTTGTACAGTCGCGTAGTCGCAAAAGTTTTTTAGTATTTCATTTGTTTTCAAAGCTCCCGTGCTTTCAAAAAATGCGTCTTTGGTATCAAAAAATAGCTGAAATTCAGGGCTACTTTTTGATACCTAAGCGCGCATTGTAGCATAAACCAGTGTCGAGAAAAACTCGTTCAAAGCTAGACTACGCAACACTCCGCACCGTCATTATGGGGGTGGGGTACAAATGCAGTATTTATGGTAGTCACAGATCAATGAATTTAAGGTAAATTGGGTAATTCGTTGGTTTACCATTAGCGTCTTTTGAAAAGGAGTAACAATAAGATTTCATTGTATTCATTTTCCTAACCTGGTAGTAAGCCTGGAATTGTTGAGCGGCGATCGCCCTCTTCGCTTGCTCATTCGAGTTGAGGAGCTTTTGTTGCTTTTGTTGATACAATGGTTGTTACAATACTTTTGTTGATTGTTGCCCTCTTCGCTTGCTCATACGAGTTGAGAAGCTTTTGTTGCTTTTGTTGATACAATGGAAAAATGGATGGAAATTTGATGGAAAAATAGTTCTGTAAAAAAGTATCTTTAAGATGTTTATGGATATGATTTCACAAAAAAAAAGAATTTTATGACTAGCTTGGCAGTTGACTTGAGCTAATTATGGGTTTGGTTTTTGGAAAGAAATTGTCTAAGCTGCTAATATCGGTTGAGTCGATATTAGCTATTAATAAACTAGTGTCAAAAAGTTTCAAATGAAAGTACTACTTTTGCTGAAAAGTTTTAACAACTTAACAGCGTCAATAAATCAAAAAACACGTCTAGAAAGTGCCGAATTTCACATAAAATTATGTCTACCAGCTAATTTGATGTTTTTTTTTTTCTTGGAATGTTTACTCTAGATTCTTTTGATGCTTTCCCAAGGGTTGTCTGAGAAAATGTCCAGCCCTTTTTGATTATTAGAAAAGCTATAATTGGACGTAAATCCAATAATCTTAGCAAACAAAAAAAAGACGCGGATGTTGTGCACAGTTATATTATTATTACTTTCTGCTTTAATTCTCAAATACTGATCAATTCAATTTCAACTTTTCCCTTCTAGAGTCGTGTTTCCCGTAAAGGTATTTGTTTTTGCCCTTCATTTTTCATATTTTGAATTTCTAATTGCTTGATGTATGAACGAAGAGAAAAAACGCTCACATTTCATCAATTCTTTAGAAATTTTCTTTAGAAAATTTCACTATCGAGTAAAAGTGTGGAAAAGAAACGTTAAAGTTTTCTTGTTCAGATGATCTTTTCGTTTAGCCGATATTTTTGAAATGGCCCCTAGTGAGCCGTAATGGGGTTGAGAAAAAATAAGAAATGGGAAAAGAGGAAAAGACGTCGAAATGCTAATGACCACCACACATTTGCGTTTTTGTTTTTTTGAAAGAAATGGCGTCGGTGGTCTTGGTGCCGAGCGTGATCATCTGATTCCTCAAAACAAGGCACAAAACATTTTTATGCGAACCTATGACATTTATAGGCTTAAGGCTTTTTTTGAAAGTTCATTGGAATGTTTTTCTTTTTGATAAATCTACATTCCCGATTATCTTGTTGAGGGAAATGAAGGGTGATTCAAATGAAAGCACGCATTGGCCTCGCCGAACGGAAGTCCCTTAAAATGCGAAGAAGTAACCCGTGATGGGCATCTTTTTCTTTCTCATTTTTCTTTCTCTGATCCGAAAAATCCCCGCCAAATCTGCTCTACAATTTTTCGCGGGCATCTAGAGAAAAAAAAGGTGTTTCGAGGGATTTGTAACTATGAGAATCGAAGAGATTTGAGATTAGTGAGCCTCAATCAAACACTCAATCCACCGCTCATCTCAGGGGTTACTGTGGAATTGAAAAATCTCTGGATAAACCCATGAAATGACATCATTTAGGAGAGGATTTGTGCACCTTTAAGAGAAATTGAAATTCGCCGAACCGGCAAACAGCCGAACAACCGAAAAACACAGAATTCAGGAGTTCAAATGAGCAAGCAAATCAAGCAATTCCTTTGCACTTATTTAGAAAAGAAAGACAATTTCCGCACAAGATTTCTGGGTACAATTTGCCTCTTTTTTGTCTATTTGCATTTTTGATGACGCTGTTTGGCTCATTTGGACAAAATGAACTCGGAAATCAAACGAGAAAGCGACAATTTCTCTCCAAAATTCCAATATCCTTCACTTTTTTTGTTTATAACAAATAAGAGTGAATCAAAAAAGACAAATTGATCCAGAGATTTTGAAATTCAGACTAGGAAATGAGAGAAGAAGACACAACAAAAGATTTTTCTCTAACAAAAAAAGACGAGAGAATCCGTGGAAACGCCATAAAAAATGTACAAAATCGAAAAACTGCTTTTCTTTTGTATATAGAGGTTCTTTTCCTTGCCTGATATTGCCAAAATAAAGCATGAAATAAATTATTTGTCTGGATCCTCGTTCGATCGAGTTTAGTGCTCATGCATACTTTAGTAGTCTCTGGGAGATTGTAAAAAAAAAGAAAGAATTAACGACTTGGGCTTTCAATAAAATTGTGAGTGTTTGGACGGAGAGAACGGAAATTTGACTCAAAAATCGATCAGAAAATAACTCACATCGCATCGTTACATCCATTTCAATCGTTAATATACGTGAGGCTTCAGCAGGAAGTGGAACCACCTAGAATTTCTTTTGTTAAAGAAAAAAAAACTAATTCTTTTACCTCGACTTCAGCCGGATTTCGGCTTTGTGCCAGCGGACGATCTCGACGAGTTTTTCGTCGAAACGATTTCGCTAAGCTCAGTTTCCCCGTCAATAAACTATCTCTGAAATTTAGGAACAACTCTATTTTAGGAAGAACAACTCTAAATTTAGGAACAACAACTCTAAATTTAAGAACAACATTGCTAACTCCAGGCTAACTCTCAAAGAACAACTCTATTCCCTATTCACTACAACATTACTCGTTTATTTTAGAAAACGATTTGTCAATGCAGATTGTTCTGAAAAAAACTGACCTCTGTCCATCATCTTTTTTCGTTTTATCTTGTGCCAAAACTGTTTCAAGGACATGCGTTGGTGAATCATCGTCAAACTAAAAACAAATAAAATTTACCGTATTTTCTCTAATAGTAGTGCACCCTGAGCGTCGCCTAAATTGCTCGAAATCTCAGGAACCGCCTATCAGAACCTATCGATGTGGGGTCGGAAAATGTAGCTGACGATGAGATCTAGTGGGGGATTAGAGTGTTGAGCTTCTGCAAAAGCTTGGAAACCGTAAAATAGTGACCAACTCGGCTGCTTAAGGGTGCACTACTATTAGATAAAATACGGTATCTATTTAACTTAAAAAAATCACCATCTCCTCTTTAGCCAATCGCAATTCTTTCGGTCTTTCACGCATGCTTGCTTTCTTCCCGATTCGTATCGAACCAAAACGAACCTAAACTTATCGAATGATAAAAGGAAAGGTTGAAAATATAACTTTTTCTATAGGCGTCGAATAGCAAGGACTTAGCGGAGTTTTCTTCATTTTTGGGCAACAAGCAAGCACGGCAGCTCGTCTAAGAGCAGCCACTGGATGATGGGGAAGGGGCGGGCCTTTTCCACCCCCGTCGTCGAGGGGATTTCCATCAGAAAGCGCTGAGAACGACGACGGTCTTTTGTTGAAATGACCAGGTGAAGGAAATGAGCTCAATCCGGCTGGGCCTACACAATTCCCAGCTACCGGGAAAATCACGGGCTCTCGTGGCTGTCCCGGCGACGGACACGAGGACGAGCCAGGCTCCGAGTTGACCGCTGAATGGGAGCGCACTCGTCTCGCTGGAGTCAACATTCTTCAGAAATTACCATTTATTTAAAGTCCATACTAGCATTGTGCATCGAATATCTGCAAAAATTAATAAATGAAATGGATAAAGGATATGAAAAAAAAGGATATGAAAAAAGGAGTGGAGAATTTTGAGAAAAGCAACAGTGTTCATGCGGAGCTCTCGGGGAAAGCCCTTTTGGATCTGGGAGGGGCGGGGCGGGAGAAGCTTTACTCGGCACTCCTTTTTTTTTCTCGTCTTGTTTGGTCGATCCGTCTTGGGTAAAAATTAAGACAATTTGGTGGGGATGATGTCGGTCTTTTAGAGGATTAAGCCCTCAAAGAGCCAGTGTTTTTTTTTTGAGCAAAAGAAAAAACGAAAACTAAAGCTTTCAAAAACAACTTGAAGATCAATGAAGAACTTACATGAATTTTGGTACATGCTTTGAAAGGATTTGTTGAATTGTGGCATTTGGATGAGAGACGAAAAGCTGTTACCTTTTGTTAGCATAAAAATCTCAAATTTCGATCAAACGGCAGCGCTCATGCGAACACAGAAGACCCACACATTATGAAAGATTGGCTTCGGCTGGGGTTTCCGGTTGTTTGGGTTTTGACTGGTTGAACCTCTTCCCTTTCTTTTTATTTTCCATTTTCAGATCACAACGCTTCATCTCCTATCGCGGGAAAGTGGCTAATTGAAATAGAAGAAATTTGAGAGCATCGCCATTTCAATGTGCTTACCTGGGTTTCTTGAATCAAAATGCTTTTAGAAAAATGAGTTAAATGTTAAATATTAAATGTTAAATGTTAAAGGATTCAGTTCGGTTGAAATTTCCCATTCAAGACCGTCAGAATTTCCAATTCATTACTGAAACTAATAAGTCTTCTATTACAATGTGACTTGAAGTGATCTGAGGTATTTCTCCAGTTTTTTTTAAACAAGCGAGCCAAATTTTGTAAAGGTTGAATTGAATGGGAAATATAGGAGAAACTCATGAGGGGGATACGATTTTGTGAGTGAGAGAGAGAGAAAAGAGAGTTGAGTAGAAAAGGGGAACAACAAGGACAGTGAGGGGGACGGGGGGCTGTCGCCCTCGCGCGCTCCCCCCTTTTTAGACTGGGTCACCCATCCAACCTAGCGGCTTTCCTTTTTCCGCCTCTTTTCCCTCTCATCCTATCTCTATTCTCTAGCTTTCCCAAGCTATAACAGTTTAATAATCAAATGTCTATACATTTTTCAATTCAACTCTTAACAATTTGCTCTATTTTTAATGTTATTTCCTCAATAATATCCCCCTTTTAATCAATTCGCGACGATGAACAGATTTAGCACTTTTTTTGAAGTCGATTGGGCTGAAACTTTGCACCAGGGGGTTTTCGGGGGTAAAGAATTCGAATCCGTACTTGATTTTTAAAGAAAGCTGCTCTATTTTTAGAGATTTCATTCAGTTTAATTACCCAAGTGAACCCACATCCGAGGCCGTGTGTCAGAAGGTTTGCTACGTTGAAAATTGTTACAAAAACGTTGAAAATTTTCATGTTTATGTAATCATGCAGCTTCTGGCATACGCCCTTTACGGATATAAGACAAAAGCCAAGCTTAGTTTTGTTCTTTTTTCTCTAATTTGGTCGTTAACTAGATACAGTACTGGACAATGAAATATGATATTTGAAAAACGATCGTCACTTTCGCGCGTCTGTAACTCCCTTGTCTTTGAGTTTAAACCATTAGTGTTATACATTTTCTGAAAGCTCTTTTCAAGGGCTACACAATGGTAATATTAATATTTAGAAATACGGTAAAGACAAAGGGAGTTACAGACGCGCGAAAGTGACGATCTTTCTTCAAATATGGTATTTCATTGTCCAGTAGTGTAGCTGTCGTCATTCAGCCAAGACAAAATGGCTTTGTTGTGAATGTGTTAAAGCGCTAAACAAATCGCCCGTTACTTTTGCGAATTGCGGGAAACTATTTGAAAATTTGAAACAGAAATGATAAATTTATGAGAAAATCGAAAGAGCGGAAACCGCGGGGGTTGATTTACATTGGAGAACGAATTTAAAGGGAGAACGACGTCTTCTCTCGGGTTTTTTTTGCCACACTCCTCTCAACTTTATTTCCTTTCATCACCCGTAAATGGATTCAACTGATTCTCATCTCGGAACTCTCATTCCAGATTCTGATTCGGACTTTTTCGTTTTTCCGATAATTGAATATTCTTTTTTTTGCTTCTGAAAAAAAGAGAAACAAAAGATCGTAGCAACGAACAATTTGGAGTTGAAATTTCGAGCGAGAAGTGATCGAGAAAGCTTCAAAAGCAAACATTTTTATTGATTTTATAGAAAAGCTTTCAATTTATTGATTTTATAGAAATTTATTGATTTTCTAGAAAAGCTTTTTATTGATTTTATAGAAAAGCTTTCAAAAACATTTCAATTTTCAATCCCTATTTGTTCAACTGTGCTCAATTGTTGAAAAGTCTTTTTGAATGAATGAAAAGGGGATCCCCATTTTATTCATTGATTCATTTTTGTTCCCAACTACAAATCCCCTTTCATTTCCGTTTCATTTCCCTTTCATTTCTCTTTTCAATAACTTAATTTAGATGGCTCAAAAGAAGGAGAAGGTCAAAGTAAAAGTAAAGTTTAAAAAAAAAGTATTTGTTTATGTTTGTTTTAGGAAAAGAGAAATGTTGCCGTAAGTTTGGATGATCTTGATCACGGCCGTTTTTGGTGGTTCTGCGTCTTTGCTTTCGGTTAGTTTCAAGATTCCATTTGTGGCGAATAGCCACTAAAAGTTATCTAACTCTGACAGCCTAAAAATTGGAAAAATATTGAGGAAATCGGTGCGCCTTCATTTTATTTCGCGCCCCAAATCATTTATTGTTTTGTAGCTTGTTAGCTGAGTATCTTGTGTTAAAGCCTATATAAGGCAACTGTTGTTCATTTGTTTTTGCTATCTTTCATTTTTCTTTCTGCTTTCCTCTCATTTTTTGTGAGTGAAAGTTGTGTCCTAATTAGGACGAAATCGTTTCTGTTTTATCGTCACTTTTAATTCAATTCAATTGTCGATCTTGTGTGAAAGTTGCTGAAGTGAGAGCCCAAAGATTCCGAATCAGTCGGCTATTGAATAAAGTGTTCAGGTTACTGTTTTTAGTTCAAGTGAGATCAGATATCTCAAAACAAGAAATAACGTGTCTTGAGTGAAGAGTACCAAGCACGCAAAGAATATTTCTTTACACCATTTTTAAATTATAAAATTTATTTCTCAAATATTAAAAAGTAAATCCCCGTTTGTTTTTTTCGATTTTCATCGACGAGATCATTTTCCTAAATTCATTTTAAACTTGTTTTAAACTTGTTTAAGTTTTAATTTTAAAAACTTACTATGAGATTAAATATTTGTTTTTCAAAGGATTATAGCAACTAGCAAATGTAGCATTCATCTTTTGCACAAAACGCCAAATATCCTCAAATTTCTGTTATAAGATTTACTTTGTTTTTTTAAGAAACCTTTTGCTCATCGATATCTTTCATTTCGATCATTGCTCGGTAATAAGTTTTAAGCGAGCTGAGAAGACCATGTTTACGCAATCGTTGAAGAGCTCTAAAATTGTTGTGTGAAACACGTGTGAAAGTCGGGAAAATTTACTTACATTTTCTCTTCTTCTGTTGCATCATTCACAATATTCAGTAAAGCAACTGGTGGATAGTTTTCGACTTTCCACGCCTTCAGCTCAACTTTCAGGTTGTCTGGGTGCTTTGCTAGCTGAAATTAGACTGAAATTAGAGTGTGTTCCTCGCGAGTAATGGGTTTTTTAAAACGCACACTTGGCAAAAAATTATCGTACTTTTAGCAAAAATTATTGCAAAAGGCTATTAGTCAAAACGGGAGTGGGACTTTTTTTGCGCACCCGGACATTTGCGCACCTTTTTTTGCTTTTAAAAAGGCCTTAAAGCGAAAGATCGTAAGCTTCTATCCAAAAGTTTTTTTGTAGGTAATTTTAGGTGTAGAATCGAAATTTTGACATAACAGAGCGTGTGGAACCAAATTTGAAAGACAAAACGGCTAGATCAAATTACAGAAAATTGTCCGCATTTTTCTCTTTGTACCTAACTCCGTCCGTGCGCTTCCACAAGCTCTGATATGTCAAAATTTCGGATTCTACGCCCTAAAATTCCCTTCTGGAAAACAGCTTTTTGAAAAATTGGCTAATACGACCTTTCTAGAGCCTTTTTAAAACGCGAAAAAAGGTGCGCAAATGTCCAGGTGCGCAAAAAAAAGGTCGCATTTGTCACACCCCCGCCAAAATAAAAAAATGACGCAAAAATCACGAGCCCCGCATTATAAACGACACTTTTTAAAGATACTCGGCCGTTTAACTGATTTGGTGGGAAATTCCCTTCCAATGTAAAAAATGATTTTTTTTTTTGAAAAACCTGGGCAAAAAATTGCTTTTATATTTTTTTCGCGCAGGCGCACTTTTTAGAAAACGCATTACTCGACAATTACTCGAGCTATTACTCATGCAAATTTACTCGAGTAATTACTTACTCGCGAGGAACACATTCTAGCTGAAATGGTCTAGTTTATGATTTTGATGTGCTCGGTTATGCACTCCAGAAAGACAAAAGATACAAAAGATGATTTATTTGGTAGCTCTAAGAATTTGCGTTAGCAATGAAACTACCTGCAAGTCAATTGCGTTTTCAAGAGTCTGCAGATCATCGTTATCAGCCGCTTGATCAACTCGCGCTCTTTCCTCACTACTCATCCCCTCAGCTAGTCGGCGCACACATTGTGATCCCTCAGCTCCACAATTTGATGACTAAATAGGTTACTTTCTCATTACCAAAACGTGGATTTCATTCTTGTCTTCTACATTCTTGAAATATTGTCCAGAAAGTCTTTTTGTTTCTTTTCATACTTTCATTTAAAAGCAACAAATGCACCAATTGAAAGCCTAATATTCATTTAATTGATTAAATTAAATATTCTAAAGCTAAAGCTAAAGACTTTGTAATAGAGTTAAACATTAAATATTCATTCAATCAATTACCTCTCTTTTACTCGAAAACACTTTTTGCAAAGCATCCAAAAACCTTTGCCACATTGATCGATGTGCATTGTGTCTATTCAATTTTTCCTAGAATTTAAAAATTGTTTGGTCAATTGTTTGGTCAAATGGCCAACCTCAAAGTAGTCAAGTATTGCAAATTGGTCGATAGGAGGGAGAATCGAGTAAAGTTGTGAGTTCCATAGACCCCGAATAATCGCATAAACGGATGCATTCTAATTTAGAATATTAAATGACCAAATTTAGAATATTTTTTGTATTCTATGAGTTTTAAGTATAAATATTCTTCGAAAATAAAGCTAGAATTAGAAAATTCAATCTCAGCCTACATGATATGCCTCCAAGATCTGCAGGTACTTGTGCCCAAGCTCGGATTTTAGAATGGAGCCGATTTCGGTCAAATTTGTTCTTTTCAACAACTTTGAATCAATATCGTGATCAAGCTAAAGTCTTTGTAATAGAGTTTCTGTAAAATATTCCACCTCTTGTACCTCTTGAGTTCGCAGATCGATTACTCGCTTCAACTCGGCATATGTGCGCTGTTCAAGGTATTTCTCGAGTGACTCCGTCTCCTTGTCAGTTGAATTGCAAAGAACCAAAAGTACCGGAAAATACTCGTCCACCAAATATTCATGATCATCTAATAGATCTAAAATTTTACAGAATAGCTTTCCTTTCTTTCCTTTTCTTTTCATTTTCTGAACAGCTTAATACCTTGACTGTTATTGCCTCGAGAATCACTTCTGAGAAACATTTGCACCGGCGAGAAAACAAAGAAAAGCAAAAGAGACAATCTCATTGCTAAATGCTAAATTTTAGTCAAGAATTTGAATACCAGTTGAATCAGAATCGTTTTCAAAAGTAGTTTCATAATTTCGAAACACAAAATAGACAACTCCCAGAACCGCTTATAGGCAATTAGTGCAAAGCATTCAGCTCACCAACTCTGACTAAACAATATGACTCATCGTATTTATCAAAATTTAAAAAAAAAAGATTAAAGTTAAGTAGGGTAAAAGTATGTCTATTCAACCTCAGTCACTCTCGGGGTCAACATTTGCTTTCGGCTCATTTGAGCTCAGCCAATGACTGTGTTTGTGGATCAAGCACAACCAGTTCATAAACGAAAACGAACAAAAAAATGAACGCAAGAAAGTGAAAATGCAAGTAAATGCTTTAAGCAAAATGCTGTAAGAAAATGCTTAAATGTGATAAAATTTCGATAATATTGAAAGATCTATTGAAAGATCTAATAATCGATATCGATGAAAGCCAGAATGTAAAATGTTTCAAATTGGCTTAAAGCCTCGAAACATTCAAGAGATTAGTTAAGAATTTTCTAAAAAAAGTGATAGATTAGTTCCTGGGAAAGCTGACCACTATTGTGTGCGGTAATTATTTCCGTAAATACTGTAATAGTACCCCACCGCCCTCGTACAATCGCGTAGTCGCAAAAGTTTTTTAGTATTTCATTTTTTTCAAAGCGCCCGTACTTTCAAAAAATGCGTCTTTGGTATCAAAAAATAGCTGAAATTCAGGGCTATTTTTTGATACCTAAACGCGCATTGTAGCATAAACCAGTGTCGAGAAAAACCATTCCTGGCAAACCATTGCTGGCTAACCATCCCTGGCAAGTCCTTTCGCTCAAAATGTTTTCTCCGAATGTTTCACAAAGATTCTGGTGCGACTTCGATGCTGATTTCTTCATTTTGAGGTCATAGAGAAGGCACGCTTGCAACATGAGTTTTTGATCCGTCATCTTCTACCGAAGATTATGTAATATTTAATGATAGCAATAGTTGTGAAAATAATTAAAATAAATAAGCAATAATAATACAATATAATACAATTTAAACCGGATCATCACACTTTCAAATAAAAAAAACTTTGGTCCTCGGAAGTAATCCGCAGTTTCTTTTGCAAGTACCTAATAGCTGAAATTCAGGGCTATTTTTTGATACCTAAGCGCGCATTGTAGCATAAACCAGTGTCGAGAAAAACTCGTTCAAAGCTAGACTACACAACACTCCGCACCGTCATTATGGGGGTGGGGTACAATTACAGTATTTACGGTATTCTTCTTTTGGCAGTCTCTTTTTTGGCTATCTACTTCGATATAACGAATACAACGAATTTGAAATTCTAAAAAGCGACCAAAATCTCTGCACAGCTGTTCTAGTTCAAATCGGCTTACTTAGCCTCGAAACATTCAAGAGATTAGTTAAGAATTTTCTAAAAAAAGTGATAGCTTTGTTCCTGGGAAAGCTGACCACTATTGTGTGCGGTAATTATTATTCTTTTTTGGCAGCAGTCTCTTTTTTTGGCTATCGTTGTGGACCGGTTTTTGCAATCTCTCCCACAGCGATTAGGCTATGCTTTTTTCGCTTGATTTTTGATTTTCAAAACTTTAAAACAAAAAAAGAATCAAATAAGATTGAAAAAGAATAAATAGAATGGTAAAAAATGCGAAAAGAATGAGAATTCATTGCTGTCAACAATCAAAACATTTCCCCATCTCCCCACGTGGCTAATGGATTTTGCAAAAAAAATCACTCAGCAAAAAAAAACCCTTTCTTGAAAAGAATGCAAACATTTGAATATAATAAAATTTAAACTTTTAACGTTTAGCTCTAATTTTCTCGGTGATAAATGCTTTCCATTTGCATCGACTTTTCGAGAATGATCGCCATTTCTCACATCTTGCCGATTTTGAACGCGAAATGGCCTATCGAACAGAAATGGTGAGAGAAAAAAAGTTCTATTACCGTATTTCTTCGAATAGAAGACCGGGTAAAGAGAGTATCATCGCGTACTCCTGCCTAGCAGCCCTTTTTAAAATTTCTTTTCTGCATAAAAGCTTTCAATGAAGTGCTATAGAGCTGAAAAATGGTTCAAAAATGTGTTAGCTCATGTGGTATTTTTGAGCCATTTTCCAGCTCTATAGCACTTGATTGAAAGCTTTTATGCAGAAAAGAAATTTTAAAAAGGGCTGCCACGCAGGAGTACGCGATGATACTCTTTATCCGGTCTTCTATTCGAAGAAATACGGTATCTATTTTCTATTTATTGGGTTGGTGAATTGAAAACTGCGGGACTTTGAACTAAAATTTATTCAACATAAAACGATGAATTCATTCCAAATAATTTCCATTATTATTGACGACTTCTGCTCATTTTACAGGCACTTTGCGGATTCTTCTTTCGGATTTTGGATTCTAGTAGGATTTTGGTTTGTGTGTGAGACAAGTGTGAGACTCAAAAATGGAGGACTGGAGATATCGAGATGTCCCAGTTTGAGCACTTTCTTCAAAAGGAACCCATTTTGGTGTCAATAGGAAAGTTGTAGAGAATCAAAAATGAGGCTTATAGCCAAATTTCCAAAAAGATACACTTAGTAGTTTCGCTTAAAATGCAAGTTTTGTGAAAATTCGTAAATTTAGCATTTCTTGAAAACCAGTTTTTGAATCGTTCTGAAAATTTGGATATAAGCTTGATTTTTGATTCTCTACAACTTTTCTATTGACACCAAAATGGATTTCTTTTGAAGAAAGTGCTCAAACTGTCACATATGACAATAGCCCGCAGTTTTCAATTCACTAACCCAATATTTTCTATTATTATATAAATCTTTAATTTTCTAGGGTCTCTATTTCTCTTACTACAAGACTCTAATCACAGCACCGTCTTTTTTAACTGGTCTTGCTCAAATCACATCGGACAATGTGACTGAATATGGTCATACGATCAATACCCTCAAGCGTTTCAATCTTTATCCAGAGGTGAATTTAGAATTAAAATAATTTAATCTATGAAAACAACATAAGAGTTGAACTTTCGATATAACGAATACAATGAATTTGAAATTCTAAAGCCCGACCAAAATTTCTGCGTAGCTGCCCCAGCCAAATGCAATCAGTGGGGCTTATCTACAGTAGCTTATCTACAATAGCTTATCTACAGCAATCCAGGGCAGCTAGGCAGAAAATTTGAGGCACTTTTTCTAATGAAGTTCAATTTTATTTCGAATTCCCAGGTGACTCTCGGCTTTCTCTATCGTCAATTTCGGGCTTTCGCTGGTGTAATGCGATGGCAAGTAGAGACATGTTGGCAGGTATTTAAAAAGGATTTTCGTTTGATTCTAAATTTCTAGATCGGTCGTGGAGAGGGATGGAGTCCTGTTCAAAGTTGTGCCGGTTATCAAAACACAAAACAAATCCTGTACCGTAAATCATTTAGGAATCGGCAACTCTCACTACTTTTACATTATTGGCGTCTTCGCTATTGCTGGCACAGTGGCTGGATCCTTGTTTTTATTAGGCACTTTGCTAAGGTACTTCTATTTCTTCTGTACTTCTAAACTACTATTCTATATACTATTCTATATACTACTTCTATTGACTGAATTAAAATTGACGGTCTATTGTCTGTGAAATACTCCTTTTAGTGCACTGAATTCTTTTTCTCGTAGGGCTAGAGAATTTAGTGCGCTAGAAAGGATACGTTTTCACTGATTCTTTAAGCTTGAGAATCTGCTTAGCTTGAGCTTGAGAATCTGGTTAGCTTGAGCTTGAGAATCTACTTAGCTTGAGCTTGAGAATCTGCTTAGCTTGAGCTTGAGAATCTGCTTGAGAATCTTGATTTTTTGGATGGAAAAAGTGATTAACAAAATCGTTTCCAGTGATTCGATGATGGGCGGTTTATTGTCTGTGATTTTCTTTGCTTTCAATCACGGAGAGTCGACAAGAGTTCAATGGACTCCGCCATTAAGAGAATCCTTTTCATATCCGATTATTCTCTTCCTAATGGTTCTTGTCACTTATATTCTCAAGTAAAATGACATTAGATTTATTTAATTTAAAAAATGACTTTAGAACAAGAAAATCGGGCAGAAAATGGATGATCGGAATGGTTTGTTGTGCTGTTCCAGCTCTGCTTTCATGGCAATTCGCACAGTTTTCCTTCTTTACTCAAGTTTGCAGAAAAATAAAAGAAATGAAAAGAAATGAAAAGAAATGAAATGAAAGCAAACGATTTCTAGATTTGTGCCCTTTTCGCGACTCATGTATTAGATTATGCGCCAATTGAAACTATGAAAACATTAGCATTCGGGCATTTGGTTTGTGCAACAAAAGATACCAAAAGTAAGGGGAAATTTTAGATTTCTTTCGGCATCTCATTCATCTTTCTATTTGGGAATGAAATGCTACTCACATCTTTGTATTTCTCATCAATTCTCACGTTTTTGGTAAAGAAAATACGAAATTAAGCACTAAAATGAAGCACTAAAAACTCTTAGATTCTTTTGCTACTCGACGATGTGTTGCAACGAGTTTCTTTTCGGCCAATCTATATACTCCTTGAAGTTCTTATTTTCATTGCTGGAACATTGCTAATTAAACAAGCAATCTCTACTTTATTAAATGTGGAAGATGATGTAAAAAATCAACCTATTTACTTCTTTTGAAATCAAAAAAACCTTTTAGGCACACATTTTTGATATTCTTAAGAGCAAGTTCACGGATTTTGCTTCTTTCCACACACGACTTTACACCTGTGCCGCCGAGTTTGACTTTTTGCAAAAGGAGGTAAAAAGCTTTTATTAAAACCTTTATTAAAACCTTAAAAAAACCTTAAACCTATATTAAAACCTTAAAAAAAACACTTTTACCTTTTATTTCAATGCTTTAGAATTAATAAAAGTAAAAGTAAATTCGAATGGTTTTAGGCTCTCTGGAATTAATAATCAATAAAATCAATAAAAATAAAATTCGAATGGTTTAGGCTCTCTGGAAATTGTCCTACTCTCTTTTAATTCCCGTTGGACACTTGATACCATTCGATCAACTCTGCAAAATCCCATTCACCGAGCCAATTCTATGGAGAAATCTGGAAATGCGAACGGGAAAAACGCCTGAGGTTTGAGTTTACACAAAAAAACGATCAAAGTGATACTTCAGCTTTTGTACAACTCGGTGCAACTTCTTTCGGCTGGTTGTATGGCGCTTCTCATCATGCGCCTCAAACTTTTCTTTACTCCACATCTCGCTGCTTGTGCCGCAATGATACTTAATGAAAAAGTTGATTAAAAGAATAGAATTTAGGAAATTTTCTTTAGATAATTTCCTCGATAATTCATCGTCCCTATGGGGGAAATGTGCGTCTTGCTGTTTTTGGAGCTGTGGTGGCAGCAGCCGCGTATCAAGGAATCCCGGCGATTCGACAGGTTTCCCATTGTCATTTTTGGTATCTAAACATCTCAAACAAATCCTTTAGCAACTATCGATTATTGGAGAATATATGAATCCAGAACAAGAGCTACTTTTCAATTGGATAAACGAGCAGACACCGAAAAGTTTTCTTTTCAAGTTTAGACTTTTCTTTCAAATGATTTTCAGATGCGGTCTTTGGAGGCACAATGCCAGTGATGGCAAATGTAAAGCTTTCAACACTTCGCCCGATCACAAATCATCCACATTATGAAGATGTTGGAATTAGGTAGAAATACAAGAAATTTTCTTTATCTTTATCAAATTTTCTTTATCAACTTTTCAAATTCAGAGAAAGAACTTTGAAAGTTTACTCAATGTTTTCGAAAAAGCCACTACGAGAAGTTTACAAGACGCTGAAAGCGATGAAAATCGACTACTTTGTATTTCAGATTATGAACTGTGCTCCGCATCATGCAAGGTTGACAAAAAGAAAAACCCCGACTGAATGTTTCAATTGAACAATGAAATTACAGAGCTGAGTGCAGCTATCGATCGATGTGGGATCTTCACGATCCATCGAATGCGAGAAGGGAAAGTCTTTGTGATGTTTGGGAAAGACTTCTCAATGGACATCCCGAGGACATTTCCCCCTTCAAAATGGTTTACAATCAAAATGGCTACACCGTCTTTCAGATTTAAAGCCGCAAATTTCATTCCAAGTTTCTGGGTAGTTTTTTGGTTTATAACAAGTGAAATTGTCTTATAGATTTTTCCAAATCCTTGTCATCTAGTCATTTCGTTTATTGCATAATTTCTTTTTTTTTTTGTCACCCTTTGATATCAGTATTGGCAGGTATAAAAACGAGTTTCTTTATTAAGCATAAACTTTTTTTGTTACTGGGCATTTGAAATTCACAATATGAATTATGAAAGCAACAAGTTAGATTGATTTAAGCAAAAGTTTTAGCAGTGGATCAATATTCATCTTGTTCACCGCCATTATCATAACGTGAGTCGACTCCAACCTGAAATAGAGATATGAAATAGATGGAGAAATAGAAATAGTTTTGCTATACTATCACCAAATTATCAAAGATTTAGGGATCTTGTCGGTTGTCGGTTGTCGGTTTTTGGAATTGTCCGGGGTTGCTGTCCACAAGGGACGCTGGGCGGGGGCCTTTTTATTTATGCGTTCACCCCGGTTGCGGATCTACAGGGGGTACAGAGGACATGCGACGGAGTTGTGCCCCGGGGGTTTGGACATCGCACAACGAGTACGTAGTTTGAAAAAAACCATTTGTCTTCAAATCAAAAATCTAAGCACTAGCAATTCTTAAATGATGTCCAACTAAGAGAAAAAATGCAAAAAGAATCGATTTCGACTTGTCAATTTTTTGTTGATAGGTCGAGAAATTTTGTCTTTTGACCTAATCAATTCTCCTAAGATATCCCAGTTGCAATTATTCAAATTCCACTTTCCTGGGCCAATTTTTTGCGTAGATTCCAAAAAACACACTTTCAGCACGATTTGACGACGGTATCGCGATGAAAAGTGACTTTGAAAATTTCTAGGTTTCAACTTTGGTGTTCAGAAGGGCAAAAACCCTGAATAAAATAGAAAACATATAGAAAAACTGATACCATCGTGTAGAGCTCAACCTGAGCTTTCAGAATATATATAACACTTATGGGTTCTGTCGAGTACTTCTGTAGATATGGCGTATCAAAGTTGGTGAACTCCATGGCCAGCACCTTGATCGAAAAGGTTCGTGAAAGGGCCAAATCTAAATTTGATTTAAACAGCTAAATTCAAAACCACAAAAAAATTCAAACAAAAACAAATAAATATACCAACACTTCAAATTTCATGAGATGCAGTTGCATCAGATAACAAAACATCAATACTCATCCATTTCAGGGCATTTCGTAGCCGTTTCTCGGCGACATTTTATGGCGAGTAACTTCGGTGCCAATTTACAATGAATCGCCTCAATACCTTCCTCAGCAACAGCGCCCACCATTTTATGCTCGAATAAGAAAGCTCCGAGGTGCATTATCATACAATGGATAAGTGAACTATTTGCGAAACCTCCCAGGTCTTCTAATCCTTTGCAAGTTTTGCTGTTTGGCAGCAGATGGCACCGCATCTTTTGCATGTGTTCTTCATCAACGTTGTGAAAGCTTTGTTGAAGTGGCAAAAGAAGAGTTTTGAATCTTCTTATTTTTCTCTTCCCTATCACTTTATTGTTTCGTAAGATTTTTGGCATAAGCCTATTGACGATCCGTCCTTTTTTCAAATTGCTTTTGGCTGCTTTTCGTTTCCGCGTAGTGGGCACCATCTAAAAGAACACTAACATAGAAATAAAGGAACAAGCAATAAAACAACAAAATAAGCTATGTTACGAATTCCAATACCGTAAATACTCTAATAGAAGCGCATCCTTCCCATACAAAATTGGTCGCCCAAAAAGTCACTAGTGCTTAGAATGGTGTATATGGGCCATATGTATAACCTAGAGGGTTGGCAGTAAAATTTAAAGGTCTAAAAAAATTTTTAATACTTTTTCGAAAAAATTTGGGCCCTTTCATTTTCGAGAGTCCGGCCTCCAGGGGTCAAGGTTGAAAAAACTTTCTTATTTTAAGCGCATGCGCCTCTATTAGAGTATTTATGGTAGGTGTACCATATGTACATCATATTTGCCTCCTTTTAGGAAAGAATGAGCAACAAATTTTCAATACTTGTTTTGACACATTGCAACGTTGCCCTGTCACGCTTGTTTATCCACCGGAGAGTTCACCAACTTTGATACGCCATATCTACAGAAGTACTCGACAGAACCCATAAGTGTTATATATATTCTGAAAGCTCAGGTTGAGCTCTACACGATGGTATCAGTTTTTCTATATGTTTTCTATTTTATTCAGGGTTTTTGCCCTTCTGAACACCAAAGTTGAAACCTAGAAATTTTCAAAGTCACTTTTCATCGCGATACCGTCGTCAAATCGTGCTGAAAGTGTGTTTTTTGGAATCTACGCAAAAAATTGGCCCAGGAAAGTGGAATTTGAATAATTGCAACTGGGATATCTTAGGAGAATTGATTAGGTCAAAAGACAAAATTTCTCGACCTATCAACAAAAAATTGACAAGTCGAAATCGATTCTTTTTGCATTTTTTCTCTTAGTTGGACATCATTTAAGAATTGCTAGTGCTTAGATTTTTGATTTGAAGACAAATGGTTTTTGTACTCGTTGTGCATCGTCGTGCCCAAAGACTAGACGCCGTTTCGACCACTCACTGCCCCCTCTACCTGACCAACTCTAAAAGGAAACACCTATCTATCGGGATGGTGTGCCAGATCGCGAGTGATTACACGGCCACACAAGGAACATTTCGCCATTTAAACCAGGAGTTTTCTTTTGCTTTGTATTGATCATACAGATCATACAAAAAGAAGCTATTCAGCTGGAAATTTGTACCCGGAGGCTTTCGGGGTCGGAGAATCGATTGAATCGATCCAAAATATAGCTACGCTTTACCTCTTCATAATCTTTTTCCAAAGCGGCAAGATCTTCACGAGCCTCGCTGAATTCTCCCTCTTCCATACCTTCGCCAACGTACCTAGATGAGAATTTTACGAAATTCCATTCGGAAACGACTCTACCAATGGACAAAAGCCCTTTTTGCATACATGAGATCAAATTTGTGATCTAAACGAGCCCACGCCTCAGCAATTGCAGTCGTGTTTGATAGCATGCAAACAGCTCGCGGAACCTGAAATTCATTTTTTACATCTTTCTTAGATTTTAAACTTTTGCAAGATCTCCTCCGGGCACAGTTGTCGGCGGTTGATAGTTGATTCCAACCTAAATGATTTTCAAAACGCCAAAATCATTTTTTTTTACCTTGAATCCAGTAGGACACCAATCAACAAATTGAACGCTTCGTTTCGTTTTTAGAGAAGCGATTGCAGCATTGACATCTTTTGGTACCACATCTCCACTGAAAATCCGTCAGAAAAAAAATCTAAAAGATCAAAACTATTACCGATAAAGAAGACAAACAGCCATGTATTTTCCATGTCTTGGATCACATTTTACCATTTGATTATTTGGCTCAAAGCACCTGAATTTATAATTGTTTGTTGGGGGTGGGACAAATGCGACCTTTTTTTTGCGCTGACACTGCGGAAAAGCGTTAAGTTGCGTAGTTTTTGCTTTTTAGCCCAAATTTGACGTGTCAGCGAGGTCTGATTTGTCGAAATTCGGAATCTACGCATACGATTCCCTTAAATGGAAACATTTTTGAAGCTCTACGACCTTTCCTAAGGCCTTTTCCAGCAAAAAAAAGGTGCGCAAATGTCCAGGTGCGCAAAAAAAAGGTCGCATTTGTCCCATCCCCTTGTTTGTTTTCTTTTTTTCTTTCTATTCTTACATATTGGTGATCTCTGATACAGAAAGTTGTTCATGATTGGCACGATCAGCTGACAAAACCGGAGAAAAAGTCACCAATGGAAAATGAATTCTTGGATATGGCACGAGATTAGTCTAAAACATCAATAAATATAGCAAAATCTTTGAAACAAATAACCTGAAACTCTGTCAAATCGACGTTAAGCGCTCCATCGAAACGAAGTGAAGCCGTGATTGAGGAAACGATTTGACCTAACCTTTTTGCTTACCCACATTCCCTTAATTATTTTTACCGATCATCCGATTTAGTGTAGTGTAACTTGGCCTTTCAACTCCCAAATTTCTTCGACAAATATCATAAATTGCTTCATTGTCCACCTAAGTAACCCTTTTTTTTTCAATTCCTCTTTGCACAAACCATGAACGAACAATCACTGTGCTCTAATGTTGTATGAGTTGTGAGAATCGAGTTATACGGTTCAACAACCGCTGTCGAGACCTAGATTTGTTTTTTTTAAAGCTCTTTCTTCAAATGTTACTTGAGGAGCTGGATAAACAGAGAACTCTAGCTTTGACTTCTTTCCAAAGTCCACTGAAAGTCTTTCCATAAGCAGTGAAGTGAAGCCAGATCCAGTTCCTCCACCAAATGAATGGAAAACGAGAAAACCCTAGAGAAAGATAAGCCTGTACAATATTTTGATCAACTTGAAGCCCGGTGCAATTGTCAGCTAAGCGACGGACACGATCCAGAGTCGCGTCGATGATTTCCTTTCCTACAGTGTAATGACCCCGAGCATAGTTGTTGGCTGCATCCTCTTTTCCAGAGATCATTTGCTCTGGATGAAAGAGAGATCTGTAAGTCCCTGTGCGCACCTCATCTGAAAATATCATCAAAATTGTAAACACACAATTCAAATCCCAATGACTGTTGATTTAAACTCACCAATGACTGTCGGTTCCAAATCAACGAGTATGGCTCTAGGAACATGACGACCTTGCCCTGTCTCGTAGAAAAATGTCGAAAACGAATCATCACCATTGCCAAGTGATCTGAAATCTTTCAATGGAAGAATTGGGATTTTCTGACTTATCGCTAGGCATATGGCCATCCGGTTGAATCCCATGCTCAAGGCAGTACAACTCCCAGCAAGCATTCCCAATTTGTACACCGGCTTGTCCAATGTGCACGGAAATTACTTCCCTCTAAACTTTCAACTTTCAATATTTCATGCTTTTATTTCGTAAGAGAAGGGGGATTTCGATGAAGAAAGGGAAAACGAATAGTCCCAAAGGGCCTTTATTGGATGGAGGGATGGATCTTCTCTTGGGCAAAGCCCTAATGCAACGCGGGGAGAGCAATCACCCTTTTTGGGGAAGACCTCTCTTTTCTCTCCTCAGCTTTCTTTCTCTTTACTAGACACTCAAATGAACTCGAAAAGAAGAAGGACATTGCAAAATGCATCAAATTTCCGGACTGGGTTTTTCATTTAATACTTAAATCTCAGAGTACAAGTTATTCAAAAGTATTTTCATCTAATTGTAAGGAATTCTACTTGGCAAAAGGGTTTAAAACTTTGTAAATAAATAGAATAGAATCTGTTAAGGAAATAGAATCTGTTAAGGGAATAGAATCTGTTAAGGAATTAGGAATTAGTCCCTTGCCATGTCAAAAACCAAAACGATATCAGTATGGAGTAATAAGACTAATAAAGGAATTGAACTAATAAAGGCGATTGTCTACAATGTCAAAAACTGATTCAATGAAAGGTAGTTTAGAAAGTTTAATCTCTATAAACTGATTGTGAGTCAAGTTTTAAAAGACGAGAATACGAGGGTGATGGAGTTATTTGGGGCACTGACAAGCAAAAGAGAAGGGCCTCTGAAGGCAATCGAGGAAGGTACTTAGTGTTAGTTTCTCAAAAATCGTATCCGAACTAATTGTCCTTACTAATTGTAAATCCTTTCCTTACCATATCGATTCGAAAGACGAATGAATTCTAATAAGAGGACGAGTGTCTGTGGGAATTGAATGGGATGGAGGGTTGGTGTGGAGGTTGGTGTGGAGGGTCGGTGTGGAGGCTCGGTGTGGAGGGGAATGCCGGGGACGCCCTGAGCCCTCCCCTTTCTCTGCCTTCCTCGTTTGCCTTCAGCCCTTCTTTTCTCGTCAATGTCCCAAATAGCCCCATCACTCTCGAATTCTCTTCCTATGACTCTTCAATTTCTATAAATAAAAAAACAATAACACTATAATCCCGTTTAACTTTGTAGTTAGCTCTCACTTCCATGTGTAGCCCAACTGTAATCATTTCTCTGTAGTACGCCATCTCCAAATTATCAACAATTCATTATCAAGCAAGCAATACGTACATATCAATAGCAATATTATTATCAATATTATCAATCTATAGTATCAATAGTATCAATAAATAGAATTAAATTATCTACATTTCGGGACCCATCAACGCGTGCATTGGATCCACAAGCATCTCATCGTAGTGTTGTGCCATCTCTGCCTGAAAGTTTTAAAGCTCATTTTTTTCAAGTCTTAACTTAGTCTTAACTAGTTTAACTCAATATTTTTAAGTTTTAAAAGAATTTCTGAAAGTCTATGTCTTTACTTGAGCTTCTAAAGCGGCCATTTCGGAGCTCTCCGGGTGTTCATTGCTTTCTGTTTCTTTGGATTCATCCTCGTTTTCCGTTGTTTCATTCGACTTCTGAAAACTATTGTTAAATCAACAATACACTAGAGTCAATTTTTAGTCTACTAGAATCAATTTTTAAGCAACTATCAGTAGTTTCAGGAGTTAAACTTGTAAAACCAGCCTCTTCTTGTCTTTCTGTCTCCTTCGAATCTGCTTCCTCATCATCGTGTTGCTGTTGTTGTTGCTCGTGTTCCGCTGCTTCCTCCGCTTCTTTTTCTTTCTCCAATTTGCCCACTTCAGCAGAGATCTCGTCAAGTTCTTCGTCTTTCTCAACTTCTTGTTGCTGAAACTCTTTGTTCATTATCCCATCTGATCCTCTTCGTTTCTCTTTCTCTTCCAAGCACCGCGTTTAGTTGTGACGAGCTGGCAATCACCTCTGCTCTCTATTCTACAAATGATTAATATTTTGTTGCTTTTGAAGGGTGTTTGCTTGTGAGATTAAAGATTTACAAAGATTTTTTTATTTACAGTAACCGGTAACTGGTGAACACTGGAGTGTGAGGAATTAAGAAAAGGAGAAAAGTTTTTTTTTAGGCAGAGCTCTGACCAATTTCGGAATCTTATTATTATTAGCTGTATTTTTTGTAAATCCAATAGCTTTAAAACAAAGAAATCAGTTTTGTTTGTAAGCTAAAGCACTAGATACATTTGAAAAAAGGATTAGTTGACGAAGAAATGTAGTTGAATCCAATCGTAAAAACAAGAACTCTGAAAAAAGTGTTTAAGCGTGTGTTTAAGCGGTGGAAGCGGCTGAAGTGATCGGAATTGGCACCGGAGCTCCAAGATCGGCGGCCGATTTCGGTGGTTCGACTTCTGCGCTTGGATCGGGTTGTGGAGCCGCCTAAGGGATTCAAGTTTATAAAGAACAACTATACACATTTAACTAGTAAGCTTAGTTTTTAAAAAAATCAACGTCTAACCTCAGTCTGGGTTCCTTCTTCGGCGGTTTTCGTCTTGGTGGTTTCAACGATATGTGGTTCTGCGGCATCGACCTCGGCATTTCCGACCGCTAATGGGGCCGGGGTGGGGATAGATGACTAAAACATAAACTATAAAACGATAAAGACATAGATGTTGAAACTTTGTCACAAACATCGTCTTCCTTCTTCTCTATAAACTATTAGGTCGAGTACTAACAAGTCTTGCAAGTCTTGCAGTCTTGCAGTCTTGCAGTCTTGCAGTCTTGCAGGCTTGCAGTCTTGCAGTCTTGCAGTCTTGCAAGTCTTGCAGTCTTTCACCCAGATGTTAAAACTTTCTTTTCTCAATAAATCTTACAATCAACTTACAGTTTGCTCAAATCACAAATGTTTATTGACTATTTTCACTCATTTTTGAGCAGGTTTCGGCTCGTTTAGAAGAAATTTCAAGCAGAAATCCTTATTTTTCATCAAATTCTGTAATCATAGGTAAAACAAAAACCGCTGAGCGAAAGAAGCTGAAATTTTAGTTGTATGTCTAACTTTTTACGCTCTATCGTTTCTCTTTTAACACTAGAATTGATTTCTGGGGCAGAAAGGGCTCAAATTGGATCATCGATGTCTCTCCATTTTTGGCTACTCTATTAAAAAGCTGAAAAATACAAGCTTTTTCTAATTTCTAATTTCTAATTTTGTAGCAAAAGAATAGAGTTTTCTGATTGAGAAAACTGTAAGTTGATCGGTTAAAAAAAGAAAAGAAAAACTCAAGAAAATAAAGTTTTAACAATTGGGTGCAAGACTGAGTACCTTAAAACTATAAAATTTAAACTATAAAGATTATAGATGTTTAAAGTTTGTCACAAACATCGTCTTTCTTCTCCTCTTCATCGTTCATCACTGGCTGCTCACCCATTTTCATGGCCTCGTTTTGAAAAAACCTGCACTATTCTAATTTCCCAAATTTTCTTTAAAGGTTACCTGAAGAACTCGGCAAGTGGATCTCCAGACTTTTCCTCGTCAGGAATCGATTCAGACTCTTCATCAGATTCATCCTCGGTCTTATCCTACACGCAAGTTATTTTATACCGTATTTCTTCGAATAGAAGACCGGATAAAGAGTATCATCGCGTACTCCTGCGTAGCAGCCGTTTTTAAAATTTCTTTTCTGCATAAAAGCTTTCAATGAAGTGCTATAGAGCTGGAAAATGACTCAAAAATCTGTTAGCTCATGTGGTATTTTTGAGCCATTTTCCAGCTCTATAGCACTTGATTGAAAGCTTTTATGCAGAAAAGAAATTTTAAAAAGGGCTGCTACGCAGGCGTACGCGATGATACTCTTTATCCGGTCTTCTATTCGAAGAAATACGGTATTTTCTTCGTGCATCTGCTAACTTACATCTCCGCCATCAACGGTTTTAGCCTCGTTAAGTTTAGGGAACGAGTCTTCGATCACCACTGGCTCGGTGCTCTTCTCAACTGGAACAGCTGTCGTAGTATCAGTGATATTTTCCTGCAAAAAAAAAATAGCATATAGAATCTCAATAAGCAAGAATAAAACGAACATCTTGATCCCGAATCTCAAGGGCTTTTCGGAGCATTTCGTTGTAAATCTCATCAGTTCGAGCTTGTTCCTCATTTTCCGGGACGGCAGAAACTAAATTTTCTTTTAGTTTTTGATAACCAACAAAAGTATTTTTTTTTTTTAAATATGGATAGGTTTTCTTACAAGTAGGACGGAATCCAAAGCCGCTATTGAAGTTTTGAGCGATTTGCTGGAAATGTTGATAGACTCGATCATCAACGGATGGCATCTGCTGGAAAGCCGGTTGAGGCTGAGCGTTCTAAAGCTCTCAAAAAATGTAAGACAAAATTTCTTTGCTACTTGAAGTTGGTTGACGATTTCTTGAGCGGAAGCGTCGTGTGGCCTAACAGGCACCTGCTCGGCCTAGATTCATGTTTTTAAGTCATAAAATTTTTCTATTTTCCCAACTGATTGACTTTCCGGTTGGACATTTTTTCATTTCATTGGTTTATATTGGTAAAAACTTTTAGAAAAGAGATATCTCAAAACGGTTTTTATCAATCGATTCGTCTTGAATTCAGCTTTAGGATGAGCTATAAAACGTCAAAATTGGACAAATTTAAGGTACTCTCCCAAAAAATCGGAAAGGACTTTTCCACCAACCCAATAGAAAAAAATAGACACTGATCTAGTTGTCTATATTTTCTCCAGTCTTTATCATCATTTATCGACCTACTTGTGGAGTTTGAGTGGTGGCTGGGAATTGTTGGGGTTGCATGGGTTGCACGGGTTGCACGGATTCTTGTTGAGCGGCTTGTTGCATTTGCATTTGTTGTTGTTGAGCGGCTTGTTGCATTTGCATTTGTTGTTGCTAAAGTGTCATGTAAATCGAGTAAAAAAATTTTTTGAAAATACCTGAGCTTGCATTTGTTGTTGTTGCTGTTGAGCGGCGATGGCCTGTTGTTGCAACCATTGTTGCTGAGCAGTCATCGCTTGTTGCTGAGCCTAATTGGGAGATTTTCATGTTTACTTTCAGCATTATTCTGTCCTGAAAGGCTGTCCAGAAAGTCTTTTCGTCCTCTTTCACACCTCCATTAAAAAAATCACAAATTCATGAACTAAAGTACGACTTTCTGTACCTGTTGCCAAGCCCTCATCCTCTCTTCTTGTTCACGAGCTCGAGATTCGGCTTCTGATTGAGCGGCATGTTGTTGTTGGGCGTATTGCATTTGTATCCACTGACGTCTTTGCATCTCAGCCTGTTGTTGTCTTGCCCAGTTCCAATAAGCAATCGATCGATGATCATCTTGCTGCTTAAAATAATGCTTTCGTGCTTTCATGACGATTATGTCCTTTTCAAACCTCAGGTGCCCAATGAGAACGGAAAGAGAACATTTTGTGGTTGAGGCCAGTACTCGGCTTGTGGCTTTTGCATAGCCCACATCAACTAAACATTTTTCTATTTATATAAAACTCAAATTTCTTTACTTGTTGCTGTTTCCAGGCTTGTTCTTGCTCGGATTTCTAAAATGAATGACTAATTTGGAAGTTGTAGATCACTCAACCATTTGCCATTGTTGTTGGAGACGAGCCATTTGCATTTGTTGCCAATGAGCCACACGTTGCTCCATCTCATTCTGAAATTTGTTCAATCTGTTCGATCTAGAAGTGAAATCATGTACTTGTTGCTGTTCTTGAGCTTTCTGAGACATTGCTTGCATGATTTGTCTGGCCATGATCTCTTTCATCATTTCTTGCTGGAAGAGTGCTTGTTGAATGCGGCGAAGACGCCAAATGCGCATTGCCTAAATGTTTCGCAATAATTTTTATCATTGTTATTTCTTATTTTAGTATTTACTTGTTGCTGTCGCATTTCCCAGATCGAGGCAAAATCAGGAGTGTTCCCTCCCTCGACAACCTGAATCGTAAATATAATATAACATTTGAAAATAAAGATAAACACTTAAGTGCCGTGCTTGAACAAAACCATGCAAGAAGTCACACCTGAGCGGGCATTTCTTGATCAGACTTCTCCTCATCGGGCACACTCTCCTCATTTCCATCGATACCCTCATCTCCAACGGATTCGTGCTCATCAGCCTCACTTTCCGATTCTTTCGATTCCTCAGATCTCTCCGACCCATCCTTTTCCGACTCCTCAGCGGTTCCCACTGGCATCGCCATGATTGCGATCTGCATCTGCAAAAGTTTGAGTGCTCACATGCATAACAAATTAATGATTTCAGGGTATGCAATGCCAAACAACTCTACAAGGTAATCAAAAAGTTCCCACACACTTGTAAATGATTCATTTTCTAAATGAAACCTAAAACAAAAGCTTCTTGAAGGTTTTTAATTGAAAACAAGTTCAAATAAGTGAGCGCAATGACAGTTTGCCTCTAGCGCACTACAATGCTTCTCTGGAGAGCTAGGTGGCTCTGATCAGGATGGTTCAGGATGGTTCTAGACCTGATCGGGATGGTTCAGGATGGTTCAGGATGGTTCTAGACCTGATCAGGATGGTTCTAGACCTGATCGGGATGGTTCAGGATGGTTCTAGACCTGATCAGGATGGTTCAGGATGGTTCTAGACCTGATCAGGATCAGGTCCAGAAATGCTTCCCAGAATTTCAGCTTTAACTATCTAATAAGTCCAATTTCGATATTGGTTTTAGCTGAAAAATGGAGCTTCTTTTGCAATATGTGCGAGAGCTTTTTGATCACCCTGTATTTGAGAACGCAAGACGTTGGAAACAGAAAAAGAAATCAAAATCAAAATCGATTAATGAAAAAAACGGCTCCAGATCGAGGGTACCTCGGGTCTTTCACTCTCATCGTCATCGTCATCGTCATCTCTTTGTGGTCCCTCCATCTCAGCTGGCATATTCATCGGGATTGCCACGATTTCCTAATAAACAAACTCCACACAAGTTTAAAGATAGAGGCTTTGAGTGGCAAAGGGTAGTGCAAGAAAAACTTGATTTGCATTTGCATTTGCATTTGCAAGTGGCTTCACTCTCACCAACCTTTTGCTGATCTTTTTCGGGCTGATCTTCTCCAAATTTCTTCTCCGAATTGACATTGTTCAAAATGATTTTTTCAGGCACCAAAATCAGCGTCTTTTCCTGAATTTGTATTTCGTTTTCGTTTTTCGTAAATATTGACTGTTTCCTTTTCATTTCATTTTTAAAGAAAACTTCAAAATGACCTTCAAAATAGACACTAAACCCCCAGATTATGCGATGAGAACCCAGAAATTGCCACGATCTGACTATTTCTAGAGCAATTCACTAAACAAAAAAACTCTCTGACAATTTGCCAATGCAAAAAAAGTGAATGACTTACTTGTCCGAAAATTGAGCGCACTCCATCTTGACCGCTGAATGCAATGACGAGAACCACGGCGAACAAAGCGAACAAGATTGAGATGAGAGCGATACGAAGCAATACTCCCCATACACCGGTCTAAAAACAAAATCTTTGTGCTTAATATTAAGATCTTGACTTGATGAATTATCACTTACAGATTTCTTTCTATGAGCCTCGGGATAGTTTGACATTTGCACAGGGACCATTTGAGGACACGGTTGAATCACGGTGAAAACCTAAATCATTTCGTTTTAGTTTTTCTTTGAAAAGTAGAATACTTTTCAAGTAGGCTTTTTGAACTTTTGACTATTTGAAAAGTTTTCTTTTATAGTTTTCTATAAACGGTACCTTGGGATCCTTCTCGACGTCTTTCTCCTTCTTCTCCTCGGGCCCCTCAGCTGAAGGATTTACCCCTAATTTCGTCATCCTGCAAATAAAAAAAAATTGTAATTAGTTCGCTGTTAAATTAAATTATTAAGATTTAAAAAAACTCTAAAGAACAAAGTCTTTAGCGACTCGATTCGTCATTACGAAAACAACATGAGATTGAAAAAGAAGTTTGGCGAACAGAGGGGGATATTTTTCGGGAAGAGATTTAAAAAAGATGAAATTTCGAGAAGAGTACTGGAGGCGGAGATTGGGGGAAAGGAAACGGGTTCTTTTTTCGGATCAGTGTGAGCAGATTTCGACGAATCGTTGTTGCTGACCGGGGAGAGAGGATGACGGGATTGCCCAGATGATTGCGATGCTTGATTTTTGTGATCACTATTGTCACAAGACGGCCTTTCTTTTCCCAAAGTTTTCAAGGCCAAAGTGGCCATGCAAGTTCGCCGCGCAGAACATTGGAATCAAATCTCACCAAAAAAAAAGGAGAAAATCGGAGAAAACAGAAAACTCATGTATGGGACTGATCAAGATCAGATCAAGAGCAGATCAAGCTATTAATCATCAAGATATTAATAAACTTATGCCTGATATTATTAATAAATTAATAAATAAGATAAATGCCTCTAGAGGGGAAATTGGTATAAGTGAGAGAAAAGGAAAGAAAAAGAAAGAACGTAGGCAGGGCACCCTTGCTCTTCTCCTCCACCACCAAGTAAACACATTGAGTGGTCGCACGCCGCCTGAAGGACGTTCAAACACTTTTGTCGATACGGTATTCAATCCTTTTTGTCCTTTCTATTCAACGCGTCTCTCATCCAACGAAAAACCGCCTAGCAAAGTTATGGCAAAAAAAGAATCGTAAAACTTGTTATGAAAGTTAGTTGAAGTAAAAGTTTTGCTGAAAATAAAAAGTTAAAGAGATAAATTGAAATGAGAGATAATTTTCGAGTACGTAAATCGATAAATGATAAATTTGGGAGAACTTTTCCGAACTGACAAGAGATAAGCGCCGAGAAAAGGGATCTACAGTAATCCAAGCAATGGGATCAGTCGAAAAAAGAGAGCCATAATGTTGAAAGAAATGGTGGGGCGGAGGCTTAGAGATCAGCGTTAAAAAGTAGTTGAATGTTTAAATGAATTGGAGAAATGTTGACCAAACTTCGATGCACAGCTGAAAGGATTTCATCGAATGGTCAAGAGAGAAAGATGGAGAATGGAGAAAAAAAAAACATAGAGACGGGTTTGAATCAAAGAAACAATGATAAAAACAGTTGCACGGCGGGTTCAAAATTGGGGTAATCAAACGAACGGAAACTTGTTTTTGATCCGCGCCTTTGGATTCTAATGAGTATGAAAAAGTTTAGGAAAAAGCTACTACAGTCTCTCGATTCGCCTTGGGACTAAAAAATTCGATTTAATGATTCAAATCTCTTGCGTAGCTGCCCTGAAAGGTGAACGATTGAGAACGATTGAGATTGAACGGCCAACAGATTGAATGGCTAACGATTGCAATTGAACGGCTAACAATTGAGATTGAACGGCCAACAATTGCAATTGAACGGCTAACAATTGAGATTGAACGGCTAACGATTGCAATTGAACGGCCAATAATTGCGTTTCGCTTCGGCAGTTACGCAGAAACCAAGGATGTGTTTTAGAATTTCAAAATCGTTGCATCAAAAGTCGTTAAATCGACGTCGACTGTTAGGTTGGTGAAGAAATTTGGTTCCTTTCCATTCTGCATCTCATAGCAGGACAGCTACTTCAAGAAATGATCTAAATCTTCACAAGCTCAAATCTAGAACTCGATGGTTTTCATAAAACAAAAAAGTTCATGTATAAATCGAAAAATAATCGATGTCCAGAAGAATGGGCAGTTGTTTCCGTATTTTGAGGGAAGCCAAGCAGGTTGGCTGTTTTCGGATCGCGCGCCCACTGTGTGTGCTGAGCGCGGAGAGAAACTCGTCTCATGCTCCCCTCCTTCCCTCCACCATTTCCTTTTCCCCAATCCGATCTCTCATCCTCAATCCTACCTTTACACGTCACTCTCCTTCTTCTCTATGATCCATCTTTGTCCATTTTTATTTTCCTCTCTTTTCTCCTATCCTCTACCTTCAACCATCCCCCCCAAAATTCGTCCAGTTTTCCGTTCTCAAAAAGGCGCCTCGCGCTCTCGTTTTGTGAGTTGTCTCTCTCGCTACCAAAAAGACTTTCCTCTTTTCTTATGTTACCATCGTTTTCTCGTCCAAGTATGTCATGACAAATCGAAAACGAAAACGAAATCGATCGCGCTATGGTTATGCGAGTTTTCGGATTCGATTTGAAATGAAAACAAAGACTAAGCGCTTCAGAAGAAAGGCTTTCTGAAAGTGATAGCTGAAAAGCTGAAAAGCATTTCAATAGCTGAAAAGTATAGGTTTTAAAAAACTCAAAAACAAAGCTTCCGAAAATGCAATAGTTAAAAATGGCTTTAATGGGAAATTTCCAAAGTTTGTAAGGCTTGAAGTTTGTTTTGAATGCTCACAAAAGTGCAATACTTCAATGTTGATTTGAAAATGAATGAATGGGTTGAGTGGAGAGAAATTAGCATAAAATTTTCTATATGAAATGCGAAGAAAAACTATTTTCAAATGAATCAACGAAATAGTCGACTGATCAGAATGGTTTAGGATGGTTCTAGACCTGATCAGGATCAGGTCCAGAAATGCTTCCCAGAATTTCAGCTTCAACTATCTAATAAGTCCAATTTCGATATTAGTTTTAGCTGAAAAATGGAGCTTCTTTTGCAATATGTGCGGGAGCTTTTTGATCACCCTGTATTTGAGATCAGTTTTGAATGCTCTCAAAAGTGCAATACTTCAATGTTGATTTGAAAATGAATGAATGGGTTGAGTGGAGAGAAATTAGCATAAAAATTTCTATATGAAAAGAAAAACTATTTTCAAATGAATCAACGAAATAGTCGACTTTCATAATTTTAACTCGATCGCTAACTTGCTATAATATTAGAATTGGCTTCAACGACAAAACTGTGATTAAAGAAATTTGAAATCTTTAGGTCATTTCACTTAAATAAACTGCGGTTGATCGGTGGGCCATATCCAGTTTTTCGAGGAGGTGAGGTCATCTTGACATTCTCAAATCCCTCCGGTGAACCCTAATTTATTGCCATGATCCATGTACAGGATGGGCCAAAATTACCGTTACATATAAAAAAGTCTCTGTATAAAACGCAACTCAAAAGGTCAAAGATTTTTCTTAAAAATAGCTTTTATTGTCTCAGAACAATTCATAAAAACTATTCCTTTTCAAACAGATCTCCAATAGCTTTTACAGAGGCGTCCAAACGTCGTAGAAAAGCGTCGATCGTGGCGAGAAGGCGAGAAGGAGATCCAGCTCTTCTCGATCATGCCGAGAAGGAGATCCAGCTCTTCTCGATCGTGGCGAGAAGGAGATCCAGCTCTTCTCGATCGTGGCGAGAAGGAGATCCAGCTCTTCTCGATCGTGGCGAGAAGGAGATCCAACTCTTCTCGATCGTGGCGAGAAGGAGATCCAGCTCTTCTCGATCATGCCGAGAAAGAGATCCAGCTCTTCTCGATCGTGGCGAGAAGGAGATCCAGCTCTTCTCGATCGTGGCGAGAAGGAGATCCAACTCTTCTCGATCGTGGCGAGAAGGAGATCCAGCTCTTCTCGATCATGCCGAGAAAGAGATCCAGCTCTTCTCGATCGTGGCGAGAAGGAGATCCAACTCTTCTCGATCGTGGCGAGAAGGAGATCCAGCTCTTCTCGATCGTGGCGAGAAGGAGATCCAACTCTTCCCAAGCCTTTTCGAGCGCTTTTTTCAAACTATCAACAGTTTTGTGTGGTTGATAGCGTCAACTGATAGCATTTGTGATTTATTTTTCTTGTAGACCTTTAACTTGAGCTTGTTTTTCATGATTCTTCTAAGGGATGTTCGCTCTGTATCCCCATTTTTTTAAAAACTTGTTGTGACATTGTCCGCACCGATTAGTTTGGCGTTTTCAACAGACGATTTCTCACTTTTTTTTGACATTTGCTGAAGTTGTTACCGTTCGCTTTCTTCCATTTCGCTTTCGCATTTGCGTTTGAGTGAGCATTGTAACGGTAATTTTGACCCACCCTGTAGACTCTTTCAAACCCCCAGTATATATTCAACTATTGAATTTCCTCCATAAAAACCACCGAGTTCAAAAAAGAAAATCGATCCTCTTGATCGTATTTTGATTGACAAAACTTACGCCGATTGAAAAACGATACCGATCCTCTTGATCGTATCAATAAAGTGTTTGGGAAGAAGGATCAAAGTAGGCAAGTTGGGGGGAAATTGGGGGGAAATTTGGCGAATAATTTATCCCACTCCTGTCAACTGTGTGTGGCCGAAATATCTGAGCTCATGTTTTCCTCTGAAACTTGTTTTTATTATCTTAAACACTCAAAAGTTGAGTTTTCAATTGAAATAAACGAAATTCTTTTTTATTGACCGGTAAATTGTGAACCACAAGAGAAGTGCCAGAGAGAGAAGCAAAGGTCCTCAACTGAATGAAAAACAGAAAGGTTTTAAATTCATTCATATCATTCATTCTTTCTTATAAATTTTTCTTATAAATATAATTTTTTTAAAGCAATACTGTCAAACTTTGTACAAGAAAAGAGTCAGAAAAAAAATGCATTTAGGTTAAGTTTTTTTGCGCGGAAATACACGACTGGACAATGAAATATGATATTTGAAAAACGATCGTCACCTTCGCGCGTCTGTAACTCCCTTGTCTTTGAGTTTAAACTATTAGTGTTATACATTTTCTGAAAGCTCTTTTCAAGGGCTACACAATGGTAATATTAATATTTAGAAATACGGTAAAGACAAGGGAGTTACAGACGCGCGAAAGTGACGATCTTTTTCAAATGTGATATTTCATTGTCCAGTAGTGTAAAAACAGTGTGGTCCTCGTAGAGTCGATGAATTGAGAACAAAATAAAAGCAAAACAATAAACGAAGCCAAAGAATAACACAGTAACAAATCTCTAACTGCTTTCAAAAAAAAAATCACAACTTTGAGACCAATGGTGAACGAAGATCGGCGGAATCGCGTGGAAGCTCACTGGGCACAGGGTCGGGACTATCTAAAAGAAAAATTATAAATTTAGCCTTATAAAGAATTTTATTTTCTTTTGTGTTTTTCAATTACTTTCTGTGCTGTTTTCAAAAGAAATCTTTTTTTTCATTTTAGTGACGGGCAAAAGGAAGCAACTTTTCGATTAAAGAAAAGGGGATGATCGAAGCGATGAATCAAGCTATCGAGAAATTCTCAGAAAAATCGGCTGTTCACACCAATTGATCAGTAAGAGACCTATCTTAAAGGACCAATTTTTCCATTTTGGTGCCAAGCAGCGAAACCTGACCTATATGCAAGATAATGCTCCGACTCACGGCAGTCAAGGGCACCAGGGGATGGTGACCAATTGACCTATCTTAAAGGACCAACAGATGGCTGAATGAAACATATGGGACGAAAGCCGAGCACTACAAAGCGGGAACAACGACTTGAATTCGAGAAGCCTCAAATTCGACATTGACTTCTCCCCAAATCAAGACTAATCTGAATCTGCATGTCTCATCACGAACAATTAGAAGGGTGATCAATAAGAGCAAATTCATCCTTCAGAGAAGTATGAGACGTGCCTCATGCATCACAATGCCGAATTGTCAAAATCAGGTGCTTTTTGCACAGAGAAATCAACGAATCGATTGGAGTTTTGTAAGAGTGTTCACTCGTTTGATTTAAACTCCCTTTGTTTTAGATTGTTTTAGATTGTGTGGTCAGATGAAAACAAGTTCAATTGCAATGGATCAATCGACATTACTAGCACGATTTGAAAAAGGACAAACTTCATTTTTCGCACCGAAATTTTAAAAGAGGTGGAGTGATGGTTTGGGCAGCTTTTTCTGCAAGTGGACGCGATAAGTTTGTATTCGTTTCGAAGAAAATGAATTCAATCCAGTATCAATTTTTGCTCCGTCGATCACTTTTTCGATTTTGGTGCCAAGCAGCGAAACCTGACCTATATGCAAGATAATGCTCCGACTCACCGCAGTCAAAGCACCAGGGGATGGTTGCAAAGGAAGCAAATTGCACTTTTGGGGTGACCGGCAAATTCGCCGATTTGAATCCACAAGAAAATGTTTGGGGATACATGGTCCGCAAGATTTACGCCAATAGTCGCACGTATGCAGACGTGAATTCACTCAAGAAAGCGATTGTTTCGCTTGGTACACTGTGGATCAAAAACTCATTGACCACCTCGTTTTCAGCATGGACAACAGAGTTTTCTCAAGTGATTCAGCGCTCGGGAAGCCCAATCGATTATTGATTCGTTATTTTGAAAGTTTAGTTCACTTGTTATGCTATTTTTTAGTTCCAAAATTTTCAAAATCCATTTCCAGAACCAACCTGGTACCAGAGAGATTCCTCCGTTTGTCAGCGCCCCAACCAGTGTCGTTGACTCGGCCAACGATTTCTGAAATTTGCTCTTTAACAAACCATTTTCTTTTTTTCAAACAAACGTTAGTATCTTTACAAGGAAAATACACAAAGATGTGTGCGAAAGCGAAAAATTGTGTGATCTCTAATGACTAAAACGAGAACGGCGAAAGGACACTCAAGAATTAATGGACTTTTTCTTTGAGTTTTGTTGAAAAGAAAAAGATCTTGTAGAGCTAGAATAGCTCAAAAAAAAAAGTTCAATTGTCAAAGAAAAAGTCCCTTTTTGTTAACGAGACGCATTTCTGGGCTAGGGGGGTGGGACAAATGCGACCTTTTTTTTGCGCACCTGGACATTTGTGCACCTTTTTTTTGCTGGAAAAGGCCTTAGGAAAGGTCGTAGAGCTTCGAAAATGTTTTCATAGAAGGGAATCGTATGCGTAGATTCCAGAATTTTGACAAATCAGAGCTCGCTGACATGTCAAATTTGGGCTAAAAGGCAAAAACTACGCAACTTAACGCTTTTCCGCAGTTTTTCCCTTTTAGCCCAAATTTGACGTGTCAGCGAGGTCTGATTTGTCAAAATTCTGAATCTACGCATACGATTCCCTTCTATGGAAACATTTTCGAAGCTCTACGACCTTTCCTAAGGCCTTTTCCAGCAAAAAAAAGGTGCGCAAATGTCCAGGTGCGCAAAAAAAAAGGTCGCATTTGTCCCACCTCCCTGGGCTAGGTTGTTTTTGTTCGAATCCTAGACTCACCGCGTGGACGTTAGTGCGAAACGTTTCATAATTCTGAAGAGAAGAAACGAAGCATTTTGACAGCATTATATTTTTTTTTGTAAAAGTTTCAAGTAAAAGCTTTTTATCTTATTTATTTGATATCTGTTTCACAGCTATATTTCACAGCTCTGTTCAAGCTTGTTAGTTCAAGTTTTTGCAGTTTTTTTGAAGATTAGTTTGAAAATCGTTATGTCATTGGGTTAGTAAGCTTTCCCATTCGAAATCTTTTGTGTTACTGATTGATTGGCTTGCAAAACGAAAATTTGTTTGATTTTTAGTACCTTATTAGTAATCATTTCTTTATTCTCCGTTTCCTTTTCCCCAAAAAAACAAACCTTATGGGCTGAGCGAGCACTTTCACAGCGTCGAACGGCTTTTTTGTGCTCTTCTTTGAGCTTTCTCGATTCTCGCTTTCCACCCACCTAAAATCGTTGATTAGTATGCTAATTTGATAGACTTTAAAGACGAACCCATTTCTTCACACACTCCATCGCTGAGCGATTTGCATAACAAAGGATTATCGACACTGCAAAGCCCTAAATTCGAATCATTCACGAATCTCTTTGAAATCATTGAAATTGAAATCATGAAATTGAAATCATGAAATTGAAATCATTACCTGAAGCCCATCAAGTATCATGTTGATGATCTGATGAGCATGGGAAGGTATTCGATAAATTGTAAATAAGAAATGAAGGCCAAACACTGGGACTAGCATCAAAGCGGCTCGAACGGCTTTTCTAGAGTCCAAAGATCAAAGACGGTTATATTTTGACACCTTTGTAAAGATGTATAAATGAGAATCTAGTTTGCGAATCTAGTTTACGAAAATTTTGCATTTCTTTGAAACAAGAAACTCTTGAAGAATTTTTAAAACGATCTGCATGTTTTGTTTTGCTGTTTTGCTAACCTGTACTGAACGGGCTCCAGATGTGGATTGTATCGCAACTTCTTCACCAAAATATACAAAATCAACGTGACCAAGAGGAGATTTGTCTAAGGAAAATGAAATGAAAGGATTGAATTTTTTTTTTAGATTTACACAAAGTGCCACAAGACAGGGCGCCATGTAGACCCATTCGATCCAATGATAGAGTGATGGAGAGATCCAGCAGCCCTCGTTGTCAAAAAGTTGTCGCAATATGCCATAAACGATTGTGATCAACAAGGGCACTCCTGTAAATTGTCGTTTTATATTGATAAAATTTTAAATAGGGTTAAATTTGGTTTGGTTTTCGGCAACACTATTTTCTCAACTATTCAGCTACAGCCTACAGCTACAGCCTACAGCTACAGCTACAGCCTACAGCTACAGTCTACAGCTACAGCCTACAGCTACAGTCTACAGCTACAGTCTACAGCTACAGTCTACAGCTACAGTCTACAGCTACAGTCTACAGCCTAATACTTCTACGTCATTCGTTCTACTTGTGAACTTACCCCAGCAAATGATCTTGTAAGGCATAAGGGAGCTTTCGTCGGAGAAAGCGTTCCTCAGTAGCCGAAACAAGTACACTCCTTCGGCCAACATCCAGCTGAATGTCGACAATCGGAAAAAGCGTAGTTGCACCGAAAACGCAACTCGGCAAATTATCTAAACAATGAATGCTTGTGCTGAAGATAGCTTGAGAAATGAAGCTAGCTGAAAGAAATGACAACATACATAATGTATTTCTCGTAGTACCGGCTAAAGAGTTTCTTTTTGTTGGAGGATTTCGATTGTTAACATTAAAAACTCTTACATGATTCGTGGTATGCTGATGATCCAATGGCGCCCCATCAAAAATGAAAAGAACGAAATTGAGCAAATAGGAGACCCCAAAAAGAAGAAAAGAAAGCAGTAAATGTCGATGAATGATGAAAACGGATTGATGCTTGAGGCTTCTAAAGGTTTTTTTTTTAAAGTGTAAAAGGTAGAACTTTTACCGAAAACACGTGAGAATGAGAAGCGCCGGGATGAGAGCGATCGCGCTGATCACTAATGGGATAATTCCGGCAAGCACTTTGATTCTTGCTGACTAAATTTGTGTTTCTTGCTGACATCTAAGTGTTTTACTTGAAAGTTAAAGCTTTTAAGAGATTTTCTGGTGGTATTTTAAGAAATCTTTTAATCTAAACACTCTAAAGATGTGTGCTGAGCTTTGTTGATGCTGTAAATCCGAATGATAAACATCATCTAAAGACAAACATCTAAAGATTACAATAAATCTTGTAATCTTTAGATTTTAGATTTTTTTGAAGTTTAAAAGGTAGAAGTTTTAGCGAAAACAAAGCCACTTTACCACTTCACGATATCACGTATGGTGATATGGTCAAGTGGTAAAGTGGCTTTGTTTCGATTCTCCCCACCTCATCATCGATTCGACATCCCACATAATCAGTCCATTCTTGACCCGTCTCTGCCCTCATCGCCCAACCACTTGGCGTGCATTGCTTTACAGCGACTATAAAATGATTTCATTTTACCAATTTGCAAAAAACTCTTCTAATCGATTGATGCTTTTTTTTCCCCCTTTTGCACAAAATCAAAAGCCCCTCGTGACTTCCGGCTGGGCAAACGTGTGTGAATGGCAACTCAGTCGGCGGATGAGAAAGGGGACTCTATTTTCGTCACTTTACCTATGTTTTCCCGGTCTCTCTCATTTGTGCAGTTTGTGTGGCTCTATCTCAATGCATGGGCGTCTTTTCTTTTCGTGGAAATTCGATCCCTTCAACTCAGGGGTCCAAGAGTTTCAGCTCACTCCCATCTCTTGCCATCTCTTGCCCACCAACCCCCCTTCTACCCTCCCGCCTTTTTCACTGTACATACATCTGAAATAGAGAAAAAGATGTGCCCCCCTCTCTGAAAGTAATTTACATTTACTCTCGTTTTGTTATTTTTTTTTTTCGATGGGTAAGGAGAACGACTCTGTTTCTCTCTCTCTTCTCTCTCTCTCCCCTTGATGGAATCAATTCCATCTCTCGTTTCCATCCACCATCCATTATGTCTACGTGTTCTCAATCACGAAACACCATTAACTGAAAAATATTGAAAAATGTGGAGATCCCGTTGCCATTAGACCTTGTTTTTGAAATGCGAGTGGATTCAAAAAGATTAATGTCTAACAATTTTTCGTTTCCTGGTTTAAAATTGAAAATTTTTTTAAATCTTCGTTTAAATCATTAATTTGATTAATAGAAGTCTTGCAAAAATGAAAAAAATAAAATAATTTCTCATGCATTGGATGAAGGATTGGTCTTGGCGGATGGAGGATTGGTCAACGTGGGATGGATTGGTTTTGGCGTCCGCTGGTAATGCAATCACCGTCGTGCGGACACCCCCCGAACAAACTAGCCCAATTTTTGCAGCACCTCTGTTTTACAAGACTCAGCCGTGTGTTTTGCTTGGCGAATTTCGAATAATCCAAACTCACTAAGTCCTTCATAGCTCTCAAACTGAGTCTTCTGATTTCCATAAATATAGGTCGGGCATCGGCCCTCGATTGTGCCAGGCTGTGAATCGCCAAAGCACTGCCAGCCGTCCCAAGTGCCCGGGCAAGCTTAATACATTGATTTCACCAAGTAAGTGAAGGAAAAATCTACCGATATTTGGTGCTCGACTTTGCTGTGTCTTTTGGCAGCAATCCCACGCAGCCTCGCAACATTGTTTCGTGAAGAATGGAAAGAAATCGGGTAATGGCGGTTTCAAGCGGAGTTCTTCCAAAGGTGTCACCGCTGATCTGAAAGAAATCTCTTATTTAGAAGTTAATTGGTGAATTGAACTGAATTTACCTAACGTTTACGATTAGATAAACTGGTGGGGATAACAGAAAAGTACCATTTTTTTTTATTTACATTACTCTCATCTGTGCTTGTTTTGTGTGAGTGAGAAAAGGTGAGGATCCCCACCGCCTATCAGGGACCAATCTCAGTTTTTGATGGCAGCTGCCGAGAGCCTCAAAAACTGGGCACGTATGATGGATGGGGATAGTTGCGAATCGAGTTTTTCTTTCTTTCTTTAAATCAAAAAGCAAGCTAAAAGTCCTACCGGAACACCAGTGATCCTTTTCCAGATCTCTTTCATTTCATTCTTTCATTTCAAAAAGTTCATTGAACTTTTTTTCCCCCAGATCATCGCCTTTTTCCCCCGTGTCATCGGAATCATCATCATCGTCTTCGATTTTAGTGTACCAGGTCACGAAAGTTCAAAGTACGTTGAAACTTGTGCGTGCTCAACATGTGTTTGGTAGGAAAATTTGCGATCTGGCACACGGGGTCTCCATATAGTCAGGAATCGACGAACCTTTCTGGTTCAATTACCCAAGGCCAGAAATAAGCGACTCTTTTTTGTATTTGTCAACAAAAGCTTTTTGCAAGAATTTCCGAAAATGAACTAGTTGAACCAAATTTCTTTAGATAAAATAGCCCAGCTGCTGATGAAACGATAGCCACTAGCCAGGATGGCCCAAGTTGCCAACCACAGATGAGCGCCTGTTGACAGCCCAATGACACACACAAAGCCCTTTCATAGATGAGAAAAGAAACGCTCTGTCGCCTTTTTTCAGCACCTAGTCCCCCCACACATTCTATTCAATTTGGTCAAATCCTCGACAAAGTTTACTTCAACTCTTTGAAAGTAAAGAGAAACACACAAGAGAACCCTAATTTTGACTTTTTTCTCCACTTTTTTCAGCTTTTTAAAATTGTCACGATAAAATTGAAAATAGGGAGAAACATCCGGACTGGACTCTACACTATTTTCCTTTAATTTGTTTTTCTCTCAGCCTTTTCGCGGAAACATTTAAGGTATAGAAGGTGAGATTTGGGTGTGGATGGAGAAAAAAAAAACACTAGGCAAGCTCATTGCTTATTCTCAACTCGTTGGAGACAACGATGTGCCCCAAGCAATGATGCATACAGTAGGAGGAGGCAAGGAATCTTTCAAAGAGCGCTTGAGAGAGAATCTTTTCTTGAGTAAACTTTCAGCGAACTCGAATCTTTCCCTGAGGAGACGGAGAAAATAGAAGGCGGGTCAGCAAAGATTTCTGGGAGAGAGAAGAAAGGACTGAAAATACTTCGAGCAATCATATTTTGTGTGAGTAAAGGAGGGGAGAACAAAACTTTCGCCCTTTCGTTTTCTCCCTTCCCTTCAATTCAAATGTTGCCAAAAAGTGTGCCTAAAGTGCCCCTCAGGACGCGTCGAGGCATGGAAAATCGCTCTCTAGAAAGGGGAGAAAAGAATTCCACAGCACAAATCTTTTTATTCCATTTTTTTTCTCACTCAATTAATCACACTATTTCTAGGTGAAAAGCTGCTATCAATTTGTGGAAAGATGGGAATTAGGAGGATGGGGAAATCACTTAAAAAAAATACCCCGAATCCTTGTAGTCGAATGGAAAACGTGGGCCTCATTATTGAAATTGGCTATTGAAATTTCTTGTTTTCGTTGATTTCTTTCGACTTTTCTTATGGCTTAGTTGTTAGGAAAAAAGAGAGGAGATCTCGTAATTTTAGAAATTAAAACGATGAAGAGAGAGAGAGGAGATTCAATTCTCGAAAATTGCATTTAATGGATAATGTTGCGAGTTTTTTCTTTTCCAGATCCCCTCGAAAATGAGAGAAAAGGTCTTGAACTACAAAAATAACCACTACGAATAGTGCTTTTATTTTGGTATTCACATTTTTTTGAGTGAAAAGTCTTGTGATTTCATTTTAAAAGCCAAAAAGCCTTTCAGCGAGCATTGAAATTCGATCGGCATTGTTTCAAAAAGCCTTTCCTTGACAAGAAAAAGAAAAAAAGAGGGACGCTGATTTTTCTTCCAAATAACAGAATTTGATTTTTGCTTATTACAAGAAATTCTCAATCGAAGGAAAGGAAGACGATTGGTTGACTCATTCATGTGCACATGATCGTCTCTTTTCATTGTTGTTAATGCAAAAAAAAACCCCTTCAAAATCGATTTGTCTTGCCGTTGAATACATCGACAAAAAAGTCTTGAGAAATTTGTCCGTTTGTTTTGGAGGGGGAAACAAATCATCCATTACAATCAATCTCAGGGTTACAATTTGGCATTAATAACTAGAAAATCTCATTTATGAAGGAAAAACGGTCAGAAAAAAAAACCCCCCCAAATGTTTAAACAGCGTACTTTTTAAATGCAAAAGCAATGCTTCCGATTTTTTGAAAAAGGATAAAACTAAATTCTAAGTTTAAGAGAAAAAATGTATAGATGTGCTTGGAATGCATGGAAGTAGAGAAAAGACAATTCTTTTTGAAAGAGACACAAAGTCATTCGTGTCAAAAATAACGCCTAGATGAGAAGGCTTAAATTTCTCTGAGCTGTTCGAGCTCTTTTATAGTTCCTTTATAGTTCCTATTTAGTTCTTTTAAAGCTCCTTTATAGTTCCTTTAAAGCTCCTTTAAAGCTCCTTTAAAGCTCCTTTAAAGCTCCTTTATAGTTCCTTTATAGTTCCTTTATAGTTCCTTTATAGTTGTTTGAACTATAAATTTGGATTAAACAAAAAGTTTGGGGAGATTAGTTTAAGAAGAGATTTTTGAATGAGAAACTTTGTTCAAAGAGTTCTCACCGATTGAGCGCAAACTCGGGTACGTTGAAGACGCGGCTTGGGTTTGAGCACGTGCATAGATGGGGCTCATCGTCACGAGACGGGCAAATGAGGAGACCATTCGGGCAGAGTTGAGTATGAAGAATGGCGCTGAAGGGTAGAGTGATTAAATAGATGAATGAAAGACATTGGGCACAGGCGGTCGATCGAAACGCCTCAGCGGAGAGCTGGGCGCCCATGTGGCGGCAAGCGAGCGATGTAAGCGCTTCCGACATGGCCCCAAGGCACCCTCGATTAACCTTTCCAACACTCTTGCTAGTTTTAACTAAAATTTTTCAATAGCTTAGTTGATTCATTGATGAATTTGTTATTTTCCAACGAAATTATGAAGAGAAACGAAAAGATTTTCTGGAGTCTATAACTAGAAATGTTCTAATGATTTTAAAAGTTGAATGAACAAAGCATGTTAGTTAATGGCAAAAGAATGTCTTTGTTAGTCAAAAATGATTTAAACTTTGGAAGATTATTGTTTGCGGTGAAATTAGGAAAAAATTGAAGCGCAAACTCTCAAGAGGTCGGAGATGGGAGGAGAGAGGGCGGGGCAAGAATGGGCGGTGCTCATTCCTTGTCCCTTTTCCTATTTTTTCTCATTTTACCCTCTCTCTCTAGGTAACTTCATGATGGTTTTGTTATAATATTTAAATTGTGAATTGTTAAAAATATACAGAGAGGCAAGAGTTAGGCTTTGGGTCAACATGTTGGGATTTTGAGGTGCTGAAAAGCCTACATTCGTTTCTTTAATTGGAAAAGAGTAACAACTATTAGCTAAAGTTTTCAAGAACTTTTGGCAAACATTTTGTAGGATCTTTTGATCTGGAAGTTATTGTATTCGGTTGGTGAATTGAATTGAAAACTGCGGGACTTTGAACTAAAATTTATTCAACATAAAACCATAAATTCATTCCAAATAATCTCCATTATTATTGACGACTTCTGTCCATTTTACAGGCAATTTGCGGATTTCACTAAAGAAGTAAAGCAAAACGCGGTGAGTTTCACAAGTGGGATATAGGGAATCTGACTGGGAGTGAGTCCGGCTTCGGTGAGCCCTAAAACTTGTTGTTGAGGGTGTAAGCAGATTCGCTTATCGATAAGATTCGTGCTAATTCAATTGTTGGCTATTCTACCGTAGCACTTTTGTCTACTGTTAAATAATTATAATATATTGGGTTGGTGAATTGAAAGCTGCCAGACTTTGAACTAAAATTTATTCAACATAAAACTATGAATTCATTCCAAATAATTTCCATTATTATTGACGACTTCTGCCCATTTTACAGGCAATTTGCGGATTCTTCTTTCGGATTTTGGATTCTAGTAGGATTTTGGTTTGTGTGTGATACAAGTGTGAGACTCAAAAATGGAGGACTGGAGATGTCGAGATGTCTCAGTTTGAGCACTTTCTTCAAAAGAAACCCATTTTGGTGTTAATAGAAAAGTTGTAGAGAATCAAAAATGAGGCTTATAGCCAAATTTCCAAAAAGATACACGTAGTAGTTTCGCTTAAAATGCAAGTTTTGTGAAAATTCATAAATTTGGCATTTCTTGAAAACCAGTTTTTGAATCGCTCTGAAAATTTGGATATAATCTTGATTTTTGATTCTCTACAACTTTTCCATTGACACCAAAATGGGTTTCTTTTGAAGAAAGTGCTCAAACTGTCACATATGACAATAGCCGGCAGTTTTCAATTCACCAACCCAATATTACTGTATTGTACTTATTCATCACAGCCAAGCCGGTTAGTTATCCTTTTTAGCCGTTGCTTTCATTCTTTTATTTCTCTTTCATTTCTCTGTTCTTTTTCATAAATATCTTTGTCATTAATATTCAAAAAAATGCGACAGAATTTATTTGCAAAGCTCTAAATATTTTATTGTACACAATGTTTTGGAATAAATCCAGGCTCCATGAATCGAAAGACGGAATCCAATGGTTTCCCCTTGTACCAATAGTCGTCAAGCTGAATTGAAATCATAAATTCTATTATATTATTCTATTATATTATATCAAATTATTATATCATAAACTCTATTATATCAAATTCTAAAGTACCTCTTCAACAATTTTCACTTTATCTCCACGAGTAACACTGAGATGTCCAGGTTCATGAGAAGCGTAGTCGCTGATCACTGTCATTTCTCGTTCAACGAATCCACTCATCGATTTTCGATTATCGCTTGAATCCTGAAAAGTTTACAGAATTTTAAAATAGTTTTGTTTAGAGTTTTGTTTTGTTTGGTTATATTTCCTAAATGGTGGATTTGTTTGATCTTTCTGCCATTCAAAACTCCAAACTTGACTCGATTTTTTTGGTAAAAATAGTGGGTAAAAACAGTGAGGCACACATTGGCAAATTCGGGCACACATTGGCAAATTTGTCTGTGTGTTTGAGCAGCCAACAACAGCTGATGAACGTGCTCTTGCCGTGAAGGCCCCACATCGAATGGCATAACGGAGTCCCAATTCTGGCATAACGGAGTCCCAATTCAAAAAACAAATAGCCATTCTACGAGTTTCTACAAGCGTTTATGCTCTATAAGCTTACACTCATGTTTACACTCAAATTCTGTTCCTCAAACCTGCAAGAATGTTGTAGGAATCATTCCAGTTTGACCGCGAAGTCTTCCTTTGATCCAATTCGAGTCCAACCTTGATTCATTTGAAATCTGTTTTAGTTTTTAGTTTCCTTACCTTTCAACAACTTCAACGACGTCACCAGCTCGACAAACTAGATCTTCAGCCATCTGCAATTGTTTACAAATTCTATTTTTCATCAAGCTTCTAATATTGGTTGTTGATGCTCCAGTTTTTTCAAACCAACCCCGGTATTGTAATCATAAGCCACGGTAACGGTTTCCTTGCTTGGCGAACTTTTCATCGGTGATCTCAAAGGTTTTGAAATCGAGGTTAAACTCTGAATTTTCAGACATTTTCGTTTGAAAATCGAGTTTTTTCAACCTGACTATCCACGAAATTTGCCGGAAAGATCCCTGTTGCAGAGCCGATTCGTCCTCGAAGCCATTGCTCATCCACCCATTCAACAATATCAATCAAGTCACCGGCTCGGAACTAAAAAGGAATTGATTTCTTTGTTTATCATTTTAAACTTACTTGTAAATCACCATCAACACCCGTTGTGTAATCATATAAAGCTGTCGTTACGTTGGCACCTTTCTGTAAGCTTTTTTTTATTGATTTCGGAGAAAGTTAGTCGATAACTTTCTTCTAGTTTTCAAGAGAAGATTCAGGCTTATCAAATGACCATAATAGTTTAGTTTATTTTTGAGTTTTCACCAAATTTCCAATAAAACTACGCAACTGTACACTTTTACCGTTGTAAAACTCAGCCATGTTAACTCCGCCGCTTTTTCAGTCGATTTTGCCGTTGGCAATCTACGAATTTTGCTCGTATCTAGCCGGATTTGTTTGAAAAACGTTGCTTTTGCTTTCATTCGACTCGAAATCAAATTTTCGATCGAATTAAGCAAAAGCAACGTTTTTCAAACGAGTAAAATTCGTAGATTGACAACGGCAAACTAGTTAAAACTAGCGCAGATCAAGAACACCGCCGGTGACTCGAACCCTCAACCTTTCGCTTATCGGGTAAATGTGCTAACCATTTTACACCAAAACGCACTTAATCTCCCTTCCCCGAGAGGGAGTTAAATAAAAGGTAAAAAAGGGGGAAGTTGCTTGATTAAACGAATCCTTGCTTGCTTGCTTAATCCTTGCTTAAACGAAGACCTTGTTTCAAACCTGAGTTGGCACAAGAGGCACTTTAACATCAAGATAAGATAAGGGCATGATTCCATGTTGACCCGTTCGTGTATTCATTCCTAAAAACAGCTCATTGATTCTAGTTTTCCTCGATTGTTCACCATAAATCCATTGATCGTCGACCTCTCTCTTTAAAAGAACTTTATCACCAGCGTCACAAGAAAGCTCATCAAATTGTGACCCAGTGAATGGATAGAGCACTACCGCATAAGGATCCTGAATAAACTTGACTCATAAAAAGCCAAAAAATGACTCACATTAGTCGGTGAGATTTGCCCTCGATTTGCTGGTGGAGGACGTGCTGGTGCTAAAATTTTATTTTAAATTTTATTTTAAAAGCTATCTCTTATTCCTCACTTTTTGGGGGATTTCCAGGAATTTGCTTTAGTTTTTCTTTAGCAATCGTAACTTTATGCAAATCATGACTGAGAGAAAGGCTTGATGAAAGAGGACGAGCTGGTACGACTGGTTTAGTTGATGGGGTTTCAAGTGAATCTCCCAAATGACTGAATGTTTTTCGTCTTGGAATAACTGGTATAAATGGACCACCGCCAGGTGTGGCCAAGTTGTGAATAACGGGCATTCCATGCAATGGGGTTTTCATTTGATTTCCATATCTCAAAGGTGTCGTCGCTAGTTCGATCGACGTCCAATCATCGATCACTTTTCTCTCTTCACTCATTTGAAACAATGGATTTTCGATGGAGAATTCCGTCGGCCTTGCCGGATTCACTTGCACCGGCAAATAGGATTCCTGTCGTTCATCCAAATCTCCGTCAATCACAGCCAAATTCGTGCTCGAGTTTGGTCGAGTGCCGATCGGAGTGGTGGCAATGATTGCTGGGTTGCTCAGCTTGCAACCTGGATCTTCAGTGAATGCAAAATGAGGCTTCGATGGTCGCGGGGGAGCAATCGAGTGCGCATGATAAGTTTCTTTAGCTTCAGTACAGCAGAAAATACGCTCCAAGAGTTCCATAGTGAGATAGCAAGTATTAAATGAAAGCCAATATTACGCCAATTTTGAAAGCAAATGAAAGTCAATATTACGAATGATTGTGGAATTTCGAAACAAGCAATGAGTCAGATAGGATTAGATGGAAAAGTGTAGAATAAAAGAATGCCAGAATTGGAACTCCGTTATGCCATTCGATGTGGGGCCTTCACGGCAAGAGCACGTTCATCAGCTGCTGTTGGCTGCTCAAACACACAGACAAATTTGCCAATGTGTGCCCGAAAAGGACGTCCCTGTGCAGACAAAATAACGAAGAGAGTTTGAATGAAATCAAAAACGAATAGAATAAATGGCTGAAATCGATGAGCTGCCTGCCCTTTCCATGATTCTCCTCTACATTCTGTTTATCCAGCAAAAGTGCCCGTCGATACGTGGCCAATCTTCACCACAAAGACTTTTTTCATAAAAGATTTGCTTCAAAAACAAAAATGAAACAAACAAAACAATATTTTTGGGATTTAAAAGGACTAAATTGAAATTTGGAATTTGGATTTGGAATTGAAAGTTCTAGGGTTACTTACTGCTTTTCTTCGGGCTCAGTTGTAGTGATTTTAGTTCATCAGCGACACTTGGATAAACGAAAGGCTGAGTGGGGACAAATCCAGCACTCGAGAAACTACCGGAACTCTGAAAAACTTTAAAATTCTGTTATCAATTAGTTGCTTACCGCTTTTTGCTTGTATGTTGGAGCCGGAGGAGCTAAGGCAAATTCAGTAACCGTGTTATCGAATTCGGACTTTTTGGATTCAGTTTTAGAAAGTGTAGAAGCTAAAAAATTGATTTAAATGAACATTGCATAAATAATTTGATTTAAAATATTACAAGAAGTTGTGGCAGAGCCATGCCTAGGAACGGGAGGCGGCCGCTCGTTTGCCATACTCGGAGCAGTTCGAACGGCTTCGACTCCAGACTAAAAACACGTTTAACATCAATATAAAATATGTAAAGTTTATAATAAATAAAGAATTATAATAATAAATATAATATAATTTGATTTCATTTTTCAGTTATGATCTACCTGTTGGGCTTGCTGTTTCATTAAAGCCTCCATCACAAGTTGCCGTGTTTGAGGATCCTGAGCGGCTGATTTTGCCGCATTCCTGGAATCTTTTATGATTGATTTATAAAGAAGATAAAAATAGGAACCGTATTAGATCAAAATAGGAAGCGTATTGGAACCGTATTAGATCAAAACAAGAACCGTATTGGAACCGTATTGGAACCGTATTGGAACCGTATTGGAATCGTATTGGAACCGTATTGGAACCGTATTGGAACCATATTGGAATCGTATTGGAATCGTATTGGAACCGTATTGGAACCGTATTAGATCAAAATAAGAACCGTATTGGAACCGTATTGGAACCGTATTGGAATCATATTGGAATCGTATTGGAACCGTATTGGAACCGTATTAGATCAAAATAAGAACCGTATTGGAACCGTCTTGGAACCGTATTGGAACCGTATTGGAACCGTATTGGAATCGTATTGGAACCGTATTAGATCAAAATAGGAAGCGTATTGGAACCGTATCTTTTTGAAAGCTTGTAGAATTGAAAATAAAATAACAACCTGACTACAGGATTTTGTGAAGCAGAAACGGCCGCACTGCGCACCTCCGGCCGTTTCGAGGCTTCGAAGAGTGCTTTTGCTGCAGCAAATGAGGCATCTAAATTGTATTTAAACTAGATTTTATTTTTATAAAATATTTAAATGTATTTTCATTCAATTCAATCAATTCAATCAATCAATCACTCAATCATTCATTTTTTTTCTTCTTAATTTCTAACTGAACACATTTCAAACCTTTGTTCTTTAAAAACTCCATCGTTATTCATCAAAAAAAAAGCGATTTTTTTTTCACAAAATATAAGTATAAATAGAAATATAAGTATAAATAGAAATATAATTACAGAAAAACAACTAGATAGTCATTAAAATAATCCTTTTTTGTCTGAAAAAAGAGGGAGAAAGCTGTGTTTGACCCAGCCCAAAAGGTTTCTCTAGTGGATATCGATTTTCGTTTTTTCTCTTTCTTCTCCCATTGGCAATACGTCATTTTGCGCATGTCAATTGTTTTAAAAAAAGTTAGCTTAACCTTGCTCTATCAAATTTTTTAAAAAAACTTTGGTTTAAAAATTGTAAAAATTTTCAGAGTATGCTTAATTTCTTTGCTTTTACTTCAGTTTTTCTTTGCTGATTGAATGGAATGAAATAGGACAAAGAAGAACAAAAAAGAACAAAAAAAAAGAACAAAATAACAAATAAAAAACAAACAAAATAACGAGAAATACTAAAAAAGAATTGTTGCATAAGATTTGTTCAATTTTTTGTTCAATTGAAAAACTTACTTCCACCAGAGTTGCTATTTGTTGGTTGACTTTGTGATGGTTTTAAAGACGACGGCGGCGGTGGAATCGGCTTTTGGAAAACCATTTTTTCTGTAAATCCTTTTTCTGTAAATCAATTTTCTAAAGAATTATTATAGAAATCAGATATAATGTATAAAAGAATAAAAAAATATAAGTGAAGAAATATTCTCGAGGGAATCAAGGGGAAAAGAGAGCAAAAACAAATGCCCGCAAAAGTACAAAACACGGCTTATCAATACATTCGATCCTTCGATTTGTTTGTGACTCGGTTTTCTTTTCGTGACTCATTCAAGTCATCATCACAAATTTTATCATAGAATCTTATCATTAAAAAGAAAAAAAAATGCTTGCTGATTAGTTGAAAAGCAAAAAGCAAAAATTTGCGAAATGCAAGTGACATTGAACGAAAGAATCGATTGAACAAACACCCTAAAAAGAGCGATTTTCTTGCAAATTCGAAAGCGCTGAAAAAAAATGGATTGATGTTGATGAAAATACTTTAGCAATAAAAAGAAATCGCAAACTTTGCGCAATGATTCAATTCTTGTAAGTGAAGAAAAGTGTAGACTTTTGAGAAATTTCGCAAGAAAAAAAAGTGATGGCTCAAAGCACAAAAATGTTGGGCAGATTTTAAAAAATGAAAAGAAAGAAATGGGAAAAGGTTTCAAAGGAAGGAAAGGTGCTAAGTAAACATGATCGAGCGACCTCTTCAACCCCTTTCCCTTCCTCTTCTCCATTTGACTTTTCCCGTCTCTTTTGGCCTTAATAGACACAATATGAATAGTCAAAGTACATCGATATCTCGAGACATCAATTTACAATTTCAATTTCAATTTACTCAATTTCAATTTACCTGAAGCCAAAATTGAACGGTCTAAGTTTGGAGTTTTCTCAGAGCACTGATGTCTGCTCCATTAGCTAATGGAGCAGACAAACCTTAACCATCAGAACCATCAGACTTTCAAACCTTAACCATCAGAACCATCAGATTTTTGAAGTTTTAAAAAACGCCTTTTAATCAACATCTAAAATTGATTTATGTATGCTACGTCGGATTTTGAAAATTGTTTTTGAAATTGAAAATTCAGAAACAGACGTTCATTATTGAAGAGATTCAATAACGGATGTCCAATTCTGAATCCAATTCTGAATCCAATTCTGAATCCAATTCTGAATCCAATTCTGAATCCAATTCTGAATCCAATTCTGAATCCGTTTTTGAATCATCCAACCTACTTTAATGATTTTTTTTGTTTTTAATGATCTATCGTTTTTAGCAAGTATAATTTCAAATTCTATTCAAATTTAAATTTTCTAATTTAAATCCTAGCTAACTCCGCATTTCTATTTGACTTTTCTTTATTTAAATTTTTATAAGTTTTGCTTATATTTGTTTTTATTCATTTACATTTTCTTTTGTTTTTATTCATTTACTTTTGTTTATTGAGGAGCACGTGTGGCTGACTGGTTAAGTGTCTTTTATCTTAATCGGAAGGTCGAGGGTTCGAACCCCACATGCGACATGGTCACCCCCTTCGGATTTCCTTTCCCTTCGGGTTGAGAGGTTTTCTGGAGGGCAGTCTGGTGGTTGTGGCCCCAGTTCTTTAAAGTGACAAGCCACTCCTTCATCGTCATCTTCCCTTCACCACCAAAAAAGCTATTTAGTTCCCCATTGAGCTTAGGGTTAGGGAGCCGTCTGTCATGACGTGGGTTAAGTTAAGATATAGCCTAGTATTGTGTGTGTCGTTGTATTGTGATTGATATATTTCGTGTATGCGATAAATTCACCACTGGTAGCCCCAGTCGGTATTTTTTTTTATTGATGCTCAATAAACAAAAGAAAAAAAATACATTAGTTTCGAGGATTTCGTAATATAGTTTGGAAATTGTTGAAATATGGGTTGAACGATTCAAAAACAGACGTCTATTATTGAATAGATTCAATAACGGACGTAATATATACAAAAAGATGTTCGTCAAAAGAAAAAATTGAAAAGAAATGAAAAAAAAAAGAAAGAAATGATTGTTGTCGATGATTAGACTAAAAAGCGACGAAAATCAATTCTCATCAAGTGATGTTAAAAAGAAAATTTTTGAAAGTTTTTCTTATTATGACGTCATCTCTTTTATGTGACGGGTTTGTTTCTGAAGTACTTATGCATACATTCAATTGTTGCCGTTCTTAATTTGTTAACTTGTTTTGTTAACTTTTTTGTTTGTTTCTTTGTTTCTTTGTTTGTTTCTTTGTTTGTTTGTTTGTTTGTTTCTTTGTTTCTTTCTTTCTTTCTTTCTTTCTTTGTTTCTTTGTTTGTTAACTTGTTAGAACGTTCAACTTGTTCGAAAGCTAAAAGAAAGCTAAATCAATTAGAGAAATCATAGCAACTAGAGAATCAAGTAGAGAATCATAATAATTTTTTTGTTTTTCAAGTTTATTTCTGTACAAAGAATAGCTACAGCTTTAGGAATATTACTTTTTTTAAAATTGAAATATTTTAAGCTGTTCTGGGCTCGTAAAAGATCTCTTTATGTGGAAAGATGTGGACGGAACGGCGAAAACGGTTGCTTTACGTGGATATCTCCGATGTCGTCAACAACCATATACTGAGGGAAAATTGAAGCTTTATGATCATGACACTTGTATTTTTAATGACGAAAGCAACATTTTTAGTTAAATACTTTAGATTCTATGGACGAAAAGATGAGCGAGACCGTTTACCCAGATAAAGATGGTCATTTTTATATAAAGGTTTGAAGCCCTTTAATTTTTAATTAAGGTATTCAGTCTAGATTAGCAGGATTACGGTATTTAGTCTAGATTAAGGTATTCAGTCTAGAATAAGGTTTGAAGCCCCTCAATCAGTTGGTCACCATAGCCGACTGACTATGAGTTCTGTTTCTGAATCGGGAGGTCAAGGGTTCAATCCCGCCGGCTGGGTGATTGGTTTTTTATTCCTTTTCTACATTTAGGGCTTGCTTGTATACATTATTCGTGTGAATAAAAGTACTTTTTAAAGTTGATTTGCTTATTCTCTTCAAAAGTGCCAAAACTTTAGGGAACAGGTTATGAAGAAAGATTGAATCCACGTTTGTACATCTATCACAACTGTGGCTCGTTGTCGGTTTGTTTTTGTGTATGAAGAGAAAATGTCTTTCTTTTAGAAGTGGTGCTACTATAAAACATATTTCGCAATACCGCAAAGTCGTCTAGTTCATGGAGAATTCGTTACGGTTGGATAGAATCCGTTTTATCAATTGTAATTTTAGGAAAAAGACGTATTTTATTTGAACTATATCGAGCTGAGCAATGAGCAATCGCATATTGATTGTATAAATTGAAAGAAAAACGAAACTGTTTTTTTAAAATACATTTATTCACACGAATAATGTTTGATTTTAATTTTTTTTGATTATTTATCAACAAGACGAAACACAATAACCGATGGACATCGGTAGATAAAAAATACGAATAAATAAGAGGAGCTCTCGATGTGGTTACTTTAGCTGAAACATTAGTCTTATCATCTCTTTGAGTTGACACTAAACACTGCTGCAAGTTGATTTGCAATGTTTGATTTTAATTTTTTGATTATTTCTCAACAAGACGAAACACAATAGCCGATGGACATCGGTTATTGAACCAATACGGTCCCAATACGGTTCTTTTTTTGATCTAATACGGTTCTTTTTTTGATCTAATACGGTTCCAATACGGTTCCAATATGGTTCCAATACGGTTCTTTTTTTATCTAATACGGTTCTTTTTTTGATCTAATACGGTTCCAATACGGTTCCAATATTGTTCCAATACGGTTCTTTTTTGATCTAATACGGTTCCAATACGGTTCCAATACGGTTCCAATTCCAAATTTATTTCGATTTCTTTAATAATTTTTTCTTATTTAGTCTTTACTTATTCTTATTTCTTAGTAATAAGAATTTAAGTTAACTATTAAGAATAAGTAAAGACTAAATAAGAAAAAATTATTAAAGAAATCGAAATAAAAATGAAAGTAATGATTTTTATTGACTCTTTAATTGAGAGCCTGTTATAACGTGTAAACCTTCAAAGCGTGTTAGATTAAAAAAACCAAAAGAAATTGACCAATGAGGGAATCAAATAGAGTGTGTTCCTCGCGAGTAAGTAATTACTCGAGTAAATTTGCACGAGCAATCTTTTACTCGAGTAATAGCTCGAGTAATGCGTTTTCTAAAAAGTGCGCGTGCGCGAAAAAAATATAAAAGCAATTTTTTCCAAAAAAAACCGGGAGTGGACAAATGCGACCTTTTTTTTGCGCACCCGGCCATTTGCGCCTTTTTCCGCACCCGCCCATTAGCGCCCTTTTTCGCGTTTAAAAGGCTAAAAGCTAATATTAACCAATTTCTATTCCAAAAGTTGTTTTTCTAGGTAATTTTAGGGCGTAGAATCGAAATTTTGACATATCAGAGCTTGTGGAAGCGAACGGACGGAGTTATACAAAGAGAAAAATCGACCATTTTCTGTAATTTGACCTACCCGTTTTGTCTTTCAAATTGATTCCACACGCTCTGTTATGTCAAAATTTCGATTCTACACCCTCAAATTACCTAGAAAAACAACTTTTGGAATAGAAATTGGTTAATATAGCTTTTTTTTAAAACGCGAAAAAGGGTGCGCTATGGGCCAGGTGCGGAAAAAAGGTGCGCAAGGCCGGGCGCCCAAAAAGGTCGCATTTGTCCCACTCCCAAAAAACCATTTTTTTACATTGGAAGGGAATTTCCCACTAAATCAGTTAAACGGCTGAGTATCTTGAAAAAGTGGCGTATATAATGCGGGGCTCGTGATTTTTGGGGGGTGGGACAAATGCGACCTTTTTTTGCTGGAAAAGCCCTTAGAGCTTCAAAAATGTTTTCATAGAAGGGAATTGTATGCGTAGATTCCGAATTTCGACAAATCAGACTTCGCTGACACGTCAAATTTGGGCTAAAAGGCAAAAACTACGCAACTTAACGCTTTTCCGCAGTTTTTGACTTATAGCCCAATTTTGACGTGTCAGCGAGGTCTGATTTGTCGAAATTCGGAATCTACGCATATGATTCCCTTATATGGAGATAGTTTCGAAGCTCTACGGCCTTGCCTAAGGCCTTTTCCAGCAAAAAAAAGGTGCGCAAATGTCCAGGTGCGCAAAAAAAGGTCGCATTTGTCCCACCCCCGATTTTTGCTATTTATCGAATTAACCAAAATATTTGACTTTTTGATCAACGGAAAACTTTCAGTTGAACAAAAAGTTCAACTTAACATGATCAAGTTGCTTGCTGAACAAAAGAAGCTGTTATATTTATTGATGCAATCTTTTAAGATGAGAATAAGCAGGAGCTTTACAGATGAATTCCCCGTATTCTCGATTTGAATCGGGAGCGCCATTGGGTAGAAACCATTGTCCCTCAAAGCAACTTCCACATTTGTTAGGATGAGCCGCCATCTGGGTACTTCTTTAGTATCTTTAGCCTTTAACTTCTTTTGTCTCTTTGGTCTTCTTTAGTATAACGATTTTGTCAAACTTCTACCCACAATTTAAACACTTTTTGTGTGATATATTTTGAAAAACTCAAACTATTTGAATTTACAAACCCTAAGCTACCAATTAGGCTTGTGTCTTTTCGTTTCTTTTTTTACTTTCGTTTAAAACCAACTACACCAATTGAACTACAGTTTGTTTCATCAGAAAGCCAATTTCTGCAAAATCACATTAAAACAGCTTTAAAATGTCTTATGTCTGGATTTTTCAACTTCAGATAACGTTTCTGTATAAAGTTGGAACTAGGATAGATCAAAAAACTCGTGCACCGACTCGAACCCGAGATCTTTCGCTTACGAAGCAACTGTGCTAACCATCACACCAAAAAGCACTGGATGTCCCTTACTCCAGAGAGAGTTAACTAGAGTGTGTTCCTCTCGACTAACGCTTTTTCTAAAATGCACCTACTTGAGAAAACTACCGTAATCAAACTGCCAATTTATACCCGATCAGCTCAATTTTGGTATCAGATGAGGAATCAGATGAGGAATCAGAAGGCTCATTCAATGATATAAAAATTGGATTGGTCTGATGAAAACTAACGGTTTGACTACGATACTTTTCTCAAATAGATGCATTTTAGAAAACGCCTTTGTCGAGAGGAACACACTCTAAAGTTGACTATAATATGTCTTCAAATCCGAATACTCATTTTCCTTTTGGGTGAGATAAAAGAATGACTAGAGCCATAAAACTGAATGCTCACCACAATCGTGCTTTCCGAGGCTCCGAAAAGATCGCAAGTCTGATGCATGAAATCTGGTGCTGAACCATCAATCCAGTAGCTTATCCCCTTTTCTAAATATTTTGGCTTTATGGTTAATATGGCTAATATCCAAACTGAATCCACTGTAGACTCCACCAAGCAGCACCTCTCCCAATTGGAAACCATCTTGCGTTTGGCCACAACTTGGATTCCATACCATATCTATTCAGTTTTATTATTTATTACGAGAACAAATGTCATCGAATACCTTGAATGAATTGATTCTCACTGTCTGAATGAATAGATGCCAGATTTCCGCCAAAAGCCTCACAGAAAACTTCGGCGTCCCAGAAAGACATACTGCTCATTTCATGCTAGAATTTGATGATTTCGTGTTCTTTCGAGGTGTACTTTGTACTCAGCAATGAGCACAAAGTACCTCTAGTGAACTTAATTAAACACTTTTCTTGAAAACTGATCAATTTACCGTATTTCTTCGAATAGAAGACCGGGTAAAGAGTATCATCGCGTACTCCTGCGTAGCAGCCCTTTTTAAAATTTCTTTTCTGCATAAAAGCTTTCAATGAAGTGCTATAGGGCTGGAAAATGGCTCAAAAATCTGTTAGCTCATGTGGTATTTTTGAGTCATTTTCCAGCCCTATAGCACTTCATTGAAAGCTTTTATGCAGAAAAGAAATTTTAAAAAGGGCTGCTACGCAGGGGTACGCGATGATACTCTTTACCCGATCTTCTATTCGAAGAAATACGGTAGCAAGTGTGTTTAGCACTTTATGAGCAAAATATACAACAGAAAGTACCCTTCAATAAGCACAAACCCAATAGCATGCATTCGTCAAGCTCAAATACTGCCAACCAGTTGGGCATTGGGAATCTAATTGAAAATTGCTCCAAAGAAATAATATTAGAAACTTACGTGAAATAGCCGCCGTTTTACACACATAATCTGGATATGGGACGGAGTTGTTAATCGAGTATCGACCAATTCTCCAATTTCCACCACCACACTTCTCCTCATCTTGTGGACAGCTATTCATTGGGAAAGCTCGCAACTATATTTTGATGATTTTTTAAGTTAAATCGATCTAACTAAGATCGTGTTCTGATCAGTGCCCTCGTTTTGACAAACGCTGTGGGTGTAGTCGGCTGGTGATCCGTCACTCCACCAAGTAGTTCTATTCCCTAAAAGATTAAAGATTAGATTAATACAACAAAATGTTAGGTTTTATAAACGGTTCCGAAAAAAGTACTTCTTTAATATTTGGGTAACGATTTTGCCAAATTTCAATCTACAATTTAAACACTTTTTTTGTGAGAGTTTGTTCATTTGTTTGGTTTGTTGGTTTTTCTTTACGAAAAGGAACAAAAAAGATTTTTTGGACAGCCTAAGCTATTTAATAATGCTTTAAAGTCAAACTTGAATAAGTTTAAGATAACTGAATCAAGGAGTATTCAGGGCATGAAATAAAGTGCGCAAGATTTAAGATTAATACACATGAATTCATATACACATAAACACGAAAAGGACCGATAAAAAGCAACACGATATAATGTATGGATAGCACAGATAATATCAAGAATCCACTAAAGCTTCAAGATCAAGGTCATTTACAGATAATTTAAAAGTTTCGAGACTATTTGACTCTCTCAAAACTCTAGGGAATCGATTCCAAATTCTGGCAGTTTTTTATTGGAAAAGAGTTATACACAAACTTATTGGAGGTGATTGGAATTTCTAAAATGAAAGAAAATGAAAGAAAATAGTAGTGCCGAGTTGATGACGATTTTACGGTTACTAAGTTTTCGCAGAAGCTCAGCACTCTAATCCCCCACTAGATCTCATCGTCAGCTACATTTTCCAACCCCCACATCGATAGGTTCTGATAAGCGGTTTTCGAGATTTCGAGTAATTTAGGCAACGCTCAGGGTGCACTACTATTAGAAAGGATACGGTAACCGTAGGAATAACTTTTTTGTTACAAAGGTTGACAAAATCGTTACCCCTTCCGATTAAAGAAGTACTAAAAAGTTCACAAAAAAATAACTCACTTGACTGATCAAATGTTCCACCAAGTAGTGTCGTGCCACTAATCCAAGTATTAACATAAGCACATTGCGTAGACCATGTCAAATCTGCAAAGACTTTTACGGCAACTTGTCTTGCAACTGACTTTTAATAAAATCGTTTTCCGCATCACTGTGCACTGAAGCAAGATGTCCTCCCGACGATCGGCACACTTTTTCCGCTTCCAGAAACGTCGCGTTTTGCCCATGCTGCAAATAGTGTTCAATTTTGCAAGCAACCTACCGTAAATACTATAATAGTACCCCACCCCCATAATGACGGTGCGGAGTGTTGCGTAATCTAGCTTTGAACGAGTTTTTCTCGACACTGGTTTATGCTACAATGCGCGCTTAGGTATCAAAAAATAGCCCTGAATTTCAGCTATTTTTTGATACCAAAGACGCATTTTTTGAAAGCACGGGAGCTTTGAAAACAAATGAAATACTAAAAACTTTTGCGACTAGCGACTACGCGACTGTACGAGGGGGCTGGGGTATTATTACAGTATTTACGGTAAGTTATCTACTAATATTTTTTAAAGAGCTCAAAGCTGTGCATTCTCTCAAGCTGTTCGTTAGTAAATTCCAGTAAATTTACAGTATCCACTCACATAATAACACATTCCTGTGCCATTGAAAAAGTTCCAATTTCTCGGGCACGATGCAGCTGAATTAATTTTTTTTCAAAAGAACATTAACTTTTTGCAAACTCATCGAAACAGCGCAAATGTGACCCAAGTTTTGACTGCATGCAGCACCATGCCATTGGCCATCTATGCTTCTTATTGTAGAGCATAGATTCGAGCCAGGTTCTCCTAAGTTTCGAATTTTTTGACTTTGACTTTGACTATACCTGATGCCCATTTTTGATAATCGGCCGTCGAGCGATCAGTCCAGCTCCATGGGATCGATGTAGAGTTTCGAAAGAGTCCAATGTAAAGATCACTGGTCAAGGCAGCTAAATTGGAATTTGTTTGCCTAAGAAATTTTCAACCTTGTTGCAAATATGCCAGAACAATAGCATTCTGAAATATCGAATGAATGGAGAGCAGATGACCTCCCATCGAAACACAACTTGCTTCTGCTACTGTGAAATTTGAAGCTTAAAAAGAAAGGTGATCACGAAAAATGTTTCATTTGTGTTAAACCAGTTTGATCGATCATCAAGCAAGCATTCAATTCGCTCACAAAACTTGACCCGGATGGGCATTGTCCAAGAGTAGAGCCAAGAAAAATCACAAATAATAAGAATATTTTCATTTCGTGAACGCTTAAACCTTGGTACTTTGATATTTTGTGAACTAGCTAGACTCGATTCGCATTTTCCTTTTTTGATAAAACCGAAAGAAACAGGAGGAGAGGAATTTGTGGGAAAGAGATAAGAAAAGCATGTGGATAGGCTTTTTTTTACGGCTTTATATATTAGGCTGATGCAAAAGTCTTTTTCATTTTTTTCGTACTTCCGTTAGAAAGTAACAAATGCACCAATTGAACAACGGTTTATTGCATTCGAAAGGTCAATTATTTTTCTGCAAAATGACATTAAAACGAGTTTAAAATGTCTTATGTCTAGATTTTTTTGAGAGCCTGAAGTCGGGTAGTCAAAAAAGGCGACGGCTCGATGATGCATTTTAGACGCTTTAGCCAAGGAAACCAATCTTGATGTTAATAAATAAAAGATAGAGCACAAAAAGTTAGATATCTTTTCAGATTTTCAGAGAAATTGATTCAGCCAATTTCTTTATAGAGGTTTTTATAGATTTTTATGAAAAACCCGTTTTCACTCTCGAATTTGCTTGAAAGTGAACCCAAATTGACTTAAAAAGATGGGAAATTGAACAATAAACACTTTTCATTTAGAGCAAACCATAGGTTAATTGATGACTTTGTTATTTTTCAAAAGAAGTACGAAAAAAATGAAAAAGTCTTTTGCATCAACCTAATATATGCTTTATTCAGTTGAATAGCGACAAAACAAAATCACAATAATTACCCGGGACACCACTCAAAACATACCCAAAAGATAAATAGATACCTCAAGAAAGAATCACAGAGCAGTCAAATCAATTGCCGAAATTGCGACTTTAAATCTAGCCAAGGTGGGAATATCACGAACATGAGGGGGTAAAATGTGCCAGAATTTAATAACTCGATTAAAAAAGAAACTGTGGGGGCTTTTAGAGGGAACAGAAAGACTTTCAGAGGAAATGGAAGGTTGGTGTATGAGAAAAGGCCTTCTGGAGAGCCGAATTCAGCCGTAGAGAGCCGAATTCAGCTGTAGAGAGCCGAATTCAGCCGTAGAGAGCCGAATTCAGCCGTAGAGAGCCGAATTCAGCCGTAGAGAGCCGAATTCAGCCGTAGAGAGCCGAATTCAGCCGTAGAGAGCCGAATTCAGCCGTAGAGAGCCGAATTCAAAGAGGCCAGAGAAAAGGATGAATGCCTTTAACAAAAGCATTCCACTATATTCCATTAATCGATGATAAGGCGGCGTTGTTGTGAGAAAGTTTACTACAAGTGATCATGTCGTTTTTTTGAAAGAAAATCATATTTATTCACGTCAATCAGTAATGGGAATCTCAGAAATCACAAATTCATTTCTCAGTAGACGCTCGCGGAATGTGCGTGTTATTCACATAAAGCTCGTGTGCGACGCCGGTTTTCTTGCGGCCAGTTGAGATCGCTCTGATCACGCAAACTTGACGATTCAACTAGAAAATTTGTAAAGACTTTTAATGTTCTAACAAAAATACAATATTTACTACAAAAATAACTACAAATCAACTCAAAATATGTCTTTTTTTAGCTTAGCCTTAGCTCAAAAGTGTACCTCATTTACCTCAAAATGTGTCTCCGATCCGCCCTCCACAAATTCACCCTGAAATTCTATCGTTTTTAGTGAAAATGAAAATGTTTTAGTTACAGCTGTATCTATTTTCTTTCCATTTGCCCATACTTCCATTGTGTCTTTATCTGAAAGATTGTTTTTATTTAAAATGAAAATCTCCAAAGGATTTTACCTAAACAAATCCTTGTCTCTTGTCCAGAAACATTTGTCTCCCAAGTAAGCAATTTTCGCTTTTGCTCTTCACGAAATGTTTCATATTTCTAGAGATTCAATTGTTTTTTTGGTACTTTTCCAATATCGTGGGAGCGGAAGGATTATCGGGGGAGCGAAAGGAAAATCGGGGGAGCAAATTTTGCCCCCTCGAAAAATGCATTTCCGGGACTGTATTTTAACTGCAACGTTTTTTTTTTAAACTTTAACGACGTTGCGGTTCTCCGACATTTGTGCGTTCAAGGAATCGACGGCAATCGATTAGTTCGTCACCAAAGGAGTCATCCAGTCGTGGATTTGCAACTGTGGCGAATCGATGAAAGTCCGCTCAAAGGGAAAAGATCCATTTCGCTGGGTGTTAGATATTTAAGTCACTTTTGTGATCTAATATAAAGGTTGTGAGAATAACGGGTAATTCGCGGATTTTATGGCGGTAGTTTGTATAATATAGGACATATGTAGCGCTGCCAAAGTTAAATAAATAATAATAATGATAATGATTTGATCTGTCTTCGCACTTAGCGCAGATCACAACCTGCTTCCACATTTACTGAGGCAGAAGTGTAGTTGTCGTAGCCGATGATACTCCGATGGCCGGGCTGGGGCGCTCGGAGGGGAACCCATGGGAGTCGAACCCACGACCACCCGCGCCGACGTTGCTCAACTTGGCAGATCGGACGGGGTCGACCACAGACCCTTCCCTTTCTGGGCCCCCGCTGCCAAAGTTTTCTCCCTCAATTTTCCTTTCGCTTCCCCGATATTGGAAAAGTACCGTTTTTTTCAATCTTTTCCAATCAATACCTTTCCATTCACTTCTAAAGAATAATTGTATGCGAAAGTGCCCATTGCCTCGACAGTAACCTGGCATTTTGCATTGGCCACCTAAATGGATTGTGTCGCTTAAATTTACAAATCTTTAACTGGTTTTTACTTACTTTTTTCAAGATAAACAAGTTTTAATTAAAATTGTCAGCTCTTTTCTAGAAAAAAATTGAAAACGCATTCAAAGCTTACATTGAAATGCTCCTTGCCGACAAGTTTGAACATCCATTCTCGTTTTAAGATTTCCTAAAAAAAATTTACTATCAGTTATAAGTATATTATGATTTCGCAGTGAGTTTTAAAATCAAAATCTATCAAACATATCAGTAAACCAGCTCTGGTTGGAGCTGGTTCCATTTAGGTACAAATTTGGTTCCATTTGGGTACAGATTTGGTTCCATTTTGGAGAATTCAAAGAATTCACCTTTCCGTCAACACGAAGCACTCTTCGACCAGTCGTCGTACCGTGCTCGAATTCGATTACATGAATGTGATCTTGTAAAGGCACCGTCCAACGTGCCACTATATCACCGTCATTCTCCTGAATGTTTAGTTAAGAAATAAGTTATGATCAAGGTTGTTTTAAAAAGGCAATAGATCTGATTTTATATTCTCTTTAGCGGCTATTATCTTTGATCTATTTCAAAAACTCATCTCCTGCAAGTTTCTACGCATGAATTTCACTTTCACAGAAATATTTAAGTACTTCTTTAATTTATACGATGCGATACAAATAAGATATAAAAATATCAGCAGGTAAATGATTACGATAGCTAATTTAATCATATCTTACGAAATTCGAAGTGCTATTTTGAAGGTGAATTTTCAACAAAATGCTAGAGACTTTTTGAAATCTAGCTGAAATTCTGTCCTAACACAAATCTTTCATTTTGATCTTTTCAATCTTTTGAAATATTTTCAATTATCAAATTTCAAACAATAAACTCACCATATATACAAATTGTTCAACTACAAACGTTTGTTGCTGTCAGTGGCCAGCTTTTCTGGATTGTAATATGTACGGCTTTCCGAGGGTAACGAGAATGGAATTTAAAAGTGAAGCACACAAGAAATGTTTAGTCGGAAAAGAAAAAGAAAAGGGAACGAGAGGTGAGTGTTTATTTGATGAAATGAGCGAGGGAAATGAGGAGTTTAGAGAGGGTTTTCGGCCGGACTTTTCGCAGGTCGTCCCTGGCAACCTCGCCATGAATTAACACGCAATGAACGCTTTTCTTCAAATGGCCTTCAAAAGAAATCCCATAAATCACATTCGAATCCTCGAGCGCTTGGATCGAATTGAAAAACGGCTACAATTGACTTTAACAGTTGACGCTAAACTAGAAAATATTTGCTTAAAAAGTGACAACATTGAGATGTTTGAAATCTAGACAAATCACCCGACAAACACAAAGTTGTCCCATAAAAACCCAGAGATTTTTTGTTTTGATCAGTACTCGCTCACAACAAAACGTTTTGTATTTATCTCCTTTTCTTTTTCATGCTAAAATTTTCTTCCTTCTTGCCCTAACATACATTTTTTAGGGATCGAGACTTGCAGTCGATCGAATGAAGCCAACTCGAGAAGAAATCCACGCCCTACTGCTTCAACGATTTTCAAGAAGGAGTTCAGTGGTCAAAGCATCACGAAAAACAATCAATTTTATGACAACAGAATTGTTGGAACGAGTACTGCACAGAAATGTTTTCACAAATTCAAGCCGGGCAACACGAGAATCAAACGGAAGAGGGGAAGCGGCTGACCCCGGAAAGTGGATCGATCGATTCTGAGGCACCAACTCCTGCGAAACCCCGATGGATCAACCCGGAAATTGGACGTTACTGTGGACGAATGACTGTGTGGCGATGCCTGCGAAAAGTGGGAAGAAATTGGAGAAAACAACGCCAAATCTCATGCAAGCCATAAGAAAGCGGACATGTCACCATTTGTGGAGCGAATAGTGGCATGGTCGGCTTCCTCTTTCAAACATCATCACTCACGATCCAACGTGGGTTTTCTACGATGGTCGAGTGTTACAACGGCAGTGATTGAAGAAAGGGCAAGCATGTAAAATGCTGCCAAAACGGAACATTCAGGAAAAGAAGCGAATGTTGTGTGTCTACTGGTGTTCGACAAGCGTGCTCTATGGATTGCTCTATGGAAAAAAAATAGAATGGCCTCGTTTTCGTTCTTCAGGATGGCGCAAGCTCCCACAAATCAGAAAGATCAATTGATTTTGTGAAGAACAACCTACACTGGAATATCCTTCCTCATGCACTATATCCTCCAAATATTGCCCTTTCTGACTATCACTTGTTCTTATCGCTAAAGGATTTCTTACGTGGTAAAAAGTTCAAAGATGGGAGTGAACTCGAGAACGGATTGAATGACTATTTTCGCTCGCGCTTGCTTGGGTTTTACGAACGAGAGATTGCCAGAGACGAACGAGAGATTGCCAAGCTATTCAAACGTTGGAGGAAAGTTATAAATTCATCTGGAAAATATATCATTTGATTTCGATTCTTCGTTGTTTCTATGTGTTGAAAATAAATGAAATTTAAAATCTCGGAGTTTTTATGGGAGAACCTAATAGAATGAAATTTTTGTGCTTCTAAAGAAATATTTAGCAAGGATAGTTCAAGCTTGGCCTTACTAGCAAATCTCCTCTTTCTTACTTTAATTTGAAAAAATGAGTGCTCAAAATGTTTTGTCTGTTTATTTTCAGCGAGCTTTTCAAAAATTATCAAGTTTCAAATGGTTCAACTAAACATTTCCCAGCTTTTTGTTAATTTTTTTTACAATAGTTTCATTAACAATGAATCAATCATCAGATTTTATATCTAAAGAGATTAAAAAGAAGTTTTGTGCAGAAACGAGACAAATCGAGAGATGCTTGTTTCCGAAATTGAATCTGTTTGCGCTTTGGGGTGTGTGCTCGGCTTTGGTGTTTATTTGGGTTTGTGGCGGAGAGACAAGCGAAGAGATTTCTTGACTATCGACTAGGAACTAAACCCCCAGAAAACGACATCAATTACTTTTCATGAGCTTACCACTAATCACTCTATTACAATATTATGCCAGTTTTCTTCCTGTCAATTCGGATCTTGGAGGTTTTCGTTGAAGAATTCGCTAATATTTGAATCTTAGGAATGTTATGCAGACTGCCGAAAGATACAGGATTTCCTTGTGGTCGTCTCACTCCCTATAGTGCTTTTTATTTTGATCCAGATGAGGGAAAATGTCTTAGCTTTTTGTTTCAAGTAGTTTCTATGAAAAAATGAATCAAACTTTTTGAATCAAGGGCTGTGGCGGAAATCAAAATCGTTTTCTTAACAAACAAGAGTGTCAAGATGGATGCGGAGCTTTGAGTAAATTTCAATTTCTTTTGTTATTAATCTATTATCGATTATCTATTGTCTTGATATTATCTAGAGAATAATTTCAATTCTTCTCTAGATATTGATAGATATTATTCTCTCTAGATAGATATTATTCTCTCTAGATAGATATTGTTCTCTCTAGATAGATATTGTTCTCTCTAGATAGATATTGTTCTCTCTAGATAGATATTGTTCTCTCTAGATAGATATTATTCTTTCTAGATAGATATTATTCTTTCTAGATAGATATTATTCTCTCTAGATAGATATTATTCCTTCTAGATAGATATTGTTCTCTCTAGATAGATATTATTCTCTCTAGATAGATATTGTTCTCTCTAGATAGATATTATTCTCTAGAATTGTGCTAACAAAAGCTTTAGCTCGATGTGGAAAAGGTCTTCCATTGATGGATTTTGCTGGAAATTTGAAAAGATGTGATGGAGATAGAATACCGTGTCCAGGTTGTGAATAATTTGATTCTTTCACTCTTGATTTCTAGGATCGCATGAATGTCACGGTCTTGGAATGAGCTCAGTATGCTGTATAAAGCCAGGCAGAAAAATCGTACCACTATTATTGAAAATCATTTTCAGAACGCGTTTGCCATTTACCGGTAGAACGAGGGTCTCATTGTGGTGTAGTTGCAGATACCAGGTGGATATAAAGCTTTAAAAAATCCATAACTTTTTCAGATTTTATTTTGATGTTGATACAAATGCGTGTCGATCTTTTTCATACACGGGTTGTGGAGGAAACGACAATAACTTTAAGTCTAAAGGAGAGTGTATGCAGTATTGCTCGAATGAAGGTTTTTTTCTAGCTTATTTCATTAACAAGAAGATTTCTAGTCGCTTGTAAACGGGGTGATCCGTTGCCAGATCGTTACTCAATAGCTAAACAAATGATATGTGATGGTCGACAACCATGTCCAGCTAACTATACTTGTACGAAAGCTGTATCGGGAAACTCGGCATGCTGTCCGAGTAAAGGTACAGTACTGGACAATGAAATATGATATTTGAAAAAAGATCGTCACTTTCGCGCGTCTGTAACTCCCTTGTCTTTACCGTACTTTTAAATATTAATATTACCATTGTGTAGCCCTTGAAAAGAGCTTTCAGAAAATATATAACACTAATAGTTTAAACGCAAAGACAAGGGATTTTCAGACGCGCGAAAGTGACGATCTTTTTTCAAATATGGTATTTCATTGTCCAGTACTGTATTAAGCCCAGAAAGTCTTTTCATTTCGTTTCATACTTCCGTTAAAAAACAAATCCACCTGAAATTTACAGAAATGGTTTGCGGACAATCTTATGATCCTCGTGAACGCTGTCAGCGCCCATTAGACAACGATTTATGGACTTTTGAACACAAAAAGGGAAGATGCGAAAAAATACCGCATAAGGTAATTTACAATGAACTATTTGGTAAAAGAATTTAGGGTTGTGGAGAGCAATTGAATTCTTTTGCTAATATGGAACAATGTGTCGACTTTTGCATTGGTTTGTTTACACCGAAAAAGCACAAGCGTAATGATAACATTTTTGGTTTTTGCCCAGAGGGATTGGATGCGCATACAAATGCGGTCACCGGTCAACCGCAGCTTTGTGAAAGAGGAAGGCCGAATGCGTGTCCAGTAGGATATGAGTGTTTTCAAAGGTACCTAAAGATTACTGAATAAAGTTAGGTTAGCAAAAAGAATTATCTGCCGTAAATACTGTAATAGTACCCCAGCCCCCCTCGTACAGTCGCGTAGTCGCAAAAGTTTTTTAGTATTTCATTTTTTTCAAAGCGCCCGTACTTTCAAAAAATGCGTCTTTGGTATCAAAAAATAGCTGAAATTCAGGGCTATTTTTTTGATACCTAAGCGCGCATTGTAGCGTAAACCAGTGTCGAGAAAAACTCGTTCAAAGCTAGACTACGCAACACTCCGCACCGTCATTATGGGGGTGGGGTACTATTACAGTATTTACGGTATGTCTCAATGGCCATTAAAGGATTTTTTTTTTCAGTTCTCCATTTGCTGCAATTTGCTGTCGATCAAAACCGATTTGCCCTGCAGCTGAGTCGATTCTTCATATGGGCGGTTTGTGCTTGTCAGAAATGAATTTGAGTCTTGATTTGATTAAGCAGAAATGATTTTGATTATTTTGATTGTCATAAGTGAATTTGGTTCTTGTTTAGCTTTTGGCCCAGTGCGTTGCGAGGCTAGAAGAGCCGACAGTTGTGCGCCTGGATACACTTGTCAACAAGCTCCAAATAGAGTAAATATTCATCGGTTCAGTCCATTCAAGATCTCAAATTAGGAATTCGTTTGTTGCACTCCTTCTCTACAATGCCCAACTGGAATGGAGCCTTTGCGGGAAGATGGTCGACCCAGGTGTGCGAAATTTCTCTATTTTTTCATTTTTTAAAGTTTAGAATCTGTACCCCTCGAGTTACTGGCTCTTGTCCAGACGAGTACCTCTGTGTCATTGGTGATGGTCCGAACACAATTGGTAAGTGTTAAAACATAACCCTAGCAACATCGTCGATTGTATGTTTTCGTCCAAAAACCCTTTGCTGTCGACCCTCTCAGCGATGTGTTGCACCATATGTGGAACCAAGTTTGAAAAAGCCGAAAAAGTGTTTCCCAGGTGAAACCAACGAAAGCAATAAAACAAGAGGTTATAGGGGAAAACAAATGCCCGTCAGCGACTCATTGTTTACCGGTTGTAGAGATGCACGAGAGCATGCAAAAAGCAAATGGTCAGTCTTGTCGCATAGCTGCTTTACAAAGAAAACAGATTTGACATTCTATTGCTGCCACACACTTGATGTATTTTTGTGTTCTGATGGGAAGCCACCACTAGAGGATCAGCTCACAAAAAGGCCTGTCAGGTTTGTTTTCAAAGAGTTGAGCTTGTCTTGAAATGAAACCGATTCATTGATCACTAAATAATACCTAAAGGGATCAGAACTATTGGGTTGCCCATTTATGAATGCGCGTTTTTTACTATTTTGTAAATTTCTCAAGATACCGAAATCAAGAAAAAGATATATATGAGTATTATTCGAAAGCTGAAGCTCTCCTCTACATTTTGATATAAAAAGTTTTTGAATTTGTCCAGCTTTTGGGCAAATTGACTGCACAGAAGAGGAGGTGACCAAAAAATGGAAGGGTGCCTTTGGATCAAGTTTTGGCTCCGCTCAAATTGAGTTAACCGTTTGATGTTTGACCAATAGATATATCAACACAACTTTTTTTTTAAAATATAACAATTTCAGAGCATCTTTACTTTTCTTTTCTTTTCTGGGCGGTTATTTTACACCATAAAACTTGAAGAATAGCTAAGCTGGAATGGGTTTTTTCGAAAACGACCTCTCCCAAACGTCAATTTCCCTAAAAGTTGAATGAATTCAAAACTTTTTTATTCCAAAATGTAGAGGAGATCTTTAGCTTTCGAATGATATATAACACTCATATAATAGGTTGATGCATAAGTCTTTTTGTTCCTTTTCGTCTGCCGTTTCAAGCCAACAAATGCACCAATTAAACTACGGTTGATTTCATTAGAAAAACCAATTATTTTTCTGCAAAATAACATTAAAACGGGTTTAAAAATATTTAATGCCTGGATTTTCTTGAGAGTATGAAGTCGGGTAGTCAAAAAGGGCAAACTCGATGATGCGGTTTAGACACCTTAGCTAAAGAAAACCTATCTTCGTGTCAATAGATAAAAGATAGAGAAAAAAAACGTTTGATATTTCGCCAAAATTTCAGAGAAATTCATTCAGCCAATTTTTCCGTAGAGTTTTTTATAGATTTTTACGAAAAAGGCGTTTTTCACTCTCGAATTTGCTTGAAAGTGAACCGAAATTGATTTAAAAAGATGCAAATTGAACAAAAAAAAACACTTTTTTTATAGAGCAAACTATAGATTAATTGGTGAATTTGTTACTTTTTAACAGAAGTACGAAAAAAACGAAAAGACTTATGCATCAACCTAATACATCCATTCGATATCTTGAGAAATTTACAAAATAGTAAAAACGCGCATTCATAACTGGACAACTCAATAGTTACTCTTGTTTAATGATAAGAAATTCTTCAATATTTATCAGTTTTTAAATTTTCGAGACATTAAAAATGTTGGAATCATATTTCGGTTTTGATTCTTTTGAAAAAAAGTTCACATAAATTTGTGACAAATTGTACTCTACCTCCGTGCCACAGTTTCTACGGGAATTTCTAGACAAACATCAACTCAAAAGGCAATAATTTTGAAGAAAAAGCGACTAAACTTGTTAAAGTGTATGTATTTGAACTGTTTTTTTTTTCTTTTTTAACATTAGACGTACAAAACGAGCTTTAAACAGTGATCTATTGGTCTCCATATTGAAATATTGGTCTATTAGTAATATATATTGATCTCCATATTGAAATATAAGATGCGCCCGATCTCGAATCGATTCTCAACTTTGAGCTGAGACGATTCCCCTTAGCCATTTTCTTGTTAATTCTTTTATAGATGCCATCAATCTGATCCGATGGCGTGTCCAAAAGATTATTATTGTGATCAGTTGGCTGATATGACACACGCTTGTTGCCCATTAGAGATGGCATTTCAAATGTGCGCTGAGGCGTTAACCAATGATGGAGAAGTGATTCATTGTAAAGGTAAAAGACTTGTAAAGGTTTAGTGAGCTTGGTTTTAAAGTGGTTTTAAAAACAATTCAAAACAATTCAAACAATTGAAAACAATTGAAAACAATTCAAAACAATTCTAGGCTGGGATGATCCGTCTTGTGCGGAAAACGCGAAATGCCGAAAAGCTTCCAATGGTCGATACGTTTGCTGTCGAGAAGTTTCGAAAGTTTTCCAAGCACTTGCCGCAAACAGTCCTATTATTTTGTTTTAAAAACAATAAAGAGCTTTTTTTTAAACTTTTTCCAACTGCACACGAGCTGTTTACCATTTTGCTGAAGAGATTTCGTTAAGGTATGAGTACAAAACACTTCTTTAGACGCTTTTTATCTGCCACCTCTATTGCAAGAGCTCTATATTTCTCGCGTTACTAAACATCTGCTTGGTGAGCCTGAATTGTTGAATTGATTCACTTCATTTTATTGAAATCTTTTATTTCTTTACTGAAGTATTATCTATTGTCTACGTCTAGCAAAATGCCAACACATGTATCAAATTTCTTATACTATTATCCTCAAATATCTTTTAGAAAAAGTTTTCTGATTCTTCGGACGAAGATAATACTTTGAAAAAGCACGATGAAAAAGAAAAACATCGATCGAAAGATATTGGCAAAGAAGAAAAGACTCATAGCTCAAGGTATCAAAGTTACGAACTACAGGGTTAGGCAAATTAACCGTATAAGAAACTTTTTGAATGTTATTCGTTCCATAAAATTTCTATTCTTTTTCTATAAACTTTATAAACTATAAACTCTATAACTTTTCTATAAACTCCTCGAAAAAAGTAGTCACACTTTTCTAGTCTTATTTTGTTTTTTCTCGAGTTTTTTTAGAAACGAAAAAAGCGCTAAAAGGGGAAAATGAACCCAGGATCAATTTTATTTTGCTTTGTGCAATTGTACGATCAATTTTACTTTGCTATTACTTTGTAGTTTGAAAGAAAAGCTAGCTAACGGATTTTTCTTTTGTCCTAATTGGTTAAAGAATGAATAAGTTTCAATATGAAAAAAATTATACAGTTAGTTGGCAAAATTACAACGAAGAGCTCTTGTCCGGGGAATTTTAGGTGGATTTGTTTTTGAACGAAAGTATGAAACGAAATGAAAAGACTTTCTGGGCTTAATACCTTTACTCGGACAGCATGCCGAGTTTCCCGATACAGCTTTCGTACAAGTATAGTTAGCTGGACATGGTTGTCGACCATTTTTTTTGTTAGATCAAAGAAAGAACTTACGGAAATTTGCAGTGCATCTCGAGATCGTGAACGTGAAAAACGAAAAGAGCACGAGAGTCGAAAAAATCGTGATGAATCACATCGACATGAAGAGAAAAAGAGAGATCGCTCAAGGGAGAGACACGATGAATCGAGGAAGAACCGCGACAGAGACGACGATCGCCGGGAGCACCGAAATCGAGTTTGTTATTTCATCATTTTTAAATCAAGTATAAAGATTATGAATTTTTATTTAAAAGAAAACTGTCTAGCATTTCAATATTTCAAGGATGCCAACCGAGAGGACCGAAATCGACGTGATGACCGACGCGACAACACCAGAAAACATCGTGATCGCCCGCGCCGCCAACGGTAAATATTTTTCTAACTTTTTTTACTACAAAAAAATATCTCTTTGTTAATCTTGGTAAGAGTTTTCCTTTCCTATTTATCAATGACTTATCCTGTGAATTTGAAGTACTATTTGTGTCACGTGACTGGTGCTCCAAATTCGAGGAGAGATTTATGGCGGCGGTACGTTTCTGGCCAGGTTTGCAAAGAAAGATTTTGAAGTCAAGAGATTCTGACAAAATTTGAGAATATTTTAAATATTCTAGAAAATATTCTCAACTTTTTAGTGACGAAGAAGAAGAGTCAACAGATGGGCCTGCATGGGCAACGAGTCGAGTGAAAGAACACGCAGAGAAGTTGAAAGAACGAAAACTGATTTGGCATGGAAAGAAAGATGGAGAAGCTGAGCAAGCAGTGAGTTTGAAAAACAACTTTAAACATTACACAATGTTCTTGTGATCGAAATTGAAATTCCAGGAAGAAGGAGAATCGTCATCAATGGATCAGCAAGCAGCCAAAAATATGGGTGAGTCGGCCACAATATCAATATACAATAACAGGCTACAATATCGCGAATTGCAAAGAAAACAAAAAATAGATACCATATTCTCTTTAATAGTAGTGCACCCTGAGCGTTGCCTAAATTACTCGAAATCTCGAAAACCGCTTATCAGAACCTATCGATGTGGGGGTCGGAAAATGTAGCTGACGATGAGATCTTGTGGGGATTTGAGTGTTGAGCTTCTGCGAAAACTTAGAAACCGTAAAATAGTCATCAACTCGGCTCGGTGGGGTGCACTACTATTAGAGAGAATACGGTAATTCAAGGAGATGTTCTTTCATTTTAGAAATTCCAATCACCTCCAATAAGTTTGTGTATAACTCTTTTCCAATAAAAAACTGCCAGAATTTGGAATCGATTCCCTAGAGTTTTGAGAGAGTCAAATAGTCTCGAAACTTTTAAATTATCTGTAAATGACCTTGATCTTGAAGCTCTAGTGGATTCTTGATATTATCTGTGCTATCCATACATTCCATAAATTCCATACGATGTGGGGTCGGAAAATGTAGCTGACGATGAGATCTTGTAGGGGATTAAAGTGTTGAGCTTCTGCGAAAACTTAGAGACCGTAAAATCGTCATCAATTCGGCTCGGTGGGGTGCACTACTATTGGAGAAAATACGGTATATAATACTTTTTAGGTATGTGGTCATCTGCAATTGCTGCAACGGGAGTAGATAACAAACAAGCAGAAAAATTCAAGCGATTGTTGGGCTTCAAAGGTGCCGCTTCACAGCAAGCACCACAGGTTTGTATCGACGATTTATTTAGAAAAAGAATATCGTATTTTTTTCTAATATATGACATGCCCAGAGGAGCGTCGCGTAGGATTCTGGGACATTTGATACATTTGACATTTGACATTTGACATTTTTGAGACGTTTAATACGCGTCCCGCCCTCTTTGCCATTCGCAATCTAACTTTGAGCTCAAATTTCTTGGTGTTGAGCTGTCTAATTTCAATACTTTTTATACGAATCGACAGAGAAAGACTTGACGCATCTAATGATACCAAGAATATTTAAATTAGAAAAGCCAAACATTAAGAAATTTGAGCTCAAAGTTTGCCAATGGGAAAAAGATCTGGCGCGTTTCAAATGGCCGATAACCTCGCGTAGTCGTTGTTTTTTCTGCACTAATTAATTTTTGACCTCTGAACCGGTTCTGTTCGGGTTTTTTTCTAAAAAAATAGAGAAATGAGGGATTTTTTTAGAAAAAATCCAAACAAAGTCGGTTCAGAGGTAAATAAATGATTTAGTACGAAAAAAGCAATGACTACGTGACGCTCTTCTGGGCATACTATTAGAAAAAATACGATAAGTTTATCATTTAACCAAGGACAATTTAGACTAGTTCCGCAGACGTGTCAGCTGAGAGGGAAAAACAGAAAAACATGCTAAAATCCCTGGATCGACAGTTCGCGATCGCTAGAGAAACCACTCACACTGGACGCGGACTTGGCCTCGGATTTCATTAAATTAAATATCTTGTGTGATCATTTTTTTTATAAAACATTGAAACTATTGTTTTTCAAAACTTTATTGTCAAATGTTTTTCAGAATTTTGCAGATAAAGTGTTTTTGGTGATCTGATTGAATGAAAAGAAAAGTTATTGTTTCTTTGTTCAACTACCATATCTTTCACAATTGATAATTCGCTTTTGCAATGAATTTTTTTTGTAGTTTATGGCAGCTGCTTCAAATCGAAGAAGCGAACGAAATGGGAGAAGAAAAAGTGATCCGGGAACGCTTGCGTTGCGAGCGAATGGAGCTCTTGACAGATTGACGTTAGATTTTGCTTGCATACAGTTTAGAATAGCTAGATTCGAGATTCTAGATCTAGATTAGAGCATTCAGTCTAGACAGAGTATTCAGTCTAGACTCTCTGGATTACGGTATTCAATCTAGAATAGTCTAGAAGTCTAGTCTAGAAGGATATTCAGTCTAGAATAGCCAGATATTTTATTGAGGAATTTCAATAGCTTAATCAATAGCAATCAATAGCTTAATCAATAACTTAATAGCTTGAAAAATCACATAAACTTACACGATTTGTAGACAAGAATTTAAGGTTTCAATTCTTTTTAGAGTTTTTGCTGGAGAGCTCCCATGGGGAGGCGCCAAAATCGTGCCCGCTACAACCCTTGATGTACAAATGAATTCCGGTTTGAAACAATAAAACAAAACAACAATTTCCCGAAAAAAAAGCACTTTACAGGTGTATTCGCTTCACAATCTTTACTAATTGAATTATTTTCTCTATTTGAGCGCAAACTGACTGCGGTGACTGAAGATGAGCCTTTGGTTTTGAAAAAAGAAATCAATTCTAAACTCAAAATCGTTTAGGAAAAGTTGGTGAACAAAAGTCTACAAAGGGGTGAAGATCCATTTTTTGACAATCTTTGTCGAACTTTAAGCGGAATCAGGTACTTGACCAGTTTTTATAGAAAATGGGCTCAAATTCAGTGAACTTTGTCTGCCAGCTGTGCTCAAATCGTTGATCTCATGGATTGAAAGAATGGAAAAACTTGTTAATGATAAGATCAATCCAGCGTAAATTTTCTTCTAGAATTTGACAAAAGATAAACCAATTTTTCAGCAGTGAAAATCGTTTCCGATTGGGAAAAAGACTTCTTGCGGCACATTATCTCTTCTGCTTGGTTCTGATCGAAGTGTTGCCACAGCAGGTTGGTAAGACATGGGATAAGGCGTCAATTGGATACTTTGTACTACTTTAATAGCAATGGGATACTTTGTACTACGTTACAGTACACCACGCTACCATTTACCCTATCAGCTACAGTACTTCGGTTCTGTTGTTTACTGGTGCTGCTACAGTATCTCTTACATTACTAGGACAGCACTTTTGGATCTTACTGTAATCGCTACAGTACTTTGTACTAGTTTTACGCTACAGTACGTTTGTGTAGCTGTTTTCTTTAACTGTTACAGTACCCCATACCAACAATAATAGCTACAGTACTTCAGTTTGTCTATTTATAATACTAGCTACAGTATTATGTTGATTTGGTAAAAGTTTATTGTGATAGGATTAGTTTCGCAAAATCCCCTCCGCTAGCCGTTTCATTTGAAACAAGTATGGCATAAGGCCTATCCTGGCGGCGATTGGATACGTGTCGGTGTAGCTCATTGGTAGAGCGTTCGCCCAGTAAGCGAGGAGTCGCGGATTCGATCATGCTTTGTATTCCCAGCTCCAACCCATAAAAGAGCTGGCGTGTTCAACTGGTTGACTAATGAACTTGTGAACTGTGCCCGTATCCATGAACGTTCCAAACGGTTTGGAATTCCAAATGCGAAAAATTCCAAACCATTTTACTACGCGATGGTTTTGAGATAACTCTTTGAGATAACTTTTTGAAATAGTTGAATACAATTATCTACTCCATAACAATTTCAAAAAATAATTCAAAAAAACTAACTCATCGCTTAGTAAAATGGTTTGAAATTTTTCGCATATGGAATTCCAAACCGTTTGGAACGTTCAAAGATACGGGCACTGATCACCAAAAGATTTTCAGCTTGAAAGGCATTTGACTGAATGTGAGCCGTACGTGAACTACATAATGCGTCTAGCATTTAAACAAGTCGCTTATCGAGATCCGTAAGTAACAATGATAAAATGGAAAAATGGGTAAAGCTATAGATCAACTCTTGGCGTGAATCACACAAATTCTCTTGTTGTTGCCGAAACATATGCTGAAGTGGTCGGCGTCCTTTCGAGCACACATTTTCAAGTGATTCTCGAGCTTTTAAAACAATTTTACACTCTCAAAGCATTATAGGCAATACATCACGCATTCTTTGCAATGCTCAATGAATATAAGAAAGAAACCTCGCCAGCAAACGGGCAAAACATTATCGCATTGTTGATGGCAATGAAATTCGTGAAGATCAAGGTAAACCTACTGGTATTATGATTAAAGAGCATTTTAGACAAACCAAGTTCGCGAATTCGAGATGGGCATTCGTTTCTTAGACGAATTGGGCACATATTTTTTAGAGGTATTGAGCAAAAAATGTTTTAGTCAATTCTTTTAGGCAAAAGATCGTGAAGTGAAGCACGCGGTGGCTGGTCTTCTCGTAGAAATTCTGCTTCCCGTTGCTGCGGTACAGAAAAAGTACTCATCAAATTTGGATTTCAAAATTTTAGCAAATCAAACGCGAAACGAATATCCCAGCGTTGATTTCTTTTGTGCAAAAGCTTTACGGACCGACGAATGATCTAGTCAATAAGAAACAACACAAATTGGTAGAATCACAGAAGATAAAAGATTCCGAAATAATTTAGGCAGCTTATCCATTGCTTACTTGCCTACTGTGCGTCTCACAAAGACAGTTCTTTCTATCAAATTGGGTAACATGAAATAACTTAAACTTATCTTTAAATTGTAGGCATCTTTCTTGAATGCATGTTTGGCTTCACTTCGAAACAAAGATTCTCGAATTTCTCGCGTTGCTCTCGAGTCTCTCTATCGACTTTTATGGTAAGAAAATAGGCTGAAAGTTGAATTTTTTCGATTAAAGCTATCAAAATTTTGTATGAGTTAAAGATCAATTTCTTCCTTAGTTTAAAGATCAATTTCTTCCTTAGTTTAAAGATCAATTTCTTCCTTTTACACTCTTTCTAGGGTGTACATAATTCGAAATAATTGCGATGGAAACTCGTCGACGAGGACTCGTTTGGAAAGCATTTGTGCAAGTCTCTTCCCGAAAGGAAATCGAAATATCACTCCTCGAGAAGCTCCCCTAAACATCTTTGTCAAAATCATTCACTTTATTGCTCAACAGAAGCTAGACTTTGCATTCAAGGTAAATTGCAGTCAGTGAGCAACTATTTTCAATTTTAGGAAGTGATTTTTGACTTGTTGGGTTGCTCGAGATCTAATCGATCACTTTGTCCTGAGCGCATGAACATTGGAATCCGAGCACTGATGGTCATCGCTGACGGACTTCAACAAAAAGACGAACCACCAGCTATGCCGAAAAGCATCGGTAGGGAATTGATTAGCTTCAGTACTAAGTCTTTCACTCAAATTCATTTTCTAATTGAATAAGTCTCAAGCTATCAAATGAAATACGATTTTTTTTTATTAAAGATCCCAATCATTTCTCTTGCAAATGAGTTTTAAAAGTTTTTAAGAAGCTTTTTTTTAAGGTTTTTTATTAGCAAAAGTCGAGTGTTCAAAAACGACAAGAAATCTAATCATGCGATTTGAATTATTTCTTTCAATGAAACCTATTTGATAACGCACAAAAAGTTAGATCTACAACTAAAATTTCAAAGTAAACCGTTTAGCGGTTTTCTTTACGTGCTTATTTTTACAAATACCAAACGCAGATTATTCTAAAATTGTTTAAAAATGAAAAAAAGATAAATGGTAAACGATTTATAATGAAAGAAAGTGGTATTTGATAGTTTAAGACTCGCTTTTTTGAGATAATGAAATGAAGAGTGCAAGATTTAGTATTCTTAGGATTATTGTATTATTAGCCTGAGCTTTAGGTACTAATAATACTGGTTTTTATTTAAATAATTGAGCTCAAGTACTGAAGAACTGTTTTCCAGGACCACTTGCATCCGGCACAATGCTAAGAATGAAGAAAAAGACCTACATTACAAGGCCACTCACCGTTGATATTGCTCGGACCATTGGTTTGAAAAGCATAAGCTTAAACAAGAATGATAAGTTTAGGGTTGGATCAATATTATATCCCTTGTCGCAAAGCTTTTGACAACATTTTGAGAATCCTTGATGCACAGGTAAAAAAAAGCTAAATTGATCTCACATCGAACTTTCCCAGGTTGGAAAACCATTGATGCTGACGGCGATTCAAGGAAGAGGCAAGGAGCCAGAAGAATTGTTGACGTAATGTAAAATCTAATGCAATTTAAATTTGAATTTGTAGAGGTGATGTTAAACCAAAGTTGGACCTTTTCCGGACCTGTGTGGCGGCGATGCCCCGTTTGTTGCCTGATCCGATGACTCATGTTGAGCTCATCGAGATTCTCACTCGAATCACCGTTCATATCGATGATGAACTGCGTACCATGGCTGGACAAACGCTACAAGTACAAATTCTCAACTTTATCCACATTTCTCCTATTTAGAACATGATTTCCGAGTTTCCGGAGTGGAGAGAAACTATTGTCTCAGCGACACTTAGCCTTTTGATCAATCAACTAACAGTAAGTTTAAATTATCATTAATGATACAAGCCAATCATTTTAGGACACTTATCCGGTGGTTCTGGATCTTTCACTGAGAACTTTACTTCAATTGGTGACGACTTGGCGAATCGCAGCCACAAATGAGAAACGACGAGATGAAGAAGATGAACAATCACAGGAATCACCAATGATCTCTTCGCCATCACATTTGGGAATGCAAACAAAATCTTTGTCGACCGCATCAGCTCAAAGTACTTCCGGGATTTCTACGTTCCATTCCACATCTCCGTCAACAGCGTCGACACCTACCACCACAGCATGTAAGAGCTTTATTTGACTTTAAAGATATTAGTGAATAAGTCGTTTCATTCCTTTTCGTACTTTTGTTTAAAATTGACCAATTGAACTAGTGACTTAGTCATTCCTAAGCATATGTATAAAAAAAGTGGTCAAGACTTGTTCACCAATATTTCTTTTACTCAGTTTTTTGTAACAAGACCAGATACTGAAGCTTGGATTACTTTACATACTCATATGTTTAGCTCATTCTGCCACAGCTTCAACTGGGTCATCGCCCAAGGTGCCAAATTTGCCCCTTTATGTAGTGAACAATGCAACAGCTCTTCATGCAATCGAAGGCTTCGCGCTTGTGATGCTCTGTCAAATTCGACAAACACCAAGAAAGATCTCCATCTCGTTGTTGAAAGAAGTCAAAACAATCTTCAGCATCATTAGCATTGAGGTAACAGTAGATTCCAAGGTTAACATCCCAAAAATTCAGCATCATGATACACCAATGCTTACCGTTCTCGACGAAGCGACACCAATGGTCATCGCCAAATACATTCAACATGTTCCATTTTACGAGCGGGTATGCCAACTTTTCTTTTCATATAAAATTTAACTTTAGCAACAATGGAACGTAGACTTTGCTGGGGCTTGTGATAAAATTTGCTGCCTTGAATCGAACTCGAGCTTGGTTAATAACGAGAAGGTTTGAGCAAGATTTTCAACAAACCAAAAAGATGTATTTAGGGAAATGAGTACATGCAATGGGATCCATGGGCATGCGCTCTATCAGGATATGCGGAACATCGGTTTGTCGGCAGATTTGATACAAATTAGCAAACATTGTTAAGGTTTTTACTATCCCAGTGTCCGACGGCAGTCTCTTCCGCTTGGCCGGCTCTATTCATCAGACTAAATGCAGTGAATTCATACGTTGATCCAAAGTAAGTTGTAAAAGAAAATTATTGACAATTAACATTCAGCAACCCACAAAACGAGTCACGAGCCTCGTTGCTTCGATCGTCAAAAAGCAAAGGATCGTCATCGATTTGTGGTGAACAATTAAGTCAAGATGGTGAGCTTTAAATGATAAATGATAAATGATAAAATCTTCAGGGTGTTTGTCTTTATGGCAAAAATATGTGGTTTTGTGCATGGCTTTATGCCCACCACCACCCTCACATCACACGCTCGTTTCGAGAAGCTTTTCTCCAACAAGCAGGTGAGAAAAGAGAACTTTTCTTTTCTTCAACAAGCAAAAAAGAACGATCACTTTACAAAATTTTCTTTAGTGTTGATACGGATGTTTTACGCGGTGTTCCGTCGGCTTTTCGAACTCGCTATGCACCGACTTCCAACTCGCCCAGCACACAACAGCTTTTTCAGGTTTTCAAAACCATTTCCAACTTTAGAGTATTTTTTTTTGTAGAAAGCCTTGGCGATGCTTAGATGGGAGAACATGACAGACATCAGAGACAGTGTTGTTCTTGGAATCGGTTCTTTGAATCCAGCAGCCATTGATGCATGGATTGATGAACTTGGAGCACGTGGTGTACTTCGAGAAGCACAAGAGAAAAAGGTATTGATGCACTAGATTGATGGTATTGATTGATGCAAATAAAACACGAAGTTTCAGATTGAGTCTAATGTTCGACGGCGCAAAAGGAAAGATCTCTTACGATTGCAGATTCTTCGAATGCTTGAGCTCGTCATTTTCAGGTATGATACTCATTGTCAAAAAAAATAGCTCTACCAAAATTAGGGGCTATTTGGAGATGTCAGGATTTACGGAAAATGGGATAACGTTAAACCAATCGATCATCGATTTCGTTGACTCGATGCGAGTGAATCTCGAAGTGGATCAAGATCGAGATCGTGACATTAACACCGTCACTAGTATGCGGCTGCATTTCGCAAAGCTCATCACATTGATTATCGGTAAATAAATTGCATAATCATTTTGATTCTCGCATAGATTCGGTACCACACGAAGCTCGATTGCAATTGATACCAGAAGAAAGGAAGCAAAGTCTTTTCACACTTTTCAAAGAATGGTCAAGTCGTACCTATTCATCGGAGAGAAGAGTTCGAGAAACCGAGGTGGGATCATCAGTATATTTTTTTCTGATTTTGACGATCATCAGCCACCACAATTTTTCTGTTTATTCAAATTTTGAAAAACGAAATTCAAAAATGGAAGAAAAGAGCGATCCAGTAGACCTGCTTAACGAGTCCGGGCAAAATTTTCATACAGCCTGTCTCGCTCTTCGATTTTTTTTTACTGCCCAAAGCTCCTTCAAGCATGAAACCCTGTTCCCCCACAAGCTCTTATTTTAGGCTTCATTTTGATACTAAGCAGAACCTAACCATGTTTAGTATCAAAATAAAGCCTAAGATAAGGGAATTGGGTTCCATTCACGAAGAAGCTTTGGGCAGTAAAAAAATCGAAGAGCGAGAGAGACTCGAAATTTTGCCCAGACTCGTTAAGCAGGTCTACTATCCAGTAAGAAACTCAACTTTTCCTCAACTAATCAATTAAATTTCAGTTTGGCACACATGTTGAACAAAATTCTGTCATTGCCATGTGCCGAATTCTATGCTGTGGACCAATTTTTGAGGTAACGAAGTCATTCAACACAGTCAACGCAAAAAATTCAGCCACAAAAGTCTTTGGGAAACAAAGGATATCTCTACACATGGTTGGAAAAATTTGTCTCGAGTCCAAATCATACGGTTGGTTAAAAACGTTTCAATTATGAAAAGAAAATTTCCAGATGCAAGAAGAAATCGAGGAGATGCTGGCCTGGATGGTGCAATTGAATGAAAGTGTTGAGCTACTCGATTGGATTGTCAATCAATGCTATGCTCAGCCGCACTCTGTTTGTTTCAACTATTTATTACAATTGATTTGAAAATTTCGTTACAGATCTCATCAAGATGTGTGAAATCACTGGTTCGAGCATTTTCACATCGAGAGCTTCCATGTGAATTCGTTTCGCTGTTTGTGCTTTGCCAGGCAGCAGCTGCGGATCGACAAGTGCCATTGTTCATTGTTTAAATCATTTTTCTTTTTTCAGGTAGCTGATTCGGTTCTAAACGTTCTGGAAATGCTAAAGAGACAATTTCTTGACAGGTAACAGAAAAAACTATTCGAAATTATCGTCAAATTATCTGGAAATTTAGCCCTTCCTCTATGGCGTCTCCACTTTTGGTGACCACATCACCATCGGCTTCAAATGTTCCTTTACGGTTAGAAATCATAAAATAAAGTTAATGTGAATGAATTTTCTAGGCGAAGCGGTGGGAACACTTTGGTTCTTCACCCGAGCACTCCGATTCATCCACTTCCCGTGGAACAAAGCACCGTTTGTCGTCATCTAGCAAAATCCTATCCACAATTGACGCTCACTGTGTTTTCAGGTTCAAAAATAATTTCTGGTTGACTCTATGATTTTATTCAGAAGTCTGTGCCAGAATTGAGTCTGCTAGAGCGGAACACCAAGCCTCGTTGCTCTCAGCTCTTTTGCCATGGATTGAGAACTTGGAGCTAGTGGACCCAGTTGCGGGTGAGGATTCGTGCGAGGGACCGCGCGGTTATGGATCGGAAGAGGCAACACAGCTTCTCCTCAACAATCTCATCTACTTAACAGCCAATTATCTAGATCAAGGAAAGGTTTAGCTTTTTTTTTTGACATAATCAATTCACAAACAATTCAGGAAATCTGCGAGCTTTGGCGCGCTCTCTCGATGGCTTTCCCGGCGAACATGCCAATCATCTTGCACTTTCTCTACACGACTATCAATTTATCTCCAGACAGATTGTTGAGCCATGTTAGTGTAAACAAATTTATTATTTGGACATTTAGATTTATAGAATATTGTTTAGAGTTCAATTTTTAGGCTAAAAGAGTTGTGGTGATGATTGCCGGAGTGTCAGGGACTCGGCTAGCAGCCTTGCTTCTTGATCAACTTATCGCTCACGATTCAACAAAAACTGTTCTTGAAAGGTGCAACTTTATAAATACATATACTTTATAGATATTTAGAACAAATAATATACCTAGCCTAAGCCTAAGCCTAAATTTTCAAATGCACAATTCTAGAGCCGAGATGCCACCCTTTTACAGATGGAGAGATGATTTGGATACAATTCGCAGAAAAGTGAGATTCGACGAAGCTAGCTTTAGATTTAAAAAAGTTTTAAGGAATCGATGGAAGAAAAGCAATACGATGGACCCAAAAGAATAGAGATTATTGAAAAGGAGGAAGATACGGCGACAGAAGGAGTCAGAGAGCTTCCAATGCCCGCTTATGGCGGACACTACTCTCCTCTTTTGGCTTTTCTACCGCCTGTCACTCAACAAATTCAATACTATTCTAAGTGAGCAAAGTGATAGAAATCAAATCAAAAAAAAGTTTTTAGAAGTCAAGTGGCTCTTCTACTTCTATGCGATGTGATCAGATCCTCGTGTGATGTTGATTGGGCCGAAGCTACCCCAAGGTTTTAGAAAAAACAAATGGTGAAACAAATTGCTTTCCAGACTCCTTCACGCGTCCATTCTCCATCTTGATTCAATGCGACCGCTGCTTTGCTCACACGCTCGACAAACGATCATCAATGTTTGCCTCTTGAAAGCCAATTCATCACAAGTTGCTGAAATCTCGCAAATCCTACTGGAGAACAAAGTAATATTAGCAAAATACAAGACAACCATTTTTTTTTAGATAAGCTCAGATACTCTGGGACTTGATTTGAGCTTGACACAGATTCATATAGCTAATTGTTCTCAACAAGATCCTTACTGTGCATCAACAAAAATTCGTCGAGGAGAAGCCTGGAAAAATGGTCGAGATTCGCCGACTTTCAAAAGGCTCACTCATCAAGAGCATAGGCAAAAAAAACTATTGAATGCTTGGAGTAATTAGATTTTAGACAAATGTTATTGCACAGCAATGCTGTTTTCTCATCTCGCTCCGATCTCATTTTGGCCATTGTTTTCTGTCTTTCAGAGAAGTTTGTAATAAAGGGGACAATCATGAGAATACTTTTAGCATTGACACCCCATTGTGGGCAAATGAGGATGCTTCACCTAGATGTTGGCGAGTCTCGTCAGCAGCTCAACTCACTTGTTTGGTGAGAGTTTACTCTTGAGCTCATAAAGCTTAAATAGGTTCGGCACATAGCCTCTCTGATGTTGCCATCGATGCCTTTGTTGCCAGTGGTTTGGACACAAATTGCAATGCGGATGGCGCTTTCCCTTCCCCATAGACATTTGGCTGGTCGATGCTTTCAGGTACACTAAACAATACTTACATTTTCAAGCTGTCTTTCAGATTGTCTCAGCTTTATGTCAACCACCAGGAGCTTGGATCCCATCTCTTTTGTCGAGACTCGTCGAAACAGCCGGCGATGCGTAAGTGACTACTTATTGGACTCAAGAAAGTGATTTTAGAAACGATGATACACAAGCCTACGTGACGGATTTGATTCTTTGCCTACATTCGAATGTTCAACATTTGTCACCGGTAAGGATAAATAAAGATGGGTGAACTGGACCCGATTCAGCCAATCGATCCCGGACTCGCTGCTTCAGCGGGTTCTTCTTCAGTCTCCCCAACACACACTCGATCCACTTCCTATACGCCAGCTCTTCTACGACAATCGGGAATCCGACAAAATCTTCATGAAAGAAAAGGTAGACTTGTGCAAAGTATACTATTTTTCTTAAGATTGTTTAGATGCCAGATTATCGCTGCTTGTAGCTGAAGAAGAACCCTGGGTGTGGACATCGATGGTGAGAAGTAAAAGCGCTGAGCAACTGAAAACGGATGGAGAAGAGGAAGAAGCTAATACAAGGTACTGTACTGAAAAATGTTAGAACTGACAAACAAAACTTCAGAGTGCAAGTCTTGGCGATCGCCGTGTCGTTGCTGGAGAGTGGAATCGATAACGAATTTCTTCTTGCTCTTCATTTACTAGAGAAAGTCAGTTACAAAATTATTGAGCGCTTAAATCTGGATATCTGAATCACTTGTTAATTGCCATCAAAGATAGGCTCGAAACTAGGCTGAAAAGTTTCTAAATTCATCTAAGTTTAGACCAACATTTTCTACAAATTTTATTTAACAATTTCTACATTTAAAGTCCTCCAGCCTAGAAGAATATTGATCAAATCAAGGAAGATCAAATCTGTTTTTTGTTTGTATTTTTAAACTCCCGGACAAGAACCAATTATTGCTTCATCAAGCAAATATTTCAGGCTCTTAATACTTCGGAGGCTCAAAAACAGAAATGCTTGGAGAAATTGGAGAAAACCGTGAAACAACTTGATTGGAAGGGTTTCAGCGGGATTGTTGGACTTGTCACACGGGGTTAGTTCAAGGCTTTTGACAACTCACTGCTTTTATTCCAGGATTGGTGATTCCCGGAGCGCACGAGCAAACGATCGAAGTGTTGCTGAATCTTGTTGAAGTGCGTAACTGAAGTGCGAAAAGAGAATTATATTGGTACTTTAGTTGGTTGAATATGGAGTGGTTGGAGGTCGATCGTCACTTTCACTGATAATTTGCGGAGTACTTCCACATCTCCTCTGCTATTTCGATCAGCCAAATCAGTTGTGCCTTCAAGCAGCCGAAATTATTCGAAAAGTATTTAGAATTCGGAAAAGGCAATCAAAACAAAACTTTAGTTCTGTGAAGCAGTTGTGATCCGAACAGAAGAGCAAGCTTCTGGTGACTCACCACTCGATCATCTTTCAATGGTGAGTCTAAAATGGATTCCTACTCTTTCTAGATGATCTGGATCTGTCTTACTTTCTTTCTAGATGTTCTCTGCTTACGCACAACGATCATTTGCCAAAGATCGTTTTCAATGGGCAAAATGTGTGATTCAATATATGTGTGATGGATTGCATCCAAATGCTACTCATCTTGTTGTTCTTCTTGCTGAGGTTTGAGCCTAAAAATACAAAATATTACAAGAAAAATAACTTCAGATGCTTGATCGAGGATTGCCAACCCATCATGTGTATGCCCTTCATATGCTTTATTTGCTTGTGACTCAACGTGAATGCTCACCATCACCGGTGTCTATCAACGCTCAAGTGATCCGAGCTGTCTCAAGACATGTCGGTGGATCGAATTGGAGAGAAGCGGCACGAGTCTTCAAGTCCATTGTCGAACAAGCCCAGAAGCTGGATGCTGATAAGGTAGTAGAGGATTAGAAACGACTAGAAACGTTTTATGCGATTTCAGGATACCGCTTCGATCACCTCATTCTCGTTGGATCCAGAGTCGATCGTTCAAACGAGCCATTCTGGAGACAGCCCTTCAACACCAAGAAAAATCACCGAGTCTAGCATTCCCAAGAGGCAACCTCCACAAGTACGTTATATATAGATAAAAAGTCTACGTTATTATAGATCCGTGTTCGTGAACGCTTAGTGGGACTACTTTCTGCATCAGGACTTCGCGTTGGCGTACCAAATGCTCCATCAGTTCTTTTCTCTCATTCCGAATTGGGCAGTGCTGCAAGCTCTACAGAGCATATCTGTTCTAGCCGGTGAAATATCGTAAACTCAACTAAATTCCGTTTTGTTTAGGGATGTTGATAGCACAACCTCTTTGCCACCAGATCCATCAATTTCTGACTCATATCCAAGAGTTTTCAAGGCAAGTCTCTTCACATATTAGCAATATTGTAATTTTTAGGAATTTGACTTCTTGGAGGCAGAGCATGATTCAGTATCAGAAACAGCAGAATCTTGTTTTGGATGGCTGAGTACAATGCGACCAACGAGTATTGCTGATAGGTAAAGGCAAAGAAAAAAAACAAAACTAGCTAGAGATTTAGGGAACGATCAGCTTCTTCAAATGCATCTGATGACGCAGATGATGATGGAGATGAGGAAAGCGAGGAAAGTGCCGATATATCGAGAAAGAGTCTCGTTACCGAAAATGAGATTTTGAGAGGAATAGCTCGAGAAATTGGAAGTCCAGCTCATTCACGACACTCCACTGAAGATGGAACAGCCAGTGATGAGAGAACTCCTTGTCCTAGCGAGGTTTGGTTTTGAGAATTGCAAATTGAATCAGCGTTTAGGTGGATGATGAAGAAACGAAAGAAGACGCGGTTTCTGACAAAGATACAGATGAAACAGATCTCGAGAAATGGACAAGAAGTCAAGCTGAACGGGAAGCCGTGTGGAAGACTCAAGTTGAGCACAGTGAGATGGACAGCGAATTCAGCGAGGTTTTTTTAAAGTCTTAAAAAACTAAAAACGTTTGTAGATGGATGTTCGAACGACTGAAGATGGACGAAGCATCACTGAAAGAAGTTTGCTCGATGGTCGTGTTGGAGAGAGTCTCAGTATTGGTGAAAAATTTACAATGAGTCAAATAAGATGCTTTTCAGCTGGTTCTTCCTTCTGTTGTCGATCTGCTTCATCAATGGACACACCAACGGCTCGTTTACCTTCACTGGTTGTTCTCTGTCCTCACCACACTGGCAGTTTACAAGTAATCTTTCTTTCGATTCACGAAAAAGCCATTTTTGTCTTGGCTGCCATTTTGGACAAATCTATGTTAGCTGTAGACCTGCGAATTTGTAAACGGAGGCATTCTGGGATAGAGGATTTGAATCTGTTATTGGTTTTTCAGCTAATAACGAGCAATTTCAATTTTCAAGCAAATACAATCATCACAAAGCTTTCTAAAACTTGGGTAATTAAACCAAATTGGAGAAAAAAAGAGCGTAACAGATTTTTGGTTCTGCCTTATATCCCTAGAGGCCGTGTATCAGAAGCCGCACGATTACGTAAACATGAAAATTTGCACTTTTTGTAATCGCGCGCCTTCTCCCTGGATATGGGGTCGCACTTGTGTAATTAAACCGAATGAAATATTCAAATATAGAGCAGTTTTTTTTAAAAACCAAGTAGTAAAAACCAAGTAGTAAAAACCAAAAACCAGGATTCGAATTCCTTGACACCGAAAATCCCCTGGTGCAAATTTTTAGCCAATCGGCCTTTAAAAAAGTGCTAAATCCACGTACGGTCCACCGGTGGGCGGTATCGTCGCAAATGTGTTAAGAATAAAGTTTAACTTCAGCACCAACGATCTCTATAGAGAATACAACTTCCTCGGTTGTTACTATTGTTACAAAAATCAATCCAAACATTTTCAATCAAACAAGAACTACAAGAACTTTTTCAATTGAAACAACGCAAAATCAAACAACGCACAAAGCAACCACTCCCTTAACAATCCCGCAAAGTTTATATCTCTTGGTTAATAAATCATCGTAAAAAACAAACTTTTTTAGCAAGCCGAAGCTACATGGATGCGCACCATCGCCGAACTATCAGCCGACGATTTGGACGGAGAAACAACGGCACAATCCGTTCTTGTCGCCACTCAACTCTTTAGAGTATGAATGCGAGAAAAATTTATAAACGAAATTTAGTCATGTTGCTGGAGAGCGTGTTCCCTTCTCCGTGATGCGATGGTCGGCTTTTCCACCAGTCGCTCACTTTCACGTCCACTTCTCTCCGCTCATGATGTTCTCACCAAAGTTGCTGATTGTCCTTTCCTTTATGTAACAGATACTTTCGTAAGTGGAAAACCGAATTACATTAAATTCAATTCATTTAAGCTTCTACGTGCAAACTGTCTCCAAAGACTGAAATTCTCGTTGACTGAGATGCGAGAGCATTTGGAAACATTTAATGAGCGACGGGAGCAAGCAATGAGGGTTTGGTTTTGGGAAATTTCAACTGTCAAGAACTTGTTGAACAAAAATTCATTTGAATTTTTGATCTTTTTAGGCATTAGCTTCACTAAAGTCAGCTCAAAAGCTCTCAAATCTAAATCTTGTCTCGAGCTCACCGCTTCCCACCTCTCAAAGCGCACATCCACAACGAAATATGGTAAATTTTGGCATAAAAGTTCACTTTGCCTCAAGCTTCATTGCTTGAATGGCATTTTTAGGAACAAGAAATTTGCAAATTGCTTCATAAGCTTTTCTTCCAATTGATGTTGATAAATGATTCAATCTCTGACATGGCTAGAGCAATTCGAGAGATTCCTTCTGCACAGGTTTGTCAAATCAGTCAAACTCTCAAATATTTTTTAAGGATTTCTCTCTATCGCCTGCTGTAATGTGTCTTCAAAGAGAGTTGCTTCAATTTGCTGCCGACCTACCACCCGAATCTAATTGGGCTCCAAGGTTAAACTTTGGCTGGCCTTGGCTGGCTTTGGCTTTAGCTACCGTAACCTAGTAGAGAAAAGAAATCTAAGAAATCTAAGAAATCTAAGAAATCTAAGAAATCTACTGAAATCTTCTGTAATTTTTAGAGAATCATTCGCTGATTCTTTGCTGTTACTCATCGCCAACAAACAATATGCTCAAGCTCTTGGTGCTGTTCGACAATTGAGGCAGGGAAGGATAAGAAGCAAAACAAAGAAAGAATTCAGATCCTCTTCAATAAGCCAAGAATGGGGATGTTGTGAAGTTGTTGATGTTGATATTTTGCTCCTTCTTTTCTGTCGCTCGCACACAATGCGCGCTTGGGCGATCGTCGGTGGCGACGAGTCGACATTTGGTGTACAGGTTAGTGAAATTTAGAGTCTGTTCCCCGCGATCAATTAATTAATCGATTTAAAGTAGACGATTAAAATTCTAATCGAATAATCCTCGATTAATGCGCGATTAGTGCGTTTTTTGGCCAGCGATTCAGCTGGTTAGCGGCTCCTTTTCCCATTGGCAAACTTTGGGCTCAAATATCCTGGTGTTGGACTTTTCTAATTTAAATATTCTTGGTATCATTGGATGTGCCAAGTCGTTCTTTGTCGATTGGTACAAAAAGCATTGAAATTGAACAGCCCAACACCAAGAAATGAGCTCAAAGTTGGATTGCCAATGGCAAAGGGGCTTTTCAAAGGCCTTTTCAGAGGCAAAGGTGTCTTAAAACCGGACTTTTCAGATACGAAAGCATTGCAGGGCTGGTTGAGTGGTAGTAGTTTAGAATGCAAGACGAGACCTCCCGGGTTCGAATCGCTCAGCTGACTTTTTCTTTTGCTTTTTAAAATTTAAATGACTTGTGTGTTCTCCGCTTCAGAGTCGTTATTTTTAGCCAAGCGTGCTTTATGCTGGGATGTCAAATGATAGTCCTTGAAATTTAGTCTTTTTTCGTATCAAAAGTCTAGTTGGGAAAAATCTATGGGTTGAGGAAAAGATGATTTTCTAAAAAGAAGGTAGACTGAGCGACTGTACGAGGAGATGGCGTTCTATTAGAGTATTTACGGCAACGAAATATCACGATAAATTGCAGAGCCAACTTCTCCGCGAAGCCAATGCGGATCTCTCGTCGACGGTTCGTCGATTGGCGATGGATGTGTTAGGATCAGGGACAAGCCTTGCCCCATCGTCGTTGACTGGTTCTCTCTCCGGCCCTCCTCTCGCTTTACAACACGCCTCTTCCACCTCACGAACCCCAACCGTTTCTTCTATTGCTGATTCTTTTTCTAAAATAACTCTTCCAAATTCTGACAGCCCATCATCATCTAGATCTAATTTCTACGATTCTTAATTCACCAAAGATTTTGTGCATTCCCGATTTTCTCTTACCGATTCGTTGATTACGAGTGACAAACAAAGATGCTTTATTATTGTAGGTACAATTTTTTGTAATCATTAAAGCTATTTAGTATAAAAGTTCATTTTGCAGTAATTCATTACTTAATCAAATCGAAAATCTCAAAATCGAAAGAAAAACAATGATTTATTGAGTTGCGTTTAAAACTGAAAGACAAACATAAACCCGTGGAAAAATTTTGGACTAACAAGACTTTTGATTGATTGATAAAGGAGTAGTAAACAAGAAAAAAAAGAGTATTACGACTAAAAATGGAAATACAATCAAAATTTATCTTCCAGGGCGGTGTCCAAGGAATGGATCGTTTCCAATGTTTCTCCTAAAATGCTTTTTGATACTTTTTGCAAAATAAAAAGCTACAAAAGCTATGTTCCTATCAAATGAGAAATGTTATTAACTTCAAACTTTTTAGCCAAAACGCATTCTAGTAATAAAAACAAACATGTCTTCCAAGTAGGGACCGATTGCGTGATCGGGACTAGCTGCTCGACCAGGTCTTAATGGGATCAACTCTTGATTTGCATCTGAAAAGTCTTCACTTCAAAACTGTTCATTTAAAAGATAAGTTAAAGACGCCCATGAGAGCTTGTAGCACACATGCCCGCCCGTACCGGTTGCAACTGCCTATAGCTTTCACGCCGACGCCGACGCGCGAGCCTAACGACAGGCACAAACCCAAAAAAAGCGCGATCCCTATAGGCAGTTGCAGACGGTGCAAGGGCCACAAAAAAAGCATTTGCATAAAATATGGCTGCGCTTTAACATTTACGGCGATGAGATGTGGATATATGGTAATCAGCGCAAAAAACTGAGTCAGAAAAACAGGTTTGGTGGTCATTGGTTGAGAGAAAGGGTAAACTGCAGTCTGGAAACCTGGTAACTGCAGTCTGGACAAACCTGGTAACTGCAGTCTGGAAACCTGGTAACTGCAGTCTGCAAACCTGGTAACTGCAGTCTGGAAACCCGTAACTGCAGTCTAACCAAATCCCCCTCTCCACATCCGCGCGAAAATGCGTTTTCTATAGGGTTTTTACGTTTGAATAGCCATTTGACGCAGAAAAATGTGCTGAATTCAATGGTGACAAAATTATCAAAATGGCCTCCCCCCATTATAGGGAAAGTACCATCTTTTTAAAAGTTAAAATATTACAAACCCAAATAATTCCCGTCTTCTGCTTCCAATTGCCCGCCATAGCTTTCCTCTGCATCATTTAGGCTCTCTGGGTTTCCAAAGAGATCAAAAAGAGCCCTGAAAAGTGAGAATAGGTTAAATTTTCTATTTTCTATTTCGATGCTAGTTTTCTATGCTATTCTTGAGTCTAAACTCGACTCACTCGCCGAGATGATGTAGTTCATTTTCCCCGAATGAAGGCAGGAAAATAATGGGACGAGCGATCAAATGGGGACAAAAAACACCCAGAAACATCCAAATGCCTCTCATGAACTCTGAAATGAACAATTTTTTCTACAATTAATCAGTCAAAATCTACAATTACTGTAACTTTTTGGGAAATGAATTTTATCAGGTTTTCAAAAAGGCATTCCATTCAGGGATTAGAATGTAGGCAACAAATGGCAATGTGATTGGAATTTGAACTTCAGGAAAAAATGAGCCCCGATTCTGACACTGAATGGAATGCGGATTCGAGTCTGATTGAGGGAAGTTCAACCCGTGATTTTGTAATTGCTTTTAGGCATCCAAAAACTCTGTGAATACAGTTGTAAATTGTACTTAAAGCTTGCTAAATGGAAGCATTTCAACACGAGAAAAATGAGCACTTGTTGAAGATCAAGCCACTGTATTTATATCCATATTTTCCTCTCAGCCATCCGGTTGAAGGGAACAGAAGAGGAGAATTAGGCGACTGAAGATCGTTTCGAATTACCCATCAAGGGTCATTCATCGATTCTCACGGCTATTCTCCTTTACTGACACTCAATCTTCATCCAGCTGTAGTCACTAATTCCATTTTATTTGGCGAATTACTTGGATGAAAAAGGAGGAAAAGTGCAAAATGATCGGATTACTTCCTTCATTTCTTCTAAAAACCCTTATCGAAATTTTGTACAGTCATCATCGATTTCATTCAGAATTTTTTTTTCCGTTTCGCAACTGAAATGACTGGAAAGTTTTTGAATCATCAAAATTTATGAGCCTGTAATAATTCACGAATAGTTGACTAAATGTCAAGTTGACTGCATGTTAAGTTGACTTTTCAAAAAGGCATTCCATTCAGGGATTAGAATTTAGGTTCAAAATACGAGTACAGTAACTTGCAGAGATGGAGGAGAGAACGGAGATGATATGAAGAAGAGAACGGAGATGATATGGAGGAGAGAACGTTCCAAATGATGTACCTATATCATCTCCATTCTCTCCTCCATATCATCTTTGCAAGTTACTGTACTCGTATTTTGAACTTAAGAATTAACTGACTATTTTAAAAACTAAAAGTTTTGCTCTTACTATTTCTGTACGTATTTTGTTTGCTTGGTTTTTCTCTATTATTTAATATTCTAATCTTACTCTTTATCGCACTTTTTCCGGAGGCTCGATTGAAAACTCAGAGTTCAGACTTCCAAACAACTTTTATAAACACCTTTCCTTGAAAGCTAGGAATAGATATTGTTGACAAAGTGCAATCTCTTTCACTTTTAGTGCTGATTGCAGAAATTTGGGGAAAAGATCGAGTTCTTTTCCCTTCTTGCAAACAGCTCCCTTTTTCGGTCGTGCTCCGTTCTCTCCTCCATATCATCTCCGTTCTCTCCTCCATATCATCTCCGTTCTCTCCTCCATATCATCTCCGTTCTCTCCTCCACCATATCATCTCCGTTCTCTCCTCCATATCATCTCCGTTCTCTCCTCCATATCATCTCCGTTCTCTCCTCCATATCATCTCCGTTCTCTCCTTCATATCATCTCCGTTCTCCGTTCCCCTTCCATCCCCATCTCTTCCCTTAAAATCTACTTTTTTCTATTTTATTGCTTTCCAAATGATGTACCTTTTTTTGAACCCAATAAATTTAGAAGATAGAACTCAATAGAACTCAAATTGAAGTTTTCAAAGCGTTTTTCCTACACTTCTGATCAAACACGAGCTGATCTCATTAATGTTTCCGGTGGAAAAGCAAGCAAAAACGCGTTTGTTTTGCGATAACAAAAAACGGAGTGCATTTTCCCTAGAGACAAGAGGAAAAGAATGTCTGGTAAACAACTCGGTGCCACGAATGTTTGAAAGGAAAACATAGACTTGGGTGTTGCATCGATTCGTGTTTGTTGTTTTTTTTTGCTTACGTTAGTGCGTCTTGCAAGGATCACGAGCCATATTTTTGAGGGAAAATTTGGCGAGATGGAGAGAAAAATTCTCCTGCAGCAGAAAGATGCCCTTCTGCTACACGGGAAAAAGGGGGGATTGGGGGTGAGAGAGGGATTGATCGAGTCCTCTTCTTCGTGCCCCTCTTCGCCTTTCCTGCAGCCAACGTTTCATTCTCTTTTTTTGCAACACTCCACCACCTCTTTTCTTTTCTCCTTTCGTCATCTTTGCTCCCATTTACAAGTAAAATTTTCTTTTCCTTTCAAAATTTAAAAATCTCCTTTCAAATCTCTTTCCCGAGATTTATCATTTATTTCATCTAACTTTGCTCTTCTCCAATTTTTCGAAACAGTGAAACGCTGAGAACTCGTGTTTCAGTCTTTTCAACTCTCTAAAATGATTTCCTAATGTTTTCCACCTATTTCACTTCTTCTATCCTTCAAAATCTCATACAAAAGTTCTCTGAATGAGACAAGAAAAATGTGCGGACAGCTGGCATTTCATTTCGCCGATCACATTGATAGAAAAGATTAAAGGCGAGGGGAAAAATAACGAATTAACAGTTTTATTGACATGAAACGCGAGCAATGGAGCCAAGAGAGGCAAAACAACGATGCGAGAGAGAAGTAAAAGAAGTTTTTTTATTGCTCACTTCAGTCCAATCATCTTTCTCACTGTGCCCATGTCTTTCTCTCTTTTCCTTTTCTTTCTTTCTTTCTTTTCCTCTCCTCATCGCCAAGCATCTCTTCTCCAATATCTTCTACTTTTCTCACCAATCTTTTCCACTTTTTCCGTTTCCCCTTTTTCCCCTTTTCTGTTCTCGTTCTTTTGCAGCGCCACAACTTTGCAAAACGCTCGGCCACCGATTTGCAGATATATTTTTTTTTGTTCAAATCTAACGGGCGCCTCATTCTCGTTAATCGATTCCCTGTTTCACTTTGATAGTTTCAACCAATAAGTGTTTTCAGTAAAGTCGAATGAATTGAATGGAAACGGATTTCGAAGAAAGCTGCATTCTTGTCGAGTGTTCCCAGTGTGGGATTCGCGTCGACTCGCCGGAGGTAAACTTTTGCAAAGCGCAAAAGAGCAAAACGTTTTATAACCCCTAAAGCAAACGCAAAAAGTACTCGGCGTTTTTCAAAACCTTTTTCAATATCAATGTGTTTGTTAGGAGCTCTGTGATCACACCTCAAAAGAGCACAATCGACTTTCCACCTACTCACGTCAATTCTTTCATACGAAGGCTGCATTTCAGGTATGAGAAACGTAGAAAATCGAAAGTTTACAATATAGAAAATTCCAACATTTCACTTTTAGCATTGGCTTTCTCGAATTGAAGGTGGACGGGCAGAATACGCGGGAATTGTTGCCAGCGCTTCATCAGATGGTTTGAACTTCAACGACAGGGTTTGAACATTCAATTTTAATTTTTAAAAATTTGAGTTTAGGAGTATTATTTGCTGTGTGGCAAAAAAGCCTCAATATGTAATAAACGGCGGCGAACGAATGATATTGAAAACACTTCCGGTATCAACTTTTTTTTAAACTTATCTCTTGAAGATCACGTTGTCTAGATTCTGAGCCCGAATTTTTGATTGAGGAGAATTGCCCGCTCGTCTCTTGCACCGCTTTCGTCCATGTTTGCGAAAGGATCAATGGGTAAACAAAAAAAAACACAAAACTCTAAACTTTCCAGAATTTAGCAGCGTTGACGCCACGTATTGCTTATCGCACAACGTTCATTCGCCGCTTTCACGAAGAAAAACGAACTATAGGTTGCGAAAGGTTTTCTTTTTTGCTAATAACCCAAAAAGCTTTAGATCATTAAAAAGAACATCGAGTATGTTGGATGAAAACGATGACGAAGATTTGGAGGTACAATAATCATGGGTGCAAATTTTGATGATCAAAAAGCATTCAGGTGAGTTGCTCGTCATCGTCCGCGTGTAGCTCGGCTCAATCATCACCATTGCACCCATGGACCGAAACAAACACAACAAATGGTGACACGCAAAGTTCTCTTTATGATGTGGGTTTAATTTTTAAAAGATCTACAAAAGAATACACAATAACTAAGATAACAAAGTTAAGCTGTTAACAAAGTTTTTGAGAAAACAGCTTTTGGAAACATTTTTTAAGGCTATCCGCTTATCTGTAATTGTTTTTGTCTTAAGCGTTTGCAGCAAAGAACCTGTAAGAAGCTGGCTTTAGAAGCTTTGGAAGCTTTGGGAGCTTTAAAACCATTAAATGATTATAAAAACAACTTTTTATGTTCCAGAAGGACCAGTTTGGTTGGGAGCGGAGTTGAACCCGCGAGCAAAAAATGCCATAGTTTTGTAGGCTAGTGCACTATCCCTTAGGCTATCGCCGCTCCTTCCCGCTTGGCGCCGCTTTATAGACGAGGTAGCAGTTTGCCGAAAACTTTACACGCGTTTTTTCAACGGAAGTATGAATAGGAACGAAAAGATTTTCTGGATAGTCTAATACAAGCCTTGAGAATTCAAACAGCTCCATTTCTAAGTTCGCATTATTATTAAAACCAAACTAGCTAAATAGCCATTAAACAATCATTTCCATTTGATTTCCATTTGATTTCCATACCATTTCCAGCTCTCCGCCTATGATCTCACTTCTGTAAACTCTCATATCACAGCTCGCTTGGACTCGACCGCGGATCGACTCCGAACTTTAACCAAAGTAACTTTTGATCATAAAACCTTCGAAAATCCAAAAAAACAACTATTCCCAAAAAAAACGCTTTCCAGGTGTTGGCAAAGTTGGCGGTCGATGTGCAAAAATGCGAGCGGATACGAAACTTTCATGTGTAGAAACCTCGTTGAATTCAGAAAAACAATTTTGCGTCATTTCGCCGTGCTTGTCGCTTTTTTTGCACTCTTTTCTTTTTCTGACCGGTCTCCATCCCAACGAAACAAGGCTGCCTATAAGCTTCATACATATCCCCTGATTTTTGATGATCCCGGTGTATATAAGTGTTTTATTTTTCTGTTTGTCTATGTGATTTTGTGCTTGATTCGATTTTTTTTTGTGAAGTAATTTTTCCATTCTTAGCAGCGTATTATCTTTCTAAAATCAGCGATTGCCATGTGATGAGATTTTCCTCGAGGGTTAATAAAATTTATTTTTACGAGCGATTACCGAGCGATTATTCAAGCGTTTTTTTTTTTTCGAAACAAACAGAAACAGGAAACTCGAGAATAGCTCGATAAAAAGGATGGATAAGTTTAAAAATGTGTTTAGAGGAAATGAGGCTTTTCGTGATTAGTCGAAAGAAACTCCAATTTATTGCAAGCTCTTGGCATTTCGAAAAAAGATTTTTTGATTGAAAGAACATTAGAACATTAGAAAGACTGATTTGAGCAAAAATTCAGTGAAATACAGGGGGTGGGACAAATGCGATCTTTTTTTGCGCACCTGGACATTTGCGCACCTTTTTTTTGCTGGAAAAGGCCTTAGAAAAGGCCGTAGAGCTTCAAAAATGTTTTCATAGAAGGGAATCGTATGCGTAGATTCCGAATTTTGACAAATCAGACCTCGCTGACATGTCAAATTTGGGCTAAAAGGCAAAAACTATGCAACTTAACGCTTTTCCGCAGTTTTTCCCTTTTAGCCCAAATTTGACGTGTCAGCGAGGTCTGATTTGTCGAAATTCGGAATCTACGCATACGATTCCCCCACGTGGAAACATTTTTGAAGCTCTACGGCCTTTTCTAAGGCCTTTTCCAGCAAAAAAAGGTGCGCTTTTGGCCGGGTGCGCAAAAAAAAGATCGCATTTGTCCCACCCCCGAAATATAAGTGAAAGATCATGATGAAAACAAAATTTAAAGTCGATACGTCGAAAAGTGGTCGGCGATGCGCTGAACCCTGTTGAAAAGAACATCGAAAACTCTGATGTCGTCGGCAGAAAGACCATGAAGAGATAACAAATCTCGAGACACCCATGACCAAATCTAGAAAAATATCTCCTATACAGTGCCGGACAAAAGTTCAAGAACATGGCCTCCAGTTATGGAAATATTAGGTTGAGGAAAAAATAATGTCGGTTTTGAATTCCCGTTGTTGGCAATTTTCCAGTTCTTTGCTTATGCGGAAGAAGTAATGTCGGTTTTGGTTGTGGGGATTGACCTTTGATCGTCCGTTTCTCGTCTTGGAGACTTTCATTTCCATCTTTGAACCGCTGAAACCATCTTTGGCATTGTCTTTCGCTAATGCTGATTAGCTGATTCGCTGATTAGCTGATCAGCATTAGCGAAAGACAATGCCAAAGATGGTTTCAGCGGTTCAAAGATGGAAATGAAAGTCTCCAAGACGAGAAACGGACGATCAAAGGTCAACCCCCACAACCAAAACCGACATTACTTCTTCCGCATAAGCAAAGAACTGGAAAATTGCCAACAACGGGAATTCAAAACCGACATTACTTTTTCCTCAACCTAATAGCTCAATATCTTTTAGAAGGTGAAGAATTTCATTTAGATTTAGAATTTCATTTCATTTAGGTCTTAAAATCATTTTTGTTTGCCTCAATTTCAGGAATTAAATACATGTTATAACAGGTCACAAATCTAAATACAAAAAAGTCTTTGAGATTTTATAGGAAAGATTATTCTAGCCGGTATTCTAGCCGGTATTCTAGCCGGTATTCTAGCCGGTATTCTAGCCGGTATTCTAGCCGGTATTCTAGCCGGTTCTAGCCGGTATTCTAGCCGGTATTCTAGCCGGACAAAAGCTTAAGAACAAGCATTGTTTTAACGCAATATTTATTGTTTTTTCTTTCTTTTCGTCCTTCTGTTGAAAAATCACAAAAATTCACCAATTAATCTATCGTTTTCTTTAAATAAAAATGTTTATTGTTCAATTTCCCAACTTTTAAACTCAATTTCGATCCAATTTCTATCTTTTAAAGTCAATTTTGGTTAATTTTCAAGCAAATTCGAGTGTTCTTGGCAAAAATCAATAAAAACTCTAGGAAGAAATTGGATGAATGAATTTCTAGGAGAATTTAGCTATATACTAGACTTTTTATGCTTTTATCTTTTATCTATTGACACCAAGATAGGTTTTCTTGAGCTAAAAAGCTTCTTAGCATCATGGAGCCGTCGCTAACGCTAACGCTAACGCCAGAAAGCAATCAACCTGTCGTCCATCATTGTATGCCTGATGGTCGCTCGTGTAGCTTTCCATTTCACCCGTCATTAAATGCCGATTCAGAATTGGTGACCTACACTTTTTGACAAGAAATTTGCAAAAAAAAAATCACCTTTGTTTCCCTTGAACATCGTGAGACAAATCGATTTCCACTGTGTCTTCCAAGCACTCGCTTATTGAGCCCTTTCAATAAAAATTTAGATGAATCTGGCTTTGATCTTACTAGAGTTAAAGAGCATCCATCGGTTCCATGTTCGATTCTCGTTTGCATATGCTGAAAAGCGGCTCGAGAAAGGATATGAACTTCAGCGCTCTCGCTTTTCTCAGCCATTCCTGGGCATTCCTCGCTTTTGCATTCTCCATCCTTCATCTCACTCATCATACTGTAATTTCTTTTTCCTCTCACCTTTTTTGAATCATTCCTTCCCAATATCGCTAGATATCGTTTACTTGGGTCAAAAAGCTGAAACTTTTTGTTTTAATCTTTCATTTACTTATCGCTGATCACCTCTAATGCATATTTAATCGAATCAATGACAAGAAATGTGTCATCAAAAGTAAAGATGAACCAATCCGCCGAGACAGGGACAAATCTCGCTAAGAAAATAGTTTCCGCTCTATAAAATGTTCTATAGATTGTTCTAAAGATTTCTACCTGAGCATTGGCCACGGGTATCGCTCATTATATTTCAACGAAACAAAGCGATATTCATTGCTGAGTCGAGTGTTTGTGAAAAGCAACGAGTAATCACTTTGTCCAAGCCATGAACGATAGACAGCTTTTGTCTAGAGAAATCTTGATTAAATCAAAGCTTTTATAAGGCGTATATAAGGCGACGGACGGATCCGTGTCGGTGTAGCTCATTGGTAGAGCGTTCGCCCGGTAAGCCACAAGTGGTAAGCCACAAGTGGTAAGCCACAAGTGGTAAGCCACAAGTGGTAAGCCACAAGTGGTAAGCCACAAGTGGTAAGCCACAAGTGGTAAGCCACAAGTGGTAAGCCACAAGTGGTAAGCCACAAGTGGTAAGCCACAAGTGGTAAGCCACAAGTGGTAAGCCACAAGTGGTAAGCCACAAGTGGTAAGCCACAAGTGGTAAGCCACAAGTGGTAAGCCACAAGTGGTAAGCCACAAGTGGTAAGCCACAAGTGGTAAGCCACAAGTGGTAAGCCACAAGTGGTAAGCCACAAGTGGTAAGCCACAAGTGGTAAGCCGCTCGCTTACCGGGTGTCGCTGGGTTCAAATCCCAGCGCCAACCAGGTTTTGTATTCCAGTCAATAAAAGGACTGGCATTTAGTAACCTTATCCACATCGGTCATTGTTAAAAGAGTGAAAAATGATGGATACGAGATTGGAGTCAAGAGAGCCACGTCGTAGAACGGAATCCGATACGTCACTTGCACATACAGTAATCTGAATCAAGACAATTCACCAATTTTCTAAAACTTTGAACCGAAGACACGTCCCGAAAAGCACCAAGAAGACAAAGTGGCTCAGCGATGTATGGAAACGTTTGAAACGCATACGACGCAAAGGCTATCCTTCTAAAATCAATTTTTAGAATCCAATTCAATCTCCAATTCCAATCCCCTCACTTTATCATTAGAAAATCAAATTATTAAACGTTTAAGCTACGGTTTTTATGTTAATTAAACTTGTAAACGATGACGTAACAATCACCTGTCCCTTGTTCGTGAAGAGGCATGCTATCACCGCGAATTGCAGGTGCTTTCTAGAGGAGAAGAAAAAATTCTGGGGCTCAACTGAATAGGCAATGAATTGAACAATAAAATCAATGAATTGAAATGGAAGAGAAAGTTGGGGATGAACCGAAAAAGGGCAATGAGCAAGTTGAGGAGAGCACAATCTCGAGCCGCCATCTACCGCCAACTCCCTTCTCACCACTCGATGAATGAATGTCCACATGCCGAGTTTTTCCTTTTCTCTTCAAAATCGCCATGCTTTCGTCATTCATTTTAACCATTTATTCATTCCTTTCTTTATGGACGATGACTTAAGCTTGTACTCAAAAAAGGAACTTTTTACGTGAATTTTTGAAAGGAATCAATTACATACCGTATTTTCTCTAATAGTAGTGCACCTCGGTGAGCCGAGTTGGCGACTATTTTACGGTTTCCGAGCTTTTGCAGAAGCTCAACACTCAAATCCCCCCACTAGATCTCATCGTCAGCTACATTTTCCGACCCCACATCGATAGGTTCTGATAAGCGGTTCTCGAGATTTCGAGCAATTTAGGCGACGCTCTGAGTGCACTACTATTAGAGAAAATACGGTATATAAAAGAGCAGTGTCTGTCTGTCTGTATGGGCATTTTCTTTGCCGTGTTTTCACCAATAAAGCTAAAACTTCTTTAGAAAACCTTAGAATATATTGGAGTTGTGCCATTTAAAATAAAAAAAGCAGAAGCCGAGATCGAGTGGCACTTTGCGGGGTCGAACCCACGTCACGAGACTAGCGGACAAGCGCCAGAGAAAAACCCGCTCCCGACTACGTCACGGTGACTATAAATCACCTCCAAAGCATCCAGCTAGAAAAACCCGCCGTTGGGGTTTTTCGGCTTTAATAAATGTGTTCTTCAAGAAACAGTACATACACGTTTTATTATCCCAATTCATAACTAAAGAAAGAACTATTTTTTGTCCAGTGTTTATACAAATCACTAATAGAGATGATGATCAAAGTGTGAGAAAAGCTTTATAGCAGATTGGAGGTTCTTCTCCAGTGGCTTCAGCAACTCAATCCTTCTCGTGTTCAAAAAGTCCCAGAGAAGAGTCTAAATTTGGAGTCAATTTGGAGTTATTGTTATTATTTGATGGTGAAACTTACATAAAGTCTGGACAAGGCTTTCCACTCTTCTCGGCACTCTTCATAGCGATACAAATACAAGAGACCGTATCCGTTTTCGATGATCATTTGCGCCAATTTACAGGTTTCTTTGATAACAACGGCAATCGATCGAGAAGCCGAGTTTTTCTTGAGATCATCGACAAGAATCCTTTGTGCTACTTGATCCAATCTCCATTGGCGAGCGGCTAATGCTGGCTAAAAAAAGAGTAACTGCTGGTAACTGTAATAACTGTAATAACTGTTACCCTATTCAACTCACTTTTCCATATCGTCCATCTAAAGAAACCTTTTTCTTTTGAAGTACTTTCACCTTGTAAGCGCCACCATCAAAATGGTAGAGTCTCTTAAAAACTATTTGAAACAATGCATTGACTTTTTGAAAACCTGAACAGCATGATATCGGGCATCTTTAATAATGAGCGGTTGATGAGCCTGTTGGAGTTGAATGTGACGAGGGGAAAACGCCTTTCCACATCCAGAGCATTGACTCGTCTCTTGGCCTTCCTCAATCTGAAAATGATTTCATTTTAGCTTTCTTGATGCTTTTTAAATATATAGCAATTTATAGTGACTTTTTAAAACTAACCTCAATCAGCACTCCACAAATGCAAGTGATTCGCCAAACGAGATTCGTTTTCCTTGTCATTACAGCATCTAAAGAGCATTTCAGTATTTTACAATAATATTAAGCTGTCCAGAAAATCTTTCACTTTCAACGAAAGTACGAAAAGAAACGAAAAGACTTTCTGAAAAGCCGATTATCTTGACTATTATTTAATTTCACTTACAATAGTCCTCAAAAAGGAGACTCCAATCAACATGCTCAGCACAGCTCAAAGGGAAATGAGGCTCAGAAAGACATAAAGCGCAGAAATGGCTTGAGCATTCGTTGCAAATCACATCAGCATCTGAATCTTGACTATTGAAAATTTCTAGAACCATCTCACCAAATTTATTCGAAAGATCTTGAGCGAATGGTAGAAAAACAGCCTTGTCACAACGAGGACAAAGCAGCCAATGCCCAACATTCAAAACCTCGGCAGCCACTCGATTATAATAAATATCGATTTGTTTCAATGGGACAAAGAAGGGCAAAATATCGATTGTCGAATATTCGCTTGAGAAAATCTGGAGACGAGTTTTACATGAACAAGTTTGACAAACCGTAGTCGCTTTTCCGGCTATCATTTGAGTGAACATCAGCAAGCGAACACAGTTTGAGCATAAATTTCCATAAACTGTTGGGAAAGGCTGTTCGATGGAATCGATTTCGCAAAGAGTGCATTTTTCAGCTTGCGTGCATATGATCATTGTCTTGTCATCAGTTGACTCCAAATCAGTTTCATTCTTAACGTTTTTTCAATGATTTTCTTTATTACTCAGATCTTTATTACTTCCCGAATCGCTGAAAGGACTTCGGAACGAGTGGGCGCAATGGCAAAAGTACCGTGAAGAGTTGAGTTGGCTTGTGAGGAGAAAAGATGTGGTTGACGAGTGCATCGAGAATCCATCTTCTTTTCAATATATCTAGAATCGTTAACTATAAAATGTTCAAAAAATTTCATTTCAACTCAAATTTCTAAAAAAGTTGCTATGAAAACTATGAAAACAGCTCAAAAACTTGATCCACTTAAACTTTTCAGAGATTTGAATTGAAATATTGGGTTGGTGAGTTGAAAACTGCCGACTATTTTGTCATATGTGACAGTTTGAACACTTTCTTCAAAAGAAACCCATTTTGGTGTCAATGGAAAAGTTGTAGAGAATCAAAAATCAAGCTTATATCCAAATTCTCAGAACGATTCAAAAACTGGTTTTCAAGAAATGCCAAATTTACGAAACTTTCACAAAACTTGCATTTTAAGCGAAACTACTAAGTGTATCTTTTTGGAAATTTGGCTATAAGCCTCATTTTTGATTCTCTACAACTTTTCTATTGACACCAAAATGGGTTTCTTTTGAAGAAAGTGCTCAAACTGAGACATCGATTTTCTCCAGTCCTCCATTTTTGAGTCTCACACTTGTCTCACACACAAACCAAAATCCTACTAGAATCCAAAATCCGAAAGAGAAATCCGCAAATTGACTGTAAAATGGGCAGAAGTTGTCAATAATAATGGATGTTATTTGGAATGAATTGATGGTTTTATGTTGAATAAATTTTAGTTCAAAGTCCCGCAGTTTTCAATTCACCAACCTAATAGAAACTTTTTTTTGAACAGTGGATAGTTGTTTTCTTTGTCTTTCAAAGCTTACTTCTTTTCTTTCCATCCTTGAACTACTTTCAAAATGTGAAAGAGAATTGCATCGACAATACCCTTTGTGTCATTTCGAAAAGAATATCTGAGCAACATATCGAGCATTCGATCAGCTGGATAAATAGTGTTGATAGTGATCCTAATTTCAGAAATCTTAGATAGCTTTTGTTTCATCACTTACTTGACAATTGGAAGTGAGAGGTGAAAAGCGACAAAGAGTTGCGAGCGCTCGGCTGACTCGGAGGGATTTGTCAGCAATCGAGTCAAATCACAAAGAGCTCTTTGAGCATCAATCCATTTAACGACATCCGAGAAGTTGTGCAACTAAAATGAAAAAAAACATTGACTCTACATTGATAATGAAAATAGAATTGTTGCACCTCATCAATGAATGTTTGTTGATCTCCACTGTAGTGAATAACAAAAGATCCAAAGTGTCCACATTGATTCGAGAAAACTTTCTCCAGATTTTTCTCGTTTTTCTGTGATCGATTTGAGATTAAATTGAATTTTTCATTTTCAATTTTTTCAGTAAAAACACAGCTTTCAATTTCTTCTTCAATTTTCTCTTCATTCTAAATTTCTTTTGAATTGAAAAACTTTGAATCGGTTAGATTAACCATTAACTCCCAGTCATTTGATGTGTCTTCAGTAGTCGCTAATGATCGATTTCTTGTTCGTTTCTTTGTCGGAACAATGAAATCACTCAAAGTTGTACTGGAAATTCGAATATTGCGATTGAGTATTACTTTGTATTTTTTACCTCTTTCGACTATCACTTAAAAACTCTCGAGCGTCCTCGTCGACTTCAAGATGTTGAGCGTCGGCTTGATCATCGAGATATTCAGCCCAGTGCTCGTCATCGTATTCCGGGAGGCAACTGCTGAACTCATTTTCTTTTAAATTCAAACTTTTAACAAACCAAACATATGATTGATTGTACAAAAACAATTCAAGCTCTCCTTTGTCTTCTTTGATTTCGTTTTTCCAGTAACCTATAAGAAAAAGAAACGATTATTTTTATTTTGAAAAATCAGCAGAGCTATCGGCAGAGCTATCGGCAGAGCTATCGGCAGAGCTATCGGCAGAGCTATCAGCAGAGCTATCAGCAGAGCTGATAGTTTCCATTTCAGCTTTTCTTTAAACTACAGTAATTCATATCCAATAAAAAAGCCTTTTCAAATTAAATTTTTAAACTTTTTATGAATTTTTGAATCCACGAGATACAATTGAGGAAATTCAAAGCTCGCCATAGGATCTTTTAAGCATTTTTTTTGTTTTTTTACAAGATTTTCAAAATAAATGATTCAACGTCATACAAAAAACTCTTTTGCACTTTAAAAAACAAACGAAAAGTGAGAATTTAGCGTTAGTAATGGAGACAGATATTAACAAATTAAGAATTAAGAGACAGACAGAGAATTGTAGAGAATTAAGGCATTGTAGAGGTCGAAAGGCTAAGGCTAAGCTCAAATCGAAAATCTTTACTAAAAACATTCTAAAGATTTTATGCACTTTAAAGCAATCATCAAATTAAAGCTGAATTTTGGAGTTGATAGTGAGATAAGTGCCTTCGAAACATTGAATAAAAGAGTCCTTTGCACGAGTGCATCTTGCTCACATTGTACATAATCCTTATGTACAATGTGAACAAGATGTACAAATGGTGGATCTCCATATATGGAGATATGGAAAGATTTTTAGACTCTTATCTTTTGTCCAAACTAACCCCAATGTCCACCAGTTCGAAACATTGAATAAAAGAGTCCTTTGCACGAGTGCATCTTGCTCACATTGTACATAATCCTTGGTGGGATCACCGCATCTTTCCATTTCTCCATATTCTTCAATTCGAAAAAAAGAAAAAGATTTCTTGATTAACAAAAAGCACCAACTTTTCCCCGATAAGCCACACACGGTGTGCCACTCGCTTGATAGATCATCGATTTCATCTTAAAAGAGAAAATTAAACCTTTCAAAGTCTTTTGCTTTATATCTCTATAAAGCTTTATATCTCTTTATAGCTTTATATCTCTTTATAGCTTTATATCTCTCTTTATACCTCTCTTTATATCCCTATCTCTCTTTATACCTCTCTTTATATCCCTATCTCTCTTTATATCTCTCTTTATATCCCTATCTTTCTTTATATCTCTCTTTATATCCCTATCTCTCTTTATATCTCTCTTTATATCCCTATCTCTCTTTATATCTCTATGCTTGATCAAAATCTTTACAGAAGTCATTCTTCCAGTGTTCTCAACAGAAATAATTTCGTTCGAGTTTCGAATAAAGTTGATTCGATTGATATTTTCATGATCTAAAAGTCGATTTTTGAGTTTTGAATTTTGAATTTAAGAATTTAAGAATTAACACGTTGACGACAATGGCGTTTTTGCAAAAACAATCGCATGGGACAACGTCGTTTTTTTTCGACAAAAAATGTCACCTGACATCAGGTGACAATGTCCCAGGCGAACGAATATGTGTCAGACAGCATCAGGTGACAATGTCGTCAAAGTGTTAACAATATTTCTCACGTGTATTCCTGTATTCTTCAGCCAAATAGAAATCAATTCCATTATACTTTTTCATTTCCGTAAACTCTGCCAACACATCTGGCTTTAAAGACTGAAAATTTTCAAATTTTCAAATGAATTTTATTTTTTGCATCTCATCAAACCTCCCATCGACGATTTTTATCAATCGAATATTCACATCGAAAGTTCAGATCCGAATTCTCATAAATCTCCTTTTTCTGATTCTGAAAAAAAACCTTTTTGCAACAATTATTTATATCAAAATTACTCTAGAGAGACGATTTTGTGGATCCGCGAGGGTTTTGCTGATTGTATGGAATGGATGATGCTAAATTATTAGTTTACTCATTTTATTTTCATTGAAAAACCTTCTGAAAATACATATCAACATATCGACTTCGCTTCCATTTTGGACCCTTCTTCGTGTTTTCTTTCATAAAATCCGAAGAGTCCATACTTAAAAAGAAAGCTGAAAATGGGATGGATAAAAGTATTCAGTATCAGTTAACACTAAAATTGTTAAATGATCAAAGAATAGAATGTTCAGCATTTTGCTTAAAATGCTTTTCTCGCATCTCGCCAATGTAAGCCGATGGTCTAGTGGATAAGATGCTTGTATGCAAAACCGGCCTTCCACTTTTTGTTCGGGTTCGAGTCCTCGCCTTGCCTTGGAAGTACGAAAAGAAACGAAAAGGTCTAATATTTAAAGTTCTAAAGTTTTTGGAAAGAATAAGTTTAAAGCTATAGCAGAAAAAGCAGAAAATGAGTTGATCGTGAAGAAAAATTTCGAATAAATATCCGAAAAAGATTTGACGAGTTTAGATAGGAAAAGAGGTGAATGAGGCCGCCTCTCAGTCTCGATTGTCCCGTCTTGTGCAATATTTCGCCTCTCTTTCACCAAAACCGCTCAATGACTCACTTTTTTTATTTATCTTTCAGTCTTTTTTTTTCTTCTGACCAACCCCCAGAAGCATAAACGAAAATTTCGTTGCCCATGACTACAGATAAAAATTTCAGCTCCTCCAGCCTTTCAGCCGTCATCGAGCTTTCAAAAAAATGTCTCTAACACACCGACAACCCAACTCAACTCCTCCAACGTATTAGAGGGGAGTCCCTGTGAAATGACCGACCTGTACTGCAGTTGCATAGACCCGGAAGATACGTATCTTTATTTACAGTAAACAAACAGTCCATAATCTTGGCATTTCAATGTGAAATGTCAACCAATCACTTGAATTAGCCACAAAACACGTAAAATAGCAACAAATCACTCGATTTGAGCGAAAAACCCTGCAACAGTTGAGGTTTCGATTGTTTAGTGCATCTCCTTACGGAGACGCGTTCCAAAATTTGTCCGATACACTTCGACAAGGTCTCGGGGTTAATGCTAACCTCAAACTTGGGTAATTAAACCGAAGATGAATAGATTACAAATAAGGGTAAGGGGAAGGGGGGACTCCAAATGAGAGTCTCCCTTGTCCTCCTAGGCAATCCTAATGACCGCTCCTTCTCGGCAATAAAAGGGATAAGCACAGGGGAGAACACATTTGCATAAGAATAGACAAATCATTCAATAATAACAATAGTAACTCAAATATCAGTTTGGTTCGGAGCTGACAGTTCAAAAAAAATTTGCCTTAATTTTTGTGCGCTTTTTGGTAAACAATATCAGCAAAATGTATTTATCAAATGAAAAAAATTTATCAAAACTTGAAAAAGCGAACGAAAAGGTAAAAAAGGGTGAAACAAAAATTTGAAGCTCAAGGAAGCCTATCCGAATGATTTTCAAGATTCGGAGTTGAAACTCGACAAAAGAAACAACGATTAGACTCAATGAGGAGATCAGTCGAGAAAGATCCAAAGAAAGAAACCAAGAAAATATATTAACACTCGATTTTTCAGAACACGAAAAAGTCTAGAGAAAAACGTATAGCAAATATCGCTTTGGAAGACGATTTTCAAAAAATGGAGGAAAGATTGGAAACAAAAAAAAAAAGAAATTTTACCAATGATATGTGTTGTGTCAAATAAAAACCAAGAAAAACAGCCTTTTTCTTGTAGCATTTAAACCCAAGAGAGGGGAAATAAGTTAAAGTTTTCACAGATGAGTAGAAAAGAAAAAAAAATGAAAAAGTAACGTTAAATTTAAATTTAAACAATCGCTTTCATACTTTCATCTTGCAAAATCTTGATTTTATTTTTTGATTTAAATTCAACATTGATTAGTTGAATAGTTTTATGTTGAAAGAGTGACTAGGATTTCGAATTAAAAATGAGAATTTTCGGGGGTGGGACAAATGCGACCTTTTTTTGCGCACCTGGACATTTGCGCACCTTTTTTTTTGCTAGAAAAGGCCTTAGGCAAGGCCGTAGAGCTTCGAAAATATTTCGAAAATACTTCCATATAAGGGAATCGTATGCGTAGATTCCGAATTTCGACAAATCAGACCTCGCTGACACGTCAAATTTGGGCTAAAGGGCAAAAACTGCGGAAAAGCGTTAAGTTGCGTAGTTTTTGCCTTTTAGCCCAAATTTGACGTGTCAGCGAGGTCTGATTTGTCGAAATTCGGAATCTACGCATACGATTCCCTCATATGAAAACTTTTTTGAAGCTCTACGACCTTTCCTAAGGCCTTTTCTAGCAAAAAGGGGGCAAATGTCCAGGTGCGCAAAAAAAGGTCGCATTTGTCCCACTCCCGAATTTTCGACTAAAGATGAAGAAATGAGGGGGTAGGCTAATTTTGTGCCAAATTTTTTGCGCAACTTGTCATAACTTTCTTCTAAATGAACCAATCTTTATAATTATGGTGTCATTTTGTAGATCTCAATAAGTGCAACAAAATGACACTAAAAATCATAAAGATTGGTTTATTTAGAAGAAAGTTATGGCAAATCGGGGTAGGCTACTTTGCGCCAAATTTTTTGCGCAACTAGGTCTTTTGCGCAACTCACCATAACTTTCTTCTAAGTGAACCAATTTTAATGATTTTGGTGTCATTTTGTTGCACTTATTGAGATCTATAAAATGACACTATAGTCATAAAGATTGGTTCATTTAGAAGAAAGTTATGGTGAGTTGCGCAGACCCAGTTGCGCAAATGACCCTGTTGTACAAAAAAATTTGCGGAAATTAGCCTACCCCGAAATGAGACCATCACAAACGAGTAAACGATTCCGAGCAACTCGAGAGAAAATCAAGAAAATATGAGAATTATACGGAAAAACTAACAAAAAAAAGAGGAATTTGTGAAATTCGTGAGTGCGAATGTGAGTAGAGTGTGTTCCTCGCGATTATTATTCTTTAATATTAATTTTTTTTCCGAAAACTTGCCCACGAGAACAATACAAAGTTCTATATATGCAAAAATAGAGAAAATAAGAAAAAAATTTTATATGATACGCGTCTCGCCCCTTTTCCCATTGACAATCAAACTTTGAGCTCAAATTTCTTGGTGTTGGCCTTCACAATTCGAATAGTTTTTGTACAATCGACAGTGAAAGACTTCGCGCATCCAATGAGACCAAGAATATTGAAATTAGACAGCCGAACACAAAGAAATTTGAGCTCAAAGTTGGATTGTCAATGGCGCGTATCAAATGTTCGATATTCAGCTAAAGGAACTATAAAGGAACCAAATTTAAAGAGATATTGAACCAAATTTAGAGAGATAAGGAACTAAATTTAAAGGGATAGGGAACCAAATTTAGAGAGATAGGGAACCAAATTTAAAGAGATAGGGAACCAAATTTAGAGAGATAGGGAACTAAATTTAAAGGAATAGGGAACTAAATTTAGAGAGATAGGGAACTAAATTTAGAGAGATAGGGAACTAAATTTAAAGGAATAGGGGCCAAATTTAGTCAGGAAACCAAATTTAGTCAGGGAACCAAATTTAAAGAGATAGGGAACCAAATTTAGTCAGATAGGGACCAATCGGTCAATGCGAGAGCGGATTTTAAAAACGAATCTAGAATCGACGGATAACTAATCCGTCGATTAAAATCAACAATCGAGTTGATTAAAATTTTAATCGCTCAACTTTAATCGATTAATGATCGCATGGGAACACACTCTAAATGTGAGTGGAGTGATGGAAATTGTGTATTTGTAATTGTATACCTTGATCAACTACTCAAAAAAAAAATATTGATTAAAAATGTGCAAATCTTAAAGAAAATGGAGAAGGGGAGTGCTGGTTTTCGAGATTTGTGAGCTTCTAAACATTTTGGTGATACCACGTAAGGAAATTTGATTGGGTTAAGGTGCTTTTGTGCGGGGAAAAGACGTAAAAAGGTTTACGTTTTGAAAAATTTCAACTCTTTTCATTTAAGATTTTTTCAAAACGTAAAGCGCAAGTGCTAGGGGCGTGCTGCGCAAGTGCTAAATTCTAGAAGTCTTTTGAAACAGACAGTCAATCGATGAAAGTAAAGTTTACTTGCTTTTTTTCATAAATCAAAGACAAAAGAGTCTGTTTTTTTCAAAGACTAGTCTGTTTTTTGATGAGAAAGTCAAAAGATTTATAAAGAATTTAAAGATTAGATGCCCGAGTCTAAAGAAGAGGCTCGATTGAGGAAAGCTCTCGTCACCGATGAAGGCCTTTCCGCCTCCGAAAGCATTGGATCGTGATTGACGCCATAGATCTGAATGGAATTTGATTAGAAAAACAAATCCGTACAAAACACCCGTATAAGAATCGGTTACTGGTAGAACTTCGATCGATCGAGCAAAGATCGATTTCGATTTATCAAGATCAATCGATTCATTAAGATCGATCGATTCATTAAGATCGATCGATTGATTAAGATCAATCGATTCATTAAGGTCAATCGATTCATTAAGATCAATCGCTTTATCAAGATCGATCGATTCATCAAGATCGATTTCAATTCATCAAGATCGATCAATTCATCAAGATCGATCGATTTATCAAGATCGATTTCGAAATTTATTAAACCGATTCTCATTAGGTACATTGAAACGCTTATGCAGATAAATACAGGGAAATTGATTGACAAGCTAGCATCAAATATAAATATAAACGAGCTGATGAGAGATTGGGGGAATTTGGTAAGCAGACAAAATACCAAGAGAAAATTCAAGTTTTGAGATACTGTCAAATCTAGTTATTGCCCATGACAGTATACCATTTTAGACTTACTATACTAAAGGTATAGTAAGCTTTTCAGCTAAATACTATGTTGAAAAATTACAGAATTTTTAAGAAAATCAGCTTTTCAACTTGTTTCTATTCCTTGGAATTCTGTCTGTCGCCAAAATTTGCATTCAGAGCGCGCAACAGGCAACATTTTTCAAGATTTTACGATCTTTTTTGTCTGAAAACACAGGAGTTGAAGTTTTGTCTTTTTGCAGGCAAAGATATATGCGATTCTTTTATGCACAACGAAAATTTGGGGAATTTTTTTTTGTTGCGATCATCACCAGAGATCGAATAGAACTAGAATAGATGGAAGAAAAAAAAAAATAGGACAACGAACGTTCCAACATTCCGTACTTTCAAGATTTACCCATTTAAATTCAACTCGTCAGGATCTGCATAAATGAAATGAAAATTTTGTACATTTTGAAGAAACAACATCAAGATTTAATAGTTTTTTTCTCTTTGTAGACTTTGTAAAATGTTTACCAAAGCTAGAAAAGAAAAAAAAAGAGAGAAAGAAAGTTCTGAAATGATCTAAGATAATGATTTAAGCATGAGCCATGCAATATTTTGATTACACCATAGAGAAAATAAAAAAAAAATTTTTATTGGGTTGTCCAGTTATGAATGCGCGTTTTTTACTATTTTGTAAATTTCTCAAGATACCGAAAAAGATATATATGAGTATTATTCGAAAGCTGAAGATCTCCTCTACATTTTGATATAAAAAGTTTTTGAATTTGTTCAGCTTTTGGGCAAATTGATGGCACCGAAGAAGAGGTGGCCAAAAAATGGAAAGGTGCCTTTGGATCAAGTTTTGGCTCCGCTCAAATTGAGTTAACCGTTTGATGCTTGGCCAATAGATATATCAGTACAACTTTTTTTTAATATAACAATTTCAGAGCATCTTTTCTTTTCTGGGCGGTTATTTTACACCATAAAACTTGAGGAATAGCTAAGCTGGGATAGGTTTTTTCGAAAACGACCGACCTCTCCCTTTGTGCAGTCAATTTCCCAAAAAGTTGAATGAATTCAAAAACTTTTTTATTCCAAAATGTAGAGGAGATCTTCAGCTTTCGAATGATATATAAGACTCCTATACATCTATTCGATGTCTTGAGAAATTTACAAAATAGTAAAAACGCGCATTCATAACTGGACAACCCAATACTTTTATCAAGTTTTAACTAGAAATTATTTAGTTTTAAATGTTTCTTGAAGAGATGACTATAGTGACTATAGTTTATGACTATAAAACAAGTTGATTTTCTTATTGATTCACTTACTTTAATCGCTTTTCGACCCATTCGTTGTAAAAGTTCAGATGAGACGCGGTGAGCGGTGCGCAACGATGTGTGCCACTCTTTCAGTGAAATTTCATCCTAAAATTCGTCGAGAATTTCGCTATTTTGCTATCTTTAGATACCTGATTTGTTAGAATGACTTTGCTTTCTTTCAAACCCTCCTTTAGTTTCACGACTATCGCATTCTCGCCTTTCACCGTTTGCAACTCCGAGCCAACGTCCTCGATTTGATCCATGAATACCAACTAAAATTTTCGAAATTACCAATTTACCTCAGAAATCTTTGGCTTCACCTCGGGTTTCCCTGATAGAGATTCTGGATAGAGCTCTAAACGACTTGGGTACAATTTGCCGTATCGTGTTTGCCAAGCTGACGTGAATGGACCACCAAGTTTCTTGATGTATCCATGAACGATCACATCCGAATCTGAAAGGTTTCATTGAATCTCAAGTTCTCAAGATCTCAAAATCTCAACTTCTCAAGTTTTCACTCACCTTTTTCGTCGACATTCATTTTTGCCTTGTGCTTCGCTTTCTTCTTTTGCTCGGCCTTATCGGCGTCTTGGTTCACCACCTGAATAGAATCATTCATGATAGAATACATTAGAAAACATCCTTCACTGTTATAAATGATTGATTGCACATCAATACTATTTTACACTTGTTTTTTTTTGTATTTCTTAAACGGTGCTCCTTTGTCGCAAAAGCTTTTATTTCTTGCAAGAGAAAAAGGATCAGTTTCGCTTTTCTGAAGATTCCTTTCTCACTTTTAATTTACCACTTTGTGAATTTCTTTGTTTCTTTATGCTTTTGCATCTATCTCGTTAATTTGCCATACTTTGCGCGTAATTTCTTAGTCTTTGGTACCTTTGGGATTTGGATAAATGTATTGCGGACTTATTTTGTATGAAAGAATAAGGTACAGAGGTCGTTGAACAATCTGTAAACTCGTCTTGAGATGTTGAAATTTTATACTGAGGGTTTTTGATAATATGCCGGTGATGAAAGCCGGGGTCCATGTGTAATAACATGAAAATAACATGAAAAACATAATTTGAAAATTGCCACCAATCGATTCAGCATCATCAAAAACCCCAGTGTAAACTTTCAAGATGCCAAGCCGGATTTACAGATTACAGCTACCTTTACACCAAGAATCGTATTGACATAAGGCTTTCTAAAATGTTTCTTGATTCATGCATAGTTTTTCTGAATTGATTTGAGATATGAGCTTTGTTGTGTCAGAAAGTGCTTGAGGTTGGGCTGCCTACGCCGTCACAATTGTCATTCAATCCTACTTTTCCCTAGAAATCGGATAGGAACTCCGAACCCCATCTAACTGTATAAAGTTTCTAATCCAAATTTTTCCACAGATAGCCAATCTCACCTCGAATATCGTTTCGGCGACCTCATTTTGCCATCGTTCCGATATCGTAATATTGAAATTCTTGTATAATTCGTTATCGCCTTCAGCCAACTAAAATGAAATATTGAAAATGAAGTCTCAATGGATAGCTCTCACCTTAACACCTTTCACTTCATCGTCATCGAAATTTCCAATATCAAATGCATCAGCTGCATTTACCTGAAAGAAATTGAGTGATTGATTGGGGATTCCAAAAGCACCTCTCCACGTGGTGGAATCAATGGAGGAGTTAGCCGCCTGAGGTAGACAGTTTGCCAATCGACTCCCGCAAAGAAAGCATGATCTTTCACTTCAAGTGGACCTCTGCCTCGACAACCCAAACGATCGGGTACATCTCTTTTTAAGAGTCCCTCCAAAAGATCGCGACATTCATTTCTAAAATTTGGGTTTTGTTTCCTTTAGATCGTGTTCTTAAAAGTTAGCATATGAGGAAAATAAACTTATCAATTCTTTATCAATTCGTTAAGCTCTTTGATGTCAGTCTTTAGCAGTGAACTCATAGTCAAAAATATTGCCTTTTTGATCAGATAATCCTTTTCAAAAGACGCAAAAGAGGATTTTGTAGACTTTTTGTTTTCTATTTTGTAACCTAGCTAAACTGAATAGCTTGTTCACGTTGGATTTTGGGTTATGGATAAGGTTATGGATAAGGTTATGGATAAGGTTATGGATAGGGTTATGGATAAGGTTATGGATAAGGTTATGGATAAGGTTATGGATAGGGTTATTGATAGGGTTATGGATAAGGTATGGATAGAGTTATGCATAGAGTTATGGATAGGGTATGGATAGAGTTATGCATAGAGTTATGGATAGGGTTATGGATAGGGTTATGGATAGAAAAGTAGAGTTTTTAGAGAATTTCATTCTAGTCATTGTTGTTAACAGTTTTAGTAAACTAATTGCACTACCAATAAAGCAATTTCTTTTTTGAAAACTTTACAAAAGCTTTTGTGGATTCGAACGGAGTTGAATGAAATGAAATTTTGAGAAAACAAAACGTACGTGAAACCGGCATCCGGCAATTCGATGTCATGTGTCATGGTCATTTTGTCGATTTCTGATTTATCTTTTGATTTGTGTTGCCGAAACGGTGAATGACCCTAGAAAAGGTTTTCTTTTGCCTTTTTTCGAACTCTTTCCAAATCACCTTGAGCAATTTGTAAAGCATACACCCGAAAGAGAACCAGTCGGCGCACGAGTCATAGGCGACTCCCTTGGCGAGCACTTCTGGAGCCATGTACCCATGTGTGCCCCTGAAAAAAAAAGAAACAAAAATATTGCTTTCTTCTTCACTTCATCTCTCATCGCTTAATCCCCAAAAAGGCTTACACAGAGGCGTGTGGCTTTTTCTTCGAAAAGTCACAAGCGAGTCCAAGATCCGACACTCGCACATGCCCATTCTCGTCCAGCAGAATGTTTGCCGGTTTAAGATCGCTGAAAAATTTAAGATCAAATTCTCATTCTTCAATCTCTCACCGATAAACAACATAACGATTGTGCATATGCTCTAAGCCGAGAATCACCTAAAAAAAGCTCTCAAAGTTGATAAAAGAAGCTTTCCTCACCTCTGACGCATAAAAGAGCATTTCTTGTTCGGTGAAAACGCCGTGTTGAGACAAATGGTAATGCAAATCACCTAAAATTAAAATTTCAACTGGAAATTGTCAACTGGACAAACCTCCATTCATCAAATCGAGAATGAAACACAATTTGTCGGGCGTTTGAAACGCGTACGTCATGCACACGATGAATGGACAATCTTGCTGAAAAGGATCATGGTTATTTTCATTGTAAACCCGATAAGGGCGGGTATTTCTTTTCGATTTGCCCTTGTGATCATGGCGTAGTCGGGAGCGCTCTTATCTACTACTCAGTGTACCGTGGTTCGACCCCCGTAGAGCCAATATCTTTTGAATTTTCTAATTTTTTTATCTTAAATGACATAACTATATTAGATTTAAAGACTTTAAAAACAAATTTTCGTTTATTTGGTTTAAAGACGGCTGAGACAGACGGACGGACAGACGGACGGACGGATGGACGGACGGATGGACAGACGAACAGACGGACGAACAGGCACTGCTCTTTTACATAGTAGATTGTAACTAGTGCAACAAGTAAGCTTGAAACGAACCCCTGTGGAAACGAGTGACAACATGATTCTCTCGTTTAACGCCAAAGTCTCTCCCTGCTTCAGCTTTATCCGCTTTTTGTCGAGACATTTCATTGCGTACCTGAAAGTTGTCATTTTCAATTTTTTAAATCTTTAAATCTTTAACTTCCAGGCATTCTATTCTTTTCAAGTCAAAATATTTCCAAAAACAAAACAAACATTTTCCCGGTGTCCGCTTTTCGACAACCGTACACCTCTCCGAAGCCTCCTCGTCCAATAATTCGATGCACCGAGAAGTCATTCATTGAAAGATTCATGTTCAACTCAAGATTTTTCCACTGGCAAAAGCGGGTGAATTTGTCACTGAAAAATTTATTGATTTTATTGATTTTATTTCATTTTTTAGAAAACTACCTCTCCAAAAATCGTTGGAAAATATCGCCCTTCAATTGCTCGCAAATCTCCACCACATATCGCTAAAATATTAGGCTTTTCAGAAAGTTTTTTCTTTTTTTTTCTTTTCTTTTCTTTTCATAGTTTTGTTTAAAAAATAACAAATTTATTAATTAATCTCTGGCTTTTTCTTAATAAAAATGTTTCTTTTTCAATTTCAATCTTTTTAAGTAAATTTCTGAATGAAAAGAGCCAGATAGCGTCTCTCTTTTTTTTCTGGACAGCCTAATACTTTTGATAATAGAAAAAGTGATATTTTGAGTTATTTACAGTACTGGACAATGAAATATGATATTTGAAAAAAGATCGTCACTTTCGCGCGTCTGTAACTCCATTGTCTTTATCGTATTTCTAAATATTAATATTGCCATTGTGTAGCCCTTGAAAAGAGCTTTCAGAAAAGGTAAAACACTAATAGTTTAAACTCAAAGACAAGGGAGTTACAGACGCGCAAAAGTGACGATCGTTTTTCAAATATCATATTTCATTGTCCAGTCCTGTATATACAGGGTGCGTAGTCTAACTTCCTTTTAGAAATCGTTTTTCCGAAATACACTTTTGGTACCAAAAAATACTAGATTTAAAGGGCTAACACCAAAGCTTTTAACAAGTTTAACACCAAAGCGCACACTTTAGCATAAAGCAGTCAGGAGAATGGGACGTTTAAAGTTAGACTACTCGACTGTACGCCCGTCATTATAGGGTGGCGTTCTATCAAAGTATTAACGGCAGGAACGAAAAGACTTTCTGAACCTGTGAACAGCTACACTACTGGACAATGAAATATCATATCTGAAAAATGATCGTCACTTTCGCGCGTCTGTAACTCCCTTGTCTTTACCGTATTTCTAAATATTAATATTACCATTGTGTAGCCCTTGAAAAGAGCTTTCAGAAAATGTATAACACGAATAGTTTAAACTCAAAGAGCAAGGGAGTTACAGACGCGCGAAAGTGACGATCGTTTTTTCAAATATCATATTTCATTGTCCAGTACTGTACATGAAAATTACAACATTTCGATTCTATTATTTTACCTGAAAAAGATCTGGTGGCACACTTCCTCGCAGTAGATGATATTGCACGTGTTGCAGCGATTCTTTTGAGTAATTCTAAAGTTATTCGAATTTTATTCGAATTTTATTCGAAACGCAACATTTGAAAGTGAATGGATGAATGTTTGTAGTCATTGAAATAGCTAAATTCAAATGACTTACATGTGCATGCGCGAGCATTTCAACCATTATGTGGTGATCGTAGATTTCACGAGCTTTCGCCAGCCTCTCCTCGGGTGTCTCCATCTTTTCAAATTCTTTGATCTAAACTCAAAAAACTTGCTTATTGCAAACTTTTCCTTTTCATTTGTCGATTAGACATTTTTAAGCTAAAGCTTTCAAGCTTTTTTAAGCTTTCACCAGCATTTCCTAGCCCTTTAATTGATAATTGTTGGATAATTCTTGATTATTTTTGAGCTTTGAGCTTTTGAGCTAGCTTCAAAAAACTTCTAGTTTTAAAAATGTCTAATCGATTTTTGTTTTCTTTTCAAAAACCGACCGCTTCGTAGAATTTTATTTGTGGACAAGCGTTCTCAGAGATGTTTTCCGCGAAATCTTTCAGCAATAAAAAGCCAAGCCTCTGGTTGAAGATCTTCTCGAATTTGATCTCACCCGTCTTCTCAAGATATTTCTGCATAATGCTCCGAACACTAAAAAAAACATTCTCATTGAGGGATTATTTTTTTTCTATGCTTTGTTTCATATTTGGCAGCTTTTTGTTGCGATGGGACTAATGGGCACTTCTTCAGTATCTTCAGTATCTTTACGAGCTTATCCATTTTTGGGAAGGGAAAGGAAAGAGGAATGAGGAGAGCTTTTGAAGGAGGCGAAGAGTTCGTTGGAAGAAGCGCTCATCGAAGCGGACTTCCTCTCATCGCCCCCATGAAAAACCCGGGCCACCTCTAAAGGACAAAGAGAGAAGAGCTTTCATCCGACCTCTCTCCTCTTTTTTTCCCTTTCAACACCCTACTCTTTGTGCCAGTTAATTCATTTCCGAAAAATGAAATGAGTTTTTGAATTATATCTCTTAGAACTCTTCAAATTGTGGTAAAGGTTTGTTTCCCTTTAACAAAAATGTTGCCCGAGACAGACGATGATTACGCAGCGCTTCTTTCCAAGTTTTTAGCTCTTGTTCTCGTCTATTTGAATGCGTTTGGAAAGAATTCAATCAGCGCAAACGTCGCCCGACTTGGCTATGTGTTGGCTTCAAGAGGAGGGACTCTCCCCCCGTTTTTAGGCTCTATTGAGGGGGCGAGCTCAACTTACTATTAGTGGATAGAACTCGTCCCTTTTCACTCAGCGTTGTCCAGAGCTTCTCAAAGACAGAGACAGCTTCTCGCTTCTCGCAACTATTTCTCACTTGTGCCCTTCCCCCAATTAAGCCCTGCCCATGCTCTTCACTTCGCGTGGGCTTCCAATGGGAAAACCCCCACGAGATTTCCGCGCCCTTAAACATTGAGCTTTCAAATTTAGCCTCCCATCTTTTTCCTCTCTACACTTTTTCCCAAGCCCCTTTAGTTGGCATGGGTACGGGTAGTGATTGGATACTCGTTTATGTATGAATGGAAAGGATAACAGTCTTGAAAAAGCGTCTCTTGAAGTCATCACTGAGTCAGTGATTTTGAAAAAAGGGGCTCGGTAAGAGTGGAAAATGGGAAATCGTTCATTTTACTCAAAATATCTCCAAGGTTCATTTTTAGAAAAACAAGAGAAGGGATCTAATCCTAGCACAGACTTTGGTCAATCTATTTTTCAGCAGCACAAATCTGGGCCGAAAAAAGATCGATAAGTCGAGCCAAGTTGGATTTTTTGGAATTTGATTATTGTGAACTTAGCACACATCTATTAACCAAATAGCTTCAAATCCCGTTTCTTAGCTTTTGAGCAGAGATTACGATTGTTTTTGTAGTTAGTTTTTTTACTATGCATATTTTTCTTGGCCCAGACAAAATCTACGAGAAAAACTTGAGAGATTGAGAGATTGAGAGCTTCTTAGGCTTAGGCTTAGGCTTGGACTTAGTGCGTAGACTAGCGGCTAGCGCCTAGCACTAAGTCTATTTGGGTTTGGGCTTTAGGCTTAGGCTTAGGCTTAGGCTTAGCTCAGCTTCACAATCCCGTTTCTTAGCTTTCGAGCAGAGATTACGATTGTTTTTGTAGTTAGTTTTTTACTATGCATATTTTTCTTGGCCCAGACAAAATCTACGAGAAAAACTTGAGAGATTGAGAGCTTCTTATAATATTCACCTTAAGATTCTCATCACATTTTATGAGAGAAAAAGGCAATTTCATCAGCCGCCCGCGGAAATTGCGTGTTCGAAAACAGAGAGAGCAAAAAATATAGCAATTTCTCGAAAAAAAAATATAGGAAAGGGAGAGCGCCTCTTGATGAAATTGGATACTCTTCGCTCCTTCGGATGCCACGCGCAGCTTTAGGCAAAGTATATGATTTTCGATGACCTTATGAGGAAATTCGCAAATTAAGAGTATTCTTCGGAAAAGAAAACACAAAAAAACATCTTGAAAACAAACCTCGGATCGGGCAAAACGATTCGCTTAGAGGCACGAGCGGCTGGCTGCGATCGGCTCTTTTCCATCGCCATCAAATAGCTCACATCGGCGAGCACTGCTTCCAGATCAGCCATCTTTTTTTTGCTTCTTTAGTCAAGCAAAGATTTCAAGATTTCAAAAAATAGTTAAGCAAAAATATAATCGAATAGAAACGTGGGAAAAGTTTAGGAATCAACGGGCCGATGCACGATCAGCCGGATCGTCGCCGCCCCATGCAATTCGATGTCCCTTTTCGCCTGGTCGCCTAGTGGCTGTGAAGAGAGAATTTCTTGTCCCGAGCAATAGTGGCTCACTTCCTTAATTCCGAATAAGCCCTAGTTCGAAAAGGTAGGTATCGCGTCCCGAGGCGATATAGGTGAGGCGGGACTCTCCTCTTTAGTCGGGGCAAAGAGGGAGGGGATGAGAGGAGTGGCTGAGGATGAAGAGGGCCGAGGAGACGAGGCGGCCAACGAGGGGGAGAACTGATGCACGGCCCAGGTGCGAGAAGACGAAGAGGCACGCGGGGCACCGAACACGCACACGGCAGCCGGGGATAGAGAGACAGGGGAGGGGGGAGGGCGCCTCTCTTCCCCACCACTCCCGGCCTTCCCATCGATCCGTCTGTGCGTCTGCCCCCGGTGCTTGGGCCAACCCCGTTGACGCCCAGGGCTATCCCTGCACTCTGCCCTCTCAACCCGGCAGAAAGCGAGAGAGCTTGCCCATTTTTCCCCCGAAACTCCCGAAACGTTGCAATCACTCGACGATTTCATTATCGCCGCCTTGAAGTGTCGCTTCTCAAACGAGCATTTTTAATTACATGCAAAACCTATCAAATTAATGAGCTTTATGCTTTAGTCAATTCGATTCAAAGCAACGATGCAACAAAGGAAGCAAGGAAAATAGGCTTTGAAGCAAGGGAAATAGGCTAAAAGCCAAGAAAAATAGGCTAAAAGCGAATTCAATGCTTTGTATCGAAAAGGTACCTATCTAGAAATCTAGAAAAGATCTAGAAAAGATTCAATTTGGAGCTTAAGTAGAGCTAAGTAGAAAACAAAGACAAAAACTATGGGAAAATTTTGAGGAAATCTTTATGCAGATAAATCTCATAAATTCTAATTGTCGAGTGAAAATTCTCAGCTGTAAAAAGAGCAAAAAATCGTTCAAAACTTAACTCTGGGAAATGAAAAATTCCAAGAGAAAACGAGTTTTCAGTTCAGAGAATATCTCCCCTCGAAGATCTAATCATTTCGAACATGTGAGCCTGCAAAAAAAAATGTCACAGAGAATTAATGAGAACAAATCAAAAAGAACAAATTGCACAGGTTCTTTAAAAGCGCACAAAAGAGGCTACAGAGAGTTTTTTCGGAAGGCCGTTCACCGGATAAACCCATGGATGCCCGATTTCTCTTCATCAGCTGAGATTAGCCACTCTTGGTGAAGATTGAGAAAAGGGAAAAAACTCAAAACTCTCTTTCTTGAGTCTTGAGGAATATGGAAAAAAATTTCCTATTGAAAAAGTAAATCTTTTTAATGGGGTACAATAAGTTTAATGTTAACTTGTCGTATGTACATTCGAGAGTCAAAAATTGATGAATGAAACGAATTAGCTTTGTAAAGTGGGTTTATTTAAAGATGATTCACATAAAACACTACTCAATAAACGTATTTTTAGAACTTTTCGCGTTAAACATTTTCTCTTTCATTTTCTCCACTATTTCAAAAGTGCTGTCTCATCATTTTTCAATCGAAACACTCGGCTTTTCTTTTAGCTTATTAAGCTTTTCCTTTAGCTTTGTCTGTCTTGCCAAAAAAGCAATAGTGGAAATGCGACAAAAAGCTTCAAAAATATATACTTGCAACGGTGAATTCAATGCGGACAATTATATGTATTTAGGATCTAAAACCGTCCCCACAAAGCATAAACTTTTGTTTTAAAATTTAAGAATATCTTCTTGTCTATAAACCTCTTGAAAAACCCTATAGTCTTATAAAGCGTACAAGTGTTAAGTATCTTTTTTGAAAAGTAAAACCGAGCAGTAACCAAACTATCGTAAAAACTCTAAGCGCGTGCGGAAAAATTAAAAATCTAAAACAAAACTGTTGACAGATTTCATGATGACAGATTTGAAAATCTGTTAGCTCATGTGGTATTTTTGAGCCATTTTCCAGCCCTATAGCACTTGATTGAAAGCTTTTATGCAGAAAAGAAATTTTAAAAAGGGCTGCTACGCAGAAGTACGCGATGATACTCTTTACCCGGTCTTCTATTCGAAGAAATAGGGTATTCATCAAACCAAACAAGAAAACAATAATAAAGAAAGCGAGAAAATATTGCTTAAAAGAATTTGATGCTTCTCAAAATGCATATTTTTGCAACAAGGTAACAAAGTGCGCGAAATAAAATAGAAATGACGCTTCTATTGGAGAGGGCGTTTCAAATAGAGAGTGCGCTTCTATTGGAGAGTGCGCTTCTATTGGAGAGTGCGCTTCAAATAGAGAGTGCGCTTCAAATAGAAATGACGCTTCTATTGGAGAGTGCGCTTCTATTCGAGAGTGCCCTTCTATTCGAGAGTGCGCTTCTATTCGAGAGTGCGCTTCAAATAGAGAGTGCGCTTCAAATAGAAATGACGCTTCTATTGGAGAGTGCGCTTCTATTGGAGAGTGCGCTTCTATTGGAGAGTGCGCTTCTATTGGAGAGTGCGCTTCAAATAGAGAGGGCGCTTCTCTTTTTCGTTGTCTGTCTTGATGACGCTTCTATTTGAGAGTGCGGTTGTATTAGACTTTTTTTTTACGTTATTTAGGAATTTAGGAGTTTTTCTCTATCCAAAGTAACATTTTTCAAACAAAGCATTTAATCTTTCTCTCCCTAAAACTTCCGGTCCTTCAAACATGATTTTCGAGCCCCAATCGACAATTTTTCATCATCAGTTGATAAACATCAATCAACGGGAAAGCGTCTTCAATTACTTTTCTCTGATTTATTTGATTCGTTTGTTTGGAACAAAAAAGACAGCTGTGCTCTAGAAAACAATCGGAGACCCAGCGAATTTTCGCATTTCAACCCCGCATTTTTATCTAAATAAACCATTTAGTCATACGGCAGCTTTATAGAAAAATTTCATCAAATAATAGATAAAACGTTTAGAAATGTGGCCAAAATTGGTTGCATTCCTTTGCTTTTTCTCGATGGCTTTTTGTCTGATGGGCGTCGGAAGACAGCAATCTGTTGGAGTCCGAGGTTGAGTTTAGAACTTAAAAAAGGATATTCAAGAAAATAAACGTGACTTAGAGGCTTTTAGTTTTCAATTCAGATTAAACTTATTCAGGAAAACTCCAATGCAACGGTCGTCCGTATACTGGAGCTCTCATCAAACTTTACGATAAAGATACATGTGCGTTTTTTTGTGTCGGAAATTTTTGGATTTCTTGTAGAAAAGGATTTCAGTGGGAAAAGATGATCGATTGGGCAGTGTGAAGACTGGACACGATGGAACCTATCAACTATCCGGAAATGCTCGCGAGGTGCATATAAAAAACTTTTCTCTTGTCCGTATAATATTCTTTCTTTAACTGAATGTAAAGTCACACTTTATGCCCAATTTCTACCTTAAACTTGTTAGCATTTTCCACGAATTTAAAAATAACAACCCCACCACAGTATTTGAATGATTCAATTTTAAACTCCAGATCACGAACATTGACCCGAAAATCAACATCTATCATGACTGCAATGATGGAATGAAGGTAAGCAATCGTTGAACAAAACGAATGGTAAGTGTTAGTCTATTCTAGTTTATGAAACCTGTACAAACAGTTTACAATGCAAAGCTCAAACGGAAATCAGTTGTGCTCACAAACAGCTGAAAATTTTAGCCGTGCCAACGCAAATTCCACATCAGCATCCCCAGCCGCTACATCAACAGCGGAAAAAATCCGAGCAATGTGAGCCATTGAAATGTTGAACTTGTCTTGTTAAGAGGAATCTTTTGTAGAATCTTTACAAATTCAAGAATTCAGGATTTAGTCTACTGTCGTGGAATACTGTTTCCAGTCCACTGTTTCCAGTTCACTGTTCCAGTCCACTGTTTCCAGTCTACTGTTTCCAGTCTACTGTTTCCAAATTTAGTGGTTCGATGCGGGAACTCTCGAGTTGGCTGGCAAGTACCCGGGAGAGTCGCGAGATTGTCTCCACTAGACTCTGCACGCAAAAAGAAAGACTTTTGTATTGATTGCAAACCTTTTCAATAAATTTCAATGAAAAGTGATTGCTAAAGGCTACACATATTATTCATTTTCTCAAAAAAGATCAATTGATCAGAAAGATCACTTGAAAACTTGCTGATAGCAACGTTCGACGAGGGTTTGTCAAGAGGACATCATGACAGATGTTTACAACAACTTATCAATAAGAAAAACAACATCATTTCTCAAACAATTTCCTTGATATATTCTTTTTCTGGAACATTTCATAAATCTAATTTCGTTGTTCTTTGAGATTTGACAAAGACTGTTTGTGGGGGACTGGGTGGGAGACTTATCACCTCACTCTGCTCGACTATCAGAGTCTCTTTGGACTCGAAATGTCTGAGATGACCCGCTAAATGGTGATAAGAATACACAGCCACCAGAAAAAAAGGGGAATTCAATTTACAATTTTTTCCTCACACAAAATAATCTTTATTCGTCAATTTATGTTGATTTGAATGATTGATTTTATTGATTTAAATAAGCATTTTTCACAAAATAAGCCAGCGTCCATTTTGTTGATTTGAATTTGTGATTTGCATTTAAAATCGAGTTTATTTAGAGCGATGCGTGCTCTCCTTGTGGTCCTGATTTGGGCCTCCGTCGTCGCAGCTGGACTAAAACGGGGGAAACCTTTGAAGCACGTTGATACGAATGTGAGTTTACGTCAATGTTGTAAACTTTGAAATTAACAGCTCTTCTAGTCTCTTATTGTTATTTTAAATTGAAGAAACTAGAAAAATTTACAAAATATCCTTTTCAGCGAGTGCCAAACGATCCACCACCACCGCCCAAGCCAGCCGAGTACAAGTACGCCTCGGTTTGCATCAACACCACCGACACCACTCGGCTTGTGGTAAATTTATTGAAAAATTTAAAAGCAAAAGATTAAATCACCTTTAAGTATCAAGTATGATTTTTTTTCCTAGCTTGAATGGGAGAAAAAGTGCTCGAACGATCGTCAGGTGGCTCTTGGCAAGTACAGCAATCAAGTCAATCAGACAGGGTGGGTTTAAAAGAAAACTTCGCTTGAAAAATTCTAAACAAGTCATTTAGATGGGGAATTCTTGAGATTGAGACTTTTTCTGGATATCCGATGGACCAACAAGCCTATGCTGCCGGCGTTGCTGAGGGTTTTAGAAAAGAAAAGTGAAAAAGTTATCGCAATCTTTCAGGAGCGCTCACCAAATTGCAAATCTATTACCACTATCGTAACACAATTGAGGACTTGTGTCTTGGGTGAAGTGCTCAAATTCGTATCGAAATTCGAATTCTTTTAGATATAGCAATTACTGTAAGCAACTTTATCAATACTTGACCGCGAATCTCGATTGGCTGCGCACCGAAGTGATGAATCAACCGGAAAACGATCCTTATTGGCGACATGTTGGTCTTCAGCTAAAAATACGATAATTTTAAATTCAAAATAGGTTTATTTGATAGAATAATGTGGTACAAAGAATACTACAAGCAGCTACTAAGCCCTAAATGTAGGGAACAATGGAAAACCAACAAAAAGAACCAACAATCTGGCTTGTGGGATTGAACCTGTGGGATTGAACCTGTGGAATTGAACCTGTGGGATTCAACCCTTCAGACTAAGATACAGGGCTCTTAGCCACTCGGCCAAAGCAGCTAATCGATCGAAAAGAAAACCCCGCCTTTTTCAGGTCAACTTGACTTTTGCCCAAATCACTGGAATGTATGATGCGTACACAAATCGTACCTTGACTCCGGCTATCGGATTTGACCTTCATCCCATTTTGTATGTCTTAAAAAGATGAATATTTAACGTTTATTTGGTTTTCAATCAATAAAATATTGTTTCAGGATGATTCAACTCTCCGGCGAGCTTTTCGATTTGAACAAAAAGTTCAACAAAACACCCGATCCACTCGAGTACCCAGAAGCTGGACGATGCTCGGGACTTGTGAAAATTGCTGATGGCAATAAGGTTTGTTGTTGAAGAAGAAGAATTACCCAACTAAATCCAGGATATGTTCTTCTCGCATGTCGCGATGAGTGGACTAAACACGATGAACCGAATCTTGAAGCTCTACAAATTCGGCTATGGTTTGTTTGATGGGGAAATTTTTGTGCATACAGTTTTCAGACTCAAAAGAAGTGCCTGGGTATACGGTGTCGTTCTCTGGCTATCCGGCTGCTCTCGCTTCAGCTGACGATTATTCCCTGATGAGCTCTGGATTGGTACCAATTTTTCGCTCGAAGCCAATACTTCATCTCTTTAGTCCTCAATCGAAACTACAATTGCGATTTTCAATCAAAGTCTTTATGAGAACTATATCAGTCCAAAGGGACAAGTACATTGTTGGGTTCGATCGTTTATCAGCAATGCTTTGGCACGGTTTGATTTCCAAGTTTTCCAAGTTTTCACTTTCATTTCCAATTAGAACAGCGAAAGAATGGGTGGAGATTTTCCGACGTTACAATTCGGGCACTTACAACAACCAGTGGACGGTAATTTTCATTCAAAATCCAAAATCTACAATTCGAAAAGAGTTTAGGTGCTTGATTGGACAAAGTTCACTCCTGGGCAACCAATTCCAGACACCGATGTTCTCTGGGTGCTTGAACAGACACCGTTCGTGAAAATTCTTCTTGATAAATCTTCAGACTTTCAGAGGATTCACTTCGATCGCTGATGTGACGTGGTTCTTGAAAAAGTTCTCTTATTGGCCTTCTTACAATATCCCTTATCTTACCGATATCAATATCATTTCTGGATTCAATATCAAGGTCTTAATCAAATCAAAACAAAACAAAACAAAAACTTTTCGATTCTAGGGTCGTCAAGCTGATTGGTACAAATGGGGCGGATCTCCACGAGCTCGTATGTTTGAGCGTGATCATCACAAAGTACAAGACATCGACTCACTCACGAAATTGATGCGGTATGTTTAATTGCATTAAATTAAATTATTATAAAGTTGAGTCTAGGTACAACGATTACCAGAAAGAGGAGTTCGCTCGGTGCAAGTGCTCGCCGACACCGTACACTGCTGAGGGTGAGTGCTGAGTTTTGTTGTTTAAACAATATTCTATTTATTTATGAATGATTTTAAACCTCTTTAGTAGACAATATGTTTTAGGTGGTATCTCTGCGCGGGGTGATCTGAATCCACAAAACAACACCTGGGAAGTGGACAGCATGAGTTTCCGCAACCATGCCGGACTCGACTATAAGGTTTTAAATGTCGCAGTTGATTGTGCTTTTAAGCCGAAAGTCTTTCTAGCCGATGGTTATTGTATCCCATTATCTTGCTAATTTAATAAAGTAAAACTATCTAGTTATTTTCTAGCTAATTAGACATTCAGTTATTCACTTCATTCACTGAGTTATTCACTCAATCGCTTGAGGAAGCGCTCTTAAATTTCTAAATTTTAAAAATTGTTTAGTGAAAGGATAAGAAAACAAAAAAAAAGGATGAAGGAAACAAGAAAAAAAAAATGGTGAAAATGTCTAATTAGCTAGAAAATAACTAAATAGTTTTAATTTATTAAATTAGCAAGATAATGGAATACAAAAATTTAGCACAGAATTTACATACTCCAATCGTAATTAGCATTGAAGTTTTGTTGTGACTTTACAGATAATATCCCAAGCACAATCGGCTAGCCGAAAGTCTTTCGGCTGTACGGGCTGTACTACGGCCACGATGTACAGTACGGACTAGTACTAAGTACAGTAATACGGGCCAATACTATAGAAGTAGCATATTTGCATTAATTTAAATCTAGATTGCATCGGATTCAATCTAAAGGACAAATTCGGACGTCTGAATCGGGTTCGAAAGTTTGAATCCGGTGCAAAGAAATTGAATCGGCTTCCGATATCCGAACCTGGTTCGAACGTGAAAGAATAAAAGAATGAATAGATATAAAAGTGAATAGATATAAAAGAGTCAAATTAACTAGTTAATAACTTTTCTCAAAGAAAAAAAAGCGAATCCAAATCCTTTTCAGGGTTGCAACTTCGAGATGTTCAAGCGGTTGGCTTTCCGCGCCTGGGGCGGACCCACAAATGACAATGTGCCCACATTCGAGTAAAAAAACTTTTATTTTTGAGTAGCAAATTGAACTAAAATGTTCGTAGCTTTTGAAAGTTTTAACTTTTTTTTAAAAAACTTTTCTTTTAGCTGGAAGACAACGAAAGTCGTTGCTCGACACTTTGGACAACCAGACGTTTGGAATTTCACTTATGTCGATCTCGCTTGGGAAACCAAGGTAAAACTAGAGTTGAAAAAACGTTGGACTAGCTAGAAAATATTTCTATATTTCAATTTCTATGTAATTCTTCAGGTTGGAGTCGATTTCTTCACAAAAGCCGAGAAAAGCAACTCTGATGAAAGTGAATCGGCTGAGGATTTTTAAAAAGTGAAAAAACTCACGTAATCTGATGCCTATTTTATTGATTTCATGATAGAATTTTTATGATAAAAATATTACCAAAAAAGCCTTTCATACAATCACATAGAAGTGAAAAATTTTCTAGAGAATAAAGATCTAATCGAAAATTTTTGAGTTTTTCATCATTGACTCGAACCAAGGAAAAAAAAGGTAAAAAGAGGAGCGTAAAACGTTTGAAAAAAAAAAGAAAAATTTAGTCTCTAAAGAGATCTACCCGAATCACTGATCATTAAAAAATGGTAAAAACCTGCACAAAAATTTGTCAATACTTTTTTGAAAAGAGACAACGCTGTTCAGAAAGTCTTTTCATTCCTCCAGACAAAAACAAATCCAGCCAGCCAGCCATATAGCCATAATTAAACCCGTTTTAATGTTATTTTGAAGAAAAATAATCGGCTTTTCTAATGAAATAAACCATAGATTAATTGATGAATTTGTTGGTTTTAAACAGAAGTACGAAAAGGAACGAGAAGATTCTCTGGACAGTCAAATAAAAGAAAAGTGGGCACTATTGGAAATGTGGATATCCACCGTAGGGCATTTCCGGATAGACTCCATTCGGTGGTTGGGAAGCGTTTGGAAGTGGAACGGTTGCTGATGGATGAGCGGACATCACTCCCATCGCATAACTAAATAAACCTTCTGTAATTTTCTTTGATATTTCAAATTGTCTAAAGTTTTTACCGTAAACCAGTCACTTGTCTTCCTACAATATTCCGGAAAACTATTTAGTAAGATTACCGTATTTCTTCGAATAGAAGACCGGGTAAAGAGTATCATCGCGTACTCCTGCGTAGCAGCCCTTTTTAACATTTCTTTTCTGCATAAAAGCTTTCAATGAAGTGCTATAGAGCTGGAAAATGGCTCAAAAATCTGTTAGCTCATGTGGTATTTTTGAGCCATTTTCCAGCTCTATAGCACTTGATTGAAAGCTTTTATGCAGAAAAGAAATGTTAAAAAGGGCTGCTACGCAGGAGTACGCGATGATACTCTTTACCCGGTCTTCTATTCGAAGAAATACGGTAATTATCTGCAAATCCGAATTGAAGTTGAAAACGCTCAGTCTATGGCTTCAAACTATTTACTTTCGATCACCGACCCATTTTGATGGTTCATTTGCATTTGGTGACTCATTTGCTGTTGTTGGAGGAACATTTGTTGCTGCTGGGACATTGGAGCAAACCCGGGCGGATATACTAAAGCTTTTTGCTTTATTTTACTTTACTTTCATTCTTTTATTACCTCTTTTTGGATACGAATGCTGAATGAACATTTGATGTTGAGCCATGAACTCGGCTGGGTAAACTAAAAGGTCTTTGGTAACACTTTGTTTTATTCAACAACCATGCGGATACGATGGCCCAGGTATTTGAGAGAAATGGGCGAAAGTGGGCATAGGTTCCATCGGGAATTGACAAGCGGGCATCTGCATGACAACCGGTTGATTAACCTGGATTTTTGGATGCTTGGCTTGAATTCATTTTTGATGACTTACAATTGGTTCAATATTATTGGTGAATGATGATGTGGTTGGAGCTTTCTTTGCCAATTGAGTTTGATCGATCACTTCCTGGTCAAACAAGTTGCCATCAAGTTGCGGGAGAGTACCCTAGAAAAGAAGAAATTAAAAGCAAAAAAGTTTTTGTTATTTACAATATTTTGAATGATATTTGTTTCGAATTGTTCTTCAGCACTAGAAGAGGATGAAGGGAGAGCCTCAAGAGCGGGTGGGGTGGCCGCTTGTTGTTGTGGAGTGGCAGTGGAGGGAGTTCTCATCGGCGTCGAGGTACTGCTGCTCGGTGTCTCACAATTCGCACTCCCATTCATTGATGGAGGAGTTGCGTAACTGAAACCTTATGTTTTTGAGTGTAAACTATAAACTACGCAAGGCTGCTACAAGGATTTTTCTATTAGAAAATTTACGGTAATTGATTTTTACCTAGGTATCCGTTGACCCAGACGTACAGCCACGTTTTGCGGTGGTGCATAGTTAAATTGTTGATCCGCGGGCGCGATCATTCCTGAATATTCTAGACTTTCTTGGATAGATTTTACTGTTCTTATTTTACAGACAGGATTATTGCAACTAATATTTTTCAAGGATAGAAACCGATAAGAGAAACAACTCAAAAACTTTAACAATCGATTTTAAAAGATATATTAAACAAAAACAACAAAAACTACTTTCTTTTAAAGAAGATCTCAAAAATGCAGGTTAGGTGACATTTGGGAGAGCATTATTTAGCCAAATGGTAAGCGGGATCGAGTTTTGTTACTTTTTGAGAGAAATTTCTTAAGCGAATCGATGGAATGCGGTTTTGAGCACGTTTTTGCTTCAAGAACATTTCAAACACTGAAAGAATCCATCGGATTAAGATCAGGACTTGCGGGTCTAAAGGTGGCTCATCCGGAAGATGCTGCAGTTCTGAACCACTTAAGCCTTTTGAGCATAAGCATCATTCTGCATAAAGCACCTAATCCTATTGCAAAGTTGGCTCACAGAAGATCTTTTTAAGAAGCTAGTTGTTAGAACTAACATGCTCTGAGGCGGTTGCAATAATCCTGTCGCATCCTCTATCTCATAAGAAATAATTTCTTTTATCTACCTCCAGAACTGTAGAATCCACCAAACATTGCCGATGTTGAAGGTGCTTGCACGCATTGACTAGTCTAAAAATCATATATTTTGAGAAACGAGCGCCAATCCAACCTGTGGCATTTGTTGAGCTGGAACTTTTGCAAAAGTGTCAAATCTTGAGTCCATCATCGTCATATTACTGGCTAATGCTGAACAAAATGTAAACTTCAAAAGATTTTCATTTACCTCCCATAGATCGAACCGGTTGTCTCCAGTCAGTGTTCGGATTATCATCGCTTGTTCGGGGTTGTTTTGCAGCTGGCTGAATAGCATAACATGAACACTCTATTTGTCAACACTTTTGCATAAACTAACCGGGCCATGTGAATTGCTGATCGATCGGTTTGAGCTCTGCTGTTGGCTTTTCTCTTGTTCTTTTTTCTGTCTTTCTTCGATATATCTAAAAAAACAGCTACAAGAAAAATTTATTTTCAAAAAGAAACCTTTTATGCAAGTTTGCCGTCTCTTGTCTCTCTTTTTCTCGAATCCGGGCTATTCGCTCATCTTCACGCTTTTTACTCTAAAATTCATCAATAAAACAATGTCTCCAAGATCTGAAGCTCACCTGTTCCGTTATTTCAACCCAAAGCGCTAGATTATCCTCAAAACGAGAAGTGCAGGGACTTCTAAAAAAAATATAAATTATACGAGAAATATGGAAATATTTTGATGTATAATATTTATTATATAAACAAAGCTTAAAAGCTCAACAATTGCTCGTCAAGCTAAATCTAAATTGAGCTTTTAAGCTTGTGTAGTATAAGAATGCTTTTTTGTTCTATCTTAAAAATCGTTAAAATAAAAATCTGCATATAACACAAACCTTGAATCTTCATCATTTCGCGCCTCTAGATGTTGCTCAACAACGTTTGCCGAAGTGACCTCGGCCGACATCTTTTCTGACGTCTCCTCCGTCAATGAAACACCGATTTGATCGATAATTCTGAACAAAAGTATGAACAAAGTGAACAAACAAAGAACAAAGTGAAATGTTTCTGTTCTTCAGCGAAAAAAGGCAATTTTTTTACAACAATAATCAATAAGAAAGTCCCGTTGAGCGAAAATCGATGTCCAAATTCTTAAGAAAAGATTGAAATAAAACCGCTTTTGATTAAAAATGTGAAGAAATTGAGAATGGAAACTCTCAACAAATTACGAATTACGAAAAACTTCTCAAAATCAAAATCAAGACTCGCTTCGCTTAATCAAAATGAATTGAGGGCTTATTTTTGCGGGTGATGAGAGAAGTAAAGAAAATGGGCATGTCGAAACAAAAAAATGAAAGACAGAAACATACACATATGCAATAGCGATCGAGAATTGATGTGAATTTGAAAGAAAAGGAAAAAAAGATGAAGAATAGGATGAGAAAAGAGAAAAACCGTGCGGGACATTGGATTGAAAGAAGGCGGCGAGAGCACGAGAGAAGAGCAAGACACGCGGCTCAAACACTATGCATTGGAGGTGCCCAAACATTCAAGCGATAACAATCGCTCGCGCACACATCTCACTCTCTCACTTGAACACGGGAAAAAAGTTCCCTTCAAGATTCTTTTCCCTTTTACAGCTTTTCAACTTGTCATCACCCTCCACCCACTCGGATAATTAAACAAAAACTTTTTTTCTTCTCTTTTAAGAGTTCAATTTGAAATCTTTAACAAATAACCCCGTCCCTGGAGAGTATGAAAGCGATAACGAGACTAATTAAGAGAAATTTTTAAACTTTTTTTTTTGCTAGAGTACTGTAAAGGTTTCGGAAAAGCCTGGAAAATTTCCTTTGCTGTGATTCATTCAGCGACAAGGCGGAAAAAAAAAGAAAAGAAGAGAAGGAAAGGGGAAAAGAAAGAAAAGAAATGTTAAATTTAGAAAAAGGCCCCATTTTTACGCAACAATTGAAGAAAAAACAAAAAAAAATATTAGAAGGCACAGAAGAAATCTATTTCGGGAAGAATACAAAAAAAAATGGAGGCGAGATTGATGACAAAAGGGAAAGCTGGAGGCTGATTTAGATGTAAAGAGGCGTAAACAGATTTTTGCTGAAGATTCATCGTTAATCCAGGTGAACGATCAAGAAATCATTTGCATTTCTTTGAGCAAAACTTGTGAATAATCGGAAATGAAAAATTGGAAAATGGTTTAAGGAAAACAGAAATGAAAAGGAAAAGTTATGGAAATAAAATGAGGTTTTCGAATCGAAAAGTATTTAAAAGAAAAATTGGATGAGTGTTTCAGTGAGATTCTCTTTAAATTCTGAAAACAGGTTCACTAAGATAAAAATAGCAAGTATCTGTTTAAAGAAACATAGAATAACATTAGGAAGTGCTCTTTGGAGGTTTAAAAAACGTTAAAAAGCCTTTAAAAAGATGGGAAATTAGAAAATAAACACTTTTTATTTAGAGCAAATTATAGGTTAATTGGTGAATTGGTTAATTCTCAACGAAAGTACGAAAAGGAACGAAAAGAAACAAACGAAACGACTTCTTAATATATCCAATTAATGCAGCAATTGTTAGAAAATGGATAGAGTTTGATGGAGGATGAAGAAAGATGGGCAGGTTAGAGGAGCGAGATCAGCAACACAGCCAACGAGACTTTAGAGGAGAAATTCCCCCGTCGATCGACGCGGAGACACGAAAGCACGCGAGCCCATAAAATGTTTGGCAAAAAGTTGGCAGCAGCGAGTTTGCGGTCGACTGCGAGATGAAGGACGAAAAAGAGAGGAGAGCCTCGGTGAGTCTACCCCTTTTCTTCCTCTTCTCAATCGCTTTCCTCATTCCCCGTATCCTCACCTAGTTGAACTCCAAAATCTTCGCCAAGATCAATAATTATAGCACAAAAAAACTTGTTCTTTTTTGTCCAAAAAAAACATGTCTTATTTCCTTTTTTGAAAAGAAATAAACCATAGTGGTTATTTTTATGAAAAACTGATTTAGGAAATAAATATCTGAATTGAATATATGAATTTAGAAAAAAGAATAACAAATAATTATGTTTTCTAGTCAAAACATTAAAAAAACGAAAACAATCAATGTAAATCAAAGAGAGTGTTGTGTTTTCTAAATAGCCTAAAGGAAGATTAAGGGGTAGAGGAAGAGAAGAGAAAGAGAGAGAGAGAGAGAAAGAGGTGGATTGTATGGATGAGAAAGGGTAAAAGAAGAGAACAGTCTCATACAATCGATACGCGTCAATGAGTGCCGGGTAAAAGGGTGTGCGCGATTCAGCTTGCATTGGGGTGCCGAATGAGCAAAAAAAAAGACGAAAAGGGAAGAAAAAGGGCCGAGGATAGAAGAACGCACACACAAACGCACCCCCCACCATCCCCACTCCCTTTGCCTTTCCTTTCTATTCCCATCGGTACATCCCTTGTATCCAATTTGGGTAAGGAGGCCAAGACATCACTCGTTTCTCTTTTCCAAAAAAAAAACAAGAACAATCTCAGCCGACAACCGACCAATTGACAAGTTGAACCTTGAAGAGGGAATGGATTCGATGAATTAGGATTGGATTTGCTTTTTGGAGGATTGGACTTGCTTTTTGGAGGATTGGACTTGCTTTTTGGAGGATTTGACTTGCTGTATTGTCTGGATTGGACTTGCTTTCTGTTGAAAACATAGAAATAATGGATCTCAGCCAATTACATCATTCTTTTAAAAACGAGTCAATTACTTTGCAACTTTGACTTACTATTAGTTTAGGGTCAACCTCTAAAATTTTACCTAGAATTCTTTATTTAAGGTAATCAAAATTCAAAAATGTTTTATAGCCGCAAGAAAAGCCACAAAAAAAAACCCAGAAAAGAACTAAAAAAGTAGAAGAAAAAAAAAATGAAAAAATGGGTCTACGCTCAGAATTTGTGTCTTTTGAGGAAAGAGATTTCCCGGAATTACTATTTTTTTCTGATGAAAATGAGATAGGAAAAAGGGTTGTGACCTTTTTTTAATCTCTGCAAGCAGTCGGAGAAGGGGGATTTGCGAAATGTGAGCTAAAAGAGGAAGAAAACGGGTTACCCATTCTTTGTGTCTCTTTCCTTTTCCATTGATCGTTGTCCCCCAAAACACAACCCGAAAATAGAGGTCTTCCATTAGAATGCATGAATTTTTTAAGAGTAAATCGCAAAAATGGCTAACAGGATGGGAGAAATTCGATCACCAAGGGGAAATCGATTCATCAAATGCCAACAGATTTATCGGGAAAGTGCAGAGTGGTAACAGAAGTCAGAATTATATAATCAAATAATTTAATCAAATAATTTAATCAAATCATTTAATCAAATCAAATCAAATCAAATCATTCAAATCAATCAAATTATTTAATCAAATAATTTAATCAGAAAATTGAAATACTGTATACACGAATTATAGCAATAATGAATCTATTGAAGTAGTTGAAATGGCGATCGTAGCCATGCTGCTAAAGCTAAAGCATGCTAAAGCATAAAACAATCTATTGCCAAAATGAGATTCACAAAAGTGAGCTGGGTATTATAAATGAGAAAAGACAGTCGAAAGAGGGAAAGGGTGGGATCGGGCGATGGATCGGGCGATGGATCGGGCGATGGTGTGAAGAATGGCGATAGAGAAGAACGAGTGAGTGGTTGGGAGGGTAAATGGCAAGACTTTATTCATGAAAAGCAAGGAGACGAGCATTTGGAAGGCACACGGCCTATTGATGGGTGAGGGGAAAGACGGAGCCAAAGAGCCTCCGAGTCCCCCTCCGACACAAAATGCGCCATCTGCAATCTGGGCCTCCTCTTGCCCCTTCCTTTTCCATAGCTCTTTCTTCTCCCTCACCGCTCATTTTTTACTCTACTGTGTACACATCTTTGCACATTTTCAATCCTTAATATTAGTCTTTTTTTTTCTAATATTAGTCAGCATCGTTTTCTTGAAGCGACTACAAAAAAAAGAAAACGAGGCAAGAAAACTGAAATTTGTACTCACGTCTTTTATTTTTAAAGAGCTCAGTCTAGTTATAGCTAAAAGTAATGTCTGAGTGATGTCTGTCTAAGTAATGTGAGTAATGTCTGTCTGTTTAAGATTCAATTTCTTAAATGAACTATCAGAGTAGAGCAAAGTTTATATGATTTTAGCTTGCAAAATAATTTTTTACATCTGTGCTTTGCTGTAAGTAAGAAATTCGCACACTATTGCATACGGGCAGAGAGATCAGCTGCTTTCAAAGGGCGATAAGCATCTCCCCCAGATCATCTTCTTATTAATTACCTTAAAAATTAGAGATATTCTTAGAGATATTGAGAAAATTTTGGGAAAATTTGGGAAAATCGTTTATCAAAACAAGGCACTTTGCAAAGATCAAGAAAAGAAGAAAAAAAAACATTTTGAGAAAAGAAAAAAACACAGCACAAATGCACCCGAAATCGGCAAAATTTTAAGCAAAAGATAAATATTGGAATGTTTTCAAATAAAACAGTGAAAAAACAAATTTGGAATGTGTAAATCTTGGGTTGAATACCTGAATTTCAGTAAAAACAAAAATCACAATGAAAATCTTGAAAGGAAAACCGTTTTGTTTAAGGCAAAAAAAAGTCACAAGTCACTTTCAAATGGCAACCTCTTTTTTTTTTTGTTGAACAGTTGAGTGAAAAGAAGAGAAATCTTGTTTTGCCTACTCAGATCATGACTATTCACAAGTGAAAATGTTATTTCGGTTTTGAAAGCGAAAAGAAAATGGATAGGGAAATAATAAATGGTAAGAGTGAGCAAAAAAACAAATGGAAATACTTTTAAGCAAAATGCTCAACTAAGCGAAGGGAGGCTTGGGTATTCTTGCAACGTTTTTCTGCGATGTCTGAAATTGTTGTTGTTAAGTTTGTAGGCTGTTAAGTTTATAGACTGTTAAGCTTGTAGACTGTTAAGTTTGTAGGCTGTTAAGTTTATAGACTGTTAAGCTTGTAGACTGTTAAGTTTGTAGACTGTTAGGTTTGTAGACTGTTAAGTTTGTAGACTTTATACTCTTGTGTAATATTGTAACTTTGTCTAAAGGCGAATCGTTTAAATCCAGAGTCATCATTACTTATAAACGTGTTAGTCGCGTATCCATCGAGTCTTTTTGTCTTTTTGAATATTTTTTGTACAAAGTGCGGCCATATTACACTCTACAAAAGGATTTTCTCAAAAACCAAAAGAATTGACAGTTTTTTGTTTAGATATTTAAAATCTACAAACATTTTTTCACTAGATTTTCACAAAATACAATTTTTAAAGACCTTAAACTAGAATTTAACGGTTTTTCAGCATCGTGCCTCATTTTTTGTACTTCTAGAGTTGTCAAAGTCATTAAAAATATTATGGTTCTTCTATTCTATGTAAAATTACGCATAGGTTTTATATTAATTATTGTTTTTCAACTTTGGTTAATGTTCAGCCTTAGGCAATGTTCAGCTTTTAGCTTAGACTTCAAAAAAAGATGCAAAATCAAAAAAGATGCATTAAGCGCAAAACTATATATGCCTATAAATGTTAATTAGGCTGTCTTATGTCTTGTTTATGTCTATGTCCTGTATTGTCTTATGTACCTGAGCCCCATGAAGATGAGAATCGAAAGACAGAGAATGAAAAGAAGTGTCGAAGCGGCGAGAATCGCCGTTCGTACGCAAACGCGCTCATCGTCGCTCGACTCTTTCAACACCTCCGATCGGGACTCTTCAGCTGAAAGATTTTTTTCGCTTTATCCGATATTCTACTCTATTAAATTGAAAACAAAAAAAAGACCTTTAGGCGAAGATCTATCATTTGAATGTTCTCTCCTCTCGTGAACAGCGATCAAGCGGGAGAAAGCGATACGCGGCGAGTTCACCAAGCTGTGTCCCAATTTCTCTTCCTCGTCATGCTCCACAAAAGCTTCATTCGTCATCATCAGATCTTCTGTCTCAGAAGCCTAAAAATTGTTTGAAATTTTGATTGTAAATTGTTATAATTAAACCTCTTGATTGCCAGTGTGTCTTGCTCTTCTGAATCTGAACAATCGTTGTGCGATTTGTCGTCTTCGTTCACAGTCAACTGGTGGACAATCACCCACACAAGCCGAGCAATCACACTAAAATTTTTAAAGTCAAAGCAGTTTACATTTGTTTTTTTTTACTTGGAATCGAATCATGCTACTGTCTGGCCATTTAAATGTACGGAACAAGGCTTGAGTTTTCGAGGGACGAACTCTATAAAGATTTTTGAATTATTATTTATTTTCAAAATACCGAGTCCATTCGGGGAAGAGTTCCGCATCAATGGCGCATCCCCAGCGATCTGTCAATGAGTAGCGCTCGCCAGTCTCAATATTGATCGCAAAGCAATTCTTTGGAAGAATTGCATACGAAGCACTGGGTTCCACAGATAGAGTCAAATGAAGGCTTTGTCCAACCTAAAACCTTTTATCTTTGATTTGTTTTTTTTTTGACAAACCATAGCACTGTTGACCATTTCTTGCTGCTCATTCGTGACGACCAATGAGCAAAGAGGACCGACCGATTCATCGGAAAGAGTCATTGAAGGAGTTACATCAGACACATTCACATGAGATTCTACCTCTCGTACTCCTAGAATTTAGCTTCTAGTATGAATTTGGTTTATGTGTTACCAATTGGATACGTGCACCGTAAATCGTAGGCATCCGATAAAGCAGTGATGAACATTGGATGCTTTTGGACGACGACCGTCACAGCCACTGTGTCCTAAAGTAGGTGATTAATAAAAGGTATGTAAGTTTATAGAAGTAACCAGCAGTCACCATGGCGTAGTCAAGAGCGCGCTTGTCTACGTCACATACGAGCCGGGGGTTCGAACCCCCGTTGTGCCGCGCAACTTTGAATTTTATATAAATGCCGTGCTCCAGACTAGCCGAGAGCTGTCACCATGGCGTAGTCGGGAGCACGCCTGTCTACAACCCACACGATCCCGGTTCCACCCCCCTTAGTGCCGCTCAACTTCGAATTTTTAAAATTTTAAATGGCACAAAATACTATTTTAATTCTTTTTAAAAAATTTGGTTCAAAAACGGTTGAGAAAAAGCTTGTACAGACAAACAGACGGTCAGACGGACAGACGGCTTTTTATATATAGTAGCTGTCTTGTCTACTTTAACAATTTCTTACCTTTTCTTCCATTCTCACATTGCAGTGTTCGAAGGGTACAACGAAGCGATACGGTTTTGATTCTCGCTAGAAAAAGAGTGATTTAAGAATATTCTTCGAGTGCTTCTAGCTTGTATTCTCATGTTTTTTTTAAGTTTCACAAAGCTTACATGAAAAGCGCTGAATTGCTTTGTGCAATGTGGATTCTCGGACTGTCCTCGCACGAAAATTCGGCCATCATTCAACTCGGTGCTGTTTTCCAAAAGAAGAGTCATTTGTCCAGGCTCACAGAGGACTATAAGTATAAGATTTTGATTCTATTTAGTTATTTTATTTAGTTATTCTATTTCGTTATTCTATTTCGTTATTCTATTTCGTTATTCTATTTAGTTATTTTATTTAGATATTCTATTTAGTTTTTCTATTTAGTTATTCTATTTAGTTAGTTATTCTATTTAGTTAGTTATACTATTTAGTTATACTATTTAATAGGTTGATGCATAAGTCTTTTCGTTTTTTTCGTACTTCTGTTAAAAAGTAACAAATTCACCAATTAATCTATAGTTTGCTCTATAAAAAAAGTGTTTTTTTGTTCAATTTGCATCTTTTTAAATCAATTTCGGTTCACTTTGAAGCAAATTCGAGAGTGAAAAACGCCTTTTTCGTAAAAATCTATGAAAAACTCTACGGAAAAATTGGCTGAGTAAATTTCTCTGAAATTTTGGCGAAATATCAAACGTTTTTTTTCTCTATCTTTTATCTATTGACACGAAGATAGGTTTTCTTTAGCTAAGGTGTCTAAACCGCATCATCGAGTTAGCCCTTTTTGACTACCCGACTTCATACTCTCAAGAAAATCCAGGCATAAAATATTTTTAAACCCGTTTTAATGTTATTTTGCAGAAAAATAATTGGTTTTTCTAATGAAATCAACCGTAGTTTAATTGGTGCATTTGTTGGCTTGAAACGGCAGACGAAAAGGAACAAAAAGACTTATGCATCAACCTAATAGTTATTCTATTTAGTTATTCTATTTAGTTATTCTATTTAGTTATTCTATTTAGTTATTCTATTTAGTTATTCTATTTAGTTATCCTTTTTTTTGGTTTACCTTGCAACTCTCCCAATTTCACATTCTCCACACAACTCTTTCCATCACCATGATATCCATCGGGACATGTGCATTCGTAGGATCCATCAAGATTTTTGCAGGAAGCCAATTGATGACATGGTTGATCCACAAGACATTCATTCACATCTAAACTTTGATCATTATTTTGTTGGCTAGACTTTGATCATTTTATACCTGTGCATTTCCCAGCGATCTTTTCAAAACCATGTTTACATTCACATTTCGCATTTATGCAAAGCTCTGTTTCAACGTTGCACAAATTCCCGCAAGCTGATGGAGTGTCAGAAAGCTAAACCGATTGTTTTCCTTTACGCAAAAACTTTCTACTTCGTTTTCTCGATGTCCAATGAAACCTCGTCGTTTACAACTCAATCCATCACCGAAATATCCTTCTTTACAAAGACAGTCACCAGTTGGTAAACAAAGCGCATCTCGATGACACAAAGTGGGAGTGCTTCGGCATGATCTCAAAGGTAGACAGGAGAAACCTAAATCGTTTTTTGAAGATTGAAGATTGAACAAATAAATTTCTCTAACCATTTCCTTGATATCCGTGATTGCATTTACAAGAACGTTCTTCTTTTTGGCAGAAAGCATTTGAGTGGCAAATCCCTGGGAAATGGGTGCAATCTCGAGGATCGGCTACACAGCATAGACCATTTCCTAGGTAGCCCACCTGGAATTTTGTTTGTTGAAGTTTCAGCTACTTTTTCATATCTTTCTTACATTGCACTTGCAAACAGCTCCATCGAAATGCGAGTTTTGCACACATGCTGACGCGTTTGTTTCCCGTTCGTGAATCGACACACAAACGACTCCATCGCCGGTGTAGCCGGGTTGACACTGACACCGCCGTCCCACACACATCGCCTCAGCGCTGCAGAGATTGTGTCGGAGTACGCAATCCTGGATCATATTAGGGTTATGAAGTCTTTTTGTCTTTCCGTTGAAAAATAACAAACAAACAGTTGGAACTAGAGGAGAAAAAGCAAAAACTAGTGGAGCCGCCTGGACTCGAACCCGGGACCTGGACTCGTTTCCTGGCAAGTGTCCTAACCATTACACCACAACGCACCTGATCTAACTTACTCCAAAGGAACCTAACTAAACAACCATTCACCAATTAATCTACGGCTTCCGTTAATCAACTCTCTCAATCACCTGTGGATCCGGAGCACAAATGATTCCGTCACCAATGTATCCCATTGTACACTCGCATCGTCTTCGAGCCTTATTGCATTCTCCGCGAGTGTCACAGACGTTTGGATCGTCCACACAGTCGATGCTTGGGACTCTCCTGTAATTCTTTCGTACATTTTCAACCGATTCAACTCACGTGCAAGTTTGATATCCGTCTCCTTCATATCCATTCTTGCAGCGACACACTCCATCGGGTTCGCAAAGTGCTAACGCGTGGCAGGCCGATCGATCATCTGGTGTGCATCTCTTTGCACCCGAGATCGCCCCTACGCTTGGCAGTGGTGTAGTAGCTGAATGACGAATTGAAACGAGTGATTAGAGTAAAGTCAAACTACAATCTTCATTCTGATTCTATGAACAAAGTGATTAACTGATTTTTAACTGATTTGACCGAGCAAAGCACAACGATCAAAACGAATTACCACGAGCAATGGGCAGTCGTGTGGGTGTAGTCGTTGGTGATTGAGTGTTTCTTGGTGGCCATGTCTCACAGCCAGGTAAAACCGTGCCAAAGTGGTGCCGAGTGCTAGCTAAAACTCATACTCACAGCAATTACTTGCAAAAACAAAGTTCACATGCATTGGTGAAACAAATCAAAAACACCTGTATGTCTTCTAAGAATTATAAAAATTACCCTTGCTATCTGGATTGACGCTTACTCCATCATTTGGAGAAGTTGTTTGAGCATTGAACTTATAAGTGCTTGTAGATGGAGAGCTTGTTTTTGTTGTAAAAGCAGTCGGCGCAGAACCAGTAATAAGATGGGGTAGGATCGAGAATTTTGGAGAAGTATGGTATTCTTCCGGGACACCAGTTATGATCTTAACAGGAGGGTGGCTGGTTGTACGAGTGGTTGTTGTCTCAGCTTGATTATTGGTTGCTCGATTTGATTTGGTTGTTGAACGAAGAAGTTCTGTGGTTGTAATGAATTTTGGATGAGTGGTGGGTGAAGTTGAAGTTGTCGTTGGTGTTGTAGTAGTGGCGGCAGTGGTTGGGGTTGTCACTGTTTTTTTGTTTGAGGTTGTCGTGGTTGTTGCTAAAGAACTAGTTGGAATTGTAGTTGTTTGCGTTGTGATCGGAATTTTGGTTGTTGGAGTTGTGGATGCGGTAGTTACAGTCGTAGTGGTTTGAGTGGTAATTGTTGCAGCTGTTGTTGAAGGGCTGGTTGGGACTGGTGTAGTTTCGGTTGTGGTTGTTGGAGTTGTCGTTGATTCCGTCGTTGTTGGCATTTCAGCTTCTGTGGTTCCAGTGGTTGCTTCAGTTGTAGTGAATGTTGTGGTTGTTGGAGCTGTCGTTGATTCCGTTGTTGTTGGCGTTTCAGCTTTTGTGGTTCCAGTGGTTGCTTCAGTTGTAGTGAATGTTGTGGTTGCTGGAGTTGTAGTGGATTCTGTCGTTGTGACAGTTGTTGCTTGAGTTTCTATCGGTTTCAAAGTTGTTGTCTTTTGTGTCACCGTTGCCAAGGTTTCTTTTGTTGTGGTTGATAGTTTAGTAGTCGGGCTTTCCTTGGTAGTTTTTTTAGTTGTCTCTTGTTGTACAGTTGTACTCGTAGTTGGTTTAACAGGAGTCGTTGTCTCAGTAACCCTTTCCTTTGTCGTTGTAGTTGGAGCTGTTGACGTTTCGGTGGATTTCTCGATTTCTACTGTTGAAGCAGTCAATTTGACAGTGGTTGGTGTTGTTGATTGAACAGTTGGTTCTGTCGACAAGGTTTGTATTTCTTTAGTTGAAGAAAAAACAGTGAAATCGATAAATTTTGTGGACGAAAGCGTGATGGGTTCATTGGTAGTAAAAGTAGATGATTTGCTTGTTGTTGAATCGATTTCTGCAAAAATAGAGCTTGTTGAAGTTTCAATAGGCTTTGTAACACTAGTTGTAGTTGCTTTTTCCGTTGTCGTGAGTTCAATCGTATTGACTGTAGTCGGTGTTGTTGACTGCGTTTGGGTTGCAGCATTTGAAACTGTGATCATTTTAGTTCTTTCTTGTAAGGGAGTGGTTGCTTTGTGCGTTGTTTGATTTTGCGTTGTTTCAATTGAAAAAGTTCTTGTAGTTCTTGTTTGATTGAAAATGTTTGGATTGATTTTTGTAACAATAGTAACAACAGAGGAAGTTGTATTCTCTATAGAGATCGTTGGTGCTGAAGTTAAAATTTATTTTTAACACATTTGCAACGATACGGCCCACTGGTGGGCCTTACGTCGATTTAGGACTTTTCTTGAGACTGATTGAGCTGAAAATTTGAACCAGGGGTTTTCATGGTCAAGGAATTCGAATCCGTATTTGATTTTTAAAGAAAGCTGCTCTATTTTTGGATATTTTATTCGGTTTAATTACCTTCTTAGAGTTTTGTGATGATTGTATTGGGTTAGAGATTAAAGTTACTCAAAAACTAATAACGGATTCAGATTCTATATCCCAGAATGCCTCCGGTTACAAATTTTCAGATCTAACATAGATAGCTGTCATCCGAAACGGCAGCCAAGACAAAAATGGCTTTGTCGTCAATGTGTTAATTATTGATTATTGATAATGTAAAGCTAATCAAAGCCTAATCAAATATTGATAACGTAAAGCGAATCAAAAACTAAACAAACCTGTGGTTTCAAGCGTCGCTGTTAGAGGAGCTTTTGTAGATTGCTCAACCGTCTTAATTACTGGAAGTTTTTCACGAGGTTGAGTTGGTGCTTTCGTCGTGCTTGGCCCCAATTCAATTGTCAATTTTGTCACAAAGCCAGTTGATGAGATGTTTTTCGATTCTGAAAATAATCCCTTTAACAAAATTTTAATTAGAGCTCAACCTTTTGTGGTAAACGGTGTCGGTTTTGGCGATGTTTTGGTTGACAAGTGAAGAGCTAAAAAGAATTTGATTTGCTTTGTCGATTTTTCGAGTTCCCACATTTACAAACTTTAATGCCATCTCCTTCAAATCCATCAAAACAAACACAACTTCCATTCATTGAACATTTAGCATACGGATGACACAAACCAGTATCAATCAAACAATTTGGTCCTGAAAGACAGAATTTCGATGGTTCATGCTTTCAAATGTTTTCTGTTATATATTGGGTTGGTGAATTAAAAACTGCTATTATCATATGTGACAGTTTGAGCACTTTCTTCAAAAGAAACCCATTTTGGTGTCAATGGAAAAGTTGTAGAGAATCAAAAATCAAGATTATATCCAAATTTTCAGAGCGATTCAAAAACTGGTTTTCAAGAAATGACAAATTTACGAAACTTTCACAAAACTTGCATTTTAAGCGAAACTACTAAGTGTATCTTTTTGGAAATTTGGCTATAAGCCTCATTTTTGATTCTCTACAACTTTTCTATTGACACCAAAATGGGTTTCTTTTGAAGAAAGTGCTCAAACTGGGACATCTCGACATCTCCAGTCCTCCATTTTCGAGTCTCACACTTGTCTCACATACAAACCAAAATCCTACTACGAAAGAGGAATCCGCAAATTGCCTGTAAAATGGGCAGAAGTCGTCAATAATAATGGAAATGATTTGGAATGAATTGATGGTTTGATGTTGGATAAATTTTAGTTCAAAGTCTCGCAGTTTTCAATTCACCAACCTAATAGTATCAAAAGCCATGACCATTAGCTGATGTGAAATCATGCATGAAAAGTGCAAAGATTGGTTGAATACCCACGTGGTAAAGTGACATTATCTTCACGATCAACGATGAAAGTGCAGAAGAAACCGTTGCCAGTGAAACCGGCTGGGCAAAGACAGTCAAATGAGCCGTCTTTATTCACGCAGTGCGCCTCAGTGGCGCATACTCCTGGCACGCTGCACTCGTCCACGTCTGAACACCAAGCATGCCAACACAGTTACAGAAAAGGAAATTTGGGGAAATGTTTGCTAGACAGAGATGCTAGAAAGAGAAAGAGATATTGGATTTTTAGAAATGAAATGAGTTTCATGCAAAACAGAAATATTAAGCTGTCCAGAGAACCTTCAATTTCCCAACTTTTCGTTCCTTTTCGTAAAAACGAAAGGATTTTCTGAAGCCTAACAACTCAAAAGGTTTTTCATTCCTCACCGTCACATTTTCGACCATCACCAATGTAACCGATTCTGCAGAAACAACGATGTTGATTTGGTGGGATCTCTTGGCAATCAGCATGCGGATCGCAAGTAGTCGGTGTGCAACCACCCTTGCCATTGATGGCTAAAATGATGGTCATTGATGAGCAATGCTTCGGGGGAAAAGAAAGCCTCAAAACACTTACGAATGCAAGTCTCGTTGACTGAGGGCTGATATCCAGAAATACACGATGAACATTGAGGGTTTTCTTCCAAATCAACTTCACATTTCTTGTTGTAGAGGGAGCAGTTGCGGATCTAAAATTTGAAATTCATGTTTATCTTTGTAAAACAAACCCAATTTTCGGGACATGGCCTCTCTGTTTCGTTGGATTCTTCCTCTTGCATAGTTGTTGCTCGTTGAGAGGGCTTTGTTGTCAGGTTTGGCTTTGGTGTGGTCAATGTAGTTGTAGTCGTTGTTGGCGTTGTTGGTGTTGTTTGCGCTTTGGTGGTTGTCGTTGTCTCCATCGTCGTTGTTACGTTCGGAGGCATCACTGAAATCTTATTTCAAAAATTGGGTTGAAGAATATTTACGGTATTCTCAGATCTAGCTTCATCATATTACTATTTATTTTGTTTACTGAAAAGTCGGAGAGTACCTGAAGATCGAAAAGATGCTAAAAATGGATACAGAACTTTGCCTCAAAAACAAAGATTTTTACGAGAGAGGAATTCGCCTTTTATTAGTACAAGTACAAGACTACCAGTACAAGTACAAGACTACCAGTACAAGTACAAGACTACCAGTACAAGTACAAGACTACCAGTACAAGAACAAGACTACCAGTACAAGACTACCAGTACAAGACTACCAGTACAAGATTACTTATCAATCAATCCAATCGACTCTCTTTCACTAACCCAAGCAACTCGTGCCATCTCCCGTGTATCCATTCATGCATTGACATCCACAACTGCCCGCTCGATTGATGCACATTGCCATGTGATGGCACCCAGATGTGCCCATTTTACATTCGTCAATATCTTAATAATGCATATTAGAAAACTTAACATAGAAAACAACTCTCTTTACAATATTTCCTTCAAATGTAAACAAACACTTTCAGACAGAAATTTGAATTTCTATTTTAATTCTATTCTATTAACGTAAAGCCCGAGAAATAAAACATTATAGCCGAAAATTATCTTGCGTTCAATTCAAAAACTTGTGAAGCTTGTTGTCTTGTTAAGTTAACATAACGTGAGCACAGGCTTTTCCCCTTACCGACGCAAATCCCTCCTCGTCCTTCATATCCATCCATACACTCGCACTCATATCCACCAGGAATGTTCTTGCAATGGGAATTTGATGGATCACAATCGTGTCTAAAAAAATATTTGAATAAAATTCAAAAGCCATTGCTACCTGTCTTCTAGGCATTCATCGATGTCCTCGCATTTCTTTGACACTGAATTCCAACGGTAGTTGGCCTCGCACTCGCAGACGCTCTGAAATTTTGCATTTGTTTGACTTTTTCTTAGATTTTTATATGTTGTAGCCGATTTGCTATTTCGCTAGACGATTTTCTTTGAAACTTTAAATGTTGAAGAAGGGGACTGCAAAGAGGGGAATTTTCGTCAAGCCGATTGTCACACAGGAGCAGAACAAGCGATGCCAACTCGATTTCATTGATCTACAATCCGTAATGCCAACTCGATCTCATTGATCTACAGCTTGTAATCACCATCAGATCCGATGGTGATTACAAGTTTCTTATAGTATATCAGGATCACTTAACGAGATTCGTCATTCTGAGATCATTGAAATCCAAGGCTACCTTTGAAGTGCTAGACTCTTTGGCACTTTTGATGCGCCACGGTTTGAACAACAAAATGCCGTGGAGCAAAAAATGGAGCAAAAAAGCAGCCGCAAAAAGTCGTCAAGAGGAAGAAGAGGGAGAAGCTCTTCGATGTGATGATGAACGTTCACAAATAACATTATGAAAACACTTCAAGAATATCACAGATTATCGGAATTTTTACTTATCGTAGAATGGAAAAAAGAGAAAAAAGTAGAGCCGATTACAAATTAGCAAATCGGTTATCGAAAATTTTTCAAAGCAAATCAGCTAGCTGATATGCTTTCATAGACAGGTAGCTGATATGCTTCAGGTGAAATAGCAAACTGACTATGAAATATATTTTACAAATGAATAATAGACATATTGATCACCTGAACGGTTCCATTGGAAACTCGAGCAGAAAGACATGTCATGTGCTCTGCAGTGCCGCAAGTTTTGACAAGATCTTCACACTCTCGATTCATCGGATTTATGCAAGCAGTCTAAACTTGTTTTACATCACGAAACACTCAAAATCTCCACCTTTCCATCACCAATCCATCCTTCATAACAAGTGCACGTGTAGGAGCCTTCAGTGTTCGCGCACTCAGCACTTCCATGACAAGGCTTTCTTCCAGCGCTGCACTCATCAATATCTTCACACATATAACTGAAAATCGAGTTTAAAAACGATTTTCAAATCTCGATTACCCATCTCCCTTGAATCCGTTCTTGCATTTGCACATGTAAGTGCCGACAGTGTTTACACAAATCGCAAACTTTGAGCACATATTCAAGTTAGCATCCGCACACTCGTCAACATCGACACAAATGCTTTCTTTCATTTCAAAGCCTGGCTTGCATTCATTGCAGTCTTTCTTTCCTAAAAGGCAATCATTTCTAGCATAGTTAGATTACGTTATTTAGTCTAGATTAGGGTATTCAGTCGATATAGAGTATTCAGTCTAGATTAGAGTATTCAGTCTAGACTGGCTAGATTATGGTATTCAGTCCAGAATGGGATATTCAGTCTAGAATAGCTAGATCACGGCATTTAGTCTAGATTGGGGTACTCAGCCTAGATTGGGGTATTCAGTCTACACTCTCTGGATTAGGGTATTCAATCTAGAATGGGATATTCAGTCTAGAATAGCTAGATTACGGTATTTGGTCTAGATTAGAGTATTCAGTCTAGATTAGAGTATTCAGTCTAGATTAGAGTATTCAGTCTACACTCTCTGGAAATTCAGTCTACACTCTCTTAGTTTAGAATGAGCCAAAGTCATTATTAAGCTATTCAGAAAGTCTTTTATTCCTTTAATACCATAGTCGTCGATCATGCACAAATTGTTGAGGCCACATGCAAAAGATCGACTCTCTTCTTCGGTGCAAGCTCGCTTTTGAGATGGAATGCAAGTATAGCTGAAAAGTTTTTCGATATTTTCAAGCGCTTTCTATTTTACCCATCGCCAACATAGCCCTCATTGCAACGGCATTCATAGGTACCGGGAGAGTTGTGACAAGTCGCGTTTCCGCTACAACACCCACCGGCTGATTCATTGCATTCATTGATATCTATAAAAAATGTTTAAAAATAGTTTTTGACTGAAGAATACCTTGACAAGATCCATCAGACTGTTGCCGAAAACCTTGAGGACAGAAACATTTATAGCTGCCTACGAAATTGTGACAACGAGCAGTTTCATGACAATTGTGTGTTCCTTCCAAGCACTCATTGACATCTAAATGTTTTTTGATTAAAAGAATAAAGCTTTCCGTTTACCAATGCATCTTTCTTCAGGTGGATTTCCTTGAAAACCGGGATGACATCTACAGCCACCGCTTCGTCGCTCACAGTAAGCATCAATTCCACAGCTATCACTACTGATGCAAACGAATTTCGGGATGCTGAAAGAGGCTTTTGAAAGACAAAAGTTAAGCTGAAATAGATTCGGTAATTATTATTTACATTGTAGCTTCAGCTGGTACTGGTTTCAAAGTGGTTGTCTGAGTAGCATCAGTGAGTGGACGTTTGGTTTCTTGTTGTGTTGTTACAATTAATGGTGCCTGTAAAAGTTTTTATAGAAAAAAGGATTAATGAGTACTTGAGTTGATTCAGAAACATCTGGACTTTCCGAGCGACCAAATGGACCCCGAACATTTTGCGTTGTTGTTTCTAAATTTGAATTGTTTCACTTATAAACTTTGTCTAGACTACCATCAACTTTCGTGGTTGTGGTTGGGTTTGTTATCTGGCTTGAAGTAGAAGTGAGAGTGGCGACTAGAGGTTTCTCTGTAGCTGAAGATGTGACCTTATGAACTGGTTGAACTGATTGTTTGGTTGAAGCGGTTGAGATTGAAGTCTTTTCGGTGGGACTTGTTGGCGAGCTTGAACTTGAACTTGAACTTGGAGTCGTCACTTCCGTGAATTTTGTGATTTCAAGTCCAATATCTTTAGTAACTTGTGTAATTTCGATTCCAGCTTTAGTTGTGGTTTTTGTTGAAGTCGAAGGAGAAATCGTTACAGATTTGCTAGATGGAAGGGATGTTTTTGAAGTTACATGAATGCTTGTCGTTTCTTTTAATGGAACCTTAGTAGTCTTTGTTTCCGATGTTGTTTTTGTGATTTCAGCGGGCTTTTCAGAGGATGAAACGGTTGGATTTGGTGCTATAGTTGTCTTAGTTGTTGATTCTTGTTTTGTTGTATCAACTGAGACTGTTGTCACACCAGTGGTCGATTCAACGCTTGTTTCTGCTTGTTTCGTAGTTTTCTCAACATTCTCTTTGACAGTAGTCGATGATTTCTTGGTTGTTTGTTGACTAGTTGCTGAAGCAGTTGGAATTTCCGATGTAGTCACCTCAGTTGTCAGTTTTGTTGTGGTTTCAGCTGAAGTAGCTTGAGATGTCGATTTGGTAGACAAAGTGCTTGGAGTCGAAGTCATAGAAGCAGTAGTTGATTGAATTTTTATAGTTGTCGACTCATGGCTAGGGCCAATGCTAACAATAATCTTCCCAGGTTTAGTAACTTTTCCATCTTTGCCTGCCACGTCACCTTCTTCCCCGGAATCGATGGCGATCTCAGGTCCAGAGGGTTTTCTTGTTGTTGCCGCTGTTGAAATGGTTGCGATAGTTTTTGAAACTTCAGAAGTAGTAGTTGTTGGTTCTTGAGTTGAAGGAGATGGAAGTGGAGTGTTCTTAGTCGGAGAAGCAGTAAGAACAAGATCTGGTTGACTAGTGGTAGGAACTTCAGGCTCAATTTCGGAGAACCCGTGCGCAGTAATCTCCAAGCCCGTTTCATTCGGAGCAGGCTTCAACATGTCAAAGTCCTCAGTGACAGGTGGTACTAAAATCTATTTTATTGCAAAAATTAATGTTCAGAACCTGTAGTAGACTTTCGTCGATGCTTCTCATCATTTATTTCCTCACTTTGTGTCCCTTCTCCATCAACAGTAATATTTGGTGGTTCTGTTTTTCTGGATGAGATTTCAAGTCCATTTTCTCCTGGTTTTGATGTCTTTTCTTCTAGAGAAGGTGTTGTTGTGAGCTAAATTTTTAATTTTTAATTAATTCATCGATCAATTCATCATCACCTCATTAATCTTAATAGTAAACTCTCCAGCATTTCCATCGATCAATTTAATATTTCCTCCAGATGAGTGATTTGACGAAGAGCCTTTTTCATGCACGACAACTAAAATGTAGAATAGAATTTCATTAATGATAGGAAATCACTACTCACATGTTCCTTTTCCAGATGTACTTGTCGAAGACTCAAAGTGTTCAGTCTGCTTGGAGCTCCAAGTTGACACTTCAATCTAAAATACTTTCTCATTGACCTCGTTGACCACATCGTTTCTTTTATGGCTGGGAATACGGCGCTGGGATTCGAACCCGCGATTTCTCGCTTACTGAGCGAAGCTTAGTGAGCTTTACCAATGAGCCAGATCGATACGTGTCTGATTCCCGCCAGGATAGGGCTTTATTCATTATTGTTTATAGCCAAGTTTCAGCAAAACGAATCATAATGAATAAAAACCTTTGGAGACGAAGCTTTCGTTACAGATTGGCTGATTTGAGTAGTTTTTGTTAAATCGATTTCCGAAACAGGAACTCCAGTGAAACCTCTTTGACTAAAAGAGATTAGTATGCAAGAATCAAGTGATAACATGATTACCTAGCAGTTGATCCTTTCAGTGTTGAAGTCTCCAATGGAGTGGTCATCATTCCACTCAAAGTGGTCATCAAAGTTTCAAGTTCCTCAGTTGAAGTGCCATTTGTTTGGAATCCTATAAGATGTGTTTAAATGTATTGGTAAATCACAAACCATCAGCTGTAATGACTAGCCCAGTCTCTCCTTCTTTCGGCTTCAACAAATCATCTGGCACCTCACCATGATCATCATCACCTTCAATAACAGAGACCAATCCACCTGATGAACTCTCTTTCTAAAATAGAAATTTTCTTCAAAAAACGTCAATTTACAACCTTTCCCCCTTTCTCAATAAACCCTTGACCTCCAGCGCCTTTTTGACCTGATTGCTGAAGTTCTCCAGCTGCAACACCTCCTTCTAAACTCGTTAATTATTGAATAATTCTTTCACTGCACCAATTGTTGCATTTGAATGGAATCCAGAGCTTGAAGCAGCGGCCGCTGATGCTCCTCCTTTGGCTTCTTGCTAAAGAATTTTACTCTATATTTTTAATAGAATTTTCCTACTTCAAAGCCACTCCTTGTAAGCACCAGTCCAACGCAATCAACTTCGTTTATCGAAGTACAACAATGATAGCTGCCTTCATCATTGACACACCAATGTCCAGTGATTGATTCATTGCAATTATCCATTTTTCGTTCACATTCATCAATGTCTAAAAAAGTTAACAATGTTTAATGTTTGTTGTAAAAAGAAACGATAGGTTTAAACGGAAATATGAAAAGGAATGAAAAGATTTTCTGGAAAGCTTTAATATCTACCGTAAATACTGTAATAGTACCCCACCGCCCATAATGACGGTGCGGAGCGTCGCGTAGTCTAGCTTTAAACGAGTTTTTCTCGACACTGGTTTATGCTACAATGCGCGTTTAGGTATCAAAAAATAGCTGAAATTCAGGGCTATTTTTTGATACCAAAGACGCATTTTTTTAAAGTACGGGCGCTTTGAAAAAAATGAAATACTAAACAACGACTACGCGACTACGACTACGCGACTACGCGACTTTGCGACTACACGGCTTTGCGACTTTGCGACTACACGACTGTACGAGGGGGCTGGGGTACTATTACAGTATTTACGGTAAATTTATTTACATTACCTTGACATCCTTGATTCGGATCTCCTTCATAACCATTCTTGCACTGACAGACTCCTTGCAAACATTCCGAATTGCCTGGGCAATACGAGGTACAGTTGAGGGGCACTAGAAGGAAATTTTTGTTTGATTTTCCGAAAGCTTTCTACCAATCTCAGATCCATACTCTTCAACAATCAAGCCACCACTTGAGCTGGCTTTGTTTCCACCACTCTCATACTAAAAGGCTTTTTCTTTTTTAAAAAAATAAAACGCACATGACTAAATCCACCGCCAGCAGCCGCACTTCTATCCAAACTGACTGTTTCTTGATCAACCGAGAAAAGAATTGCAGCCGGATCTGGCTAAAAGAGCGAAATGTTATGATTGAAAAAGTTAACTTAAAATCTTTCTATATAGTAAGTAAATCTTAGATCTTTTTATAAACTAACCTTCTGACAAAATCGAGAATCGCTCTTTGGATTGCAACAAATATAAGTTCCAAGCAAATTTTGGCACCACTCGCCGACTCCTTTACAGGTGTCATCCATTTCGCACTCGTTCACGTCTAAAGTAGATTAATTTTTAGTTCTTTATTTCTATTTACTCATGAATTTTACAATTTATATAGCAAAATTTTTTAATAAAGCTTGGCATTCGTGATTTGGATCAGTCCTTAGAGCCAATCCTTTTCCCGAAGTTATGGATCTAATTTGCCGACTTCCCTTACCTACATTATTCTATCGACTAGAGGCTGTTCACCTTGGAGACCTGCTGCGGATATGGGTACGATCCGGTACGAGATTCAAATTGGTTCCCTCGGTTTTTCAAGGACCCAGCCAGGCGCACGAGACGCCACAAAAACCGTGACGCTTTACGGAAACAACGTCGCTATCTTCGGCTGAACCGTTTCCAGCGAGTCCGTTCCTTAACCAGAGAAGAGAACTCTGGCTCGGGCCTAGCTAGGTGTCACCGAGTTCATTTGCGTTACCGCCCGATGCACTCAGAAGAGTACAAATCTCCGTATCCGGGTACGGGTGTTACAGTAATTAGATACAAAATATGATACAGTAATTAGTTCTCTTTCTTCAATCAATCAATCCGATTTTAATCAATTTTTCAATTTCTTATCTTGTTTTTCTTTTGAAATTTCATATTTTCACGTCTAAAGTAGATTAATTTTTAGTTCTTTATTCTATTTACTCATAAATTTTACAATTTATATAGCAAAATAATAAACCTTGGCATTCGTGATTTGGATCACCGTGATAGCCCGGGAAACATTGACACTTTTCATCTCTGCAAGCCGCATTTGTGCCACAACCACCAGGACAATACGCTGCTTCATCTAAACTTTTACCTAACAAAAGTTTTTCTCATTTTTTTAAACCTTTTATACAACGATCATCGTCTGAAGTGGAGTTACAGCAAAGAAAACCGCCGACAATATTAAGACAACGCTTCTCGTCCGCTTTGCAAAGTGATGGGTCAGCTTGGCACTCGTTTACATCTAGATTTTCTGTATATTTTCTTATAAGACGAAAAGTTTATGTCTGTAGGAATTTCGGTTTGATTTTTTGAGAAAATATGTAATCAACGATGGCAGTTTGGCCTGTAAAATTAGATTTTTAAAATTTCAATTACAAAGTTGGAAAAAAGGAATTCAAATCCATCATCAAATTCGGCGCTGAGATCAAAGGTTTTTAAAAATGAATTTTACCTTATTTTAGCTTATATTAGTGAAAATATGCTTATCTTTTAGCTCTAGAAACATTTTGAAAAGCTTTTGTATTTTGAGAAAGAAAAGAAAAGAAAAGAAAAGAAAGAAAAGAAAAAAGAAAGAAAAGAAAGAAAAGAAAGAAAAGAAAGAAAAGAAAAGAAAGAAAAGAAAGAAAGAAAAGAAAGAAAGAAAAGAAAGAAAAGAAAAGAAAGAAAGAAAAGAAAGTAGTGAAGGCGAAAAGTTCAAAGGTAACGAGCGAGTCAAAGAGCTTTCGGGTAAACGGGAAAATTGCTTTTCAAACTCAGTTTAGTTATTGAAATGCTAATTCAATACTAAATTAATCAACTGTCTTACATTTATCAACAATTAATACCAAAGTTTAACTTATGTAAACAATGAATCGGCTTAAATCGGCTAACTGCTGATTCAAGCCAACAAAATGTTCTTGTCTCTAATTTCTTTTGAAAATAAACTTCAAATTTGACTGATTTATTAACAGTAGTTTCAGTTTTAGTTTAAATGATTTATTAAAGATTTAATTGATTCAATTTTACCTTCACAGATGAGACCATCGCCCATATAGCCAGTCTTGCAAACACAAAGTCCGAGTCCTTTTAAGCAGTAGGCGTGTCGACTGCAGATATCGTTATTGAAACGACAATCCAAATTGATTGCTGAAGATGATTAAAGATGAATAGCTGAAATGAATGCATCCATTTCATACGTTCACAAGTGTGTCCATCTCCAGCGAATCCTTTCTCGCAAGCGCATCTGTACGATCCATCGGTGTTGATGCATGAAGCCCGTTGGTGGCATGACGTTTTGTTCACTGCACATTCATCAATATCCTAGAAATCTTTATTTTTATTCTTTAATTCTTTGCAATGCACTTATATTTATATTTTGATCAGCAAAAACCCTACCGTAAATACTGTAATAGTACCCCATCCCCCTCGTATAGTCGCGTAGTCGTTTTTTAGTATTTCATTTTTTTCAAAGCGCCCGTACTTTCAAAAAATGCGTCTTTGGTATCAAAAAATTGCTGAAATTCAGGGCAATTTTTTGATACCTAAGCGCGCATTGTAGCATAAACCAGTGTCGAGAAAAACTCGTTTAAAGATAGACTACGCGACGCTCCGCACCGTCATTATGGGGTTGGGGTACTATTACAGAGTTTACGGTAAGACAAATCGAAATGCTGAAATCACTGACCACACATCGTCCTTCACTTGCTTTATAGCCTACATCGCACTCATTAACACATTTATAATCACCAATCTAAATTCAAAAAAAGTTAGATAATAAGTTAGATAATTGTTTTATACAGTGTTTTCACAAAGTTCATTAGCTGGACATTTGAAGATTCCGCGAGCACACTCATCAATGTCTTCACATCTTTCCAACGGTGATCCCTAAAGAGATCTTTCTATCTTTCTATCTTTCTATCTTTCTATCTTTCTATCTTTCTATCTTTATTTCTTTATTTCTTTATTTCTTTATTTCTTTATTTCTTTATTTCTTTATTTCTTTATTTCTTTATTTCTTTATTTCTTTAACAGACTACAACATAACTTTAGCTAAATTATTATAAAATACAGTATTTAAGCTGTTCTTGTTTTCACAGAGTTCATTGGCTGGACATTTGAAGATTCCAAAGAAGACAAACCTTTGGCGCAAATCCTTGAGTGCAATTGCAAAAATGGCTACCAGGCAAGTTGATACAATCAGAGTTTGCCGGGCATTGAGCGATTCCATCCTCGCATTCATCAATATCTAAATGTTTTTGAATAACAGAATTGAAAAAAATTGAAAAACCTTACTAAGAAATCTCTACTCAAAAACCTAATAAACTGACCAGTGCAGTGGAAGCCATCTCCTTCAAATCCATCAAAACATTTGCATTGAAACGAGCCCACAGTATTCTGGCAATGCGCAAACCAGTGACACGGCTTTGACGAGCATTCATTTGTATCTAGATCTTTTATTTTTAAAGTTGTGCCACGTTTTTGTACCAATAATTTCGCAAGCAGGCCCAGAGAATCCTTGATTGCAGAAACATTGTGGCTCTTTACCATCATACAAACAAGCGCCTCGACCATTGCACGTCGAGTTACACTTTTTTTCTGTAAATTTTCATTTAAAGTTAAGCAGTTTCGATATTCTTAGCTAAATCAATAAAACAATTAAATCAATAAAACACTGCTCTGTTACCAACCACAATATGGAAAAATCTCATCGTCTAGTGCTGGATTATCATAGCAATCTTTTTGTCCATCACATAGAATTGAAATCTCGTGCACGTGAAGATCCGTAGCAACTGTTAGATTATGATTTTTAAATTAAATCTTTAAATTTAAAACCTTCCGAGTGTTGACAAATTACAGTGGACATGTCGAAGTTGACGACAAAAGTTGGGCGAAGTTCAGGCATTGATGCGTTAACAAAAGGTTTTGTGATTGCCTCCACCGTTGATGGGCAACCAACCAGAAAAACAATTAAACATGCTGAGGCTGGAAATGAATTTTGAGTATTTATAATTATTTCTTTATAATTTCACTTTCAAATCACTTCTGAAGTACTAAAAAGTTGATAAGTAAAGATCGACAGAATTTAGACTTTAGAATCTTTTAGAATCAACTAAACCTGTGCCTAATAAACTAAAACAGTATATTGATATAAATTATTACCGTAAATACTGTAATAGTTCCCCACCGCCTATAATGACGGTGCGGAGTGTTGCGTAGTCTAGCTTTAAACAAGTTTTTCTCGACACTGGTTTATGTTACAGTGCGCGCTTAGGTATCAAAAAATAGCTGAGATTCAGGGCTATTTTTTGATACCAAAGACGCATTTTTTAAAAGTACGGGCGCTTTGAAAAAAATGAAATACTAAAAAACGACTACGCGACTACGCGACTGTACGAGGGGGCTGGGGTACTGGAAAGCTTCTGGAAAGCTTTAATATCTACCGTAAATACTGTAATAGTACCACACCGCCCATAATGACGGTGCGGAGTGTTGTGTAGTCTAGCTTTGAACGAGTTTTTCTCGACACTGGTTTAGGCTACAATGCACGCTTAGGTATCAAAAAATAGCCCTAGATTTCAGCTATTTTTTGATACCAAAGACGTATTTTTTGAAAGTACGGGCGCTTTGAAAACAAATGAAATACTAAAAAACGACTACGCGACTTTGCAACTACGCGACTGTACGAGGGAGATGGGGTACTAATAATAATACTTTATTCAAACGATAAAGTGAAAGAAATCATAGAGAAATGCACAGTGATACTTAATCATACAATACATACTGAAATCAATAAGCCAAATACTTACGGCAAAGAGCCACTAGATCTAAAGCATCGATACGTTTCTTGAATATGAAAAGCGACTGAATTTCTCGTATGTCGTTTGGGAGCAAGTTCCATAATCTAGCGGCTCTAACGGGAAATGACTATTACAGTATTTACGGTAGGTAAAGTACTAAATCTTGCGCTCTTCATTTTATTATCGAAATTAATGAGTCTTAAACTACCAAATACTTTCTTTCTTTATAAATCATTTATCATTTACTTTTTATCATTTTTAAACAATTTCATTTTTTTTAGTATTTTAGAAGAATCTGCGAGAACGAACATTGAACGCTTAGGCATCAAAAAATAGCTGAGATTCAGGGCTATTTTTTGATACCAAAGACGCATTTTTTGAAAGTACGCGCGCTTTGAAAAAAATGATATTTTGAAAAATGAGCACATAAAGAAAATCGCTAAACGATTTATTCTAAAAATTCTGTTTGTAGATCTAACTTTTTGTGCGCTATCTTTTTTTATTTTTTCATCAAAAACGATTTGATTGAAAGAAACGATCCAAATCGTATCATTAAACCTTGTCATTGTTCAATACTCAGCTTCTTGCTAATGAAAAATCATTAAAACAAAGCTTTTCAGAAACTTTGAAAAGTCATTTGCAAGAGAAATTATTGGTTTATCTAATTTTGAAAAAACTATTTTATTATTTTATTTAGTAGTTTGAGACTTAGATTCAATTAGAGAATGAATTTGAGTGAAAGACTTTGTACTTAACCTAATAGTTGAGTAAGTAATCGTAAAGTAAAGTAAAGTAATTGTAAAGTAAAGTAAAGTAATCGTAAAATAAAGTAAAGTAATCGTAAAGTAAAGTAAAGTAAAGTAAAGTAAAATAAAGTAATCCTAATAGTAAAAAAGTAATCGTAAAACCAAATCTTGCTTTTTTTTTGTTCTCGATTCAAAAAACGAACCAGTTATTGTGGATTGCTTGCGCAGACGCGGGCCCCAACCCGAAATCCCCATTTCGGGTCGTGCACAACCTGAAATAACATTTAAATTATAAACTTAATGTTTTGAAAATGAATATTCAATGAAAGATGTTTAGAGAAATGATAGCCTGGAAGGGGCAGACACGGAAGCGAACGACCCTGAACTAGGAGATCGACGGCATTGCGCAACTCAATCCCTAAAAGGGCCATCTTTCGATGAACCCCTCGATTTTATCGTCGCTCATCCTCTTTCCTCTTTCAATTAAGAACTAAGACCTTGCTATGGTTTGGAAAAATTTAAAAAGATCTACCGATCTTCTACCGATCTTCTACCGAAACTACATTTAATCCACCGATCAAATGGTTGCAACAATACCGTAACTGATTCCTAATCTTCCTAATCTTTATAAAATTATATTTTTTTATTTGAACTAGTAGAAATTTCATATAAAAGTTAAAGAAAACGAAAAATCGAAAAATTAGATCGAAGATTTGACAAAAATACGGTTCTCAACCACCAAATGGCTCAGGGATTTGACCTTTTTTTGACTCGAGAATAATGACCCGAAAAGTTTGCTTCATTTGCATATTCTTCTTTTAAATGAAATGGCGAATCCGTGAAATGAATTCATTTGTTTAGGGGAAATTGTAATCCTTTGAAAAGGTATCATGTCAAGGTTAACAGCAATACCGTTTCCTCTCAACCGATTGACCATTTCAAGAAAAGTTTTGCAAGCGGGCAAAATCTCAAGAACTTGTAATTGATTCTGGGTAATGAAATTGAGACTTTTTCACGAGCGAAGAGGTTCTAGGAGAACTTTTCCCTATGATTTTCCCTAAAACAAATGAAACTAGTTAAAGCTTCTATTTTGAACTAGTTAAAGGCCCAATTGGTGGTCCAAATCATGGTGGTCCAATTTCCTCTAAAGATTTATCTTCTAATGGGAAAGTGATTTAGATCAAAAGGATAAATCAAAAGTTATTGAAATGACATAGGGAATTGGATAAATGAAAGACGATGAGATTAAAGGAAAAAGAAAAGAGAATGATGGGGGCAGATTGAATCGAGAAACCCACTGAGGAGAAGGGGGGGAGATTGGGGAAGGGCCGGGGGGACAGTACCCTTGACCTGGTATGCGGCCGCTTCTTCAAGCATCAACCTGCGAAAAGTTAGGTAATCACCCACTTTTCTCTCCTTTGCTCACTTTTTATCAAGCGGATTTCGTAAACCGAATGCATTTTTTTACGATCTCAGAGCTCAGCAGTAAACTTGCACTTCTAGAGCTGATTGACCAAAGAAAAGCAATGACACATTAAAAGAAGTTCTGCAAAATTGTAATTAAGATAAAAAGATGAGGATAAGCTGAAAAAATGAGCATAAAGCATAGGCTAAAAATGTGAAAAAGAAAATTTTTATACATAGATTTTAAAAGTATCATTTGAAAAACAAAAAAAACCGAATTCACGAATTGTGGAACATGATTGTGAAGGTCTTCTTGATCCACATCTACTTTTTCGCTTATTTTGAAAGAGATTCAATCGAGATTCAATCGAGAACAGAGCTATGAACCCTTGTAGGGACAAATTGCTGAATAAGGGGGGAGTTTCTGTCAAGATTGGGATGACTGTCTTTGGGGAGGGGGCAGCTCGAGCTAAGGCGCAGTCCTTGACCCGTAAACTCTTGCTCTTGTGCCCCGAGAGCTGATTTTTTTTTTGGTGCCGCCTCGATTTCAGACTCAGACTGATGCCGGTACTTGTCGAGAGTTTAAATCCACTCTGATTTATCTCGTAAAAAAACCTGAGGCGATTTTCAATTACCAGCTTAGTTCACAGAAATATAATTAGTTTAGCATTCAATTACCAGCTTAGTTCAGCGTGAAAAAGTCGAAGATCTTGGCTAAATAAGTTCTCCTTTTTTTCCTCTGAAAACCTAAGTACCTTTGTAAATGAAAAAATCGAGAAGGGAAAACGAAAAAAAAGTCAAAATTTTTAATTGAAAATGAGAAGGGTAAATTCTCTCGTCATAAAGATGAGCAAAAGCGAAATCTTCGCACTCTCGCTTCATTTCGGTTTATGCTTTGGTATTTGCGGTAAACCGAAGTGGAGCACACAAATCGAACAAAGGTAAGTAGGACAAGATTGCACAAGAAAAGAGTAGTGGACCCAAATTCATCCCCTTTCCTTTTCCTTATTCTTTTCTGAAACTTCTCTCCTTTTTTTTCCATCCAAGTGTCCGGGAATTCATTCACCCTCAAGAAAACTCTCGCTCGCATCCCTGCGCATAAAATTTCTCGATTTCGATAAACGATGAGCTTTCAGGCAAAATGTTTTCAATAGATTCATCGGGATTTCACATTCTTCGATACCAGATACAGTACTGGACAATGAAATATGATATTTGAAAAAAGATCGTCACTTTCGCGCGTCTGTAACTCCCTTGTCTTTGCGTTTAAACTATTAGTGTTATATATTTTCTGAAAGCTCTTTTCAAGGGCTACACAATGTTAATATTAATATTTAAAAATACGGTAAAGACAAGGGAGTTACAGACGCGCGAAAGTGACGATCTTTTTTCAAATATCATATTTCATTGTCCAGTAGTGTACCTGTGCTCAGATTTGTTTGCAATTGAAAAATGCAATGCAATTTTTGTGAAGACACTGTTCAATCAGTTAGAAAACGGTCAAGGCCGATTTTGCTTTCATTCAAGAAAGATCCTTTCTTTTTGTGAAATGGTTTTTCATTGAAAAATAGGGGTTTTTTTTCTTGTTTTGCAAACGGATTATATCATAAAAACTCTTTTTTTTAAAGTATTTATTCTTACTACCAGCAGAAGTACTTCAGAATGCCATTTTTTTTACGATCTCAGAGCTCAGCAGTAAACTTGCACTTCTAGAGCTTATCGACCAAAAAAAAAGCGATGACACATTAAAAGAAGTTCTGCAAAATTGTAATTAAGATAAAAAGATGAGGATAAGCTGAAAAAATGAGCATAAAGCATAGAAAAACGGTCAACGCCGATTTTGCTTTCATTCAAGAAAGATTCTTTCTTTTTGTGAAATGGTTTTTCATTGAAAAGTGGGGTTTTTTTTTCTTGTTTTGCAAACGGATTATATCATAAAAACTCTTTTTTTTTTAAAAGTATTTATTCTTACTACCAGCAGAAGAACTTCAGAAATCGTAAAAATGATTGCCAGAAACGAATTCCCTGTGTTGGAAAACCCCGCCATGCAAATTTCAGTGTAAAATCAAAAAATTGCACCCATGGCACAGTGGATCGCGTCACGCCTCACATGACCCGGGTTCGACCCCGGCCAGTGCCGACCTGCCATGACTTTTTGCAAAAACTACATGAAATTTCATTAGACACGTGTTTCAGGGTTTTTTTAAAATACTCAAAGGGAACGCGCGTAGTGTGTGCACAGACAGACAGAGATTTATTTTATATAGAGTAGAGAAGATCAGGCAGTTAGTAAGATTTGTCAGAATTTCAATGCTAAGCTCTAATTATTAGGCTGTAAAGGCTTCCTGTAGGTTTATCTGACGGATACTGGAGTTATGAAAAGCTTATGTAAAGTCAAAGATGTTTAAATAACATGTAATGCTTTGATCGATCGAAAAGATCGTTTAATTATCAAAACAATCAGTCAATTAATGTCAATATTAATATCAATGAAACAATCAATTCAAGAAGTGTTTCATACTTATTTGAATGATTTGTTTAAGTTAGAACATAGCTCTTTCAATGTTTATTGAAATTTTGATAACGTTCAGCAAGTAGGAAAGTTTTTATTAGGTTGAGGAAAAAGTAATATCGGTTTTTGTCACAAAACTGTTTATTGCTAAAAACATAAACAAACGCACATCAATCAAATGAGATGTTCTCAATTATTATTGATGACTTGTTTCCATCTTTGTCGCAAATCCCTGATCGCATCCTCAAAAAAAATGGGGAGTTTTCGAGTCAAAATAAGTTTTGACTGCTTTTTTTGATCTGTGCATGATTCTCGAACTTTTCTCCCATAAGAAAACTCTTCAACGATCGAAATAAAAATAATCTGGGTAGGGTCAGGTCCGGACCAAAAGGTGCGTGGGGCAGAAGTTTCCAACTAAGCTCGTCGCTTTTCCTTATTTAAAATCATGCCACAAAGTGGCTCGAAGTCGAAACTTTTCGTCTTGCAAAATGCAAAATGCAAAATGTCCCTGAAAATATTGTTAAATTTGTAAAAATTTGTAAAAATCAAATATAATATGAAAGTATAGAAGTGTCTAGGTGATATCAATTTGAAAAAAAAATCGCATAAGCAAAGGAATGGAAAATTGCCAACAACGGGAATTCAAAACCAACATTACTTTTTCCTCAACCTAATAGTTATTTAGATGTCTAGATGTCTAGATGTCTAGATGTCTAGATATCTAGATGTCTAGATATCTAGATGTCTAGATATCTAGATGTCTAGATATCTAGATGTCTAGATATCTAGATGTCTAGATGTCTAGATGTCTAGATATCTAGATGTCTAGATATCTAGATGTCTAGATATCTAGATGTCTAGATATCTAGATGTCTAGATATCTAGATATCTAGATGTTCGATCTCAACTTTGCCAATCTGAAAAATCTAATGCTACAATTAGATCAATCAACAATCTCTTGCTGTAAGCTAAATTTTAACAATTATATTGCTTTGTTTGTTTCAATTAAATCTGTATTTGTCTCACTATCAGCCGAAAAGCTCAAGTCAACAGCAGATAGACAACAAGCAATTACTAAAAACGATTACATGAGCTCATCTTTAAATCTTTACGACATTCAATCAACTCAAACCGATCGTTTTGACTGTTTTATCTTTCATTTATCTATTCAAATATATTTTTATTATATTGAATTGATTCGAATTGATCAAAATGATGAAAGTTTTATGCGTTGACAAAGTGGGATACGAAGAAGAGAATCCATTGGAGGAATGTTTTAAAAAGGTAAGAGATTTAGAGTCAAGTTCTCTTTTAATTACTTTATTTTCTAGTTGATATACCTTTGGAGTACACAATGTCACACTGTGAATCGACGAATAATTGCAATCACCGAGCTCTCACCAGATCAGAGTGCCGATTTCGACTCGATTGTTGCGTCTTGTTTAAAAGAAACTCAGCTGCCAGAAAATGTTGAGGAAAAGTACTTGCATAAGTTAATTCCGCGAACACCGATCTTCTCAATTTGTTATCAAATGCACTTTTTTACAGGTTTGTTGCTTTCTTTAATCTTTTTTGATTTAGATGATTTAGACGTTTTCCATTGTCACTTTTATACATTCGCCCCGAATTCGGATTTAAAAAACCCACATTTAAATGCTCCATATGCAATTCGATTTCGACAAATCGATGAGAAAAGGTCTCTAGAATTTCAGCAAACTTAAAAATGACTTATTCAATAATTTAGTGGTGAGCTTTCTGTTGAAGTAGACTCAAAATGCAGCGAGCATCAAGAAAAATGGATTTGCGATCACGTTTTTCCGACTTTGGTTTGCATTTTTGCATTTTTTTGTTTGTTTGTTTGTTTTTTTTTTGTTATATGATTTTAAATCTTCTTTTTTAGATTAGATGGATGAAAACAATGAAATTAGATCAACAAAAAGTGATCACAAATCGTCTGATTGACTCTGAGAAATACGCGTACACGTATTTGAAAATTAAAGAAGATTTTGGGAAACCGCTCGTTTTGGTAACATTTTTGTATTCAGTTAACAAAATTGAAAAGCAAAAAATAAAGGAATGGAAAGAGTCGACAGATCCACAGAAATTCGTTTTTGAGGATTGTGGAATCAGTGCTTATTTGATGGTTTGTTTGAAGAAAGAAAAGCTTTGGCTTTGGCTTTGGCTTTGGCAAGACTGATTTTGACAAGACTTTCAGGAGATTTGGAAAAGCATTGATCGTTTCCCGAAAAAGTTTGCCGATATTGGATGCGGAAATGGATTATTGGTGCATTTGTTGAATAAGTTGGGCGTAAGTGGAATGCAAAAGTTTCACTTAAAAACATTTCACTTTAAGGTCGACGGCATTGGAATCGATTTGAGGAAACGAAAAATTTGGCAAGATTTGTTTAATGGCACGAAGCTGATTGAGGTGATTTTAGTAAAAGAAATACATTTATTTACATGAATAATGTACAAACAATACACAAGTACAATTCCTAAATGTAGAAAAGAAAAAGATCATATATATGGAAAAATGAGCCATCTAGCCGGAGGGATTGAACCCTTCAGCTCTCGATTAAGATACAGGGCTCTTAGCCAGTCGAACATTGAGTGGCGATTGATCAGCATTATCTTATAGCTTTATATATGAAAGCGATATGCCAGTTGAAACCGGATTGTGCGCGCGAACAAAGAAACTAGTCAGCACTTCTTGAGAAAAGCAAAAAAGCCAAAGCGGGGACCAAACTCGTGAGGCCTCGCTCTGAAAACAAACCTTGGACCACTTGGCCACGGCTGCACACGTTTACGTCCACAAGCCGGAGCAGGAGGCCGCTAAGACCCAAATTACCACATTTTCAGAGTCGCTTATAATAAGTCGCATAAAAAACTTTAGACGCTTATAACTCATGACAGATTCTCATTTAGCAAAAACGGAATAAATATTCGAAATCAGCATAAAATTCTGCGTTGAATGGCTTAGGTTGCATAGTATTTGGCCGACTCAGTCAATTGATCTTGCCTTGTAAGATCATTGGCTCTTAGCCAGTCGGCCAAGAAAGTAAGTAAGACAAAAGAAAGCCTGGTTATGTCTGAATTTGAAAAGGGAAACAAACTTCTAGGGTGTTGTCGATCCGACGCGACCAAATGATCCCAATCTTGAGGCGGTTGACTTTTTAATCGGAAATCACAGTGACGAGTTGACTCCTTGGATTCCGATTATGGCCGCACGGTTGGGCTGTGACTTCTTCTTGCTTCCGTGTTGTCCATTCGATTTCAAAGGAAAATTTTGTCACAAAAGGCCTAATCAAAGCAAAGTTTGATTTGACTATCGCTTATCTTCAAGTTCTCTTTTCAGTATGACGCTTTTCTTCAATTCGTTCGAAAAATTTGCGAAGAGCTTGGGTATGAGACAAGAGATGATCGACTCAGCATACCCTCCACAAAACGGGTAATATCTAGAATTTATTACTAGTATTGAAGGAAATGTATAGAAATGTTTTGTTTGCACGATACCATCACAAGGATTGAAGCCGAATCTAGACGAGGTTATTGCTAGGTTGACTGCCGGACATTCGACAACGCTTTTTTTGCCACGAGAAAAGGAGGAAAAGGTGAGGAGAAGAAAGCAAAGAAGGAAAGAAAATAGAAGCAAAGAAGGAGAAAAAATAGAAGCAAAGCAAAGCAAAGCAAAATAAACCTAAATCAATAACTATTATTGGGTTGGGGAGAATGACTCGGCGCCAAACTTTAAAGGGACTTTTTGCACACATAAAGCCTTCTTTAAATATACGTTTGGTTTCATCAAAAGGATCCACTATTTCTCTACAAAATGCCTTTTGAGAGATTCCACAAAGCTTTTCTTTCGTGGAGTTTATGGACTCCCAAACACAGCTAGTCAAAATGGCAAAGAGTCCGACTCATCATTTGAACAGTTTCTTTCACAAAAACCTTCTTTGGTGTTTATATAAAAAAGATAGAGCACATTCAATTACTTAAGTTGCCAAATTTGCAGGAAGATCCCACCAATGGTTTTTTCTAGATGACAGTTTGTAGTTTTTGTGAAAAAATGGCTTTTTCTTGAGCGGAGGCGCTGTTTGAATTTTCTTTTAAATGTCATTTTGTAGAGAATTAGTTAACCATTCTACTCATATCAAACGCATATTATTTGACAAAGTCGAATAGAAGTTTTAGACATTTTTTTGATTTTCGGCGCCGAGTCATAGTCCCCAACCCAATAGGTTGGCGACATTGAAATTTCGTTTTTGAGCAACAACAAAATTTATTCGTAAAAATAAACTAGAAATCGTCTAGCATCTATAAGTTTTTTTTTATTAAAATTCTTCAAAGAAATAAAGAAAAGACGCGTAATAAAGCACAATAATTATATCTTTAAAACAGAAGAGATTGCGATGGTAATACAGCTATCTGCTTCTTTTTCGTGTTATTTAGGTTTTAAGACATGCTCTTTCTAATAGAAAAAGATTAATGGTTGTAGCGGTGGTCAAAATGCAAAATTCGCTGTTTTAGAGGGTGAATTTGAATTATAGAATTCAAATTCACCGTTAAGAATTTGTTAAGAGTTAAGTTACGAATTTGAAACGCACTGTAGTATCCACAGTGTTAAAATCTATAAAGAGAAACGCAAACGAAATTTCAATGTCGCCAACCTAATATTTATATTTACATCATTATGAAAATATTTCTCAAACTTACAGGTGCTCAATTGTTCACGAGTTCCAGTAGAAGTTCGCGAACGAATCACAAAGCGAATCTTCACTGCTCTACTCGGTGAAACATTGGAGAGAAAATCGGGGTTTGGATTTGACTTTGATTTGATTTCATTTGATATTAAATTTTCATTCAATTGACTTTGATTTCATTCAATTTTCAATCGAAATTCCTCCCAAAACTTACAAAACTGTTCAGAGAATGGCGTGAAGGAAATCCATTGTCAATTGCGTCCGTGTTTTCCCTTTTACCACCTGAAGAAGTCGATTATATGAGGCAACAAAACGGCGGACTTCAGACTTTTATCAAGAACCAGCATCAGATTTTTAGGGTTTGTTTTAAAAAGAATTCAGAAAGTCAAGAATTTAGATCGAAAGTGGAAACGTTCGAATCAGAGATTGGCGAAAACAAGAAGAATGGAATGGAATGAAAAAGAAGAAAGCAAAGATGAATCCATCTGTAAGTAGTTAATCTTAGAACTGGATCTCTAATTCTTGAGCAAGAAAGCAAGCCTCTATTTCTAGAAAATCAAGACAACAGCCTGTTGGATGCATCTCTATCACCCAGATGGTTGTCCACTCACAGAAGAGGAATGCACTTATCTTCACTCCAGTTGATAGCTCTCGATAATTTGTTATTTTGTTGTTTTTGTTGTTATTGTTGTTATTGTTGTTGTTATTGTTCTTGTTGTTATTGATCATTAGCTGTGATTACGGGTAATCATAAAACAATATTGCTTTATTACTTTCATCAAAACAATGTCCCTTGACTACTGCGTGGTTCTTCAGATCGAGATCTTTGTCGGTGCTCATCACGGTGACTATGAGGATTCAATCGATTCTAAAATTCGACTTTCTAAAAGATCTATTAGAACAGAAACAGAAAAATACAATATTCCATTCGAAAATCTAATGCTACGATTAGATCAATCAACAATCTCTTGCTGTAAGCTAAATTTGAACAATTATATTGCTTTGTTTGTTTCAATTAAATGTGCATTGATCTCACTATCTGCCGAAAAGCTCAAGTCAGCCGCAGATAGCTCTATTTCAAGCCTCTGTTTCTAGAAAATCGAGATAACAGCCTGTTGGATGCATCTCTATCACCCAGATGGTTGTCCACTCACAGAAGAGGAATGCACATATCTTCACTCCAGTTGATAGCTCTCGATAATTTGTTATTTTGTTGTTTTTGTTGTTATTGTTGTTGTTATTGTTATTGTTGTTATTGATCATTAGCTGTGATTACGGGTAATCGTAAAACAATATTGCTTTATTACTTTCATCAAAACAATGTCCCTTGACTACTGCGTGGTTCTTCAGATCGAGATCTTTGTCGGTGCTCATCACGGTGACTATGAGGATTCAATCGATTCTAAAATTCGACTTTCTAAAAGATCTATTAGAACAGAAACAGAAAAATACAAGATTCCATTCGATACCACTTTTCGCTTCTTCGTCTTCTCTTTATGTTGTCGACCAATGATCTCAACAAGTGCCGTGATTAATGCCAAAGCCATGCCTGCACTCAAAATATAGAAAATACCAGCAACTTTTGAGAGATTTAAAGAGGAGGAATTTGCATTTTCCTGTAATCAATTGAACTTTCCATCATTGATTTCAATCCTACCGTTCCACCAATCTCACATTGTGCTCTATCATACCACCATTTATACTCAAGACGTTTCAATTCACCTCTTTCTTGTAAATAAAGAATTGCCAAATTAATAGATTCTCTAAAATTAAGTGCACAATCGTAAAAATACATCTATTGGGTTGGTGAATTGAAAACTGCCGGCTATTGTCATATGTGACAGTTTGAGCACTTTCTTCAAAAGAAACCCATTTTGGTGTCAATAGAAAAGTTGTAGAGAATGAAAAATCAAGCTTATATCCAAATTATTAGAACGATTCAAAAACTGGTTTTCAAGAAATGCTAAATTTACGAATTTTCACAAAACTTGCATTTTAAGTGGAACTACTAAGTGTATCTTTTTGGAAATTTGGATATAAGTTTGATTTTTGATTCTCTACAACTTTTCCATTAACACCAAAATGGGTTTCTTTTGAAGAAAGTGCTCAAACTGGGACATCTCGACATCTCCAGTCCTCCATTTTTGAGTCTCACACTTGTCTCACACACAAACCAAAATCCTACTAGAATCCAAAATTCGAAAGAGGAATCCGCAAATTGCCTGTAAAATGGGCAGAAGTCGTCAATAATAATGGAAATTATTTGGAATGAATTCATGGTTTTATGTTGAATAAATTTTAGTTCAAAGTCTGGCAGCTTTCAATTCACCATCCCAATATATTATAATTATTTAACAGTAGACAAAAGTGCTACAGTAGAATAGCCAACAATTGAATTAGCACGAATCTTATCGATAAGCGAATCTGCTTACACCCTCAACAACAAGTTTTAGGGCTCACCGAAGCCGGACTCACTCCCAGTCAGATTCCCTATATCCCACTTGTGAAACTCACCGCGTTTTGCTTTACTTCTTTAGTGAAATCCGCAAATTGCCTATAAAATGGGCAGAAGTCGTCTATAATAATGGAAATTATTTGGAATGAATTCATGGTTTTATGTTGAATAAATTTTAGTTCAAAGTCCGGCAGTTTTCAATTCACCAACCCAATATTTACCGTAATGGATTTCCGATTTTTGTCGCAATCCCATATCCTAGAGTGTTCAAATTGATTCCGACTTTCATCGTATTACACGGCTTTCGCGTGTTTTCATAATTATTTGTAGTCTCTTCAAGAAGAAATGCATATTTTCCCTAATAATTTCTATAATCAGTACTCATTTTTTCCAATTCACCTTGCTTTTTCGAACTTTTTCAATTCCTCGAGCATATGTATTGACAAAAATCGAATCTGTTGTCCCATTTTCCGCCGTTTTCAACTGTTTGGCGTGCGCGTTTTGCATAAAATTCCACATTTTTTTGAACAATGGAACAGTTGAATCCTGAGATAAGGATTTATGCATTTTTCTAGAAGAAAAATCTGATCTCTACCTCAAAGAATGCTTGCGTCGATCCACCCTTAACAATGCCATAAAGAATCGTCTCTTGATCCGCTAAATCCTCAACACTCTCAATTGGTGGAGTCATTTTTTCTAGCGTCAAAAAAGCCGCCAAGTTTGCTGTGTATCTAAATATTGACTATTTTATAAGTATACAGCACTGGACAATGAAATATCATATTTGAATATTTGAGAAAGTGATATTGCCACCATTTGAAAAACCCGCCTAAACTTTACAAGCTTTAATCTTTGTACAATTTTCATCTTTTAGCAAAAGAATCAGATAAGAGTCGCCTTGAAGACCTGGAGAGGCTGGATCCGCTGGATCAAAGGGATTCCCCGGAGCCCCTGGACAACCTGGAGGTCGCGGAATTCCCTGGACAAGCTGGAGAGCCTGGACAGCCGGATGATTCAGGGATGTTAGTTGATGAAAAAAAACGAGGAGAAAAGAGAAATATAGTGGCACAGAAACTTTCATTTCACATTTCTTGATTTCTATTTCTATTTCTTTCAAATAAAAATCCATTCACATACAGCACTGGACAATGAAATATGATATTTGAAAAAACGATCGTCACTTTCGCGCGTCTGTAACTCCCTTGTCTTTGCGTTTAAACTATTAGTGTTATATATTTTCTGAAAGCTCTTTTCAAGGGCTACACAATGGTAATATTAATATTTAAAAATACGGTAAAGACAAGGGAGTTACAGACGCGCGAAAGTGACGATCTTTTTTCAAATATCATATTTCATTGTCCAGTAGTGTAAATATTGACTTTTATTCAAAGACAATCAAATCAAATAAAGCGTTTAAACAAACGATGAAACGATGATCAACGTGTAAAACCACCAGCACGAGGAGGCGATTCGACCAGATAAAGCTCTAAATTTTTTTTGCATTTTATCGAAATTATCAATGAAAATAAAAACCTTGGTAAAATATCGGTTCCTTGTTGCATAAAAGCCGCTAAAGTGAACCATAAAGAGTTGTAGATCGAGAACTCATTCGTTACACTGAAATAAATTCTTTAACTCCATTTTTCTCCAAAACATTTCTTACCTAAATTCTCCTCGATTAAACTGAATCCTTTGCTCATATGGGCTGAATGAAGAGACAACAAAGATTGTCAACGAAACCTAAATAAACTTTATAGAATTGTTTTTCTATTCTTCATTTTCTTAAAGCTATATCTTATTAGGTTATTGCATAGGCTTTACAATTTTTTCAATTTTTCAATTTTTCAATTTTTCAATTTTTTAATTTTTTAATATTTTAATATTTTAATATCAATTTTTAAAAATAATCCCGGCATCAATAAAATTTCTGTTTAAACTATTAAAAATATTAACTGTTTCTCTGCAAAATGGCTTTTGAGAAATTCTTGTAAATAGTTGTTTTTGTGGATTTTCAAAGACGCAAAGGCGACCACCGAAAACTGCTCGGATGCCGATGCTGAAATCTCAATTTGAACACTTTCTTCAATACAAAACTATTTTAGTGCTAAATTAAAAAAGATAAAGCTTATTTGATTACATACCGTAAACACTGTAATAGTACCCCACCCCCCTCGTACAGTCGCGTAGTCGCAAAAGTTTTTTAGCATTTCATTTTTTTCAAAGCACCCGTACTTTCAAAAATGCGTCTTTGGTATCAAAAAATAGCTGAAATTCAAGGCTATTTTTTGATACCTAAGCGCGCATTGTAGCATAAACCAGTGTCGAGAAAAACGCGTTCAAAGCTAGACTACGCAACGCTCCGCACCGTCATTATGGGAGTAGGGTACTATTACAGTATTTACGGTAAGTCAGTAAAATTTGAAAACGATTCGTTCAACGATTTTCTTTAAAACAGTAATTGAAAATTTTGCATAAAAATTCGTTTTTATCGAGTTAAGGCGAGCTTTCTTTCTTTCTTTCAAAAGCAATTTTGTAGAGAAATGGGAAAATTCCAACCCGAACCTAATTCCACCATCATTTTCTCAGCCGTTTCTTGACCGATTGCTTTGAAATCTTGTCTACAGATAGAAATCAATATTTTCAGCTTTTAAATAAAATTTCAGAGTAGTCGGCCAAGAAACGGCTGAGAAAATGAAGGTGAAATTAGGTTCGGCTTGGAATTTTCTCTAATACTCACTCCAATGTACGAGCAAGCCGTTAAAATCCAAATGGTCGTCCCAAGCGGCTGCATGAACGATAGAATATTATACTCTTGCTTTTCCGGCTTATTGATCATAATGGAAATCCCTAAAAAGTTTTTGTTAAAGCTTTCAAGTTTGTAAATTGATTGTTTTACCAGAAGCTTCGCTGCTCTTTTGCAGCAAAAAGCAAAAGAATTGGCGGCGAGAGGAGCCGAACCGGGAACCTCTCTCTTTCGTTCTTTTGAAAGACACGCGCGTTAAAAAATCGGCCCCTCAATGGCGCAGTGTGAGCGCACTTTTCTCTAGCCACGACCCGGGTTCGACTCCCACCCACGTCGGTACTTTTGGTTTTTTAAGAATTTAAAAACATTTTGCACAACTAGATGGAATCCTAAACCAAACTAACTATAAGTCATTTGAAACGGCTCACTGGGGGCTGAGGAGTAGGGCACACAAACAGACAAACAAACAGACAAACAAACAGACTAACAAACAGACAAACAAACAGACAAACAAACAGACAAACAAACAGACGTCTTAGTCTCTTTATATATAGTTGATAGGCAAACCGGTAGTCATGAATGGTTTAGAGAAATCGACAACCCGCTCGCGTTCCTGATTAATTGTCAACGGTGCCACCGCAACATCAGCTGTCTACAATTCGTAAATCAACGCTAATTTTTTGTTTTTCTTAAAAACTTCATTCAACAGATAACCAATCGCTCCATCCCAACTTCCATCAAGTTGCTTCTTTCCGTACTTGTTACCTTCTGAGATGAAAATATCATACTCAAATCCGGTGATGTTTTTTGCGAGTAATTCAAGTAGATCAATACAGTATCCCTCAAAGCGATCATTTCCCTTAAAGAAAAATAATAGCATTTCCAAAATCAAGTCCTACTTTTAACACTGGATCACCGGGATTTTGTCTTCTCACCATCACAAACGGATCCACCTGTAATTCTTATAGAAAAAGTTGCAAAGCTTAGTGTCTTTTACCAATAAAGTAACAATGTTGAATCGTAATTTCCACGGTTTATCAGCTAAAATCCCCTTTTTCATCGGTGTTCGATCTTGTCTGTGTTCTAAAATTGTATTTTTTCTGTATTTATTTATTTATATCTATTCTATTGTATTTATTTATTTATATTTATTCTAATAGAAGCAAAAGTGCTTCTATTTTTGAATTTCCCAGAATCTGGCGACCAAAAAAGTAGATAATGAATCAAAAGACTAAGAATTTCTTAAAAACTATGTGATTTGATAGGAGCTTAGCCCAGCTCTCGACCCTCGAAAAGAATCGTGATCGTTTCTTCATTCAAAGAAAAACAGGTAATCAGTCAAACTTTTACTAAAGGAATTAGGACCTGATTCTCAGTAAATATCAAATCAACCGCAGGTATTGAAGTTGGCGCCTATGATCTGTCGGGTTTTTCAAAAATGTCCAATTTTTTGTTTTATCATAAATCCCTTTGATGTTTTTAGAATTAAATAGGTCATTTAGTAAAAATCAATCCATTTTTTTAGTGGAGAATGAAAAAATCTATAGTGAAACAATGAAAAATGACTTTTCGAAAATTGGTGCAACTTTAAAGTCCATTCAAATTCGTTAACCACCATGAAATCCCTTCAAATTTCATAATTGAATAGAGATTATCTCCTATATTCTAAAGTTTAATTTTGACGCAAATCTATGGTAGAAACTTCAAGAAACAACTCTTTTTGTTATAACCTCAAAATTGGGCAATTGAAACGCTTGTGTGGGAGAGGGTAGGCGATTTTGTGTTTCCACTCAGAGAACACTATCTTCTGAGTTTTGCGGTATTCTTTTTTGCATGCTTTATAATTGATATTTGTTTATGCAACATAATCTTCGTTATTTTCAAATACTTGAGCTCATTTGTAGTTTCGTTTCATGAGTTTTTGCCTGCCTTCTTTGCTTGCCGTCTTAGCTGCCCCTACGGACCGAAATCCTTGGGATGAATTCGAAAAAACTTCAAATTTTTGAACAGAAAGATTGTACCCGGGGTTTTATAAGAAAAACAGTAAAATTAAATTCCAAAAATTTGAAGTTTTTGAAATTTAAAATGCAAAAAACAAAATCGTTGCGGGTTCCCTGTGCGCGAGCACAATCGCACTCGATCTGGCATAGGAGGTTTGCTCATATAGTTCCCTTCTGACTGCTCAAACCGGAAGCGTCCATTTTGGGTCATCCGGTAACCAATCCGTTGTCTGCCCCATGTGGTCACCGCTTCCCAAAGCCAACTTTGGCTGTAGAATTGGTCAACCCAGTTCCAGCCCACTTTGACCATTATGGCGGGTTCTCTGTCGGTCGAAATGGGATCCCAAGTGCCTGTAAAAGGGTGTGCAAGGGAGCCGCTGTGAATTTTTGGATTCATCCCAAGGATTTCGGTCCGTAGGGGCAGTAGACTGATGAAACGAAGATAGGCTCAAATATTCGCAAATAACGAAGATTATGTTGCATAAACAAATATCAATTATAAAGCATGCAAAAAACAATACCGCAAAACTCAGAAGATAGTGTTCTCTGAGTGGAAACACAAAATCGCCTACCCTCTCCCACACAAGCGTTTCAATTGCCCAATTTTGAGGTTATAACAAAAAGAGTTGTTTCTTGAAGTTTCTACCATAGATTTGCGTCAAAATTAAACTTTAGAATATAGGAGATAATCTCTATTCAATTATGAAATTTGAAGGGATTTCATGGTGGTTAACGAATTTGAATGGACTCTAAAGTTGCACCAATTTTCGAACAGCCCTTTTTCATTGTTTCACTATATTTTTTTTTCATTCTCCACTAAAAAAGATTAATTTCTTATCTATTTAATTCTAAAAAAATTAGATATTTTTGAAAAATCCGACATTTCATAAGCGCCAACCCAATACATTAGCAAGTTTGAAGTCTAAATCTCTCAAGATCACAAGTAAAGTTTGTACATCTGTAAGTAATTACTTGAGGAAATGTTTTCAAGTAATTTTTTACTTGAGTAAGAGTCAAATAAAACGTCAAGTAATGCTCATTCTAACTCCTTTAGCAATTTAGTATAAAAGAAGTCAATCATTTTATTTATAAACATTTTGCCTTACAGCTGATAAGCTACAAGCTATAAAGTTACAGAAAAGAACAATCTCTAATAGAAAACACCAATCTAAACCATATAAAGTTACAGCTGGTAACTTTCTTCTTGGTTAGAAAAAGCTTTACTCGTAGCTTGCAGCTGCTAACTTTCTTCTTTGTTAGAAAAAGCTTTACTCGAGATGTACACACTCGTTACAATGGGGGATTTAAAGTCAAGATTTCGAAAGATTTCAAAAGATTTTGAGTGGTTTAGATTGGTGTTTTCTATTAGAGATTGTTCTTCTATTAGAATAAATATCGTATACCGTACTTTCTCTAATAGTAGTGCACCCCGGTGAGCCGAGTTGATGACTATTTTACGGTTTCCAAGCTTTTGCAGAAGCTCAACACTCAAATCCCCCACTAGATCTCATCGTCAGCTACATTTTCCGACCCCACATCGATAGGTTCTGATAAGCGCTTCTCGAGATTTCGAGCAATTTAGGCGACGCTCATGGTGCACTACTATTAGCGGTATTCAAAATCTTTAAAGAAAACCTGATACACTGGTTTTCCCGAAAAGAAAACCCTTTCCATGAGCCCATTGATATCGCTAAATTCACTTGTTTCACTTTCCTTTAAGACAAATCACCTCTCTGATACTCGTCAAACTGTTGATCCCCGGTCGAATCTCAATGACTGTAGCCGAAAAGTTTTTTCGTAAACCGGTCTAATAAATGTTTTCAAATTGCAATAAAAGGGATTTACTTGAGGATCGAATTGTATCCGTCCCGTCAATGTTCCATTTCGCTCATCCAAATCAACCTGATTCTTTTCATTTTATTGAATAGCTTTACAAACATCTTTGATTGAATAGCTTTAGAAACCTTTTTGCTGAATAGTTTTACAAACCTTTTTGATCGCTTCCGCTAGCAGAGCTCCATGTTCAAATGATTCAAATCTTCGTGCTTGATGAAGGATATCTTCATGCGGGCGACAATAGATTCCCGGTAGGCCACGATTGAAAAGTTGATGTTGTGAAAATGAACTAAATGCTTTTGCATTAAATTATAGAAAAAATTTTTGTGTAACTGTTTGAAAATATTAGCGCCTCTTTCTTTTTCGACGATCGCTGCTGCTGTTCCACCGACCAATAAAGCATCGTGAGCAAAGGCGCTACTTGCCTAAAACCTATGCCTTTTCCCTTTCAATTGCCCTTTAAAAATAATCTAAAGTATTATAAGCAAAGAAAAGAAAATTGGTGTTAAGCAATTTGAAAGCTTGTGCTATACTTACTCTCAACTCGCTTGGATGCTAAATTTTTATTGTTTAGTGAACATTTGTTTAGTGAGCATTTCTCAAATTTACCGTCAACCATTCAGCTGTCGGCATCTTTTCTTTGTAATGATCTTCAAACGATTTTCGTTCTTTACTAAATGAATTAAATAGATTTAAATAGAAAAAAAAAGAAATCGACTTTACATGAAATCTTTTGAGTTTCGATCGAAAATTTGGAAACCGGTGATGTTGATTAGTGAATAGTGAAAGCCAAAGAGATCCGAGTCTTCCATTTCCTTCAGTTTATAATTTAATTTACTTTTATAATAGATTTTATATTTTTTACAAGATTTGCAAAAACATAGTGATATTCTCGCTTTACAAGTACGGTTTCCTCGAGTGCTCGGAGAAAGGCTCTCATTCGATATCCGCCTTCCAGATCGACAACCACGTTTATAGGACTAAATTTTATTATAAAGTAAATTGTTTGTTTTTTTAAAATATTGGGTTGGTGAATTGAAAACTGTCGGCTATTGAGTCATGAGGCGGTAAAATGTTTCAGAATTTGATTAAAAAAGAAACTGTGGGGGCTTTTAGAGGAAACGGAAGATTGGCGTATGAGAAAAGACTCCCTTCTGGAGGCGCCCCGTAGAGAGCCGAATTCAAAGAGACCAGAAAAAAGGGGGTTGGGATGAATGCCTTTAACAATTTTAAAGCACTCCACTAAATCGATTGAGAAGACGTTATTGTGAGAAAGTTTACTACAAGAGATCATGTATTGGGTTGGTGAATTGAAAACTGCGGGCTATTGTCATATGTGACAGTTTGAGCAATTTCTTCAAAAGAAACCCATTTTGGTGTCAATGGAAAAGTTGTAGAGAATCAAAAATCAAGCTTATATCCAAATTTTCAGAACGATTCAAAAACTGGTTTTCAAGAAATGCCAAATTTATGAATTTTCACAAAACTTGCATTTTAAGCGAAACTACTAATTGTATCTTTTTGGAAATTTGGCTATAAGCCTAATTTTTGACTCTCTACAACTTTTCTATTGACACCAAAATGGGTTTCTTTTGAAGAAAGTGCTCAAACTGGGACATCTCGACATCTCCAGTCCTCCATTTTTGAGTCTCACACTTGTCTCACACACAAACCAAAATCCTACTAGAATCCAAAATCCGAAAGAGGAATCCGCAAATTGCCGGTAAAATGGACAGAAGTCGTCTATAATAATAGAGATTATTTCGAATGAATCGATGGTTTTATGTTGAATAAATTTTAGTTCAAAGTCCGGCAGTATTCAATTCACCAACCCAATATATTATAATTATTTAATAGTAGACAAAAGTGCTACGGCAGAATAGCCAACAATTGAATTAGCACGAATCTTATCGATAAGCGAATCTACTTACACCCTCAACAACAAGTTTTAGGGCTCACCGAAGCCGGACTCACTCTCAGTCAGATTCCCTATATCCCACTTGTGAAACTCACCGCGTTTTGCTTTACTTCTTTAGTGAAAGGAGTTGTGCTTTGTTTAGATTTACATCGTGGAAACTATTTGGAATGAATTGATGGTTTTATTTTGAATAAATTCTAGTTCAAAGTCCGGTTCAAAGTTCAAATTTTCAATTCACCAATCCAATATAAATGCATAAATGCTTTCAACAAATCGAAATCTTTTTAACTAACTCATCAGAAGTCTGAAGCTCGTCGATCGAATGCAGCGAAATGTTTCGCCGTCTTTGCTCTTCCATGATGTTCTTTCGGTGAAATTTGTTCAAGAACTCGCGAAAGAATTCCTCATCTGTGGGAGCTTCGTAGTTGTCCACCTAAACGTTTCATTTATATCTATATATATGTCGTAGCCGCTTACGAAATTCAGCAGCTAACGAATGATTCGTTAACGGCTAGTCGCTAACAAATGAAATTTTTCGCTAGCCGATTACGAATCATTCGTTAGCAGCTGAATTTCGTAAGCGGCTACATATCTATTCACACAAATAATGTGCTACAAACAAAAGCAAAAGCATAACCTCTAAATGTAGGGAAAAAACTCATAAATATGGAAAAAAATAACCAACCAAGAAGGCCGGCAGGATTGAACCCTTGAGGGATTGAACCCTTGAGGGATTGAACCCTTGAGGGATTGAACCCTTGAGGGATTGAACCCTTGAGGGATTGAACCCTTGAGGGATTGAACCCTTGAGGGATTGAACCCTTGAGGGATTGAACCCTTGAGGGATTGAACCCTTGAGGGATTGAACCCTTGAGGGATTGAACCCGGCAGGATTGAACCCGACTAAGCCTACAGAACTCTTAGCCAGTCGGATAAGTTTCGCATAAGCTTTTGCAAGAAACGAGTCTATTCATTTACCTCAAAGCTCCATTCCGGTCGAATCTTTTGAGCATAGGAAAAAAGCGAAAATAGGGTCCGAGCGGCTAGATATACTTTAAAAGAAAGAGAAATTTTTTTAAAAAACCATTTGCTCCATCGTGGATGTAAACAAATTGATGCCATCCTTTATGAATCATGTAATCAACAAGCAGTTCATCTACTGGAGGTCTCACTAAAAAGAATTCAAAATTTGGAATTGATTGGAATTGGAGCTTAATAATTGGAAAAGTTGAAACCAACCGGAGAAAGTCATTGGTGATTGTAGCTCGATCGATCTCCGATTCGAGACCTCCCAGTCGATGAATGGAACCTTATATCGAATTTTTACATACACAAATAAAGCATTTACTGTTTTTGCTTTTGTTCTTTTGTTTTCTCTTACCTGCATGGCGTTTGCGATTGCTCGAAATGTTGAAAAACTGTTGGTACTTGAGCCGGCCAACATGATCATAAAGCCAACTTTCAACTCGTCACAAACTCAAAAATTTAAATTGAATGGTTATTTTGTTTTTTTTCTTTCTTTTTCTGCTTATTCATGTTTGTTCTAAATTCTAAACAAGTCGGAATTTGTGGAAAGCAAATTTGCAAAGCATTGCAAAACTAGATTTCAACTTCTAGTTTTGCATTCCTGAGGATTGAAGGGAAACAAAGAAATTGAGTTACTAATGTGATTAAGGTTCCAGTCAAGAGATCTTTTCTCGAATGGCGGCAACTCTCTCGTCCCAAGCAACACATCAAACTCGGCATCGAATCTGACAATTTTCAAAATTAAAAGTGAAAAACAAGAAGTGAATTTGTGAAAGCTCAATAAAACATAAAAATCAAACAAACCTTCCATTAAAAGTATACTCGGCTAGACGAAGCATTTCAATGATTGCAAGAGCCGTTTGATTGTCTGTCTCACTCACATCAACGAAGCCTCCTGTATAAGAGTCTTTTGATTATTTAAATCTTTTAAATCGTTTAAATCGTTTAAGTCTTTTAATTCTTTTAATTCTTTTAAATTCTTTAAATATTAGGTTGATGCAAAAGTCTTTTTCATTTTTTTCGTACTTTCGCTAAAAAGTAACAAATGCACCAATTGAACAACGGTTTATTGCATTCGAAAGGCCAATTATTTTTCTGCAAAATGACATTAAAACGAGTTTAAAATGTCTTATGTCTAGATTTTTTTGAGAGCCTGAAGTCGGGTAGTCAAAAAAGGCGACGGCTCGATGATGCATTTTAGACGCTTTAGCTAAGGAAACCAATCTTGATGTTAATAAATAAAAGATAGAGCACAAAAAGTTAAATATCTTTTCAGATTTTCAGAGAAATTGATTCAGCCAATTTCTTTATAGAGGTTTTTATAGATTTTTATGAAAAACCCGTTTTCACTCTCGAATTTGCTTGAAAGTGAACCCAAATTGACTTAAAAAGATGGGAAATTGAACAATAAACACTTTTCATTTAGAGCAAACCATAGGTTAATTGATGACTTTGTTATTTTTCAAAAGAAGTACGAAAAAAATGAAAAAGACTTTTGCATCAACCTAATAGTTTAAATCCTTGAAATCTTTGAAATTTTTAAAATCTTTTAAATCGTTTAAATCGTTTAAATCTTTTAATTCTTTTAATTCTTTTAAATCATTTAAATCTTAAAGAACTACAACCTACTTAATGGTATTTTGTGCAATCCTGCGAGTATAAATGTTTGAAGACATATCGCAAACACGAGAAGAATCTTCATTTGAATTGAGATTAAAAAAGAATATATGCAAGTATTGGTAGAAAGAGTTGGGGAAGACTTTGAAGAGGTATTGAGCGCCGTAAAATTGAGTGGGTAGTTTGGGAGAAGAGGCGAGCCTTGTCGCTTCCAATTTTCGGTATTAGGCCTCTAAGAAGGTCCCTCTCATCACTAGTATTTCCCTTGGGAGTGTCCTTTATTCATCCCAACTTCTCTGTCATTTTTCATTTGGAAAATAAAAACATTGTATTGGCAAACGATTAGCTAATGCTGTCTTCATTAGCTGTCTTCATTAGCTTTCATTTTCAATCATTTACGCTAAGAAATGATTTCATTTTTGAGTTGATTTCTGTGCTAACTTTATTGCCATTTATTAGGCTGTCCAGAAAAAGAGACTTTGTTGTAAAGCCTCTCTTTCTGTCCGACTTTCCATCGACTGACTCTCAAGTAAGCGCTGATTTACTGAAAATGTTTTTCTGGATATTTTCAAATCAGTTAGCCGTTCACAAAATCGGAGAGCGGTGACGAGAGTGGAACAGAGAGCTCTTGAGGCAAAGGTGAAGGGGCAATCGGGGATACACGGGTCACTTTTTTCTCTCATTTACGAAGCGTTTCATGAATTGGTTCTGGCCAACTCGTTCTCCTGATATCCCTCGCCCTTCCTAGCTGATCTGCTATAAATAAGCGACCAAGTCAAACGCTTGCTTGAAGCATTCCGCTCCACTTCCCAAAGGTGACCTTGCTTTTGACTCTTTATAGTATTTTTGAGAAACCGGTTTTGGGGATTTGAACCCGAGCCTTTCTTTCACTAATTTTGTTTAAATTAGTTATAAATTATAAAAGTTATAGAGTTATAAGAGTTTATAAGTTTATAAGAGCTATAGTTTATAAATTATAAGAGCTATAGCTATAGTTATAAGCTAGTTAATCTATCATTTCAAATTGTTATAAGTTTTAGATGGAGGAATATCATCGCGAACGCGCCTTTGTTCTCGTTTCTCGGGTGGCCTCGGTGTTCACCGTTGGTTTGTTGGAAATTCAAGTTTAAGCACTCGAAATGCTTTAGTGGCTTTGGTTTCACTCGGAATTTCACTTCCGATGGTTGCCAATTATGTTAATGACATCCATACCCGTGCTCAACTCCAAATGAACGAATGCGAGGTAAAAGCAAAATCGAAAGCTTTGCTATCTTCACAAAACTTTAGATCTCGGCTCAACAGGTGCTCGGCGAAGTGTACACGTTCCGTGCTCATCCCGCGAATTCGACCCGTGGAAAGAGGCAAGCTGGAGGATGCGGAGGTTAGTTCTATAAACAATAGTTCTATAAACAACAATAAACAACAACAACAAACAATTCTATAAACAATAGAAGCTTATAGAAGCTTAATACTATAATAATATAATTAATTAAGGATGCTGTCTTCCCGGAGTTGCTGGACCTCAAGGAGCGTCCGGACGTCACGGAAAGCCTGGTCGCCCAGGAGCCCAAGGAGCTCCCGGATCTCCTGGATCTGCCCCAAAGATCTGTCACGAGATCCCCGATACTCCATGCACACCATGCCCACCTGGAAATCAAGGACCACCTGGAGCTCCTGGAGAGAAAGGTATAGCACTTGTTTGTTCTTTTCACTTTTCCCTCTTTCTCTACAAGGTGACACAAAAGTTCCGAGCCTCGTTTTAGCCACCTCGTTTTTAAATCTTTTGAAAAACGGTTTAGAAATTCGAAATCAAGATGAATCTCGGTCTAGAAAAGATTTTTCCGAAAAAACAGAGCCTTTTCATCGAGTAGACAAACGTACTTTCTTAAGTGAAAGAGTTAAAAATTGAAAGTCGATTCTCGCCAACTCGTCTCGATTCATCAACTTTCTAGAGCTATAAGTTTTGCGTTTCAAATTCAATCAACCTAAAATCAATTTTTCTATTCGTCTAGAAGGAGTCTAGAAAATAGAATTTAGAAAATGCCTTTTGACTGACTACATTTCATTTCATTTCATTAGAAATTTCACAAAATTCAGCTAGCTTTTGAGAGAAATTCAAGCGATCAGGCAGGGTTGATTCTGGCAATATATAGCCAATTAAAACCCTTGATCTTTCCTTGCAAAGCCTTAGATTTAACACAAACTTGCTATATGTAAAAAAAAAATTAAGAATCTTCAGCGTTGGATCATTTTTTGTTGTCTTTAAAACTGAATTTGACGAAAAACAAGGTGGCTTCGAACTTTTGTGTATAATGAGATGAGAAAACATCACAAATTGTCGAGAAAATAGTTTTTTTTGGGGGCAAGCCAAAGAGAAAACAAGAATGCGCTGCCAGTTGCCGCTTTTTTTTTGCAATCCGTAGTCTCTCAAAAGGGAACAAAGGGGAAACGCGGTTGCGGTCACCTCACCGGAACGGAATGACAGCCCTAGAGAAGACTCGCTTAAAATGATTTCCCCTTGAGACTCCCTTTCATAAAATATTGATTCGCAAGCAACAAGGAAAAAGAATCGAGTTTTCAGATTGAAAAGATTATTTAGGATCACCTGGAGCTCCCGGAAACCCTGGACAAGGTGGAGGCCGTGGATACCCTGGCCCACCTGGAACCCCTGGAAGACCTGGAGCACCTGGAAACCGTGGAGCTCCTGGAGAGGCTGGACGTCCTGGAAACTCAGCAGCATCCGAGCCAGCTCGTCCTGGACCACCTGGAGCCCCTGGACAGCCTGGAAGACCTGGAGAGGCTGGACCCGCTGGATCAAAGGGATTCCCCGGAGCCCCTGGACAACCTGGAGGTCGCGGATTCCCTGGACAAGCTGGAGAGCCTGGACATGCTGGAGAGCCCGGGTATTTGCTAAGGAATGCTTTTTGTGTAGAAAAGGAATTTCAGAAGCCCTGGAGGCCCAGGATCCGACGGTCGTCCAGGAGAGCGCGGAATTTGCCCCAAATATTGCTCCCTCGACGGAGGCATCTTCTTCGAGGACGGCACTCGCCGCTAAACGGTGAGTCACTTCACACAGATACAGACAACCGGTAGTAGTGAGAAGAGAGATCTATAAAAGAAAAATAGAGGAGTTTCTTTCAAGAAAAAAAAGGAAAGAGTCTCTTTCTTCTCTTCTCCTACTTCATATGTCGTGTCTCCGAGTGAAAGCACATCAGAGTGAGTCCCTAAAAAAGAAGGGGAATGGCACTTGAGATGCCTGTGAACTCGGAGAAGGTCGATCGGGTTTTTTTACTCAAATAGACGATCATAGAAGCCTCAATATTTCTCTCAGTTTTCTCAGTTTTCTCAATTTTCATCTTTCAGGTGTCGACTTCGACTGTTTCTTCATAAAGCGTCAATCAAACTTTTGTCAATTCAATTCCATCGAAAAATTTTTGCAAATAAAGACGCAGAGCATCAATTTGATTCTTCTTTTGAAAATGCTTTTAATTGAAAATGCTGAAAATGCTCATTATCTAGAAGAAAAATCAAAGTAATCAATGCAAAAACATTCTAAACAAGAAACTAACTAAACAAGAAGCTTGCTATATTTTTTGAAGTCATTTATTTCATCATTATCCTTATGAGAAACTTTTTTGCAAAATAGAAAGAGAGAAAATGAAATCGGAACTGTGACTTTCACTTCTTCAAGTACAGCATTCAAGCATGGTGAAGAGAGAAAAGAGAGAAAAGAGGGAAAAGAGAGAAAAGAAGAGACAGTGAAGGCTAAAAGTATCTCACTCAATATACAGAGATTTCTTTTAATTCTAAGCAGTCTTTTTGACAAAAAAAAAACCTAAAACAAAAACAAAATATTCACTAGATTTCATTTTCACTTTGTTACAATGCGAACGTTTGTTAAGCTTAAGCCCAGTGATGAGTTAGACTTGTCAAGTACTGTCAAATACTGATGGATTTAGCTAGATAAAATGAAATTTTGTTTCTAGAATAGCAACTATCAGACTTGAATTACCAGACAAAATTACCAGAAAGAATTACTAGACAAAATTACCAGACATGAATTACCAGAATTACCAACTACCAGACAACTATTAAATACATCATTTAGTCAGTTTTTCATCAGAATTTTCTTAAATTTAGTAGAAACAGAAGAAAAACAATCCAGACACTTTATTTACACAAAAAAACTTAAAGAAACTGAGTAGCAGAGAGCCAACTTTTTTCCATTTTCTTCAAGACACATTACTTTTCAATTTTGTTTTGTGACGTTGATTGTGGTTGACGAGATCGAGCATCACCTACCACAGCTCTGAAAGAGAAAGGGAAAAGTGGTAAGGTTTTTTCCTGTAATAAGTAGCTTTATGGCGGAAAAGGGGTGGAGAATACGTGCTCTTCATATAAAGAGAAGGGAGGGATGAGCCTGGAGGGCGGGAGGAGGAGAAGGAGAAGGCTGAGCCTCCTCACTCTCATGTCAGTCATCGAGGAGACGAGTTCTCCCCCTTCCCCCGCCACAACTACCATAAGCACCCTCGAAGTCTCTTCTTCTTCTTCTTTTTCTTTTTCTTTTTCTTTTTCTTCTTCTTCTTCTTCTTCTACTTCTTCTTCTTCTTCACATTCTGTAGTTCCTTTCAAAATTTTGCATCTATTTTGAGTGCTTCTATCATTTTCTGGAAAACACGCCGTTCTAGTTTTAGCCAAGCCGTTCGCCGTTCGGCCTCTTTGACTTCTTTGGACTTCTTTGGATCAAAGCTTCTTTGTAAATCTTACAAAGTTTAATTAAAGCTAGCATTTTTAAGATTTTCTTTTTGTCAAACATTTATTTAAAATACGACCACCCATTCGTTTTTCATTTAATTAAAAGAATTGAAAAAATGAAAAAATGATGAGATTTGATGAGGATCAGTTTCTCTCATTTCTTTTCTATTCATTTCATCTCTTCTTTCTACTTTTTTGCTTCATTGAGTCAAGAAATGGTTTTCTTGATTGCCTTTGTTTGAATGAGGGGTATTTTAGTAAGGAAAAATTTCAGGCAAGTCGATCTCGACTCTCCCATCGAAAATGGGAGTGTTCCTCGAAAGAGAGAAAGCCTATCGGTTAGTTAATTTTCTATTATATTCAACTAATATCTTGTCTAAATAAAAAATAAATAAGAAACTCTCCAGATTTGTGGCCTATTCGGCTGTTGGCTTCTCGTTTATCTCGATTGTGGCTGTTTGTGTGACTCTGCCACTCGTCAACAACTACATTCACTCGGTGCATTTGCGTGTTCAGAATGAAATGGATTTCTGCAAGGTTGTTTTTTTTTTGTAAATTAAATGACTGAATATTTCAAAGCTTTTAGCTCTCCGCTCGTGATGTTTTAGTTGAAATGGCAGAGTTTCGATCATCATCACGAGTGATGGCTTCACCTTTTTCATCGCTTCCACCACTTCTTGCCAAGGCTCCAAATGCGACAAGAACGAAGAGACAGGCAGCCGTATGCACTGGTAAAATATTTTCCAGAAATTTGATATTTTTCTGTGCTAGGTTGCTGTCAGCCTGGACTACCTGGACCTGACGGAGTACCGGGAAAAAATGGAATGCCTGGACGCCCAGGTGCTCCTGGAGCTCCCGGATTTCCTGGAAGACCTCCAGCTGTTTGTGAAGAGGTATGTATTTATTTATTTTAGATTTTATCTATTTTATATAGGTTACCGAACCACCATGTATGCCATGCCCACCTGGAGAACCAGGTCCCCCAGGACCATCTGGAGACCCAGGACAGCCAGGTCAGCCCGGACATCCAGGCAGAAATGGAAATGATGGACCACCTGGACCACAAGGACCTCCTGGACCACCTGGAAAAGCGGGAGACCCTGGCCGGGATGGACCTCGTGGAGACCAAGGGACGCCCCGCTTTTTCAACCCCAGCTCTTCCTGGAGATCCTGGACAGCCTGGAGAGAATGGACCGCCTGGACCTCTTGGAGAAGCTGGACAAAGTGGACGGCCTGGAATCGATGGACCACCCGGACCACAAGGACCCCCTGGACCACCCGGACCTGCTGGAAAAACTGGAGACAAGGGACCACATGGACAACCTGGACAGCCTGGCCCTCAAGGAGAGCGTGGGATTTGCCCCAAGTATTTCAAAAGAATAGGCTCCTTAGATTTCATTTCAGGTATTGCTCACTGGATGGAGGAGTCTTTTTTGAGGATGGAACCCGACGATAAAGAGTTTTTTGTCAAACCTCAATCAAGCATCATCTCTTCATTTGAATGCCTGTACAATTTGTTTTACAGCAATAATAAATCTTTGCTTACAAATGTTTTTTTTAAAGCTACACAAGATTACTTCAAAAGAATTCTTGCTTACAAATGGTCGATTGGGGAGCGAAAAGGGGTTCTGAGTCACAGATGACGTGTAAAAGTTTCGAAAGCAATCAATTCGGGCATATTGACCCGACGCGTGACAACAAAATTCTTCTTATCAACAATCCAACAGCTCAAGACTTTCTTCTGAAAGAAAATATTACTCTCTCGAAGTGCCATTTCACAAAACTTTAAAGCTTTGAATTCTATTTTCATTCTATTTTCAATTTTCATTCAAAATCATGAGCAAATTGTCATCAACACAACGATTTCCATTACCAGTTAGTCTAAATTTCATGTTCATTAAACGAATTTAATGTATACATCTAGACATTGCCATTTGATCGCGAGATTTCACATCCTGGTGTTGGGACTGAGGTTTTGATTCGAGGAACCCCCTATGCAGATAGAAACTCGTAAGGAGTTGAAGTTGAAATAAGCTGTGAATTTGAATTCAAAAATATTCTGTCATTGATCAAAAACAAAAGCCTTTGTGATTCACAATTTCAAGGCGAACTTTCACTGTTTCCATCGAGGCTGATCACTCGACGGCACTTCTTCTTGATTGTCGACTTGGTAATCCGGCTGAAATGGCTGCAACGGCAAATGTTGATGGGAAAGTGACGTAAGCTTTATAAAGCCACAAATTCTCATCTTGATATTGTGAAATTTTAGAAGTGAAGTGAAAAAACAATGCAGTTTTCAACCACAAACCTCATTCCGTTTGATGATTTGTGCAAAAGAGCACATTTTTGAGGTAAATTGCTCGATTGCTAGATGAATAATGCCAATTTGAAGGTTTTTCTCAATGACATCTTCTTGTTGGATTTTGTGCACCGGGTAAATCCATTAGATTTCAAGAAACTGAAAGTCGAAGGAGCTTTGTATGTGGAAGAAATCGTCATCACAGCCGGGCATAGTAAGTAAAGGATTTGAATACAAACAAGATAGGAAACGTCTCGAGAGTCGAAATAAGTTCTAGATGTTTTACGTTTGAAAAGTAAAGAATTTACAGTGCCTTCGTCGATGAACGACCCGCTTCCGCCACCGCCTGATTATGTGAATGTGCCGCGTCTGCAAAATCCCGTCGATCAAATGACATTGAATATGCGAGGAATGAATCTACAAAGTAAGCTATCTACGCCTCAGTAAGCTACTTACAAAGTAAGCGCCTTAGTAAGCTACCTACAAAGTAAGCGCCTCAGCAAGCTACCTACAAAGTAAGCGCCTCAGTAAGCTACCTACAAAGTAAGCTTTAAAAAAATTCAAAATATAATATTGATCGAGACTCCGGGGCGTCGAACCCAGCTCGTGTGGGTCGGAGACAACCGCGCTCTCGACTGCCCCACAACAGACCAAGCCAGAAAAAACTCGCCATTAGGCCGCCTTTTTGACTACTTAATCAATAGCTCGTTATTTAGTCTTTTTATACACTTGGGAATTCGATAATTTTAGATGCTCAACACGCTAATCAGAATCAACGCCTCAATAACACCCAACAGCCACAACAAATCGCAAATGGTTTTATTTGATTTTTCTAAATATTTTTAAAACTTTTTAGGTTCACCAGGTCCTTTTGTACAACCCGTACCTCAAAGCCAGCTTCAACAAACCAGCAAAAGTAAGCCATTCACACTAAAAATTCTCGGGCACTTTATACAATTAAAATCAAGGTATCCCAAGTGCTCCGCCACACGATGCATGGGAAGCGAAACGTAAAATGGCAAACGAGATGCTCAAAGCGCAGTTAGCGAGTCAACCAAGAGCACCAATTGCTCAAGCTGTGAATCCTTTAACGCAAACAGCTCCAGCATCAAGAACTCCTTACCCTGCTGCTCCGGCATCGGTAAACTTGCATAACTTCAGGTTGTACACTTGACTCTAGGTGGTTCAACCGCTGAGGAATCAACAAACGATGCCGCAACCGAATCCGTATCCGAATCAACAAACGATGCCGCAACCGTTACCCCCACAGCCTCAACTAATGCCTCAACCGTTACCCTCTCAGCATCAACCAATGCCGCAACCATTACCCTCTCAGCATCAACTAATGCCTCAACCACAGCTACCCGTTCAACAACCCTACCCACCTGCAGGTGACATAAAGACTTTCTGAAAAGCCTAATACTTTGGATTTCTATTTTAGTTCCTGTCCCTGTGCCGGCCGGTTATCCTCCACCACCCGGCCAGTTTATGCAAACTGTTCCCACACAAGGATTCCCACCATATCCATCTATTCAACAACCACCAGTGCATCCCTTTTTTGTAAAAATTCTAGCTGCAATCATTTAATCAGAGGTTTTAGGCAACCCAAACTCTGCCCCAATACCCCGGATACTTCTCGCCTCCTTATGGAGGTCTAATCTAGCATTGAACTCTTTGCAACTATACCAATTAAGTTTTAGCCTACGACGCGCCTACAATGGTCACTTATGGAGCGGCACCAGGATATGTACATTATTCGCATTGCTATGTAAGATACAATCAAATCAATCAATCAAATACTTTTAGGATCATTGTCACGACTCTTGTTGATCGAGAAACCAGGAAAATGTTGTTGTATCTAACTTTTGTCAAATAAAACTTCAACCAATTTTCACAGACTTTTGTAAACGATTCAGGGCAACAGTAGCTTTCGTTTCCATCAAAAACCTTTGCTAGAAGAAGAGCTCTTTGCTCTCCTTTCTAGCGAGCTCTTTTCTCCTCTTCCTTCTTGACCTTTTACTGGATCCAAGAGGTTTTGAGTGGCTCAGCCAGAGCTTAAAGTTTTAGTCAGCAAGAGGCAAATTTCTAGCAGTTTTCGACTAGTATCCTCGACTAGTGGTGGTCTGGGGAAAGAGAATCGCTTCGAGAAAAGAAAAGATATGGAAAGAGGAGAAGAGTGTGGTGAAGAAAGAAAGAAAGAATGAGCAAAGAAAGAGCAAAAGAGAAGCTCTTCCCCGGCATTGCCTCTCGGGGATGGACGATCGATGGCGGAGCCCGCGAGGGGCCACCTCTCTTTCCTTCTTTCTTTCTTTCTCTTTTTGCGCCCCACTTCGGCCACTCGGGCGCCGCAGCCCTCACACACACACTAGTGATAGCTAGGAAGTTGCGCCTACGCGGTCAATTCCCGTGCCAAAATTTGCGTGGCTCGTTGGTGACGGCTGACTCGACGGCTGACTCGTTGTGAAACTGCGCGTGGATCGGGCACGACGACCGCCGACGGGGCTCCGCCGAGCGCTTCGCATGCGGACGGTGCGCGCTCGCAGCTGATGCTGCACACCTCACCGGCGGCTCCCTATGGCGCGCCAAGCACCTCAGCCGTTCGACCGCCGTCGGCTCCCCTCTCCGATTCGTTGCTTCTTTCTCTTCGACGACGCCCGCACGCCCGTCTCTTCCGAGCTCTATTCCAGGTTTGTTTTTTTTCTTGATTTCTAGAAAACCTTGGACTTGACCTTTTTTTCTGCTTTTTTTCTCTCTCTCCACTTTCACACGCTTATAATTGACACATTTTTTTCGCTTCTCTTTCGTTCTTTTCAAATCTATTTATGGCAGTTGGTCTATTTTCGGATTTCTTAAGCAATTGAAGCCTTTGATTTCCCTAGACACTTGATCAGCCACGTGGTTGAGCAGAGAAGAGAAATTTTTGATAGAATAAAGAACAACAAATTGTAGTTTTTTTTTTTTGATAGAACAATTGTAGTTTTTTTTCTTTTTTCGTGCCTAGCTAGCTGTGGGGCTCTTGGGTTTGTGCAGAGGAAAGGAGAATCGGTAATCTTTTGATCCTTCTCCGGACACATCTCCCATCTTTCCTCTTCTTATTCCTTCACAAACTCAACCCTTTTTCCTTCGCCCGATCGACTCTCTTCAACTTTTGGATCATATAAGTTCATTGTTGACATTTTTGGGTGTGTTAATTAAAATTTCCCCTTCAATAAGCTCATTTCTAATTTGTTTCTTATCCTTTGAAAGAAAAAAAACTACGAAAGTCTGGGATTAAAACTCTTGCAAACGTTCATTTTAGTAAACTTGTGTCCAGGCTTTTTTTCGAAAAAGAAAAAAGCCAGCATGCATTCTAAATTTTGTGCCGAAGTCTAAACGAAAAAAGATTCTTTGATCGTAGTTTGTTAATTCTTTTTTGAAAGGGGTTAATTTCTATTTGAATGAACGGAAAAATCGGCGATCCCGTTGGGGAAAATCTAAAAATAGGTATTGACCAAAAGTGACCACTTCGATTTTTTTTCTCAAGCACTTATAATTGCCGTATTTCCTCTAAAAACCCCCTCCCCCTCGACCAACTTTAAATGCCTTGTTCTCAGCCCCATTTTGAGATTTTTAATTTGTAATATACTAAAAAATAGCCCTTAATTTATTCTATCTTTTGGTATATTACATATAAAAATATCTCAAAATGGGGCTGAGAACGAGGTGTCTAAAGTTGGTCGAGTTCTCTAATAAACGCCTCCCTCGACCAACTTTAGACACCTCGTTCTCAGCCCCATTTTGAGATATTTTTATATGTAATATACCAAAAGATAGAATAAATTAAGGGCTATTTTTTAGTATATTACAAATTAAAAATCTCAAAATGGGGCTGAGAACAAGGCATTTAAAGTTGGTCGAGGGGGGCGTTTGTTAAAGAAAATACGGTGCCAACTTTCTCCATTATTTTGATTCAAACAGCTTATTTAATGATTTGTTTAAAAGGTTTAATAATGATAACGTTTAATAATGATAATTTTTGATAATTATAATGAACTAAAACCATTTCATTTCACTCTTTTCATCCACTAATCATCAAAAGCTAGTACCCTTTTTCTGCTTGATAAAAGCTCTCTTTAATTTTCTAAAGAAAAAAAAACGAAAGAAAAGAATGTTTACTGATTTTTCTCTCTTTTAGACGAAAGGATCGAGTATTTAAAAGCCATTGGCAGCCATTAGGACCCAAAGAAGACATGCAGGAGAGCGAGGCTAATTTTGGGACTCTCATTGCCCCACATACTTCTCGACTCAGCACTGCGCGTCCGGGGGAAACAAGGAAGCAAGAATAGGAAAGGGTAAAGGAGAGACACTAGGAAAGAGAGCTGGGCAAGGGGAGCGGATAGGAGAGCGGGTCGAGCAGGGCAACTGCCCAAAATTAGGGGTGCCTCTCCTCACAAATGCAAGTTTGGCTAAGGGAGATCAGCTTTTCTTCTCTTTTCTCATCCCACTGATGCTTTTCGATCTCAGCCATCCATTCGGCTCTCTTTCTTGGAGCAACATGAGAATTGACACTTTTCCCGCACACCCAATCCCATCTCTCTAATCTAGCAATTTCCTCAGATACCTTTTCATCTTCCTTCTTCCAGATATTCAGCGAATTGTTAGTGATTCTCTCGCGGCGGGATTTATGAAGAGAATAGAAAATTGTTTCTTTGTTTCTTTGTTTCTTTTGGGGTTTTCCGATGTATGAAAACCTGAGGCCAAGGCAAAAAGAGGGTAACCAAAAGAGGTTCTTGGGGCCAGGTGAAATTGGAGGAGTTTTGTCACCCCATTGCTTGTCTAGCTCAACCAGGTTGCCACTAAATTCACAAATTTCATCACATAAAATGAGAAAATGAGGGAACAAGGGAATTTATGTGTATTTTCAGTATCTACCACTACGAGATTCTCCAAATGAGAATCCCAGTCTCGAGTTGGCGCTTAATCCAGGCGACATGGTTTTTGTGAAGGGTGAAATGGATGAAGATGGATTTTATCGGTTTGTTTTTTAAGGATTTCATTTTTTAGATTTGGCTCATTTTAATAATCTCGCTAAAAAAGAGTTCTGAGCTTTACTTGGGGGGGAAAAAAGGAGAAAAGTGGAGGGTGAGCGGAGTTTGTGAGATCGTGTCACTCGTTTGAGCTTTAAAGAGAGAGAATGGGTAAGGGGGGGGAAGGGAAAAAAGGAAAAAAGGAAAAAAGGGAAAAAAGGAAAAGAAGAGGGAGTCTTCCTATTCGAAGCTTCCATCCATTCCCCCATTGGGACGCTTTTGCTTTGCTTAGAAAAGAGGAAAGAGGGGAGAAAGAGGCTAAATAAAGGCGTGAACTTTTCTGAATAGCTAGGCGTCATCTTCAAAAAGAAAGGAATAAAGGAAGGAAGAGAGAAAGTTTAGGGGTGAAACAATGGACGGTCGAACAGGATTAGTGCCTTCAAACTACGTTGAAAGGGTCAGTGATTATCAAAAGTTTTAACAATCTAATCGTTAACCAAAATTGATCTATAATGATTTGATTAGAATTGATTAGAATTTTGATAAAATTCTTTTCAAATTCAATTTTTATCAATTCAAAAAATAGGTGCCAGATTTCTGGCTTCTACAAAACGCTACTCGAGCACCGTCACCATCATTTCCTCTCTCAATTCCCACTCATCATTCCACCATTGTACACGATTTTTCGTGAGTTTATTTCGAAAATGTTTTTGTTTTTATTTTCCTTTACTTTCAGTGATCAATCCCACGAAATAGCAGCCACATCATGTGATCTGATCAACGATTATCGAGGACATGATGTTTATGGTACAAGTGAGTTTTTACTCTATTTTTGATCAATTTTTTGCTCAATTTTTTACTCAATTTTTGCTCTATTTCTATTGTAAACTATCTATATTTTATATATATTTTAAAATTAGTATCGTATATTTTTGTTTCTAGGCTCAGGAATGCCGGATTCAGTGTGCCCATATCCGTCAATTGATGTCTCTTGTGTCACCGTGCAGGAAATCAAAAGCGAAACGCCTCGGGGTAAGAGGAACTATTTTTTTTTCAATATTTTTTTCAAAAAACATTGTTTATATCATTACATTACATTACAATTTTTGTTTTTATTTGTCATTTTCAATTATTAAAACACCTGACCAATTGACGAATTTGATTAGAAAGCAAATAGAAATTCGTGAGTTTTTTTAGTGCCTTGTCCACGGGAGATTGCGATCGAAAAGAAACTGTCAAGATCTTTGGTTGTAGCGTGAGTTTTTAAAATTATAAGAATTATTGGGACTTGGGACTTGAAAAGCAATGAAAAAGCAATGAAAAATCAATGAAAATACAGGTGGTCACCGCCTGAAGAATCGTTTGTGGCAATCTCACAATATCATGTTTGCGTTGATGGACAAGTGAGAGCTGTTGTACCAGGTAAAGTAAGGAATGGGAAAGAAATATTCCCGGAGATGGGATTGACCTTTTTTTTTTTTGGGACACGCTTTAACCACTGAGCCATCCGGTATCTTTTTGTTAGAGAAGAAAGAGGAAATAAAAGGTGGAAGAGAAAGGAAGAAAGAGAAGAAAGAGAGCATTAGCTAGAAGATCATTCGGAAATATTATTAACCCAGTAAAACATTAATAAAACACATCTAGATCCTATATTAGATTCCAAAACTCATTACCAAACTATTTTCTAAATATTTTCTAAACCTATCGTTCTAGGATCCTACAAATGCCGAGCCTTGATTGAAGACGTTTGCTTGGATGGATCGGTGAATGTTTCAGTGAGATCCGTCACCGAACAAGGACACTCACCTGATGCAGCTTGTTCAATAGCTGTTGGAACTGGTTTGTTTCATCTTTAACACCGATTTTATAAGCGTTTATAAGCTTTTACAAGCTCTTACAAGCTTTCATTTAAAACTTTTTGCGCTTTTTGAAACAAACTTTAATACAGCTGAAAATTTGATTACCCAAAACGAGAGACAAAGAGAAAAGGAGGCAATTGAATAATCGAGCCTTTCCCCGGGAAAAAAAGACCAAAACTTTACCTTCACACAAAATACGGATTATTTTCAGAGGCAGCTGTTGCACCACAACATCTCCGAGTGTGGGCAGTGACTCCAATCTCAGCATGTGTTCGATGGTTCGTTCTATCAGCTATTCTTTAATGCAATCATTTTCCAGGTATCCCAGCAATTCTAATGCAGAACATGTTATCTCCTTAAATGCGATCAAAGTCGGTGTCTGTCCATCAAGTGTTTACCAGGTTTGTTCTTGTTCTTGTTCTTGTTCTTTTGTTCTTGTTCTTGTTCTTCTTCTTCTTGTTCTTCTTCTTGTTCTTGTTCTTCTTCTTGTTCTTGTTCTTGTTCTTGTTCTTCTTGTTCTTCTTGTTCTTCTTGTTCTTCTTGTTCTTCTTCTTGTTCTTGTTCTTGCTCTTGTTCTTGTTCTTGTTTTTCTTGTTGCTTGACCTCTTTTCCTTTTTCTCTTATCTTGAAATTTGTATAATCTTTCCATCTAGAAATATTGTATAAAATAATAGCAGTTAAAATAAGGGCAATTCTTTTTGATCAAGTGAATGAGGGGGTAATTTTTGTGGCCATAATGGGATGAATTAAAAAGCGGCCCAAGCATCGAATAGTTATTTGATGGAGGTGAAAGAAAAGGGAAAGGGTTGGAATGAGAGGGAAGAGCTGGGGTGGGGATGAAGCCAAGGCTCCTCCTCGAAAGACTCATTACTCATTCCAATTTCGGGATCCCTGAGCCGGTCGCCCGAGGGGCGCTCCACGCAACTTCTCCTTCTCCCCTCCTTTCCTTCTCCATTCCTTCTTCGAATCTTTTCTAGTGTCCTCTTCTTTCTCCAAGACAATCCGTCATATTAATCCCTTCCTTTGTCATTTGTTTGACGTCCATTCATTTGTGGAATTTGCCTCTTTTTAAACAACTCTATAAAACTCTCAACACAAGTTTTATCGGAGAAAAATCGATTCATTTTTGACTCAAAACGTTTTCATTCAATTTAAGCAATATACTTTTTAAAAGAAATATTTCAGGTGCAATTGGGTGGTCTCTCGCCGTCAACGATCTATCGAGTATCGGTGAGAACAAAACATCCGAAAGCGGTTCTCGAGCAGCGACCCGTCGAGCGGTGTCTCGATTTCAAAACATTACCAAAAAGTGAGTCATCTTGATCACATTTCTCATTCGAAATCGTTTATGTTTTGCTTTTTGAGTTCAAAAGTGATTAAGTCTGAACGTTTGAAAAAGCGTGTTAAGTCTGAAACAAAATAAGCATCGCGTTCCGAACAGGACGTCTGAAATAGAGTCGCTTTTAAGGGTTTTTAGACACTTCTTGTTGATCTGTCAGTGAAAACTGAAGCTTAACTCTGAGACTCTAGCTGAAAGCACCTCTTTTTCCCCCTTTTTTTTTTTTTTTTTTTTTCAAAGCCCGTATTTAAAGGCTCTTTTTGGTACTCTAAGTGCTGCATTGTTGCATAAACCAGTGTTGAGAAAACTCGTTTTAAGCTAGACTCGCAACCCCCGCCCTCATTTGGGCGGTGGGGTACTATTCTTACGCTGGCTCTTTCCTCGCTAAATCTAAATGCATGAACAATATTGAAATAACCAAACGGAAAACGCTCACTAACGTTCGCGTTTTCCACGCAATCTAAGCCTCGCTCCTTTTTGCCAATGACTGCGCACAGACAAACGGACGAACGGACGTCTCTTCTGCTTTATATATAGTAGATACTCTGGTTATTGCTTTTGAAGCATTTGCATTTAAGCGAAATTTGAATTTGAAAAATTCATTCAATTTTAGACATCCGATTCGGAAACGGATGTCTGAAAGTGAACAAAAATTTTCGTTTCGTTTTTAACGTAACATACCGTATTTATTCCAATAGAAGAGCCCCGTTTAAACGAAATTTTTCTTTTTTTCAGATTTATCAGCTCTCGAATAGAAAAATCCCCAACTTTTTAAAGACTTTAAATAATAGTTATAGACTAAAAAAGGCTAAAAAAAGCGAAAACCAGATGAAAATCCAACAAAAACACCCAGTTTTGAGCTGAAAATTTGGGTATATTGCAGGTAGGGCAAAGAAAAAGAATAGAAGTGCATTGAAAAATAGAAGAGAATGTTTACGTTATGTATTAAATAAAGCCTCATTGTCAGTGTTGCATCTCTAAATCTCTTAACACTTTCTGAACTACTAAGAGACCTTGGTAACAAGTTGAAAACAATAACAAAACAAAACAAAAAAATCTCTTTTTTTTTTTTTGCTTTTTTGCAAATTTTTTTAACCGACCCCACCAAATCACTTCCGGTCGTGGTCGTCAAAAATTGAGAACGTGAAAACAAAAAGACGGGGGGCTCACCCAAAATTGGCGGCTTCTTTTTCTTAAGCCGTTTTTCCTCCTCGTTTCTCTTTTCATCGACTGACGATTTGACTGGGCATTGTGTTGATGATCGTCGTTGCTAGGTAGAGTCCCATGAATGTTTCAATGCCTTTCTTCACATTCCATCTTCACTTTCCATCTTCACTTTCCATCTTCACATTTATTCACACCATTTGATCAACTTTTGCATGAAAAATTCTCCTCTTTTTCCCCAGAAAATCGATGATTTCAGCTAACTTTTCTCTTTTTTGATGGGAAATTGAAAAAGGAATTTTGAGAATTTTGAGAATTTTGGGCGAAGAGCAGAGATAATTACACTCTTTCTTTTCTCTTCTTTTTTCTTTCTTTTCAGCCTAACATTTATGCGTCTAAAACTTTATTGGGATCGTTAGACGCAAAGTTTTACTGAGTGTTTTAAGTACTTTTTTTCATAACAACCCTAATTTGAAAGAAATATTCCTGAGAAAACTCGCAACTTTGCTTTAGTTGGTCTACCCGATCCACCGGTGAACGTTTGTTGCGAAGCAGGACCTCAGCCAGGCACTTTGCTTGTCTCGTGGACACCTGTTCACACACAGGTAGCACTGTAGCACTTGTTTTTACAATTTACAATTTAATTACAATAGTTTTAATAGTTCAATAGTTCAATAGTTCAGTAGTTCAATAGTTTAATCGAATTAGCAAAAGACTTTTAGCCTAAACCACCTTCACGAGCCGCTGTTCAAGCCTATTTGATCTACGCAGACGGAAAGAACATCGCTCAAGTGCCTAGTGGAACTGGTATCGATTATAGATTATATAAAATCGAAAAAAACTTTCAGCCGATCACGTACTGCTGAGATTGGCGGATTTGTCCGACGATCCACCAATCTTCATCACTGTTCGAACAAAAACACGAGAAGGAGCTGTGAGTGGAGACTCGAACGTCGCTCGAGTACCCCGAGTCAATCAGTTACAAGTAATCTTTTTGGCATCTTTTACTTCGAAAATCTCTTGTTTAGGCACTTGCTTCTGCTTTTGTTGATCCATTGCGCGGAGTTGTTCCCCAAAACGATCTTTTAAAGGTTTTCTTTAATAAAAATCCCCCACTAAAAAACGCTTTTCCAGTTACAAGACCCGTTGGAAGCTGCTCAAATGGCCGCTTCGTATCCATCATCTTCATTTCCTGTTATGCAACATCAAGTAGATTTTTGGACTCATAAAACATTTTGATACAATCAAATAGACTTTTGAAAAAATAAGCTTTAGTCCTCATTGCCTTCTCAATTGAAAAATAACCTTTAGTCCTCATTGCCTTCTCAATTGCCCGGATATCCACACGTGGGAACATTAACGCGACAACAAGCGGTCGCACCATGCTCCGCTCCCATTTCTCTACAGGTATTCTTACATCACTTTCTAATAATTCAAATGTGTTTTTTTTAATATATTGATTCCTAAATGAATTCTTAAATGAATTCTTAAATTCCTTCATAAAGCAAACGGCTTACAGGCGTCAATCGTGGCCGGTCAACAATCCCTTTCCTCACTGCCAGCTCTTTCTTTTGCTCAATCACAGATGCCGCACTATCATTCAATAAATCCCTATCCCACAAGTTATCTTCAGGTGGGAGAAAAGTCATATCAAGATTCTAGTTTTAGTTTTTACTGATTTACACGCTTGAATCTTTCAGTTTTCCAACCAAAACTTGGGTTGGGTAAAATTATCCGGACAACTTTTTAGAAAAGTAGTTTTTGCAAGCTTAATTTATTTCAAAATATCAAGTGTTATGTAGAGAATTGTAGCTCTTAATCTTGGCTACATTTCTCTACTAAAAACTTCCCAATCGGATGTATACAGCTCATTTAACAAGTCTTTGAATGGCACTCGTCGATCCCTATCCAACGCGCTGCCATTTTTAACGATTTTCTGCGAAATCTGGTGCCTTAATATCTTATCTTGCAAGGATACTGCAGTAAAATATTACACAAGAACTTTACAATACTTTTATCAAAAAATTTCAAGGGCTATCCGCAAGCTTTGGCCTCTCATGGACGCGTTCTCCCAGCTGCCGCTCCCACTGAAGGTGTCTCTCAGCCTCATCAGGTATTTTTAGAGATATGCGCATTAGTAAACAAACTGAAAACTAATATCTTTTATCTTTCCATGAAAATAAGCGGAAAATGGAAAATATTCATATAAAAAATTTAATATCTGAAGCCCACACACGACGCTGAAAAAAAGTGGATTATGGAAATGAGAAAAAAAGCATTAGTGATTAAGTAAAAAAGATGATAAGTAGTAATGAATATTCAATAATGAATATTCAATAGAATATACGGTAATAGAGACTCTTTTTCTTAGTCATTTAATATGCATAGACGAAAGGAGAAAAAAAAAGAAGCAAAGCTTGAAGTATGAAAAGTTGTGAGAAGACGCAGCTTATTGTAATTAATCGTGTCAATCGTGTTTAGAGCTTGAAGTTAACAGCCATGGCACAGGTAGAAAAAGAAATCATTATTCACCTTTCTCTTTCCAATTTTTTCCCCCACAAAAAAAGAAATTTGCCATTTTTGGGAACGCTTTTCTTTTTTAAAAAAATCTGTCTTTTTCATTTCTTTGTCACAAAAAACTTGAGTCTTAAGCTAATGAATTGAATTTTTAATCACTTATGACTTGAAAACCTGGTGGCTATGAAAAATTTCCTTCAAAATGCACCAAGCATGAAAACAAGCCAACATTTCTTACCAAAGTATTGCCAATTTTTCTAACATTTCCCTTTTTCTTGGAAACTATTCCAAGAAAGGGTTTATGAATGTGAATGTTGTTTTTTTGTTTTTGAAACAAATTCTCTTCAAGCTTTTCGAGTAACTCAGCAAAAATTTCTATTGAATAAACAAAGTTGTAATTTGTAAGAAAAACATTTAATGAGAGTTTTTAGTGGAAGGCTGCTGCAATGAGTCAATACTATACATTTCATCCAAGACTTCTACGGGGAGAAGGAATGCAGGTTTTAACAAACAAAAAAAAGTGCGATCATAAACATTTAAAAACGTTAGGATGATGTTCGTCCAAGTGTGATGGAAATGGAATCAAATTATCTTTTGAGACATCGACAGGTAAAAGAATGATAATAGGGTTTTTCAGAAAGTCTATTTCATTCCTTTTCGTAGCTATATACCAAAGTATTTATGCTTTATTTTTATCTATAGACACGAAGAGTCTATAGACATCTATATACATCTATAGACATCTATAGACATCTATAGACATCTATAGACATCTATAGACATCTATAGATATCTATAGACATCTATAGACACGAAGATAGGTTTTCTTAGCTAAAGTTTCTAAATCGCATCATTGAGCCGGTTTTTTCATAGATTTTTACGTGAAACTCTCGAATTTGCTTGAAAATGAACCGAAATTGACTTAAAAAGATTGAAAATTCAACAATAAACACTTTTTATTTGGAGAAAATCATACCGTAAATACTGTAATTGGACCCCACCCCCATAATGATGGTGCGGAGTGTTGCGTAGTCTAGCTTTGAACGAGTTTTTCTCGACACTGGTTTATGCTACAATGCGCGCTTAGGTATCAAAAAGTAGCCCTGAATTTCAGCTATTTTTTGATACGAAAGACGCATTTTTTGAAAGTACGGGCGCTTTGAAAAAATGAAATACTAAAAAACTTTTGCGACTACGCGACTGTACGAGGGCGGTGGGGTACTATTACAGTATTTACGGTAGGTTAATTGATGAATTTGTTAGTTTTTTTTCAACGAAAGTATGAAAAGAAACGAAAAGACTTTCTGGACAGCTTAATATAAAAACGAAGTTTTGCAAGCATTGTTTAAAGGGTGACTGGGCAAGTGGTGCGAGTGATCTCCGCTTGAGAGCTGCTGCCTATCCAAATCGACAAATGAGCGCTGAAGGGAGGACGCATAGGTTTTAGAAAAGCATGAAATGAGATATGATTTTGCTTAGGCTAATTCCACCACGCTTGGCTCGAGTGAAAAGCGAGAGTGGTTTTGGGACAAGGAGCGAACCTGATTTGAGGCCGATGCTTGATGAAGATTGCCGATGGTAAGTTGAAAGATTCATTTACATATCTTAGCTACAGTTAGCAATAGTTTTTGATAGTTTATTTAACCTATGACTTTGCATTTTTTAGGTTTGTTGCTCTTTTTGATTACGATCATCACATGTCGCCGAATGCGAATGCGGAAAATGAAGAACTTTCCTTTAGAAAGCATCAACTTATCAAGGTAAAAGAAGTTAAATGAATTGAATCTAATAATTATATTATAGGTTTACGGTGACGTGGATTTGGATGGCTTCTATACGGGACAAATTGGTGGTAGAACGGGGCTAGTACCGTCAAATATGGTAATCGAAATTGCAAAAGATGACTTGTTACCAAGAAGATTGAGGTAATTAGAATAAACTTACAATGATTTAGTAACTTAAAATGATTTAGTCCTGCTACTCGTGAAGCTATACCATCCGGAGCTGAGCCAGCATTGAGAAGAATGCGATGGGGATCACTAAAGGTTTGTGTTTGAAATGAAATCGTCGCTTGACTTGACAAAAAGCTAAGCTCAATGCATCACTTTTTAGAGTAGAAGCTACGATCATGCGGGTGATCGAAGAGCAGCTGGTGGATACAGTGGGAGATCCGATGTTTCTCAACACTACTCAAGTCTTGATAGACGGTAACAATCACGCACAAAAATCTAAAATCTAAAAATTCAGAGATCACTCTTTGCCACCACGAGAGCGCTATCGACGATCATCTGGAAGAGTGGAATATGGGAGATATGATGGACGTTACAGAGATCGAGATGATTGGAAGGACAGGTTTGTTTTAAAGCGCATTAAAGCACTGAAATGTTTCAGAGAAAGAGATGAAAAGTATCGAGATGAAATGGAACGAGATGAGCACAGAGACAAATACAGGTACAGCAACTTTTTGGGCTATTAGGCTATCCAGAAGTTCAATTAATGTAGTTCAATTAAAGTATTTGTTGGCTTTAAACGAAAGTACTAAAAGAAACAAAAAGACTTTCTGGAAATCTTAATCATTTAGTCGTAGAAGTCGTGAGTATTATGAGAGACGAGAGGATCGATATGGTGATGATAGGAGAAGAGAAGGACCACCACCACATCACAATGGATATCAAGAAACCGATCATAGAAGGTAGAAGAGACTTAAGTCTGAATGCTCAATTTTTAAAAGGTTTAGGGATGACTTGCATCACATGGGCTCCGAAGAGCGTGGATATTATGGCAATGAGATGGGATCGAGTTACCCAGTGCCGAGCACTTTCCAACCACAACAACCTCAACAACAGCCTCAACAACAGCCTCAACAACAACAGCCACAACAATCTTCAATGGGAATCGGAATGCCACAGCTCAGGTAAGATTTTAAGATCATTGTCTCAAAAAGTGGCTTCAGTTCGGTTCCGGGCATGATGGGACAACAGTCTGGCTCTGCATTGACTCAAATGGGAATGGGAATGATGTCTGGATCTCAAATACCATCTCAAATGATTCCCACACATCCACCACCATTAATGAGTCAAGGATCGGCTTCTCAGCTTATACAACCGGTTTGGAATTTCCCCGATTTCTTTTTTTTGAACGCTAATGCCCTTTAGATGCAGCAGATGAGTGTCTCTGGGATGAGTGCTGGAGGAAATGAGCTTGTTTCTGCACAACTTTTCGATCCAAGGTTTTAAAAAAGATATAATTAGTGAGAAATTCAAAATTCAGTCGATTAAACGGTCCGGCAACGAGAAGAATGATAGCTAAATTTGATTACGATTCAAAGCAGCTGAGTCCAAACGTTGATGCAGAACAAGTACTGGGAAATCAAAGAAAACTTGTTGACTTGAAAACCTAGGTGGAGTTGTCTTTCCGACAAGGTGAAGTGATCACTGTTTATGGAGACATGGATGAGGACGGGTTCTACGTGGGAGAATTGAATGGTTTGTGAAAGTTGAATATTGAAATAGTCAATTTTCAGGTCAACGGGGTTTAGTTCCAAGCAACTTTTTACAAGGTAGTCCACTCACTTCACTAGCTCCATCGCAACCAACAGAAATGATGGCTGCTAAGAAGGTGAGCTTGATTAGGCTTTTCACAAAGACTTTTCGTTCTTTTTAGGGTGTCGCTTTCTCGGATGCGGCTTCAGTGGTGGCAATGGCGAAGAAATCGATCCCGAATCGAACAGCTCCAAGTGGTGCAACGGCTACCGTATCAGCTGGAAAACCCGTGCAAAAGAAGAGCACTAGTGCGGTGAGTGAAAGAGAAATTAAAATAATCTCAAAGTTCAAGGAGTTCAAATGAAGGTTGGACATTGTATTGTAAGATGTATTGTAGCTTAACATTGTAAGAGTTAAGTTAGAGAAAGCTTGAAGAAATCAAAAGTTACAAAACTCAAAGCTAAACCATATTTTAGTAGTTCTGTGATAAGAAAGTGTGATTTTCTTTAAAATTTTACTTCTTTAGGCACCTGGTGGCACAAAGCCGTTGGCTAAGAAATCCTCGGATGTTTCTAGCGGGAAATCGGGAGCTCCAGCTCGGAAAACGAGCACTGCCGTCAAGAAAGATCCTCCAAAGGTATCAAAAAAATTGTAAAAGAATCTTAAAAGCTTATTTTTAGAAGAAATAACTTCACTCATGAATGAATTTTTCTCTACTCTCGAAGTGCCTGGAAATTTACAAGAGAAAGTCTTCCCCTCAAAAGAGAAAATGAAAATGTTCCCAGAAAAATCACAAAATCTCTCAGGTCCCTTATAGGTCTTATAGATTTTTGCAATATTCAACTTTATCGATGTTTCTTTTTTGTTTCTCTTTTCTCTCTTTTTAGATCCGGTGTTAACAAAAAAATCAATCTCCAGCAATCTTAGAAAGTCGAAATTTGAACTTAAAACCTACCGTAAATATTGTAATAGTACTCCACCGCCCTCGTACAGTCGCGTAGTCGCAAAGTCGCATATTCGCAAAGTAAGTCGCGTAGTCGTTGTTTAGTATTTCATTTTTTTCAAAGCACCCGTACTTTCAAAAAATGCGTCTTTGGTATCAAAAAATAGCTGAAATTCAAGGCTATTTTTTGATACCTAAGCGCGCATTGTAGCATAAACCAGTGTCGAGAAAAATTCGTTCAAACCTAGACTACACAACACTCCGCACCGTCATTATGGGGGTGGGGTCCAATTACAGCATTTACGGTATACATTGAGGGTAGAATGTAGAAATTTTTATAAACATTGCCACTTTTATTGCAGAATTTTTTTTAGAAACATTTCCTATCTTTTAAGCTTTATTTTTTTTTCAAAAACCCAAAGCCTTTCATAAAAATTTTATGCCAATTTCGCTCTTTGTTTTTTTTTTTGGTAATGATTAGAAAAAAAAATGCCTATACACAAAACTCTGCCAAATTTTTATTAGGAAAAGAGTTTTTATTGTTTATTTTTTTTTCTCTATCAATCATTAAATCAATTTTGAAAATTGAAAACTTCATTTTTATTCTCAAATTTCAAGAACCAAAAGAAAATGTTTATTGGGGGGTGGGACAAATGCTACCTTTTTTTTGCGCACCTAGACATTTTGCTGGAAAAGGCCTTAGGAAAGGTCGTAGAGCATCAAAAATGTGTTCATAGAAGGGAATCGTATGCGTAGATTCCGAATTTCGACAAATCAGACCCCACTGACACGTCAAATTTGGGCTTAAAGGCAAAAACTACGCAACTTAACGCTTTTCCCGGGTTTTTGCTTTTTAGCCCAAATTTGACGTGTCAGCGAGGTCTGATTTGTCGAAATTCGGAATCTACGCTTACGATTCCCTTATATGGAAATATTTTCGAAGCTCTACGACTTTTCCTAAGGCCTTTTCCAGCAAAAAAAAAGGTGCGCAAATGTCCAGGTGCGCAAAAAAAAAGGTCGCATTTGTCCCACCCCCGTTTATTGTACAACCACAAATAATTTCACTTTTTCTTTTTCTTCCAAATCTTTATTTTGTTTCTTTCTTTCAGTATGCTAGCCCATACAAGTAATTATTTATTTATTTTTTTTACTTTATTCTATTTTATTTATTTATTTTTCTTTATTATGCAACAATTTCGATCAATTTGTGTGTGTTTTTTTTGGCGTTTTCGATTTGCAAATTTCTATTTATATTTCCCCTTGTTAGTTGATGATATTTATATTCTAAGATTGATATTTTTTTTGAGACGGCTATAAACTATTTATTAAGTTTAAAAAAAACCCTTTGGCTTTCATGAAAGCACAACGCAACAGCGCAATGCTCGATTTAAGTTCGAAAAGCTTTTGTCAACTCTTGTAATCCTGGTTTAGGTATCGGCCTAAACAAAAAAAATCTAATCATAATCACAAAGAAAAAGAATAAACCTCATCGCGACCAGATGAGCCATTGCTCCATTGATCCACTGCTGATCCATTGCTGATCCATTGCTGGTCTACTCGACGGTGCTAAAAATAATCAATTCACAAAGCTCAATGTATTGAAAGCACAGCGCAATTTGTGAAATGGCGATCAAATGTGAGCGTTGAGCTTTGTGTAATCCCTTCTTAAATAAATCCAACGGCATTCTTTTACACACAGAAAATTCTTATTAGATCGAATTACAGAAAATCTTTGAGGGATTGGCTATTAGAAATGATAGTCAGCTATGGTTTTACTTCAAAATTCTTGTCAGTAAATCAAGTTTGAATCACTAACTGTCAAAGATCACAATTGCATTATTAGCCACTGACTGAAAGCTTTTCAAAATATGTAGATGAGCTTTGTTTTTACTTTTCTTAGCTTTTCTTAGTTTACGTTACTATAGCAAATGTCATAAACAATCAAAAATGCAAAATTGAAGGCTTTGATTTGGAAAAAGTGAAGTTGCTAGAATACCTTTTAGCAAGATTTCAAGAATTTTTCCCACAAAAGTCTCGAAGCTATTGAGGAGTATGAAATTAAACTTTCAAAGAAACTTCTATCGACAGATGGACGATACGGATCACAGAGTGGCTACCACGAGACCAGAAGAAGCCCATCGGAAGACCAGCAACGAGGTGGAGCACAAGAGTGGCAGAGACGGTCAGAGAAAGGATGGCTAGAGTGCAACCACCACCAGCACCAGCAAGTCGAAGACTTCGAACCAGGAACAATCAAGCTAGGAAACACTGGATGACAATAGCAAGGGATAGAGAAATGTGGAAGCAGGTTGTGATCTGCGCAAATAGGAACACCTGAGTGCGAAAACAGATCCAAAAAAAAAAAGAAACTTCTATAAAATCGATTAGTCTTTATCTTTATGACTGACGAGATCACTACAAAAATTGGGTATTTATGTAATTAAATGTGTTCTAATTTTTTTGTTTGGACATCAAGCTAAGTTTATGTGTAAAGAGCAAGACAAACGACGAATCGGACTCCTTGTCATTTTGACTGGTTGCGTTTAGGAGCCTATAAAATGCACAAAACAAAAGCTTTTCGGAATCTCTTAAAAGCCATTTTGTAGAGCAATGATACATCTTTTTGATTATAAAAATAATGGATTATATGGAGCTTTTATGGGTTCCAGAAAATTTTTTGAAAGTCGCCGCCATTTCCTACTCCCCAACTCAATCGATAGCCCTGAGATAGGGAACAGACGAGTACCAAAATCTTGATTCACTGACAAATGGGTAAATTTTTGTCATAAAACAGCTGTAGTTTCAATCGTTGGTGTGTTGAATCCACAATCAACAACTACCATAAAAACTCTAATGGAACGCCAATGGGACGTTCAAAGTTAGACTACGCGACTGTAAGCCCGCCATTATGCGGGTGGTGTTCTAGTATCTACGCTATTTACGGGTCATTATTTTCTAGAGTCTTTTTCTGTCTTGTCCTATCGTAGTGGCGGCAAAATTTCAGCTATATGAGGCGGCCTTTTTCTTCATTTTCCACTAAAGTGAATTATTGGGGAGTGGGACAAATGCGACCTTTTTTTTGCGCACTCGGCCCATTAGCGCACTTTTTTTTCGCTTTTATAAAAAAGCTAATATTAACCAATTTCCATTCCAAAAGTTCTTTTTCTGGGTAATTTTAGGGAGTAGAATTCAAATTTTGATATATCAGAGCTTGTGGAACCAATTTGAAAGATAAAACGGGTAGGTCAAATTACAGAAAATTGTCGATTTTTCGAAAATAGAAAAATTTCGATTTTTCCCTATGTATAACTTCGTCCGTTTTCCTTTCACAACCTCTGATATGTCAAAATTTGAATTCTACTCCCTAAAATTACCCAGAAAAACAACTTTTGGAATGGAAATTGATTAATATTAGCTTTTTTATAAACGCGAAAAAAGGTGCGCTAATGGGCCGGGTGCGCAAAAAAAAGGTCGCATTTGTCCCACTCCCAATTATTGTTTGTATCGATAAAATTTCGTTGTTTTGATCACATTCAAGACACACAAGCTATCAATCAAGCGCAAGTTTAAATACAAGTACAAATCACCAGGAAATTCCTTTAGTTTCTAAAGTTGTAATGCACATTTCTGACGTTCTTTTCTTTTCTTTTTTGATTTAGCTTTCTGAATTTATAAGTTTTTGGCTTCATTTTGACAGTCTACAATGTTTAAATAATTCAGTCATTTTGAAGAAATCTCTCGCTAAATATCATCTGATGATTTTTTTTAACAAAAGCCGGAACATTACCCATGTTCTCCTTTTTTTCACTTTACTTACAATAGTCACATTGACAAAAGAAATTACTCTTCACTATATTTGCCTTTGAAAACACCCAAAATGATCTTTGCTCAAAAATTTCAGAAATTCTCTATTTTATTTTCCGCGAGTTTTGTAGTCAAAGAAGTGTTGTAGCTCTCTTTTTCACCCGAGGGAAATAATGGCTGACCGTGATCGCGTCCATTTTGCACTTCTTTCGTCGGCGTCACGGTCTTATTTGTGTATACTCTGTATTCCGATTGGCTTGTGATCCAAAATTAAACGCATTTCTTTTTAAAATTATCCTCCTTTTATTGAATTTATCATTTATCGACCTTTATAAAGGCCATTATTCGTTTTTTTAAAGTATCTGCTTTTGTTAAATTCATTTTTATCTAAAGAAAACGCTTTGTAAGCATTGCCCATTCTAACTAATTTATTCAGTTTCCATAACCACTACCTGAATGTTAAAAATTGGTTTGACAAGATAAAAGATTGTCGAAAATGGCCGAAAAACGAAAGCTACTGAGTGAAATCGACAAGTGCTTTAAAAAGGTAATTAAAAATAATTGAAATATTTTTTTTTTTATTTTTTTAGATCGATGAAGGCGTGGAAGAGTTTGAAATGATTATGAACAAAATGCAAGATGCAAACTCGGACAATCAAAGGGACAAATATCAGGATGATTTGAAAAGAGAAATCAAGAAACTACAAAGGTTTTAAAAGTTTGCTTCAAAATCTTCAATTTATATGTATAGGCTTCGTGATTCTTTGAAAGGCTGGCAAAATAATCCGGACATAAAGGACAAGGACAAGTTGATACAATATCGACGATTGATTGAACTACGAATGGAACAATTCAAGGTTATTAAAAAAATATTTGTGCTAATAAATTCTGTTCATTTAGGACATTGAAAGAGAAAACAAAACGAAGCCGCATTCAAAAGTTGGACTTTGTGCAGAAGAGAAAGTCGATCCAAAAGAACGAGAAAAAGGAGAAACAACCGAGTGGTTGCAGGTTTGTTTTTTCAAATTTACAATTTTAATTGAATGCTGAATTTTAATATTTTCAAGCGGTTATATGGTATTTTTTTTAGAATATGATCAATGATTTGGAAGTTGAAGTGGATCGAACGGAAACTTTAATAGAAAGTCAATCTCAAGCGGAAGTTACGACGAAAAAAGGACGAAAAGGAAAAGATGATTCAAAGAAGAGCGAATCTATGGTAAATATAAAAATTTATATATTAGCAAATATCTAAATGCATTTTCACAGAAAAAGCTGGAAGACCTGAAGAAGCATCACGAACGAATGAAGTTTCACATTCAACGATTGGAGGTAAAAAAGTTTTTAAAGCACCAAAAGGCATTCTTTTTACAGCTTTGTATGCGGTTAGTTAGCAATGAAACACTGGAACCTCGACAAGTCTTAGAATCACTGAAAGTAAGTTTTGGGCATATTTTGGACTTTCGGCTAATCATAAAAAATATTCCAGGATCAAGTGGAAATGTTTGTGGCTAGTCTGGACCCCGATTATGATGGTGAAAATGGACCATCTGAGGCGTTGGACCCTGAAGGTTTAGACTTTAATTGTTCTGCTCTATGAAATCATTACAGGTGCTTATGAGGAGCTGGACCTTGGCTCGTATGCAACAACTTTGGGCGGAGTGGTTCATGTGTCTTCAATCGATCATGAAAACGAAAGACATGGAGAATATGATAACGGTAAAGCTTTGCGGGCAAATCACTTGCAACCCACGTTTCAGGAATTCTACAAGAAAATGGACATATCTTGGATGAAGAACTGGTAAATGAAAACGATAAAACAATCAAACTTGAAAAATTCAGCCCAAGTCACGACACGGCAGTGCGGAAGCAGCTCCGTTGAGTCCCGCTTTGCTCACGAAGAAGGTATCCACCACAATGATGCACAAGCCGGTGTTAAGGTTTGTTTTTTAACACTTAGCCAATATGTATACTTCAAAATATACTTTGAAATAGATTCTGATAATAAACTTTTTAGGGAATTGTCTACCGATTCCCCGCTTACCTCGATTGTTACGACGACGCCGGCGCCTAGCCCAGCCCAGTCAGTTCCATCTCACTCTCAGCCGCAAACTCCAGTAGCTCCACCACCGGGAATCCCATACAATTCAATCGTTACATCTGGGTTACGCTCTACGCCACCAGCAATAGGTACACATTCATATTCTTAAATTTTTGTATCATGCTTTAGAAGTGAAAACCCCACCACCCATGTCGACCGCAAAAACGAATACAATCATTCAACCAGCGTACGTCTTAATAGCTTTTTCATAGTTTTTAAAATGTCACACCAGAGTAGTAGTGATCTTTAGAACCTTTAGAAATCTTTAGAAAGACAGAAAGAAAGATAATATCTTTAGAAAGACACAGCCACAACAACGAACGATGTCTTTCACAACGGTGACAACCAGTACAATGACACCGGCAACAGGTTGGCTCTAATCTAAAACTTTGTCATCATAAATCTGTATTAGCTACTGGATCCCGACCGTCATCGCCACGAAATAATGAGAATCACAGTCCGCCTTCAGCTCCTACGGCCACCGCTAACGTTTCCACCACTCACCAAACGTTTACAAATGTGGCCGCCAAAAATACTGAGGTAACTCATTTTCGTCCTCCAGTGCTGGTTAGAGTATGTTCCTCTTGATTAATTCGCTTTCTAAAGCGTGCGCTTCAAAAAGGCTACCGAAGTTATGTAAATTTGTTTATACGCAAATTTCTTTAAAAGTAAATTTAATCCAAATTTAAACTTTTCAGTCTTTTTTTTCAGTAGTGCGAAATATCCGCATCTTTTCTAACATTCTTGCTAAATATTTTTGCGGATTTGTTTATGCAAATGAATTCAATTAATTATTTAATCACGAGGAACACACTTTACTCGAAACAATTCTATAGTTGACTCAAATGTTTACAAATCCATAATCCACACCAAGAGAAAGGGGTTCTATATTGTTAGGCGTCCATGTCCGTGGATGAAGCGGCATGTTTTGCAATTGCGGAATGTGCCGAAGTTGCCAGTTCGCATAGACTTCCGCCACAAATGGACACACCCCATGCAACAGCAATTGGTTTATCCATACACAACATTTCCCAAGCGAATCAGGTAGCCCCGCATACCATGCTGTGCTCTCACAAGAAAGTTGTCATGTGGTGCTCCTAGTGCTCTTTTGAAACCTTTCCTTTTTTTATTAGGCTTTCCAGAAAATCTTTTCGTTCCTTTTCATACTTCCGTTTAAAAATCAACAAGTGCATCAATTGAACTACGGTTTGTTTCATTAGAAAGGTAAATTATTTTTCTGCAAAATTGAACAATAAACACTTTTTATTTAGAGCAAACCGTAGGTTAATTGGTGAATTTGTTATTTTTCAACGAAAGTACGAAAAGAAACGAAAAACTTTCTGAACAGCCTAATAACTCGGCATGCTAGCTACCTTTCGGGAAACAAACTTTTCTTTTTAATCAAAATGTAACGCAAAGTCTGATTTGATCGTTAACAATTCGATTGAAAATAAATGAGTGATTCTGCCAATGCTCCTATCTAACCTACCATTTCAAGCTTGAACGCTTTCTCTAGTGCTTTTGGTAAAAATTGAAGCGCTCGCGATACCAGAAACACGTGGCTGTAAACAGTTTTGTAATCGAAGAAATTCCAGGACACTCTCAAGACGCTGACCAAGCAAATGAATACGGTTGAAATTGGTTTCAATTCGGATCCTCTTGCCATGCCGTCTCAAATGGTAAACGTTTGTTGTTATCAATTCAAAAACACCAAGAATTTCAGCTACATCATTCACCAGTTGAAGGAGGTTCTTTGTCGTCTGCTAAGGGACTTTCATTTACGAGCGATTCGCCAACAATGAATTCTCGTTAGTTTTGTTTGAATTTTAAAACACAATTTTTGCTTAGAAATGCCTGGCACTGAGGATGCATTCCGGCAAATTCTGCGAACATCTCAGACGGATAACACGAAGAGTGCTTCATTAAAGGTTGAAAAGCAACGTTGGAGATGTGTAAAAGGCTGACAGTTAACGATCTTAATTGATAACCGAAGCTGGATTTTGTTGGATATAGAACACCCATATAGATGAAAAAAGAACCAATAATCTAGCCTGCGGGATTGAACCCTTGACTCTCCGACTAAGACACAGGGCTCTTAGCTAGTTGACCATGGCGGGCTTTGTCGTGAATGTGTTAATTCGTTTTAGGCCTTGATACCACCTTGGCTGGGTGCTTCACCGTTGGGTCGAACGGCTCCAAATTCCGAGCTAGAAGCGCAGGTTCTCTCGATTGATCAGGTTCTCATGCGGTGTCCACCATATTTGGAATCTGAAAGACCGAGGTAAGAATTGCATCCAATTGACTATAAAACATAATGACAGTTCATATCTATGACTGGCTACTTAACACCCCAAACATTTTTCAGATGCTACTTGCCCAAGTTGAGTTGTTCTACACCAGCTTACTACCCAACAAACACCCTTGCACATGTCGATACACTGGAGTACTATTTGCGTCTTTCACCCGAAGTTCTCTTCTTCGCTTTTTATTATATGGAGGTGAAAGTAATCTTTGAATTAAAGATATCAATGAAATTCAGGGATCTCGTGCACAATTGCTAGCGGCAAAGGCATTGAAACGGTTATCTTGGCGTTTTCACACAAAATATTTGATGTGGTTTCAAAGACACGAAGAACCGAAAGAAATTACGGACGATTTTGAAAGAGTTTGTTTCACAAAAGAAAATAAAACCCATAATTTAGGGAACTTATATCTATTTTGATTACGAAAAGTGGGCACAACGGAAAAAGGAATCATTTGTCTTTGAGTATCGATATTTGGAAGACAAGGATTTCGATTAGTAAGTTGATTCTTTTTATGACAAATCGCTAGTATGTTCTAGGGTCGACTGTGAGAATTTGGTACATGTTGCTGTTATTATTTATTCCTATTTTTTTTCTTCGAACAACTCTTCAAATCAAAACCAAACAAAGAAATACGATCATTCTTTTTTGAAAACTCAAATGGACAATAGAGGCTCGACTCGATTTTATTCTCGGCTGTAACACTTTTTTCCTCTGAACCCAAAGTCTCGAAGTGAATCAAATTCAAAGCATATTGTTGGTGATCTCCGATTTTGAGTTCTATACAAGCTTTCGTGGAGATTTCACACCCCACAACTTCATAACCGCAAATTTTGTAAGCTGTGATATGTGATCCCCGATTGTTTTCCTGAAACCAAATCTTGAATTTTAAATTGGTCGAGGTCTTTGACAAACAATTGGGCCCAAATTTGTGTACCTTTAGCTTGAATGACTTTTTGATGCCAACACTTGATACTTACTTTATCGAAAAATCCCTTCCAAAAAATTTTTGAATACAAATGGAAATTATAAATACCGTATTTATTCTAATAGAAGCGCATGCGCTTTTATTTTTCGATCATTCCACAAAATTGCTTCTATCGGAGGCTGCGCTTCTATTTTTTAATGATTAAAAAAAATTGATTTGATAGTTCGTAAAAAGAAAACCTTTAGGTTATGCAAGAAAAGCTACTGATTAATCAAAAATGAACTTTAGCAATGATTTTTAAGCAGTTCATGCAAAAATCTAAGAAAGAACTAAGCAAGAAAGATTCTTTGCTAAAGGATTGGATACTAAAATATAAAACGTCAAAATGTTTAAAGTTTTGAGAATTTTATGGCATAAATTATCTTAAGCTAAACGGAATTGAATTACCTAGTCTAAGTTATAAATTCGTTCCAAATAAGCTGACTACCTAATTGCAAGAAAAAACCTGTCAAAATTGCCGCTTCTGCAAAACAAATGATAAAGAATGCTATTTTTCTCAAGGAAATCCCTTATATATCCAAAACTCGGTATTCAGTTTACTAAGCTGAATATCCATAGTTATTGCTTTTATTAGAGACTGTGCTTCTATTGGGTTGTCCAGTTATGAATGCGCGTTTTTTACTATTTTGTAAATTTCTCAAGATACCGAAATCAAGAAAAGATATATGAGTATTATTCGAAAGCTGAAGATCTCCTCTACATTTTAATATAAAAAGTTTTTGAATTTGTCCAGCTTTTGGGCAAATTGACTGTACAGAAGAAGAGGTGGCCAAAAAATGAAAGGGTGTCTTTGGATCAAGTTTTGGCTCCGCTCAAATTGAGTTAACCGTTTGATGTTTGGCCAATAGATATATCAGTACAACTTTTTTTTAATATAACAATTTCAGAGCATCTTTTCTTTTCTGGGCGGTTATTTTACACCATAAAAATTGAGGAATAGCTAAGCTGGGATAGGTTTTTTCGAAAACGACCGACCTCTCCCTTTGTGCAGTCAATTTCCCAAAAAGTTGAATGAATTCAAAAACTTTTTTATTCCAAAATGTAGAGGAGATCTTCAGCTTTCGAATGATATATAAGACTCCTATACATCTATTCGATGTCTTGAGAAATTTACAAAATAGTAAAAACGCGCATTCATAACTGGACAACCCAATATTAGCTTTTTTGTATTAGCTTTTTGCAAAGAAACTGAAAAATTGAAAGTGTTTTACTAAAGGAATTCAGTAGTCTAAACAATCGCGGCTTGTTTGCCAAAGTGCCTTCTGACCAAGTAATCAGCTTGTTTTGCTTACCGTTTAAACTCGACCCTGGATAGGTTTCTAGTGTTTTTTTTGTTTGTCTCTTTGCTGTTTGACTCCCGGTTCACTTTAGTCTCCACAAAAAACTAGCTCGAATACGGTTTGCCAAGCTGTACTTGTTTCACATTGGTACGTCAAAGTCGGCAGAAAGCATTACTGCTATTTTACAAGATTTAGAAATATTTAGGGATTTTTTAAGTGAAATATTTTAAGCATATGTACGTGCTTTTTAGGACTTTTTAAACCTGATAAACTCTTTAAACTTTCTAGGTTGTCAAACAAAAATCTAAAATCCTTCTAAACTAAAATTTAGCAGCAAGCCATGTTCACAATAAAAGAAAGTCCTCGAAAGCCCACACAGTTCTCTCAAAATTGTACGTGTTTCTTTCTCTCTCTCTCTCTCTTTTCTATGAGTCTGTTTTCCATTTTCTCTCTCTATCTTTGTGAATGTGCAAATCTCAGAGTGGGATTTTCTCCTCTCCTTGTCACCTCTTCTCATTCCCTAATTTGATTTTGTCTTCCCTGTTATTGTGTTTTTTTTGGCCAGAGCTCGACATGCGGGTGCTTCCGGTAGCGATCCCGAGACATCGGCATTCTCGGCGTTCTCATTGCTTTCAGGCCACATCGCCGCTTTTCTCCTTCTCACTAGAAATTGAATGAATACTTTTCCTTTAGCTTACCAATAATTTGAAAAGTTCTAAATAGATAGACTTATAACAGTGCTGTACTTTTAGATTTGTTTACCTTAATAGACTTTTAGAAGAATTTCCTGAAGATCCTGTAGGATCCTGAAGGATCCTGAAGATCCTGAAGATCCTGAAGATCCTCAGCCATTTGGAATGTCAGACTAAACAGCAACTCGACAGTTCAGTACAAATTTGAGTTGATGGCTAAATTTTGAAAGTACTAACAAATTATTTCTCTAGTATTTTACTATAGATCTATTTTGTAGTAATTAAGCCACTGGTATTACGAAAAGAACCAGTGGTAAGCTAACGGTAAAGTCACCATTTTTTGCAAACTTCTCTTAACCCAGAATCCTCCTACTCATTCAAATTTGAAATGTTTAAAGAATTTTGAAAAAAAAAAAAAACGGAAAAGAATCACTGAATGAGATGGTTGATCGTTGAATTCCCTTTCTGCATTTTCTCTTTCTTTTTCTATTCTTCGAAAGTTTCAACCCCAAGCGTAGGCGGTTCTAGAAAACAGGTGCCTATAGTGTTTGTATTAGGATTTTTTTCCCCCTACACTAATTCACAATCAGCACTAATTTCCTCGTTATAAAATAGAGCGCCCAAAATTGTTGATATTTTCTTTTGATTCCTCTCTTCTTTTTAGCTATAAATTCTCGGGGCGAGTGAAAACACATTTGTTCTCTTTTGAACCGATTCTTTCGTCGAGTTTGTCCACTGGTCTGTATAAGTTTTTTTTTTGTATTTTTCAGTATTTTTCTAAATATCGAGTTTACGAATAAATCTTTTATGTTAATCAAAAGAAAACTGCATATAATAGATTGAATTTGATAATGTAAAGGTGACAAGAATGAAATCTATAGGGAATTTAGGGAATCTATAGGGCATCGCAAAAAATTTAGACAAAATTCGAAAGGAAAAAGATCATATTTGTTTGCAAGTCACCGGTCTAAACCCGATGCATTTGGAGCACGTGGTGATGAAAAAGGAATGATAAAAAAAGAAAAAGGAAAAGAAAATCAAAATCAAAAGAAAACGGAAAATGGAGACGAGGGACTGGGCTTGCTGAGAAAGCCTTAATGATTGTTTTTTGATGAAAACGTTGACATAATTAATAGTGCAAAATAGAAAACGGTTACGGTAAAGTAAATCAGATTACTATCAGTGATCTTGATTACTTTGCGCTGTTGCTGTAAACGCTGTAAATTGTAGAGTGTGTTCCATGCGAGTAAATAATTACTCGAGTAAAATTTGCATAAGTAATTTTTACTCGATCGCCGGGTAACTACGAGTAATCCTCTTTACACGCCGAGTAAATTGAATATCTTTACATTTGAAGAGGATTTGCCACCAAATTAGTCAAACAGTTGAATATCTTTAAAAGAAAACGTATATAAATTAGCGCTCGTGGTTTTTTGGGCCAATTTTTCGCGATAATTTTCGCTAAAAGTACGGTAATTTTTGCCAAGTGTGCGTTTTAGAAAATGTGTTACTCACGAGGAACACACTCTAGTAAACTGGTAAACTGCTTCTTGAACTGTTAAAGGCTAATCCAGGAACTAGAGTAGTTCGGGCAGGGGGACAGTCTGAAGCTTGACCAAAAATCCATATTTTTCCACGAAAACTTGCACACAGGGGTTTTCGACTATGCTGAATTGATTAGTAATACTCGATTAGTAATATTAATCGATTAGTAATCGATTTTGGGTAAAGTTCCAGACTGCTTCCCCCAACTACTCTAGCGTCCTAAATCCAATAGCAAGTCTAGCTCTTTCCCTGACCTTTTTGCCAAAAAAAAAATTAGTTTCATGGTCTTTTTGAATTTTTGCTTTTTCTGTTTTTTCTTTATCAAAATATTCAACAATAATGGTTTTAAAAGACAGATTTTAGTTTCCTCTTGATCTAGCGTTTCCTCTTGATCCTAGAAGTCATTTCTTTATGTGTACAGGATTGGGCAAAATTACCCGGACAAGAGCTCTTCTTAGTAACTTTGCGAACTTAACCGTATAATTTTCTCCATAGTTTAAATTTATTCCTTAACCTATTAGGAAATTATTGAAAAGAAAAATCCGTTGGCTGGCTCGCGAGCCACAAAGCAAAGTAAAGTTGATCCTGGCGCGCGGCTTCATTTCCCCCCTTTTCATCACAAAACTGACTTTTTTTTGGCTAAATGATCAGGAAAAGAGCCGCAAGTCTAGCCAATACACAATTAATCTTCCTCTTTTTCATCGAATTTCGGCATTAGCGTGTGCCATTGAACGACGGGCCGCTTCGACTGCATCATTTCGGCCCATTGCGCGTGACATGAAGCTGTCACGTTGGCCACATCGAGATGTCGTGCTGCCAAAACCACCTAGAACTCAACTCTCGTCTTTTTAAGCGTTCAATAAAGTTCTAAAGCTAGCAACAAAATCATCAACAGAAAGTCTTTTCGTTCCTGCCGTTAATACTTTGATAGAACGCCCTATAATGACGGGCGTACAGTCGAGTAGTCTAACTTTAAACGTCCCATTCTCCTGACTGCTTTATGCTAAAGTGTACTTTGATAGAACGCCACCCCCTTGCAACAAAATCATCCTCAAGTTCAACTCAAAAATTTGGTTAAAAACTCGGTTAAGTAAAAATTCGTGTTTCTTCTTTTCTTGGCTTTCTCTCACCTCGCCAATGAAGTCGTTTTTGCTCATTTTATCGTAATCCCAAACACTCACTATTAGATGCACTTTCTGAAATTTGTATAAGTATCTTTTTTTCTTTTATTCACTCACATCCATCATTAGTGGTTCCACCTTGAATTGAAAGCTTTCATTGTAGTACGGGTTAAGGGTTTTGTACTTCTTTGAAGTCTTTTTCTTTCCAAGCAATTTTGCTCCATGGAATAGATAGATTTTCACGTAAGGATCTGAAAAATTTGAATTTGATATTCAATGAGGGTTTTTATATTTACCGGATGAGCCGCCGACGTCCATTTTCTTGAGATTTCTCGCCTCCATGATGGTGATCGTGAGAGTGCCCGTTGCTGGTCGATATCTCGTTGAAAAACAAATATCACCAAGACGTGACTCCTATAATCGAATATATATAGAAAATGACTTTAAATCTTAAATGATTTCAGTTGAAAATCCTTTTTTTATAGATTCTTTTAGCACTAACCGCATCGACATCGCTTTCTGGCTTGTTCAGCGCTCTCGTCAACTCCGAGGTTTGACCCCAATCGATGCTCTCAAGCGGGATTGAGATTTGACCTGTATTTTTCATACAGGTAAATACTCCAATAAAACGCCACCCCGTCGTACAATCGCGTAGTCTAACTTCTTTTTAGAAATCGTTTTTCCGAAATACACTTTTGGTACCAAAAGATACTAGATTTAAAGGGCTAACACCAAAGCTTTTAACAAGTTTAACAGTTTAACACTAACACCAAGCACACTTTAGCATAAAGCAGTCAGGAGAATGAGACGTTTAAAGGTAGACTACTCGACTGTACGCCCGTCATTATAGGGTGGCGTTCTGTCAAAGTATTAACGGCAGGAACGAAAAGACTTTCTGAACTTCTGAACAGCTACTCTACTGGACAATGAAATATGATATTTGAAAAACTATCGTCACTTTTGCGCGTCTGTAACTCCCTTGTCTTTACCGTATTTCAAAATATTAATGTTACCATTGTATAGCCCTTGTAAAGAGCTTTCAGAAAATGTATAACACTAATAGTTTAAACTCAAAGACAAGGGAGTTACAGACGCGCGAAAGTGACGATCGTTTTTCAAATATGATATTTCATTTTCCAGTACTGTATCTCTAATCGATTACCGATCCGATCATCTTTCGATAGCCGATCATAGTCATACATCACCAATTGAAGAGTTTTACTTTGAAGCTCATTGAACGGAATCTAAAACTTTTCCAATTGACCGCAATCAATCCCGAACTCACCGGGAAATAGAAAACTTCATTGTAAACGGGATTCAGAGTGTTCCGGATGAATTTTGTTTGAAATTTTTGCTTTTTCTCGGGCATCAAGTAGAGTTTCACATATGGATCGGACATTCCATTACTGTCCATTGCAGGCAGATCTCTCCCTTCGATGATTGTCACTGCGAGCTGAAAAAAATTAACAAAATTTGATTTTTACAATATTTTATCTTTTAGTTCTGTTGGAATTCTGTTGGAATTTTGTTTTTATGAAACATTAATTCATTGTTCAAACACCGTCAAACATCTATTCCTCTTAAATAAGTCTCTCTCGGGAGTAAGAAGTGAAAGATCGGGGTAAACGAAAAGCAATTCCCTCACGTAAAAACGGGAGTTTCGCGGGAAAGTAAAAAAAAAATGACATTTGTGTTGTTTCCTTTGAAGAAAAAGTCCTATTTAACGTATTTTTGAAGAAAAAAAAAATGAAGAATTTCTCTTCATTGACCCATCGAAAAAAAAATCACTTTTTAAGAACAAAATCTATCGATTTCAATTCACCAAATCTTTCTTGTATATGTTGTGTTCGATTTAGATTCAATCTAAATCTTATATAGATTGAACAATAATATAAAAATGCTTAATATATGTTCTTAAGCGTTTTCTGTAGTTTTCTGCATTTTTCAAAAAAGCAGCATTTAATAGGAAAATAAGAAAACAAAAAATTCTCAAATCTCTCAAAAAGACAATAAAATTTCTTTGAAAAGCGCAGAAAATTGCAAAAAAAAACGCTTAAGAACATATATTAAGCACGTTTATTATTGTTCGATCTGTATCGAACGTCCGATCTAGACTGTAATCAATAAAAGACCTTTGAAAAATGCAGAAAACTACAGAAAACGCTTAAGAACATATATTAAGCACGTTTATACTATTGTTCAATCTATATAAGATTTAGATTGAATCGAAATCGGACGTCCGATATAGACTGTAATCTAAATCAGACGTCCGCGATAAGTTCAATCTAAATCGGACGGAAATCTAAATCGGACACAACATATACATTTTTCGAAGCAGTTTGTAATCAAAAATTGAAACCCACTAGAATTTATTCAACTGCCTGCTTTCAGCTTTTTCCAGCTTTTGACCTCTCCAATGCGTATTTATTGAAAATTTTCCTTTATTACTCTACAAAATAGAATATGCTTTTGAAGCTCTGTTTATTGTGAGGCAGGCATTGATTTCCTTTTATTTATTTTTTTTTGAGAATCTCTAAATTTAATAACTATCTAATCCGAATCAAGAGGTTTTTCGCGATATGAAAAGTCAATTTTAATAAACTGAATGGATGATTTCGAGGAGTGTTTAGAAATTCTTGGAATCGCTTCTTGGAATCGCAATTAATCATTTGTTGAAGTGGTATGTGAGAGTGCTTTTCGAGTGATGAGTTCAAGTTGAAGTGCAGAAAGGATGCAGAAAAAAGAGTGGTGAAGACAAGCGTGACACAAATCAATTTCCTCGATTCGCGACTCACGCCTTTAGAGCCTCAGTCCGCAGTCCTTTAGAGCCTCAGTCGAAATCCCGCGAATCCATTTCACTCTCCCCAGATCGTTGAACTTAACCACCCGGAACTTAGCTTTCAAATTCAACTACGATTTGTGATTTGTCTCTGGAATTCCAGAAAGCCTAGTTGTAGCCGAATTCTAGCCGATTTTTGGTCGACTTATGGCTGAATTTGTACCCAATCTTCTCGTGACATTTCTCGTAAAAACAAAAATTATAGATGCCGGGGATTCTTTCACAAACAAAAGATTTCAGCTAGAATCTGACGCCAATTGACGCCATCTAGACAAATCCGATATTATCAGCCATGTTTTCAGAAGGAGTCGAGAGGATCTGCCTTGGCTGATGTGGAGGAAGGGAAATTTAAGAAGGAAAATATGGGGAAGAGGAGGGGGGCGATTATTTCGAGGTCTCTTTGGTCTCTCAATAAGCTGAGAATAAGCTTGAAGAAGTGATAGAAGAACCAAAAAAAGTAAAGGAAAAGAAAGAGAACACCGGAAAAGCGCGAAGAAGCCCTAGTGTGATGCCCCTCTTTCCACCATTCCATCACTAGATCCTCACTCATCGATTTTGGCTTCACTATGGCACAACAAACATTATAATTTTTGGTTACCAACTCTGAGATGGGAAATGAATTTTATGGCTTCAAGACAATGGAGGAAACCATATTGCGTCAAAAAATCCTTTTTGGTTTCAAAAAGGTTTCAACACCTTTTCAAAAGCGATTGTGACACCTGAGAGTGATATGGTTGCCATTATTGGCATTGGTTTATGTGGGCTTTGCAGAGGAGGGGTTTATGTGCCTTTTCAGCTTTTTTAGCTTTTTTAGCTTTTTCAGCTTTTTTAGCTTTTTCTTCTTTTCCTTTACCCCTTTCACTTGGCCTAGCCGACGACTCTCTTATCAAAAGGCAATTATTCGAGGCAAGTTTGTGAAATTTACCCAACGAAAATCAATGTTTCTTTTGACAGGAAGAGATTTTGTATAGAAAATACTCAAAACGGAAACACTGAAAAAAGGAATTTGGGTATGAAATTCTTGGAAAATTTCCCTGTATATAAAATTTTCGAAAAACGTTTTAGTGAGCAGCTTATCCTAATTCCTTGAGATGGAGTTTTTAAGACGATCAGCCGATGGAAAGAGTGGGTTGACGCTGGGGAAATTTGTCGAAGCGGTGAATCGATTTTCGGAGCACAAATCTTTCTTGTGCGAAAATTTCTGATATCATTTTTTTTTGTGTGTCGAGAGTGGGTGTGAAAGTTGGCCACAAAAAGCAAATGAGCTTCACGGGAAAGAGTTCACGACTCAGAACAGAACTCAGAACGATTTTGCCGCAAAAAGTTGTGGCAAACCGAACTTAGAAGAGTCGTGAACTCTGAAAAAGTGAAACGCTTTAAAAGAAAAGTTCCGAAAAAGAAAAGTTCCGAAAAATGCTGAAAAACATGAATTTGTGTGGAATTTGATAAAAAAATTTGTGGTAAATCGAATGAATAATCGAGGATCTAAGGCTGTGAAGTGGATGCGCGCAGTGCCCCGAGGGAATCACTCACTTCCCATGCCTTCTTTCCCAACTTCACTCTCAAATTTCCCCTCGATTCTCACCATCTACATAATTCACAAAACATCACCAACTTTTTAACCTATTTCAAACTTTTGAAACTTGAAAAGAAAGGCTTTTTCATCATTTCAAACAATCCTTGTTTGATCCCCGTTTTTTTTTATTTCAACTAGTTGTTAAAATAATCGAATATCGATGAGCTGTATAGGAAATTCTTCTCTTTTTCCACGTATTATGCAAAAAAAAAAATCGATGTTGTGTTCGGCCAGAAATTTCTCTCAACCGAAACAATTATGCAATTAGTGACAGAAGAAGAAATTTTTGAGCTTCCAAGAAGTCGAATTAGGCAAAAAGTGCGGGGGAAAACTTTGGCACAGCCGAAAGAATGAGAGAAATTAGAGCTAGAAGAAAAAAAAGAGTGATAATATGAAAATGAAACCTGTCCATGCTCGAAGTTGTAGTCGAGTTTGAAGCGAATTTCCCCATAATTTTTCACATCAAGATCAAGATCGTAGGCGGTTGGCTGAACAGTGAGCGGCTTTGCGTAAGCTGGAATCCCGCCTCGACTCAAATCCAATTTCTTTTGTGGTGTTGGCTGAAAATCTTGTAAGAAGTGTTTGTAAGAAGTGTTTATAAGAAGTCTTTCTTTGAAAAGTTTTCAATTAAAAGCCTACAATCAAATAAACTAAATGCAAGAGTTAGAGAATTAGAGAATTTCATTTCAAACGATCATAAAAAAAGAAACTCACCCGCGAAGATGTTGCTCTTTTTAACGGGCAACAAGTAGAGAATATTCGATAAACAGGAGAGCACACTACGGCTCCAGTAGACCACATTTTGGAAAAGAAAAGAATATGGTAATGAAGTAAGTTGTGTCAAGAAAGAGATCACCCTCACATAATATTCGGATAATGATGTGAAAGTGATTACCGTAGGAAATCGAGGAGAATTTGCTGGGTGAGTGCAGTAGGAGTGGAGAGGGGGATCTAGGGATGGAGTTGAGGATGTAATGGACTTAGCCCCGGATGATCTGCCTTCTCGTGTTGGGGCCTCGGAGCAGTCGAGTGCCGCACAATGACGCCGGCCAGCCCGCAATAAAGAGAAACCCCACCCCCTCTTTTCCGCCCGCCTTTCCCCGATCATTTCCCGCAATCTTGCACTCTTTCTACCGTATACTCGTTCGAATTTGATCACCAAATGCATAGCAGAACTTATTGCTGAAGCTAGAATTGTCCTTGGAATAATTGCAAATCGATTGTAAATCATTCTGCCTAGAATGCCTATGGCTTGAGCAATTAACAGTCTTAGATCATAGTCCTTAATAATAACAATTTAGCTTTTCATTTATGGTTTTAGATTTTGAGAACGTTGCTTTGAAACTTTGAAAATTTAAAACTACCGTATTTCTTCGAATAGAAGACCGGTAAAGAGTATCATCGCATACTCCTGCGTAGCAGCCCTTTTTAAAATTTCTTTTCTGCATAAAAGCTTTCAATGAAGTGCTATAGGGCTGGAAAATGGCTCAAAAATACCACATGAGCTAACAGATTTTTGAGCCATTTTCCAGCTCTATAGCACTTGATTGAAAGCTTTTATGCAGAAAAGAAATTTTAAAAAGGGCTGCTACGCAGGAGTACACGATCATACTCTTACCCGGTCTTCTATTCGAAGAAATACGGTATTTTCGATTTCAGAAAGTTTTCTCAATAGATGGATCCTGTGGAGCCAGGCGATTGGGTGACTGGAAGACCTCAGCAATTGATCCTTTTAACTGGTTTGTACTAATAACACTAGTAAAATAGTAAAGCTTCAACATCAAATTTTCTAGGTTTGGACCCAACGAATCGTCCGCTTCACAATGTGCTCTTGGCTGCTTTTTACAATCGAACCCCTGATCGGCCAGCGTTTAAGGTTCGCCTCATCGCTGGTGATGCCGATTTGCCGCAGAAAACGAAAAAGAAGAAAACGAGAGGGATTCTGCGGAAAGAATGGCCGAATAAATACCTCAATCATGTTGTTTTTTAAAAAGGCTTTTTGATAATTTTGGGGATTTAGGTGCCGGCTTTAGTGGTGCTTTTTATGGATCTCGATTGGGATCATCCATCATGGAGCGAAAAGTTGTTAGAAGCAAGCAGCAAAACGGAGAGTCTGCGGAACAGCATTCAACACGAAAGTCGATTACTTGTCGTGCTTCTACAAGAAAAGTAAGAAAACGATTTGTGGAAAGAAAGCTGGAAAGTTTCTTTCTTTCTGGAAAGCTTAATATAAATCTCGAAATTTCAGAACAACTTCTTTCCCGTCTGAAGGAGAGGAAAAGGCGAACGAGTTTTGCCATCATTGTCAAATGTCCTCAAAGCAATTGTTTGTTGTAAACACAGGTGAAAAGATCGTAAAGTTTTGATTTAAATAAAAAAAAATTTAGCCGGTGACCTCTCATCGCATGTCGGAAAGCTTGAATTGGCTTTTCACGAGCACGCCCAAGCTTTCTATCAAGCAAAAATCAAGACGATTCGAAGTCGCTCAATTCCGAATAATTCCCCCGAGTTGCTCGTTCGACAAATGTTCAAACTTGGTTTTCTCTCAGAGCTTCGCCAAGACACACATACAGCTTTAAGGTTTTTTTTGCAATTAAAGATAAAAATAATAACTTTTTGAATTCAGAAACTACAAACTAGCATACGATCACTGTCAAAACAGTCAAAATAATTGGGAAATGGCCGATTATTTCGAGTGGAGAAGTGTTGCTGGACTTCTCAACTACAAGGTGATGACGTTAATCTATTAAAAATTTCTATTTTTTAGATTTGTGAGCTCTATTTTCTTCACAATACTCCAAGGGATGCAATCACGTTGATGAACAAGCATATGGTAAGTTTTTTTAAAAGATTTAAACTAATAAATAGTCAATTAATGAAATTTAGTCCGCTTTCTTTTATGGTGAACCCGGAAATTATCCCAGTGCTCAACTTGCAGGGATTGAATATTCATTATGGAAAAGTAAACAAGTATATCTTTGTTTTTTGACTTTTAAATTAAATGCTTTAGAGCTGGCAGTTTGCAGAGCTTTTTGAAAGAGCTGTTGTCAATGGGTTGACCGCGGTGGCTGCTGTGAATCCAGGTTTTTGTTTTTGAAGAAAAACAAAAAATTGAACTTTTTAGAATTCTAATAGAAAGACAATCATTAGCTAATCAATATTTTGCAGGAACCTTTCTTGACTATGCATCCACCCACTTTGCCACTGCAAATCGAATGATTCGAGAACTGAAAGCAACATCCCCGATTTCGGCTTCTTATCCAAATCCTGATCCGCTAGCCAGTGCTGTGGTTAGTCTCTTTACTAGAAAACTTCTATTTTCAAAAAACAAATAACAGGACTTCTACGGACAACGACCGTGGAGAGTCGGCCCGCTTGACACAGCCACCGCACTCCATTTGGAACGAGCCGCGATTTTTGCTTTGCAGGTATTTGACAAAAAAAGTCATAATTTTAAGTCTGTATTAGTTACGTCTTCACGAGAATCACGACGGGTTGATGACACTTCTTTCTGCTGCGTCAATGCAATACAAAAAATATGGTTGTCCACGACTACATCGAAAGATTATGATTGAGGTAAGGATTTGAAGATATTTATGATTGATGGTATTAGGCTTTTCAGAAAGTCTTTTCGCTCCTTTTCGTACTTTCGTTGAAAAATAACAAATTCATCAATTAACCTATTATTATTCAAATTTTCCCATCTTTTTAAGTCAATCTCTGAACGAAAAGATTTTCTGGACAGCCTAATATTAAAGTTTTATTTTATTTTTTTTGCATACGAAATACATAAAGCTAAAAACATACGCGCAAGATTTCCTTTATGAACTTTTCCTTTCATATCTTGGACAATCCATTGAGGATCAATTCCTGCAACTCATTCATTTTTCTTTTTTCTAATCAATACCGCTTTTCTTTCTTGTGATTGCTACTTTTTCTGTCCATCTTTTTTCTCGTTCAGCCAAAGTTTGTCGAATTTTCGATGAAATCTTTAGAATATGAAATTAAGAGTGGTGATGCTCAAGCAGCAGCTGGAAAGCCGGAAGAGGCGTTGAAGTTGTGGACGCACGTTTTGCGGGAGGGAACCCTTCCCGAGAATCTTCGACTCACTCTTCTCAACAAGTTTGCCAAAACTCAATCAAATCCCCTTCAAACACTTTTAGAGCTCTATGGTCTTCCTATTGCAATGTTTTGCTCAAAGAAACGATGTGGTCGGTGATTCAACTTTTGCGGGTAAATGTTGCCAGTTTTTCTTCTGAACAAGTTTTACTTTAGGTAGAACCAAGTGGAACTTTGGATCCATTGCATCAAGAGATTTTCATGAAAATTTGTGACGCAAAAACGCCTGCAAATCCCTTCTCGACGCAATTGGCTGAAAATCAAGTAGAACAAAAATGAGCAAAATTTTCGAAGTCCTAATTTAGGTTCAACATATTTCAATGCTTTGGAAACAAAAGCTTGAAGAGTCGCAATTTTTCACCGTCAATTGCTCAAAGCTATCAACGTTTGTGCAGGTTTTAAAATTAAAGAATTGATGGTATAGATTTTTGTTTTTAGGTTTCTGCATGCTTCCTACAAACGGAACCTGTGTCAGTCGATATGCAAGTTCCTCTACGTGTCACTCTCACTTTGCAAACAAGTTTTCCCATAACATTTTCTGGTGAGTAAAAATAAATTGTCATCAGTCGAGAGAAAAATTTCGAAATTTAGGAGTACGAGTCTCAGCGTATCATTGTGAGTCGAGTGGACGACGAATCGGCACCGCTGATGACCAGGCCACATTCAATGTCTTCAGGTTTCTTAAAATCCAAAAACTTTGCACAATATTTTTAGAAGTAATATCACCCTCCAGCCATTCACCCCGTCACATTTCTATTTTGCCATCGATTTGAAAGATTCGGCGTCGATTTTGAAAGAAGGGCATTTGGTTACGGTTTGTTGCTTTCATCTTTATTACATCGTTCATTTGTAGGTTGGTGTTTGTAAAACCGTTGGTGCATAAGTCTTTACAATTTTTTTTGCAATGTTTTGTTTCCATGGAAAAGAATCCTTTAACAAATTTGTTGCGTCCTAAATTATTAAAAAAGCTATTATTTTTCTACAAAATGGCTTTTGAGAGAAAGCTCAAAGCTCGCCTTTTTTTTTGTAAAATACAATTGTTGTTTTAAAGAAAATTGTTGAACAGATCATTTTCAAATTTTGCAGACCTATGTAATCAAATAAGCTCTGTCTTTTTTTACTTTGGCACCAAAATAGTTTTGTATTGAAGAAAGTGTCCAAATTGCGACTTCGACATCGGAGCAGTTTTTGGTGATCGCCTTTGCGTCTTTGAAAATCCGCAAAACTTTCAAGAATTTTCTAAAAACCGTTTTGCAGAGAAATAATTAACCTTTTTAATAGTTCAAATAGAAATTTTGTTGTTGGTGGCATTATTTTTAAAAGACGTTTGGAAAAAAATTGTAAAGACTTATGCACCAACCTAATATTAGGGCTTTCAGATTTGGTTTTTGTTTTGGGTTTTTGATAGTATTTGTTTTAATAGGTTTTTGATTTGGGCTTTCAGATTGGAAGAGTTTCACTGGAAATCGGTGATCGAACACAAAAAGGGGTTTTCTCAACATTCGAATGGGATGGAAATGCGCTCGGACGAGAGCGCCTCAATTTACTGGATTTGAAAGCCTATGGTCAACAATTGAGTGTCAGGTAGAAATCTTCTAAAAACTTTAAATATTTCTTTAATATTAGGGTGGTCAACATGGTTGGAACAATCACGAACATTGGGGACAAAAATATCGACTGTTTATTGGCTGAGGTTGTTGAACTTTTTGATGAACTAAAGCGCTTTTTTTTCCAGATAGCATCGGCAAAGCTTCGCCTCAAAAACGAAACAAACCGAGAGTTGAGTGACGTTCGGTAAAAAAATAAATGCTAATTCCAATACGAGGTTTATCTTCAGGATTGAATTCAAAAGAAGCGAACAAGCCTCATCGAGCGCCTCATCGGTTCTTTTTGTCGACGATGATAATGAGTTGAGAGGAGAACTTGAACTGGCTGTGGCTTCATCGATGAAGCCCGGGGATGAGGTGAGTTCAAGATAGGCCATTGTTAAATTCCTTGTGTTTTGACTAGAGTGTGTTCCTCGTGATTAGTGCGCTTCAAAAAGACTATCGTAGTTATTTAAATTTGTTTATATGCAAATTTTAAATTTTCAGTAATCATTTGCAGGTGTTTTTTCTCAGTAGTGCGAAGTATTCGCATCTTTTCTAACATTCTTGCTAAATATTTTTTCGGATTTAGATTTAGATCCGAGAAAAGGCGTTGGATAAACTATTTACAGTCAGTATAATGATTTAGGTAAATCTTATTTATAATAAAATAATCGCATTTGTTTTTTGGATCAGAGGTTAATCTAAAATTAAAGTTATTCAATTGAAAAGGAAAAAAAGCATAGAGAAAACGAAGAACACACTCTAGTTTTGACAAGTACCAATAAGAATAGTTTTCTTTAAGCAAGCTCTTAAAATCATTATAAAATCAAATGCAGGTTGATCGAGCGCTCCAATTCTCATCCCAATTGCATGGTTCGGTCGATTTGCTACTAGAAGTAAGCCTTAAAACAAGTTGTTTTTTTTTACTAAACTCAAAATGTTCAGTCAGCTTTCAAAATCTCGGGTGAGAAAGAAGTGCAGAAAGGACGCGTAGCACTCACGATCACCTCTGAGGATCCATTTATTGTTCGCAGTCAAGTTCTCACGTTAAACGTTGGTCATTTTTAGAATGTACTAAGGTTAAACATCGTTTCAGGGAATTCCGGTGACAAAAGTCCTAAACAGAAGCACTCATTTGCTGAAAGTGGATTTGAAAAGCAATGCCGACATCGAAATCACAAGGATCGATTGGTTATTGGTTGGTTTAAATGAATAATTACATAAAGCTGAAATAGAACCGTACATGTTACTTCCGATTAAGAATTTATCGAATCAACTGTGCTCAATGCGAGATGATGCAAATCTAATTTTTTTTCAGGCATGTACTAGTGTTTTTTATTGGTGTAATATTGAATCATCGGCAAGTGAACGGCCCATGCAATAGTGTTGTTTTCCCTTTGATAAGTGTTAAAGTTAACCTGAAAAAACTTTAAATTAATTAAGAAAACAGTAAAAACTTATTGAAGCCAGTGAACAAAAATGTAAAAAGACCTCAATATCAGCGTTTTGCGCGTTCTACACTCTCCTGTGACTGCGAATGTCGCGGTTTTCTATGAATCAATTTGCAATTACCGTAAATACTGTAATAGTACCCCCCCCCCCTCGTACAGTCCGCGTAGTCGCAAAAGTTTTTTAGTATTTCATTTTTTTCAAAGCACCCGTACTTTCAAAAAATAGCTGAAATTCAGGGCTATTTTTTTGGTACCTAAGCGCGCAATAAACCAGTGTCGAGAAAAATCCGTTCAAAGCTAGACTACGCAACACTCCGCACCGTTATTATGGGGGTGGGGTACTATTACAGTATTTACGGTAGGTTAAATTATTCCTTAACTATCAAAGCTAACATTCATTAGATATACAAGTAAAATTTGCATTGAGAATTTTACATTTTTACACAGTTGATTCGATAAATTATTAATTGAACGTAACATATACATAACAGACTTGGTGGTTTAAGAAAATAAAGCAAACGAGACTTGCTTAACGGTTCTTAACGGTTACCAATCCTTTGGCGGTACCGGTCCTTAACGGTACCCACACAACGAGGGTTCGATTTCGGTCACGGTCAAAGTGTTTCGTTTTTTACAAAAAAATTATCAAGCTTTTGCATTAAATCTGAAAATGTCAGCAAAGTAATTAGTTTTTAAAAATATTGCATTTTAACATAGTTCTGTCAAGTTTTAATCCAGGACCATTAAGCAAGTCTAAGAAAAATAAGTACTAGATACTATTCATTAAATTCGAGACAAGCTTTCAGGCAGACGTGGTTCAAAATGCTCTATCAATCTACTCTGAGAATGATTTACCCTCGCCGGATGTTCTTCTCAAAGGAGATGTTGTTTCATATTGTACACCGATTGATATTTTCTCGCAAGAAGATAGTGAAGATGAGAAACCATTGGGAAGAATGGTCGTTTTCTGGAGAAGGTAGAAAAGCAGGACTAAACTCGGACCCAAATTGTATCCAGATGTGGAAGCAGTTTCTCAGTTCGTTCTACCGTACCCCTATGCCGGACGGTGATCTCAACTTGCCCCGTTTCAATCAATGTCGAGGTAGTTGTCAAGACAAGAGTTTTTTTTACCAAAAAAGTTCAGGTTGGTGCAAAGATCGCAGAGATGAGAAAACCACTGCTGATAACTTATGTTCTACTCAACAACACACTTGAGGTACTGCAAAAAGAATGACGTCAGTTTTTGTGTTTTAGGTGATCGAAGCGACAACCTCGTTTGATCTAACCGATACTTTCATGTTCAGCGGGGATAAACTGGTGAGTCATTCAAGCAAAACCTCAAAAACACTGTTAGCTAAACAAAATCGAGTGCGTGCAGCTGATTTTGCATCCATCACATAAAGTTAATGTTTTTAGTTGAACATAAAAATACTAATATGATCAATGTCAAACTTTTTAGCGTAGTGTTCGTCTTTTACCGGGTGTTCCCTTGAGGATCGAGGTGACTGTGATGGCGCTGGCTGCTGGGCGACTCTCATTTCCGCGTCTCACTATTCGGTTTGTTTTTGCCTCACAAAAAAAAAGAATTTCCCGTTCTGGAAATCTTAATCTAATAGATATCCAAGCATAAATACATACCGTGATACGTTTGAAAGAAGTTGTCGGTATTTTCCTTGTGATGACTAAACGTTTTATTATTTCATAAATCTCACGGTAGCTTTTTAAAGTTTTAGCACTTTGTGTTTTTCTACCATAAAACTTTAGAAGTCCTTCAATTGCCGATTCGATTCTCCTGGACGCTCTACGAAATCTGCCAGCAACAATATTTGTCTTGGTGAACTTTTTAACACATTCGCGATTTTTTTAAAAGTTTTCTAATTTTTCTAATCTCCTTGAGATCTACGCATTGTTTTTGGTTATTAACGTTTAACACATTTGCGACGATTCGGCCCATCGGTGGGCTGTGCGTGAATTTGACATTTTGACACTTTTTAAGGCCGATTGAGCTAAAAATTTGCAATCAGGGGTTTTCGGGGTCAAGGAATTCGAGTCTGTTATTAGTTTTTAAAGAAAATTGCTCTATTTTTGAATATTTCATTCGGTTTAATTACCCAAGTGCAACTCCACATCATTGGCCGTGTGCCAACAGGTGAGCGATTACAAAAATGTGGAAATTTTCATGTTTGCGTGATCGCGCAGCTTCTGGCACACGACCTCTAGGGATAAAGAATTTCACTTTTGAAATGAAAGTTTTTTTTTTCAGTTTATGGTGACTAAAAAGTACCAATTTTCAGCCTTTGGCCAAAGAGTACCAGAGCTGAAAGAAGTGAAGCCGTTTGAGGGGATCCTTCGATCTACCGCAGCGGGGGACTCATTTTTCAAAAAAATATAGCCATTTTTCATCTATTCTCAAGAATATTCTTGTATTTGTATATGAAATTTTTATTATAAAAGCGATGTGATAGCAGTCTTAAAATTAATACCCTTGTTATTTTGTTGATGAAATTTGCTTCCTTTTCTCCGTTGTTCTTGTCAAATGGGTGATATTTAATTATTGGTTGTAGAAGAATAATAAATTATTTTCTATTGTATCTAATTTTTAAAAATATTACAGCTGTCAGTTTCGAAAAGTCAATGTCATTCATAAATGCTGAACAAAAATGTCATTTAATGGCAAAATGCAAAAAAAGGGGGGTGGGACAAATGCTACCTTTTTTTTGCTGGAAAAGGCCTTAGGTCGTAGAGCTTCAAAAATGTTTTCGTAGAAGGGAATCGTATGCGTAGATTCAGAATTTTGACAAATCAGACCTCGCTGACACGTCAAATTTGGGCTAAAAGGCAAAAACTGCGGAAAAGCGTTAAGTTGCGTAGTTTTTGGAAACATTTTTGAAGCATTTGTCCCACCCCCCAAAAAAAGTTCTTTGTTTAATCTGTTCAAAAAGGTAAATTATTTAAGCTCATTATAGTTAATTTAGATTTTTACTTTTATATTAAATTTTTCGAAAAATTCACTTTTACTCTCTTCAAAGGACCTCCTTTCCCGCCTAGACATTCACTTTCGTTACCATGGAAACAAACACTAACACAATAAAATAGTTTTTAAAAGAAATAAACTATTGCTAAAATGTTTGAATTGAATCTGAATCGAACGGATTTCGCGCAAGTGGGGACGACAAACCGAAATTGCATGAAAGTGATCCCCGTTGATAAAGCCGAACTACGCAAGAAGGGACGCGGACTCGACAAGGTTTACAAAAATTTTTATAGAAGACATTTATTTATTGAGCTAAGTCTTTTCGTTTCTTTTTTTACTTCTGTTTTTAAACCTTTAAAATCTACCAGTTGAACTACGATTTTTGGGGTAGGCTAGTTTCCGCAACTTTTTTTGCGCAACAGGGTCATTTGCGCAACTCGCATAACTTTCTTCTAAGTAAGCCAATCTTTATGATTTTGGTTTCATTTTGGTAGATCTCAATAAGTGCAACAAAATCAAACCAAAATCATAAAGATTGGCTTACTTAGAAGAAAGTTATGGCGAGTTGCGCAAAGGACCCAGTTGCGCAAAGGACCCAGTTGCGCAAAGGACCCAGTTGCGCAAAGGACCCAGTTGCGCAAAGGACCCAGTTGCGCAAATGACCCAGTTGCGCAAATGAAATGGCGGAAATTAGCCTACCCCCGATTTTTTTCATTAGAAAGGCTAATTATTTTTCTCCAAAATCACTAAAACGGGTTTTTACTTTTTTAAACCATAGATTGGTGAATATTTGTTAGTTTTTTTTTAACAAAACTATGAAAAGAAAAAGAAAACAAAAAGATTTATTCCCCTAATACCTAATATTAAACTTTCAAAGCTTTTTAGAAATATAGAACTTGAATTTTCTATAGATTGTGGTTGGAAGTCAAAATGGATGCGTGATATGCATTTGTCGTAAGCACAACGATACGCAAATCGTTTACAAAACTCTGCCGGGTGCTGCCATTGAAGCTGTTTGTCTGGGTGGAGCTCTTGGAAGTGTTCAGGATAAGGTTAGCAATTAGTAATTCGAAATTTCACTATAAACGTCGAATATTACGTCTACTTACAGGTTTTTGTCTCCTCGGAAAACACGGTGAGAGGAATCAGCAAAAAGGGAAAACAGTTCTTCAACTTTGAGACAAATATGGCTGAACATGCGAAGAAGATGTAAGAGTTTGAAAATTTTAAATTGAAATTTTAAAATGGTTACAGGTACATTTATGGTGTAGACCTAGTGCTTTGTGGGAAAAAGAGCTACAATCACTATCACGATTGTGCAGATGCAAATGTTAGTTGCAAATGTTATCAGAAGAAAAGACAAATCATATGTAAATGCTTAGTATGTGTTATGCAATGAAGAGATTCACGATGTGGTTGTTTTGGCGATGGAGGGAGCCTGGGGAGGACGGGCTTTCACGGCTATACTCGCGTGCAACGATGGAACTATAAAGGTTTAAAGAAGGGATCGAAATTAGGAGAATGTTCCACTTTTCAATTTTGTTTTCAAAATCTTTGTACTTTCAGGTACTTTGTACTTTCAGGTAATCGAAGGCTCAAAAGTTGACTACGAGATTCAGCTGAGTGACATCCCGTACACACTCTATCTTTTTATGGGTGATGGTGGTGTGTTTTCTACTCAATTTCATTGACTCACCTTTTCCTAGGCTTTAATCGTCAAATGGTTTTGTATGGGACAAAAGGTGGTCGAATTGGCTTACTCGAAGTGCCCGCCGGTGGTGGACAAATCATCTGGGAGATCAACACTACCACCGCTGCTGGTAATCAAGATCGAGTTTTATGATGCCAAACTTTAGCTGTCACTTGTATCATTTGCTATGCGATGACTGGGAACTCATCTCCAGATATTATTCTTGGAAAAGAAGACGGACTCGTTGAAGTATTAAAAAGAAATAGCGAGGAAAAGTTCTTTTTCAGATTTACACTGTGGACGAGTCGGATAAAACGAATTTCAAGCAGAGCTATGTAAGTGTAAGACTTGAAGCTGTATTGAGCTGTATTGAGCTGTATTGAGTTGAGCTGAAGATGTAAATTAGTGGAATAGTTGGCTCTTGCGTAGTTTCCGGATATTTTTCACCGGTCGTCACCCTTTGAAAGCCTATAACTTTGTCCAGAGATAATATTTTTGTTAACTTTTTATATCATTGTACAGAGAACATTTCAGCCTTTCAAATGATACCAAATAGAGTTTGATTCCAGATAATTAAGTTCAAGAAAATCAGAGCCAACTCTGAGCAAATGATTGCGCATCGTCGCGAATCTATTATGAAATGCTTTAGTTGAAATTATTATTCGAATTCTAACTAGGCCGTTCTCAAAGAATGTCTGATGACCAAAATAAACTAAAAAAAATAGAAGATCCAGTCAGAATCCAACTTTAAAACAATAGAATCTTAACAGAAACAAAAGTGCCATTCATTTTAGCAATGCGAAGAGAGCATCACAGGAATTGGCTGTGGAAGAATTTCAAACGAGGAGGTTGACGAACTTATAGGTGAACTATTTTAAATCTAGATTTTATCATTTATTTCAGTGTGTACTTATACGGGCTGGCTCTTTTCTTTGAGTCGGCAAGCATTCGGCGCCACTCCAGCTCCAAACGAAAAGGGACAAGTAAGATAAATCTATTGGGTTGTCCAGTTATGAATGCGCGTTTTTACTATTTTGTAAATTTCTCAAGACATCGAACAGATGTATATGAGTGTTATATATCATTCGAAAGCTGAAGATCTCCTCTACATTTTGGAATAAAAAAGTTTTTGAATTTGTTCAGCTTTTTGGGAAATTGACTGCACAAAGGGAGAGGTCGGTCGTTTTCGAAAAAACCCCATTTCAGCTTAGCTAGTCCTCAAATTTTATGGTGTAAAATAACCGCCCAGAAAAGAAAAAAAAAGTAAAGATGCTCTGAAATTGTTATATTAAAAAAAGTTGTATTGATATATCTATTGGCCAAACGTCAAACGGTTAACTCAATTTGAGCGGAGTCAAAACTTGATCCAAAGGCACCTTTCCATTTTTTGGCCACCTCTTCTTCTGTGCAGTCAATTTGCCCAAAAGCTGAACAAATTCAAAAACTTTTTATATCAAAATGTAGAGGAGATCTTCAGCTTTCGAATAATACTCATATATACTTTTTCTTGATTTCGGTATCTTGAGAAATTTACAAAATAGTAAAAAACGCGCATTCATAACTGGACAACCTGCGCATTTCAGTGATCAAATAAATTTTCAGCTTCCACCCACTCAACCAATTCATGTGAAAGTTCAACAATTGAAGTAATAAAAATGAAATGCAACTAACAACAAAAAACTAGAAATGAACTGGATGAGTTGGAGGCGAAAGTGAACGAGGAGAGAAATCGGTACGAAGAATTGACGAGGAAAGGAGGCAAGACTTCAGCTTTCGTCCCACACTTTCAGGTTTAGTCAAAATTATCCTTTCAAATTAGCCAACTTTAAAATGAGCTTAGGTACATGATAATTTCACCTTCAACAGCACTCATTGTTGCTATATTTTAACGCTAGAGCTGGTGATCCCCATTGACTACATTGTTATTCAGGTACAGAATACATAAAAGTCAAAGTTCAGGTAAAAATTGTGGTCTTGAAATGTCTGTGAATTTTCCCAATCATATTTCAAATGATTCAGAGTGAAGTCGATATGAAACTTCTTGAAGCTGAAAAGAATACGGCCGTTATTTCGCATACTGAAGCCGAAGAGGTAAGTAAAGTCTGAGAGCTAGATATTTGTAATCCAGATACTTGTAAACCAGATACTATAACTGTAAAGATCTATTGGTTTATATAGTTTTACTAGACAATTCCAAGCTAAACCTAATTCCATCTTTGTTTTCTCGTTCCTTTGGTCGATTGCTATGAAATTTCTATCTGTAGACAAAATTTCCGAGCAATTAAATGCAAATCGGAAAATCTTGAGACAAATCTTGATTAATCGCTTGCAAATTGTTTCAATTAACTATTTAATCACGAGGAACACACTTTATATATACCGTAAATACTGTAATAGTACCCCACCCCCATAATGACGGTGCGGAGTGTTGCGTAGGCTAGCTTTGAACGAGTTTTTCTCGACACTGGTTTATGCTACAATGCTCGTTTAGGTATCAAAAAATAGCTGAAATTCAGGGCTATTTTTTGATACCAAAGACGCATTTTTTGAAAGTACGGGCGCTTTGAAAAAAATGAAATACTAAAAAACTTTTGCGACTACGCGACTGTACGAGGGGGGTGGGGTACTATTACAGTATTTACGGTATAGAATTAAGATGGGTTGGAAAGTGTTGGCTACATATCGCTGTCAAGCTAACACGACGCGAATCGAGCTGAGACTGCAAGTCGATGATGGCGTTGCTGGTGCACTGCATGTCTATGTTTGCCCAAAGATTCACCCAAAAATGTGTCAGGTATCTTTTCAAAGGAATTTCTTTTGTTTACTGCAATTAACAAGATCAATCATATCACAAATGTTTATTCTGAAAGAAATCATTTGAATAATTTTGCATATTACGGGAAATTTGATCGACTGAAACGGTGCGGCCGAATATCCTAAAATTTTTAATATCAAAAAATCAACCAAAATCAATTTTCCCAGTGTTTAGAAGGAAATATTTTCACTATTTAAATAGTTATTTTATGTATTATCGTATTTCTTCGAATAGAAGAGCGGGTAAAGAGTATGATCGCGTACTCCTGCGTAGCAGCCCTTTTTAAAATTTCTTTTCTGCATAAAAGCTTTCAATGAAGTGCTATAGGGCTGGAAAATGGCTCAAAAATCTGTTAGCTCTTGTGGTATTTTTGAGTCATTTTCCAGCCCTATAGCACTTCATTGAAAGCTTTTATGCAGGAAAGAAATTTTAAAAAGGGCTGCTACGCAGGAGTACGCGATCATACTCTTTACCCGGTCTTCTATTCAAAGAAATACGGTATGTACTTTTTCATGTATTATTTTTGAAAAACAAATGAATTCTGTAGTAAAATGTTGTACTTTTATAACCTTAAAAGACTAAGATTCTAGGATTCAAAAAAAAAACTGTGTAAATTTGAAATTGAATTTTTTTCTTTTGTTATTAGTATAACAAACCAAATAGTTATTGGGGGCTAAAGGGCTAAAGCACAGCAGGAGACACATTCTCGAGCCGATGAATAGAAACAACCGAGATTGCATCCACAACCATCGCGGCCTCGCTTCGACAACTCTCCCAGCTAAATTCAACTTTTCCCAACTTTTCTTATTCAATTTTTTTCCAATTTTTTCCAATTTCTCCATCTTCTAAGTAAATTTAATAGATAAACTTTCAAAATTCATTCGGAAAATCAACTCTCACAGAAAGCACTTTAGATTTGATAGTAAAAAGTGCCACTTTTGCTTTCTAGGACAACATTGAGATGAAGAGAAATTGCTTTTTTCACTTGCCATTGTATTTTTCTAGAAGTTAGCAAAGAAATGTTTTCTTTCTTCAAAGAAAATTTGAAAAAAAAAACGGGAAAACAAGGTACGCTTGAGTGGAGAAACATTTGCGTGAAAAGCGTGAAAAATCGCAAAAATCAAAATGGCAAAAGGGTAATTTCCTTGCTGACTTTTGGGTTTTCTAAAGAAATGATTTTAGATAATTTGTTAAATTTCAAAGAAAAGAGCATTTCGAGCAGAAAGCAAAAGCAAAAAAAGCTCCTCAGTCAACTTCAACACCTTACCATTTTAAAGGAAGCGGGCAAGAAATACGGTCCAGCTGAGACGATGGTCAAGATTCCAAAAAGGAGTATGAGTAGAATTGGTAGAAGGTGTGCCATCGGAGGTGAAGGCGATTTGGGGAGACACGAGTGGGGAACTCGTGCGCGGAATGTGCTTGTCCTTGGCTTCGACCAAATTCCTTTACTTTCCCCCCACCCCCTTCCTGCCGTCAAGGTCCACCCCTTCCGGACATTTTGCTAAATTTTCTCTTTTTCTTTAACTCTATAATTAGTAAAGTAGGAAAGAAAAGCTTTATTTCAGTTAGCTTGTCAGCTTTTCAACGTGAAATTTAACCCATCCCATCCATCCCATCCATCCATCCCATCTCATCTCATCCATCTCATCCATCTCATCCATCTCATCCATCCATCCCATCTCATCTCATCTCATCCATCCCATCCATCCCATCCATCTGATCCATCCCATCCATCTGATCCATCTGATCCATCCATCTGATCCATCTGATCCATCCATCTGATCCATCTGATCCATCCCATCCATCTGATCCATCCCATCCATCTGATCCATCCAATCCCATAAAGATTCTAGAAATGTGAAATCAGTAGATGTGAAATCAAATCGTGTAATATCCAATGAAAATTTTCTAGTCTCGTACCTACGAAGTGAAACCGTTGGCCACGTACACGAGAGTGCACGCATTTGATGTGGCTCGACCGAAGAACACTCTTTCGTTCACTGGTTCAGTAAATTCAATTTTTTATAATTAAACTATAAAAGCATTATAATCATAATAGAATATTTGCAGGAAGCTTTTCATTGGCGGAAGCGCATGCGTGGTTGGTGCAATGTCTACCATCACTTCCACCTAGACCTCCACCACAGGACTCGGTTCAGTTTAACTTTCAGTCAACAGTCAACGGCGGGACACAGCTTCAAGTCTCTTATAGGTTTCTTTTACAATAATGTTTTTCTGATTAAACTATTAGACTGTTCAGAAAATCCTTTCTTTCCTTTTTATACTTCTATTGAAAAACAAGAAATTTACAAATAGAACTATTAAACCAATTGAACTATTGAAATACTTCAGTCTGGCATTCTTTGTTCCAGACATTCTTCAGTCTGGCATTCTTTGTTCCAGACATTCTTCAGTCTGGCATTCTTTGTTCCAGACATTCTTCAGTCTGGCATTCTTTGTTCCAGACATTCTTCAGTCTGGCAAATTTTTCAGTCGCGGTTCGATCATTTTCACGTCCGACTCAATGTCAGCGATCGCGATTGTGCGCGAGAATATTAGTGAAGAATTGACTCGACGACAGATCAAAGCTGCCACTCATTGTGGTTTGTTTTTTGAGAAGTTGCCTATTTGAGAAGTTGCCTAAAAGAGTCATACTTTGGAGATGTTTATCGTAGTTATTTCCTACCTACGCAGTCTCCCGTCATCCGAATTTATCCAACAAATTTCAGATCTTGATGAAGCTAGCATTGACTATTGTCTAAAGTTGTTGAATCCAAAAATGTCTCATTTACACGAAGTGGAAAGGCGCAAGAATTTCGCTCTTGCCTTGAAGGTCAGTGATGCTGAGTGGGTGGGATTTCTTTGAAAATCGAGCTCAATTACGAAAACATGGGGTTTCAAGAAGAAAGTGACATTTTGGCGGGAGCAAAAACACGATGATCCGACCATACTTAGCTTTTGGTTTTTATTTACAGAACACTTAAGGGATGGCTGCGTCACTGCCACTGTAACATGAGCCTCCCCTCCACTCAGCAACTTGCCTAATTCCCGTTTTATCCCCGCAATCTTTTTGCTCGGACTTTTACTTTTTTTTTTGTTAGTAATGGAGCAAAAAAAAAATTGAAATTAACGTCTGTAACGTGTGGAATTTCAAAATTCACAAGCACGGGACTTTATTTTAATTTGAAGATATTAAACAATTGTTTTTTGGTTTGTCAAACAATTGTTTTAGGTTAATCAGAAATGAAAATTTGGTTAAAAACAACGTAAAAAAATCGATATTGCTTTTTCGATATTGCTGTAATCTATTGATACATTAGGGGAGTGGGACAAATGCGACCTTTTTTTGCGCACCCGGACGATTGCGCACCTTTTTTCCGCACCTTGCCCATTAGCGCACCTTTTTTCGCCTTTTAAAAAAGCTCTAAAAAGCTAATATTGACCAATTTCTATTCCAAAAGTTGTTTTTCTAGGTAATTTGAGGGTGTCGAATTCAAATTTTGACATAACAGAGCGTGTGGAACCAATTTGAAAGACAAAACGGCTAGGTCAGATTACAGAAAATTGTTGATTTTTCTCTTTGTATAACTCCGTCCGTTCGCTTCCACAAGCTCTGATATGCCAAAATTTCGATTCTACGCCCTAAAATTACCTAGAAAAACAACATTTGGAATAGAAATTGGTTAATATTAGCTTTTAGAGCCTTTTTAAAATGCGAAAAAAGGAGCGCTAATGGGCTAAGTGCGGAAAAAAATCGCTAATGCGGAAAAAAAGGTGCGCAAATGTCCGGGTGCGCAAAAAAAACGTCGCATTTGTCCCACTCCCATACATTAGTCCTTTTTAACACATTTTTAACGCCATTTTGAGTGTATAGTCGCGTAGTCGTTATTGTTTTACTGATAGTTTTGTTGGATCTAATGTTGGCTACAACTTAGCTGTGAACAAAGCAATAGATGTGTTCAGAAAGTAATACGTTTTCCAGGAACTCGAGGCGAATAACGAGTCGATCGAGGATTGGATCACCGATGAATACGCGGCAATTCTCCGAGATCACAACAAAATCTTCGAAGAAGCCGCCAGAGACAGCCTACAAGACAGCAACATTGTCAGCATTTACGAGGTTCTGTCTGGGAAAGTTTGAATTTGTCGTCAAACAGTCCATCTAACAGTCTAAGATAAAATAAGCTTATTAAGCTACAACAAAAGCTTATTTTAAATCAAGATCAATCGATCAATTGATTCTAGTTTTCATTGTTCATTGTGTGAATATCTGAAAAGGTAAAGGCACCGAGTCAAGCTGAGACTTTTGACTCAAGACCAAATTCATCTGATACACTCGGCATTGCGCCTTTTCGGGTTTCGCCGCTGCCAGATTCGATAGTCGCACGAGAGCTGGTTGTTCCAAAATCTGAATCAACAAAAATTAGATATTTTTATGAAATTAGCTGTTTTAAAAGCTAATTATTGATCAAAATTTCTTCTAAAGAGTCAATTTCCTCGGGATTCTCGAAAAGAGAACTTTCCTTTTCACTCTTCTATACTAAAACAAATAAATCAGAACTTTTGAGTACTTTTAAAGAAAACTAAACCTGTGACAACATCTGATTTATCGCATTCTCTTGTTTCTCGGCCATCTCTCGCGCTTTTTCCGGATTGGACGGATGGAATCTCGAACCCGTTTTTGGTTTTTCAGAACGAAATATCTAATTCGGACTCCTTAAGAAGCTGTCACACGCTCTGGTAGCAGCTGCTCCTGTAGCCTAGTGGATAGCCTGGTAGACTGGCGGACCTGTCACTTTTTTAACTCACAAGTTCAAGCCCATTCTCGCTAAACCTTTTTGCTTTTTTAAAAAACCGTTTCCCTAATGAATAATAGAGTTGAATTTTACCTATAGCTTTCAGGATTCGCAGTATCTTTGATTCAAGCTGCCGTCCGAATCCAAGCTCATATTCAGGCTTTCAGTTTTATGAATAGACACAAAATTGCCAATGAGTAGACGAAAATTAACAAGGTGCTCCAGTTTTTTTTTTCACTAATCTTTGATCTCCAGCTCTAATCTCCAGCTTTATTTACAAATTCAAAATCAGTTTTATCAATATACTAAACTTGTACAATATTTAAAAGTGTCAAGGCTGGATAGGTTTTAAATTTTTTAAAAAGTAAATATGCTGAAATGCTTCTCATTCATTTTAGGATCTATTGTTATATCGAGGAGTTCTGATGGGAATGAATGCTCGTGGAAGATTGCCCGCTCTTCGCGAACTCCTTTTCACCAATTATAGCCTCGAGAACGTTAAAGTAAGTCATTTTTCAGTGGAAATTCTTTCTATGGAAATTTTTAGACTTTCTTCAAATCAACAGGCAATGATGCGGATATGAAAAAGTGAATAAAGGTGTTTGGGTTTAAAAAGATAAAACACACTCAACTGTAGAAACAAGATGTTTTCATTCGTTTCTATTTTTTTTTTAAATGATAGATCAATTGAGGAAAAAAAATCGAAACTTCGAATTTTCTTCAACTTTTAATGAGAACAAGGGGGTAGGCTAGTTTCCGCAATTTTTTTTGCGCAACAGGGTCATTTGCGCAACTGGGTCGTTTGCGCAACTCGCCATAACTTTTTTCTAGGTGGGCTAATCTTTATGATTTTGGTCTCATTTTGTAGATCTCAATAAGTGCAACAAAATCAAACCAAAATCATAAAGATTAGCCCACTTAGAAGAAAGTTATGGTGAGTTGCGCAAATGACCCTGTTGTGCAAAAAAAGTTGCGGAAACTAGCCTACCTCAGAACAAGTCATTTTTCCTATAAAAGAACAAAAAAAGGCAGTGTTGTGAACTCATTGTTTTCAGAGAAAAGTATCTTCTCTTTTTATTTTCAATTTTTATGATTTTCTGCTGTGTTTAAAGTTTAAAATGTTGATGACCTATTCAAAATTATTAATTCAATGAAATCTACGCTTGAACACTGAGAATTTGGGTACGATTTCACCTTAGAAATGATTCGAATGGACGAAATTTTGTATCTAGAAACACTCATTTTTCTAATCTCTTTCAAATCTACATATTTTATTTAGTTATTAATGTTTAAAGTCATTTTGACACCGTTTCATTTTAGAAATGATTCAACAATATTTTAGGAATAAAATGAAAAGAAAATAAATCGATATTCGCATTTTTGTCTCACTAAAATCTACTGTAGCCGATTGTATATTCACGACAAAAATGTAGTTGTATCATGAACACAAAAAGGAGTATTGGCTCTTCGAAAATAGCTCTAAAAAAAGTGGTGTGGTCTGGAAGCGTTCCCGCCCGTTTTTGCATTGAATTCGATGTGGGGGGGGACGGAAAAGAATTGAGAAAAAGGTGAAGAGAAGAGAAGCGAGTGTGAGAAGAGTCTTTCCTTTTCCTCTTTTCCTCTTTTCCTTCTTTTCCATTCTTTTTTCCTTTATCCCCTCGATTCCATTTCCATTCTCAAACAGCTGTTCCCGCTCTTTTCAATGATATTCTTTTCTTTTCTTGTTTCATACGCTTAATTTTACTCTTCTTTATCATTATCGCTTCTCATATTCATAAGCTTCAGCAATCGTTAGAGATTTAATCATCTTCTAATTCTAAACCCTGAAAAAGAACGGCTGCTTTTTGACCTTTTCACATCTTTCCAACTAGAATCTATCTTTTCTAAATTTTTTTTCGCTTTTTTTCCCTGACAAAAACTTATTTAACTTGTCTTATTTATTTGCTTAAGCCTTTGATTATTAAAAGCTAAAAAATAGGATCAGATCAAAAAATCTAGTTAGTTTTTTGTTGATATTTTGTTTACTAAAAAGTGAGCTGCAATTTTTTTTTTCTACAAGATCGAAAATATATAGAAAAAAAGTGCCATTCTTGACTCGTAAATGCGACTTGGCTTGGGGTTAGTTTGTTCTCTGATCATAATCATACAAAAGAAGAAAAGAAGCTTTTAGAGTTTTTATTCTAAAAGAGCTTCTTTTCTGTTCATTTCTTTTTACTCTAAAGTTTCTCTTTCATTGCATTATCATTTCAAATTCACGCTTAATTTCAACTTCAAAAGGTTGTAAAAAAAAGGATTTACATTCCATTTTCTACATTTTCCATTTTGAGTGACTGGTCATTTGTTCCCGATATAAAACAAACCATTTTCGGTCATTTTCTTGCCCTAGATGGCCAAGAAAATCACTGAAAATGGTTTTCCGAGGGCTGGTAGTGGAAAGCGAGAGCGATCGAGAGAAATGACACGAGGCGCTAGAGGGGTTGAAAGGGGGACAGGCAGAGAGAAGAGGCTAACCGGAGGCTTGGAGTGCTCGATCGTGTATGTCTCTCCTTTTCCCCTTTTCACTCTCTTCGTCTACACCCTCCACAACGGGGTCGGCGCTCTCACCAATCGATGCCCGGCGCTCCACTCGTCTCTGTCCCATCATCCCCACATTTCCCCATCACTCTCTATCCCTTTTCACCCCTCTCCCCGCACCTCCACTTTCAGCTAGTCTCTCCCCACTCGCGCCCTTCTCCTACCGCCAAAATTCATAGGGCTCACCCCCCTTCTCTTTGACACTAAATCTTACGTTCAAACTTTACTTCTTTTACTTTCCCCTCAATCGTTGCCCATTCAATCTATTGATCTATCTAACTCGAGCTTCAGAATTTTCAAATTCGAAAAGCTGGTGTTCGTTTTACTCGATATTTCTTTTCTGGTCGAAAAGAAAGGGCTTTTAGTGACACTGGATTTATTAGAAACGTTGATTTTAACCATTTGAAAGCTATGAAAATGAGATTCAACCATATGTTGACAGTTTTTTTTCTTAATTTTCCCCATTTTTCTCCATTTTAAGCTTATCTATAGTCATCGAAAAAAGAAGCCGAAAAATGCGGAGATTTTTTTTGCGTGAGAGTGGTGGCAAGAAACTTTTTGAAGGAAAAATGCTTTCACGTTTGGGTTAATTTATGGTTTGTAATTTGTAATTTGTAATTGTAATTTGTAAATTTCGATTTTGAACATAAACTAACATCATAAGATTTCGATAGTTTTAAAATTTTGAAACTTTAAACCAAAATTGATCTGCGGATCTCAAAGAAAATCATTTTTTTTTGAAGATTTTTTGATTTTGAAGTAAAATAAGGATTTTTTTTTTGTTCATAAAAAGATCCAGGATATGCCTGAAAGTTTAAAAAAAGCGCAAAAAGATAGAGAGACTCACAAAAGTAGCTTTATAAATGGGAAAAGTGATTCAATTTTGTTCAAAAAAAGCAACCAATAAAAATATTCAATTATTTTTGGCATTCTCCCATGGGCAATCACCGTTTTTCTTTCTCATTTTCCCCTTCATTCAGCTCTTTTTTTTTTAATTTCTTTTCTCTTTTCAACAATTTCTTTTTTTCCGATCCAAATAATCGGTTTAGGATTTTTGCGTTTTTTGGAATCCGTCTCTTAAAGTCTCTCTTAAAGACGCGAAAAGTACAGGTGATTTGACTGCTTTTGATTCGATTCCAAAACTGTACCCCCAAAATTCCAAAATTTTCGCCCACAAATCAAAAAAAACTTTTCTTTTTCGGAAGAAAAATCCGAAATTTCACTAGTCGTTTGTTATGAAGAAAAAGAGAGAAAAAAACGTTGAAGGAAAATAGAGAAAAACAACGCAAAAAAAAAAAGCTTTTCTCTTTTTTTTTCATTTCCCCACATCTGTTCCATTGAATTGATTATTTATGTACACACATTTTCCCCTTTCCACAGTTAATGCTTTTTCTCGAGTAGAATTTAATTGATTTATTTTTGGGTGGTAATAATGAAAGTTTTTCTTTTGCATTTTCATCCTTTTTCTTTTGCATTTTCATCTTTTTGTTTTCCTTTTTGAAAATGTGAGTTTTGTGAGTCAAAAAAGGTAGCGATCGCAATTTAGAGGCGATTAATTTCCGGGACTAATTGATTCGTTCAGAAATTGTTTTGGGAGAAATTTATGTAAATTTTCGCATATGATTAGATCAGAAATAATTCGTTTTGAATTTTCTAAATTAGGCTTTAGTTTTAAGCATAAGCTAATCACGGTTCTCTTTTGATTGGTTTAAAATTTCCTTAATCGAATCTTTCTCAAATGTTTTGCTAATTGAAAGACATGCCTATGGTTAGAAGGATTGGTGAAAGATTGCTAAAAACTTTTTTTCTATGTAATTTTTTCTATTTATTGATTATTGATTACTTATTGATTCATTTAGAGGTGGTAATGCACGATACAGAAGGGGAAACAGCTGTTGTCGCCGGTCCAAGTCATCCTTCTCATCTTCCATCTTCTCATCATGATGAGGTCGGTTTAAATTTTGAATTTAATATTGTGCTAGTATATAGTATTTATCTAGTATTTAATCTAATATTTAATCTAATATTTAGTATATAGGATCTAGTATAATCTAGTATTTAGTATATAGGATCTAGTATAATCTAGTATTTAGTATATAGGATCTAGTATAATCTAGTATTTAGTATATAGGATCTAGTATAATCTAGTATTTAACATCAAGATATTGTACTTCAAACATTTCTTGTCTTTTCGCAATTTCATAAGCTTTCCAAAAAATTTGGCAACAAGACGTGCATTTCAAAATAATAGAACTTATCGTACTCTCGTGTTTTTGCATAGACATAGCTAGATTTAAAAGGTTTAGAACAAAATCTTATTCTGACTGGAACAAAATCTGATTCCAACTCTACAATCCAAAATTCAGGACTCACATTTGATCGGTGACGCTGAAAAGCAAAGCGATGACGCCATCTTCAAGACACCCACCATTCCGATCAGGTAAAGCTGAGATTTGTCTTGTAAAAGATAAATTAAAGAATAGTCATTTAACAATTTTACTTCAGAAAACCCTCAACACGTGGTCGAGGTCGGGGTGCGGGACCTGGACGACCGCCAAATGGACTATCCCATGCCTCATCACCAGCCACTCCCAACTCATCTCCCTCAACAAATCTTTCATCAAATTCCCTCCCGAATCGACCCGGACGAAAGCCGGGTCGTGGACGCTCAATCAAAGTGGGTTTATACGATAAAATTTGCTTGAGCTTTTAAACCATTAGGCTATCCAGAAGTCTTTTCGTTCCTTTTCGTACTTCCTTTTGAAAAATAACAAATTCACCAATTAACCTAGGGTTTGCTTTAAATAAAAGTCTTTATTGCTCAATTTCCCATCTTTTAAAGTCAATTTTGGTTCACTCACAAGCAAATTCGAATGATAATTTGTGAAGGAAAGCGAATTTTATGTAAACCATTCGCAATTTCAGTTGCCCGTGGTGGTGCCGGTGAAACCAGTGAGAAAGATTCGACCGCCCGCTCAACCATTGCCTTATTCGACTCACGATATGTTCTGTCCGCATTCAAGAAACTTCTTCGATTGTTTCGAGTTACCACTCACCACCTCTAAGGTTTCGTTAATTCAGCAATCGACTTTAAACTTCGCCATTTCCAGATTTCACCCGAAGAAGAACCACATCCGATTCAGGCCGGCTTCAGCAATACCAGCCCAAAAGTGGTGAGTCCAAAAGAGAAGAACTTGGACTCAGTGCATCAAGATCTTGTAAAAGTAAGGAAAAATAATTAAATTGGATAAACTTGATTCAGGAAATGGGGATGTCTGAGATAAAGATCGAAGATTCGAATGTGCCTGTACTTTTACCGAATGGAGTCATTTTGGAACCCGGCGAAATACCTCCATTACATAATGGCTTGACTAATGGAGATTCGGTGAGGGTTTTCTCAAAATTTCAGTTTTCATATTTTTCAGCTTTTAGACAAATCAGATATTTTAGCTTTTGGTCAAAGAAGAATCGCCGGATTCAAGTCCTTCAGAAGAAAATGAACCGTGCTGCTCGAAGAGTTCCGACTCGGGAATCGATGTTAAAGAAGAAGAGGATTCAGAAAAACGGGAAGAACAAAATGAGAAGAAAAGAGAGAAACAACCCGTTGATTTTTGTGAGTTTTAATTTCATATAAACTGTTATTTCTTGACATCTGATCCTAATTCTTGGTACGGTTTTTCAAATCCCATATTAAGAAATAAAACTGACTGTAAGTTTAGCGCTGAATGAGGCTGCTCGAAATGCCTTTGCACATGAAATGATTATCGACGAATTCTCTTTGATGTTATTTACATGCAAGGAAGATGAAAGGGTAAAAAGCTTTGATTAATCTTTCATACTTTTACCTTTCTAGTTATTCGACAGCGAGTTCGAGCGTGTGAAAAAACTCGAGGAAGAGGAGAGGAAAAAAGTTGAGATCGAGATTCAACGCCACATCAAGGAAATCAAGCAAAAACTTAAAAAGAAAAAGGTTTGTGTGGAAATCATATAAGATTTGAATTGTATTTAAATTGAAATCATTTTTTCAGCAACTGATCGATAAGAGCCGCTTGGTGGAAGAGCGAACGGAGCGGAGAGAGGCGTTGATGAAAAGATCGCATGAAATGAAGAACTACAAAGCTGATCTCCGATTGCGCATTCAAACCGCAAAAGTACGTTGCAAAGCAGTTAAAAGCAGCTAAAAGCAATTAAGCCAGTAAAATGCATATATTAGACTTTTCTGAAAGTCTTTTCTCTCCTTCTCGTACTTTCGTTTAAAAATGATTACATCATTATCATTACAAAAAATCCTTTTTCAGATGACCCTTGGAACAGTGAACAAAGAACTGAAACAAGAGTGGCAGAAATTCCTCGTCGATGAAAAGACCCTCAAAATTGAGAAGGTGGCAAAATTTCTCTTTTTCTCGATCTACAGAAAAGCGATCAAATTTCATTCCTTAAATTCAGAAGCGATTTCGTCACCAACAAGAAAAAAGACGAACTGAAAAGAGGCGGAGGTGTGGGAAAAAGCCGAAAAAATCAAAGAAAAAAAAGGAACGGGAAAAAAGAGAACGCAAAGAGAGAAAACTTCGAGAGGTTTGTGCTTTCAAATGTTTTATGATTGTTTTTCCTTCACTTTAAAATTCACCACTTCATTTTCTCAAAAGTTCTTCTTGAATTCAATGATCTTGCACTTGTTTCAGAGTTTTTCATTGCTTATTTTCCCAGAATAGTTGACCTAGTACAATTTGATTTCTGGAATATCGTACATTTCCTGTGTCCTGTGCAATATCCTACAATTCCTCACTTAGTCGTTACCGTATCTCGGAAAGATATTAGCCGATTAAGTTATCTCGAAATTTCGAAATAACTAAAGTTGTACAGCTTGAGTATTGTAGGACAGCCTTCTTAAATACTGTCAGACATGAGACAGCTCTTCAAGATCAAATACTCACTTCGGAATTTCCCTTTTGTTTACAAATCAGCATCTTCTTGTAGCCATGACGAGGTAAATCGTCGGAGCCTTGAAATAATTACCACTTAGCGTATTGCCTCAATTATCAAAGGTGACATTCTGGTTCTTCTCAGCCCTTTCCCCTTAATTCACCTGCAAATGAGGGGAAATGTCTCATGGGTGAAGACACAGCTGCTCTCTTTTCTTCGACCACCTGCACTCCTGAATTTGCAACATCCATTTCACCTGCAATCTGTCTCAACTCGCCTCTCCTTACCGCATTTTAACACATTCACAATTTTGAGCGTAGTCGTTACTGTTTTAGTGATAATTTTATGAAAATTCAAAGATAAACGAAACTATTATAGTCATTCGATAGTCCTGAATCTCCTCTTGAAAACTAGTAAAAAGTTATCAAATATTTTTTGCGAAATAAATAACAAAAGCCTTTAAAAACTTGGGTTGGCACCAAAAAATCATCAATAAAATATCGTAGTGGATTTGTTAAAGCTTTTCGGCTCTAGAAGCGACTATTTTTATCCCACACTTCATTCTTTTTGTCGCTTCATTAAGTGTTTTTTTTTACAAATTACGAATCGTTTCTCTTAAAACACCGGAAATTTGAGTGAATTTCGAGAGGAAATCTGGCCCAGGAAACGAGCACTTTCCGCGAATGTAATTTCTCCACTTCCGCCACTTTTTTTTTGCTTCATTTTTTCGGCTAAAAGCCTGGAAATTTTGGGCACACACAAATTTGCAAAGAATTTTTCAGCCATTCTCAATTTTTGCTTTTCTTTCTCTCTCGAACAATAGAGCTTGGGTGGGTGGAAAGAAGTGATGGGAGATTTCATAGAAAACCCCCCTTCTCACATATGGGCTTCTGAATACTAATCCCCTGACACCAACCCATCTTTACTATCTACTAATCCTTTAGGATTTATGAGAAAATAGTCATCGGATAAAGTGACAAAATGGCCCTGAATTTCTTGAAAAGAGCATAGAATTTTGCGCGATTTTTTAGAGAATAAAAAACACTTTTTTTCTTTTTTTTTGAAAATGGGGGCAACGAGTGAAGAAGGATTTGATTGGGGACAAAGAGGAGGAAGGGGTGGGCAATCGAAAGGGCCATCATTGCCCTCGTCTTCTCTTTCTCCATCACATCATTCCCACCACCATGCACGAACAAACTCTACTCTTTCTTACTAAACTTTCTTATAAACAATAAATTGTTGACTGTGGCTGTGTTTACATTAAGAAACATGTTCTTTTTTATGTTTCCGGAGCAATCGAGCGCTCATAGTTACCACTCTTGCAAATCTCTATAGAAATCGGGGAAATTTTAATGTGATTGGACAGGTGGATCCACATTTTCGCTAGATCCAGGTGACCCTCCCCCACTTAATCGTTTTTTTGACCTCAAAAAGTACAAAGTAAAAAGTTCTTGATTATTCTTGAACCAAACGTCTTAATTCTTTTTTTTTTGCTAGTTGGTATACTTTCAAAGTACAGCCCCCAGTGTCCCCCTAAAAGTGTTCCCCTAGTGTCCCCCTTGGGGGCGGTACTCTGAAAGTATACAAGTTGGACACATTGTGGCCGTGGCGCAGTCGGGGGCACTCTTGTCTACAGCCCACACGATACGGGTTCAACCCCCCGTAGTGCACCTTACTTTGATTTTTAAGTTTTCAATAATATAAGATTCTTGATCTCTTCTTCAATTTCAATATTTGATCCAGTCATGCCATCCAAAAAAGCTCTGTACTTTTATAATCGGCTTCGTGTTTCTCCGGGGGATGATTTTCCTAGATAAACCCGAATTACCACGACTACATGCTTCCATTTTTTTTGATGGTTTTAAGTTTCTATCTCTGGCAAATCCGCATATTTCTTAGTTTTCCCGTCTAATATCCACAGAATTTTTAGATGTTTTTGCAAGCATTTTTTCTCACAGCACCAAATTTCCGTAGAAAGCTTATCTTCTTTGGTATTAGACCTTCTGATGGCGGATATTTGGATCGGAAGTGTTTATGCGTCTGTTGATGAAATTGCAAAGATTTAATTTCCCTTTCACTTTTTGGACCACCCACCTCTTTTCTATCTTTTCATCTCTCATCGTCACTTCTCTAAATTGAGAAAATCTCTCAAAAAATCTCTCAAAATCTCTCAATTACCAAACAGATTTCCGGGCCTGATTTTGAGCTCAACCATGCATTTCCCTTGATTAAAAATGTATTAACGAGTTTAATCCATGATTGCATGCTGCAGGAGATCGCGCGTGATTACAGATTATATCTTTTCAAATCATCCTCTTATCAAGCCCGAAAGCCGATTCTAGTGACGGTTTTGAAAATCTAGAAATATTAGTATTTTTGCGAGTGACCACAATCAACTATAGTCGTTGAAATGGGGAAAAAAGAGCGCTTTTGAATATGGGGTAAGTAGGGCGGGGGAAAATGAAAAGAGAAAAGAAAAAGAGAACAGAGAGAGAGTGCATTGATGCGTGCGTACGATGAATGCAAAATGAGAGCGAATGGATTCGATTTCCTTTCTCGATCAAACAGCTCCCACCAATCGACTGCTTTCTCTTCATCCTTTTCTCTCGATTGGGGAAAAATAGGAGAAAGTGGATGTGAGAGATTTGGAAAAGGAAAGGGTCACCTAGGAATCGCTCACAATTTGGCGCATGTAAAAAAGAGCCGGCGGGATTGGGCTGGCTCAATTGGTTTCCTTTTTTTGAAGGATCGGCCCGGAAAAGAAAAAACACCTTGAAAAGAGGTTGGGTGGTCATTGTTTTTTTATCCTATTCATCATTTATCATTTTCCTAATCCTCAGTCCCCTTTCATTGAATTTCTCTTTTCAAGTTTTCTTGACATGTCACTCTTTCTCTTTCATTCGATTTCTTACGTCTCTTCCGTCTATTGTTTAGCTCTTTTATCTTTTTATCCATACAATTAACATTTCCAGGAAATTTTTCTGTTTTGAAAAAAAGCGGAACGGCGATGATCGGAGAAACAGTCAAAATACATTAGAGCCAAAGACAAAACATCTCAAGCGCTTTCTTTCGTGATTCATTTTTTTTATTTTCCCTTGCTTGCGCTTAAAATCACACTTCTCTTCTCCTTTCTCACAAAAAATTTCTAATGATGAATTTGTTTTAAATATCACATCATCATGAAATTTCAATTTCGCTGTTTCGCAGAGTTCATTACGTTTAAATTACGAACATTCCCAGAGGAATTTTGAAAATTAGAAAACTCTCGGGGGTTTTTTTGCGAATACATTTTATAATTGAAAGAAATCAAAGTGTGAAAAAGTCGAAAGGTTTCCAATTTGTCGATCTATTTTCGAATATTCAATGTTGGGAGAAATTGAAGATCCTTGAACCTTTCAACCCGTTCCCTTCCCCTTTTTCTGTTCCCCATTCGTTTCTCCATCATGTCTTTCCACTTACAACCTCTTTTCTTTTTCTCAAAACTTTTTTATTTATTTCCTTGTCTTCAAGAGTTTTTTTTTCATCTTCTAGCAATTTTCTTTTTTTCAAAAACCCTTTTTTTTCTCGTCAAACCCCCTTCCTCCATTTTTTCCGAAAAGCAAACCTCTCGAATGGATTTAATTGCAAAAAACGATGTGCTCAAATAACAGCTTTCTTTTTAAAAAAAGGTTTTTATTCTTTTCTTTCTCTTCTTTCACTAAAAGCCGTCAATTAAAGTTTTTCCAACACTTTTCAGGTTCAAGGTTATATTAGAAAAAAATGAGAGATCCGATAATTGATCTATCTAAAAAGGAGAGAGACGATTATCAGTAAAGGTTGTTTAGTTTTTCGGTCAGAGAAAAAAAGCAATGGGAAAATGGGAAAACCGAGTGGAAAAATGTTCATTAAAATGAGAGAGAAATGGTCACTTGACGAGAGGAGAAAAAAAGGGGCATGGGGAGCGTCAACGGAGCATGTCTTTTTGCGTCTTTTGGCGGGCCTCTTTCGCGTTTTCCGGGCTGGTGAGCGAAGGTCACGAGGAATTTCCCATCCACCAATGTCTTTGAGAAAGACCCCCATCTCTTTCTTTTTATTCCCTTTTCTTTTTCAACTCCCTCTTCCCATCCATATCTTTTTTCCAATTTCCCTTTCCGTTTACACGCATTTATCGTTTCGAGTGTTTGTGTTTGTACCAAAATTGGATGAATCTCCTTTCTCGCCACTGATAACCCCCTTTCTCCATATCAGTTTGAGATTTGAGAGGCGAAAAAATTCATTTGCAATTTCACGACAAAACGTCGTTTTGGCGTTTTCGAAATTACGAAACTTTGATGTTTGTTTTTGAATCGCAAAAGCTAAAAAAGGTGTTTGCGCGTGTGGACAGTCAACCGGGGAGTGAAGCTGCTCAATTCCGTGGAGCACTCCCCAAATTCGATTTGCACACGAGTGCTCTGGCCAAGAGCCTCGTCTTTCCTATTTAGTCCCCGCCACTCACCCAGCAACCCTCTTTCCATATGACTTTACCCTTTCACCTTTCTTGTCTCTCTTTTTTCGCGAGCCTTTAATTTTATTCGTCTCTCCACATCCACAAATGTCCTTGAAATCGCGAGACTGACCATCAACTTGGCCTTGATTATCGCACAAAAATTAAGGCACTAGTGAAAGAAAGCGGTCGAAAATCAGCATTTTCGACCTTCAGCGAGAGACATTGAGATGGAGACGAGTGTGTGTCAATGTTTGTGAAAGATCGAAAGGAGACGCGCACAAATATTTGGAAAGTGCGTGTCGCGTCCACTCTTGGCTTCCATTTTTGGGGAGGAGAAGAAGAAAGGCCGAAAAAGGGAAAGGACGGCTGGAAGTGGACAGACCGAAATCCGGGAGGTGGAAGGAGATGAGGGGAAAAGGGATGGGGAGACATTCGGAGAAAGCGGACATCGAGCGCGGCCACCCCCATCCCGTCCCAGCCAGAGCAGCAAAGCGAGTTTGCTCTCCTCCTCTCCTGCAGGTCAGCCGCCTCATTTCCCGTTTGCTCAACTGTGTCTCTGCGCCCTTTTTGCCTCTTTGTGTCTCTGGGCCGCTTATTGACCATTCACCGGGGGGTTGCACGAGTATAGGGAAAGACTAAATATCGATTTTTATTAAGCTTTCTAGAAAAGACTTTCTGGACTTTTTATTAGGAAAAGACTTTCTGGACAGTCTAATACAATTCCGAACTTTTTATGTGATGCCTTATTTTTTTGTTACATCATATCATTTCTCTTTTCAAAAACCAATATCCCCGTTTTTTCGTCATCCAATGATTTTCTGGTCGTTTAACACTTTTGCTCTTCCCTTTCCCTATTAAAATAAGCTAAATTCAAATCGGCTCTCGGCGGTGAAAAAAGCACGAAAATATCAGGGAATGGCTGGCCACGTAATCGTCGGGAATCATTTCAAATTCTCAATATGCGCCCGAGCGGCATTTCCCCTCTCTTCTCTTTTTCTCTAGCATACACGATACGTTTCTCGGGCAAGGTTCTCATTATTATGTTTCTTTCTGTTCGTTTGATCTTTCTCGATTTTCTAAAAAATAATTTTTAAGTGTCAGAAAATTTCTCCACCATTTGCAGTTTTCTCATGGATCAAAAAGAGATTATTCTTCTGTTCTTTGTGCATCATTCGTCAGCTTTCCAATTCATTTTGAGAAGATTAAACCGATGAAAAATGAAAATTTCTGAAGGTCAAGCTCAAAAATCATTGGCCATTATGGGAAAAAAGAGGGTGGGTGGTTGGAAACGGAAGGTGGTGGTTTAGTCAGAATCCGGTAGAGAGAGAGAGAGAGAGTGGGCCCAATAGGTGAACGGAGAAAGAAAAGGAAAGGAAAGGAGGATTGAGGGAAAAGAAAAAGGCCACCGCGGTGCAATCGATGTGCATCTGCGAGGGAACGTGTCCCCCCGGGCAGGGGAAAGCCCAGCATCGCGGCTTCTCGAGCTCCTTGTGCTTCCCCGTTGCCCCGTCGAATCGATGCGCGAGTTGGCACGGGAGAAAAGCTCTCTGGCCGGCCATAGTCTATGACCAAGTCATCTTTGCCGAATGCGTCTATCAATTGATAAGCCTTTCCCTTTGTGCTTCAGGATCGTCTAGGCCATCGGCACTTATCAGTTTTCTCTTGGATCTCTTTTTCTCTTTGCTTTTGCTGGCCGCGTGCCAGTCCGTTCCCATAGGACGCCTGTTGCTTACATTTTACATGTTATTATACTTCTAAATATTCCGATTTCTTTTATAATATCTATTTTTCAACTTTTCTTTCCTTTTCCTTAAGATTTCTATATATGTCCAACTCTTGTTTTCTTTTTTTTCAAGATCTTTCCTCTGTTCGACTAAAATGGAAATCATCTATTCTAGGCAGCTGATGAATATGTATTTTTCATCATGACATGTCCTATTTATCTCGATGAAAAAGTTTCTATTATGTGCATTTAATCTCTTCTATCAGTGAGTGGGAAAAGTGGACGTCGGATGAAGTGAAAAGAAAATGAAAAAGGGAATTGAAAGGCCGAAGAGAGAGTGTGTAGGGGAAATCAATTCAAGGGACCTTTGAGCGAGTGATTCCTCTTCGGGAATTGCGTTCGACTGATCTCATTTTAGCGGATTAGGCAAATCTCATTCGATCTACCTTCCCTTTCCTCTTTCTTCTATCTCTTTTTCACGCATTTCTCTGCTGATTATTCACCTCATTTGTCTACAAAATACTTTATCACTCTTTTTTTTTCTTCTTTTTCCCCTTCTCCTCCATTATATCACAAGTAGATTTCTATTAGTCATATCAAAAAATATTATTTTGAATTCTAGATTTGCTTAAATCTTATTCACTCAACTTTGGTGAAGATTTGCGTACGAAACTAGAGCAAATGATTGATTGTTTAAATTTCAGAAAGCGGCTCTACAAACTGCCGTGCTGTCGGGAGGACTGGCGTCAGCAGTGGCAGGTGGGGTGGCGGGAGTGGGGGTTCTGTCTGGTGCCCTTGGTGGATCGCCTGTTGGTCTACCCAAGGGTTCTCCCCTTGGCAGTCAACCCTCACCCGCTTCCAACTCGCCTACATCGAATCTCCATGCAAAACGCGCTCCCTCAGCGCCGCTTTCCGCTTCTCCGCTCGCCAAAACCCCACGTCTCGATGATCCGCTACGGTTTGTTTTTCCGTTTCCCAATCTTCTTTCTCTCTCTCAACTTTCACGAATTGCGTGATTGCGAAAATTTCAACATTCCCAAACACTTTCTATGCGCGTGTGAAAATGAAACGCCAACGGCTACAAAAAAAAAGTTTATTACATGTGTCGGGAATTCCGTATCGACGCAAGAGTACAATTTTGGGACCCATAATTGCGACCATGGTTTAATTAGCGGGTAGAGAGGGGGCCCTATTTGCTCAGAAGGGGAACAAGAAATGTGAATTTCCGAGAAAACTCAAAATATTGTTTAGAAGCGGTATGGTGGGATTGATGAATGGAGGGGTGCTGGCAAAGACTCCACCATCAGCAACGAATTTCGGACGACCAACTCCACCGGGATCAGCTTCGACACCGTTGAGCATGGCTCCGCGAACACCACTCGGCTTGTCCGACCAAAAGCCACTCCAACCAGGACTCGAAGGTTTGAGTTTTTTTTTGGTACTATCCGATTATACATCTCCATACCTATCTAGGTTAAATCTCTAATATTCCTTTATATTTCCTTCTTTCTCTTGACAAGTTAAGGTACCGGATAACTCAGTGGTTAAAGCAATTACCCGGAAAGGAAAGCAAGGTCCAGGGTTCAATCCCGGAAATCTACTTTTCTACTTCTTGCCAATTCTTTTACTTCTTTATTATCTACCTTTACCTTTGTTCTGAAATTATAACCTAAACATTTCTGATACCTAACACAACTGAGACTAATCCACACTTTTTCTCAAAAAAATCTGGATAGGATACAAAAAAGCGGGTATAACCGGATAGTACTTTTTTTTCCATCTGTTTTACATTCGTATTTTACTCGAACGATTTCTCATCCACATGGGGGTTGAGGGTCAACGCGGGGTTTCATTCGGGTGTAAAGTTTCACAGGTGTCCCCTCAACTAAGATCTTTTCTTTTTCTCTTTACCAAGTACTCCGCAAATAATAAGTGTACGCCGTTGTAACGGAGCCTTTTCCCAATTGTCTTTTCGCTTTTCCTTCTCGAAGATCCCGCGCATTTCTTGAGAAAAATCCTCTAATGGTTTTTTCCGTAAATAGCAACGCAGTTTCAAAAGTCAAAAGTGTTCTTACCGTAAATACTGCCGTAGTCATCAATACTTTTTAGAAAACCATTTTTTTCCAACTAGACTTTTGACATCAAAAAAATACTAGATTTCAAGCGCTACTGTTTGACCCCAAAGCGCACATTGTAGCACAAAAAGCAATGCGGAGAAATAAGCTTTTAAAGTTTGATTACACAATTGTACAGCCGTAATTATGCCCTTCTATTACAGTATTTACGGTATCCTTTTTTGAGTTTTACGACTAATTGATGGCTTTGTAATTTCGAGAAAAGCTGACTGACGGAACTTTGTTGCAGGAAGAAAAGAGGCGAAAATTTCGAATGCAAACACCAACCGCGCCCCCCATTCGAGTGAATAATTATGTACAGCCGACGAAGGGGCTCACAAATAATTCCTCGCAAGAAACGCGAATTATTCAACAGCTCGAGCTGCTCGCTCGAGAATATTCTATGAATGTGTGTGCTCCACACCCTTCCCCCTCAAAACGAGTGTGTCTCCTTTTTTTGGAGCCTTTTCCATTTCTCCCGAAAAGGTTATAAATAAATAAATCGATTCCACCGTTGACAAAAGAAATTTTAATGAAAAAACTTAAAAATCCGAATTTAGCTTCGGCTTTCGGGACGGATTCAAGCCGACTTGTACCTGGCTCGAGCGCTCCCGGTCTCTTTGTTCACACCTCAGCTCCAGGACCTTCCCTGCTTTCTGGTGGATTACTCACCACTGCTGGTAAGTCTACAGTTGATTAAATGAAGATAATAATCTTATTAACCAGCCATTAGGCTGTCACCACTAGCGTAGCGCAGTCGAGAGCGTGCTTTTCTACGGCGCACTCGATCCGGGTTCGACCCCCGTAGTGCCACTTAATTTAAGCTTTTTGACCCAAAGACGGCTGAGAAAAATAGACAGACAGTGGATATATAGTAGATACCAAGTGCAAAGATCTTTTTGTAGGTGCTAATGCTGCAATACCCGAGCAACTTCGAGCTATGCTTTTGCAAAGTGGAGCCTTTCCACCACAACAAACACCCGGCACTTCACTTATGCAGCAAAGTTTTCCACTCCTTGCGGCTCAAATGCTTCATCAGGTAAAACTTTTCGTAATTAACACAAAAATGGGAATTCGATTTAGCAACACTTCCAAGGAGCCGCTGGAGTGCCACAAGGAATGGCTGCCAATCACGGACTCCTTCACGGACAGCTGCCATTCCCTCAAAATGCTGCCCTTGCTAGTCAATTGGCTGGAGCCGCCGTTTTCGGAAAGTTGCCTAGTCTTCAACAGCCGATTCTAAAGGTAAACAGTATTCAAATAAACAACTCATCAAGTCATTCAGAAACCCGGTCGATGGTGTGGAATGCATGTGAAAATCGCTTATGATATCAACGCCTACAAGAAGCAACAACAATCTTCTCATCAACAACAAACAAATCAGACGCCAGCCGCCCAATCGAGCCAGCCTCAACAACAAGCCCATCACCTTTCCCAACAATCACATCAAACTCTCCATCAACAAGCTGCTTTCCAGCAGATTTCTTCGGTGAATGCTGTGTCAGCTGCTATGCAACAAGCCGCTGCTCAGGCTCAAGCTCAAGCGCAAGCAATCGCTGCACAGGCGAAATCCCATGCTCAGGCTCAGGTAATTTTCGAAAGTTTAAGACTTGCTTTAAAAATTGTTTTTGCTTTACAAAGCCTTTTATACAATCATCAAATTTAGGAGCGTTCCCTTGCTGCCTCATTGGGTTCATCAGGCGCTCAAAATGCTCTCAATGCTCAACACGCGCAACTACTTCAACAAGCCGCTCTTCGACCGCCTCATTGTCTTGCATCAACTTCAGGCACAGCGCCCACTTTGCCACAAGGTTTGAAAATTTTGAAAAAAAGGACTTAAACTCGTTGAAGTATATGTGTTTGATATGTTTGTTTCTCCTTTGACATTAGATTTGTACAAAGTGAGCTTGGAACCTAGTGAAACTTGACAACAATATAAATCTAGGACTTCAAACACCATTTGGACAAGCTGCCATGTTTGGTCCCGCGTCGGCTCAAATGATGGCTCTTCGTGCAGCAGCCACGACACCGAAACCCCCACAACCGCAAACTGTTTTGACACAAAATCGACCAGCCTCAACGGTTTCTTCACGAGCGCCTCCACCACCCTTGACACTTCCTCCTGGTTTCCATTCTCAGCTCACTCTTGCTCCCCCGGGATTCGGAGGAGCCTCTTTAACAAATGGAACCTCTGATCAAGTTTGTGCAAATTTACAGAAGTAATTTGCTTTTTTTAGGCTGCTTTACTACATGCCGCTTTGGGTGCAGGCTCGGCTGGTTTACCTCCTGGAATTCTTGCCCAATCTCCTTACCTCCTTCAACAACATCAAGCAGCTCAGGCGCAGGCTCAGCAAGCTCATGCCCAAGCCCAGGCACAGGCTCAGGCACAAGCTCAAGCTCAAGCCCAGGCTCAAGCGGCTGTTGCTCAAGCCCAGGCGCAAGCACATGCACAGGTATCTAGCAACTTTTGAAACTAAATTCTCTAACTAAATTCCATCTTCAGGCTCAACAGCAGCAACAGCAAGCGGCTCAGGCGAGACTTATTTCAGAGCAAAACAATTTATTGCAAATGCAATTGGTATGACTGATAAAAAAGAAAAATTAATATGCTTTTTTAGCTGAGTGGTATCGATGCATCGAGAGCAAGTCAACTATCTTCTCTCCAGAGTCACGCGGCAACAGTTTCATCAACCACAGCGGCACCTGTCATTCATTCTCTTGTGTCTACACCATCTTCGATGAATATCCCTCATTCAACCGCTTCAGCATTGTTCACATCACAGGCCTCGCAAGATGATCTGTATCGAGCACTTGAGCATCAACAACAAGGTTAGACAAAACAGTTTTGAAACTTTGAGGTAAACGGAGTGGTTGTAAAGAAAAGAAATAGCATTTAAACCAGTTTCAGATCGGGACCAGCAATTGTTGCGGTTATTTGCTTCTCAACAGTCGGCTATCATGCAAGCTCAGCAACAACAACAGCAGCAACAACAGCAACAACAGCAACAGCAGCAACAGCAGCAACAGCAGCAACAACAACATCAACAGCAACAACAACAGCAACATCAACAACATCAACAACATCAACAACATCAACAACATCAACAACATCAACAACATCAACAACATCAACAACAACAAGCCCAACAGGCTCAGGCGAGACAGGCAATGCAAATGGGCTCAATTCCTCAAGATATTGCCAATCTATTGGCACAAGCCCAGCGGGGAGCCCTGTCCTTCCCTGGGCTCGGGCAACAATTCGTCCCCCAAGCACAACCACATCAAGCTGCTTCTCAACAATCCTCGATCGCCGGTCTTCCTGGTCTCCAATCCCATCCAGGTAGCAATTTAAGTCAAAGCATTTGAACTCTTCAATTCAGGACAACTCGGCAGTGCCTCAATGTTGCCAGCGTCTTTGATGAGCAGTTTGGGGATGTTCCCGAAGCTGCCCTTCCCGGCTGGGTCGCTTTCTCAGGCGGTGAGCAAGCCGAACGGCGTCTCAGAGGCTTCATCCACCTCGGCGGTGACTATGTCGAACCCGAACGGACATCGGTGAATCACTGAGGTCTCTGTGAAATCGTTACCCACAATTCTTGTGAAAGTTTCACGGTGACGTTACTAGACATGGGAAAATTCCAAGCCGAACTTAATTCCACGTTTTCTCAGCCCTTTCTTAACCGATTCCTCTGAACTTTTGTTTACAAACTGAGAATGTTGATTTCTATCTGTAGACAAAATTTCAGAGGAATCGACCAAGAAAACAAAGGTAGATTAGGTTCAGATTGGAATTTTCTCATGTCTAGACGTTTGCTTGTCTCCATCAATCCCCTTTTCCCCCCAATTTTTCGGGTTTATCTTTCATTTACACGGGTCTGCCCCCCTTCCTCTCCACTTCTGACTTACCGATTTCCTTTTTAAATCCTTTTTAGATCCTTTTTCTATTCCATAGAAAACTAACAGTCTAGAGAATCAGTCAAATCTCTAATTCCTCTTTCTTTTTTTTTTCTATGAGTGACCATTTTGAAAGCCATGATTCGGCAGGGAATTCTCGTGTTTGTTAAATTGTTCAAAGTTCCAAAAAAGTTACATAAACTTTTGCAAAAGTCTCCCAAAGACGAGTTTCCGCCAAAAGTTCTCCCTTTTGCGATCATCGTAATTTGTAAATTGTGAGTGTTTTTTTTGAATAGCTTTTTGTAGAAAAAGTTGTCTCTTTACTCAGCAAAATTTATTTTTTTGAAAAAAGATGATTTATTTTTCAAGAACTTAAATCTTGCGTGAGTTTTTTTCACGGGGACATCAGCATCTCATTTGTTTATGGTTTAACTGGGTCTCGTCCCCGTTTTCTTGTTTTTTTTTTTCACCAGCCCTCAAAAATTCTCTTTTTGGTGAGCATTTCGTTCCTTTTTCTCTTGTTCAATGATAAGTTATTAGTATATGTTTTTTTTTTTCGATTTTTTTTCTTTTCTTATTGTTGCCGTTCTCAGTACCTCTCTTCTTTGTGGAAAAATGTGACTGAAAGATATGCCCTAAAGGTTTAAGAAACAAAAAGACGTTCAATTCCCATATTTTCAGCTTCAAAAAGAAAAAAAAGTTTTTAAGTACAATACACATAAACCTCTTTTTATAAAAATAACTACATAAATTAGGAGAGAATCGATATTTTGTGGTTGTTTCTTTTCTTTTGTTAATTATTCGCTTTCTTTTTTTTCCTTGAAAATGTTTTATTTCTGCCTCGTTTACTTCAGACGAAAATCCCTCAAATCTTTCTTGGTTTTGATTGGAGAATAAAAAAAAAACATTATAAAAACATATTTTATCGCAAATCCAAAAATCACACCTTAAAAAGATAAAAGAAGAAAAGATAATAATTTATTTGTTTTTTAAACTCTAATCAACCACTACCCTATGTAAAAATTTTTTGATAATTTGATTAGGATTTGTAGAAATTTTAAACACTACTCGACACTCTTTTGAGAAATTTCATTTTAGTAATGAAAAAAATTATGGATTTTGAGGTAGAAAGTCAGGAAACTTTGATAGAAAAGTGCTTGATTGTTATTGAATTTTGTAGACTCGAAGACGGTTCAAGAGGAGGATAAACAGAATCACGTTTGTGACTGAGACTACCTGAAAGATTCAAAATATTAGAAATCAACTTATTGACACGAATAATGTGGTACAAAAGCTAGAAAAGCACCCCTAAGCTCTAAGTGTAGGGAAAACCCATATATATGGAAAAAAAAACCAAAAACCCGGCCGGTGGGATTGAACCCTTGGCCTTCCGACTAGGTGACCGACTAGGATTCAAGGCTCTTAGCCAGTCGGCCATGTCGGCCAACCCTCCAGTCCATTCAAATGGTGTCAAAGCATTTCCATAACAACTCACCAACACACAAAGCACTCGACTCTGCCATCCCGTTTGACCAATGTTTTTCTGAAATCTCAATTTATTCAAAGTTTGAAATAAAATGCGAATACCGGTGGCAGATATGAGTGATGCATCCATTGCCCATTTCTCATTTTCCACCAATCCACCGACATTGTGATCGCCACCACCAAATAGAGCGCGGCAAGTAAACCATTCCATATCATTTCCTGAATGTTTTTTGTTTTGCATTAAATATCTATTGACTAGTTGAGTTTGGCTTTTGATCAGGCTTAATTCGAAAATTCGAAAATTCGAAAATCCTCCCCACCACAGTGAGCCAAGGCACCGCGTTGTTCGTGCGAACGACATCAAAGTAGTGAAGGGCCAATAAAACTGCGTTGCCGATCTGAAATCGATATTCATTGAGAATTAATCTTACTTTATTATAAGAAGAGAATATTGAGAAATTCTTGAGAAAAGAAATTCGTTGAGAATTAATTATAGTAAAGTTTGTGTGTCTGTCCATTCACAACTCATAACTCGAGTCGTAGTGGGAATCTCGGTCTGATTTTTTTCGGACAATATATAATCGACTAATAGCTTCGGACTGACAAACCAGAATTGAAAAATCTATAAAATAATGAACTGCGTTTAGCCGGGGATCAACTGCCGGTTTACATAATAAAGTAAAGAGATGGCAAAGAATGGCAAAGACTTGGCACCGACAGGGAATTGAACTCTCGACCTTCTGGTTACCGAACAGCTCTACCACTGAGCTATCGGCCTTTTGTTTGCCTGAGAAGAAATAGGAAAGACAAGGAAAGAACTCAAAGTTTTACTTTCGCTCACCATGGTGAAAATGGCGAGAACAAAAATGAAAGTATAAGGCCACCATTGCTGTCGACCATCGAGGAAGAAAAGTACGATTACAACAGCGCAAACCTTGAAAATATTTTTTTTTCAAGTTCATAATGTCTTTTTATAATATCTTATTTATATATCTAACTTTTTATTTAATCGTTAATCTTTAAACTTTAGGTTTTATAAAAGGAACTCACGATTTGCATCACTTTCAGAGTCGGGAGCGGGGTGCAAAACCAATTCGGCTGTCGAGCCATTTTCTGAAAGAAATTGTAAAATCTTTAACTGCAATATTCTAGATCGAATAAATCTTTAAATAAGACAAAAGATAGAAATTTCATTCAGTCAAGAAGACGGAATGTCGACAAAACAAAAAAAAAACGCTTTTATCACCATTTCAGTTTGGTAAACTATTGAAACAAAGGACTAGATTTGGCTTTATTCCTAACAGGATAAAGCATTGAGCTTCTACGCATTGAGCTTCTACGCATTGAGCTTCTACGCATTGAGCTTCTACGCATTGAGCTTCTACGCATTGAGCTTCTACGCATTGAGCTTCTACGCATTGAGCTTCTACGCATTGAGCTTTAAGTTAAAGCTCAATGTGTTAAATTAAAGCTCAATGCGTTAAGTTAAAGCTCAATACATTAAGTTAAAGCTCAATGCGTTAAGTGAAGTTTTATGGAATGCGGTCAGTGACGGTCTCTAGAGGATGAGAGGAAGAAAATCGAGTTATAAGAGTTGTGTGGGTTGATTTACCCAACGAGAGAAGACCTATCCCTTTTTTTTCTCTTTTCAATCCACTGGCATTCGGCCACAAACGACTCAGAGAAAAACATATCAACTGAATCTGGGGATCAGCTGCTCGCATTGCCCCGTTGAGTGCTGTAACAGGAGCCCTTTGGAGGGTATCGGAAGAAAAAGAAGCGTGCACATGTCACTGTCCATTCCGGAAAAAAACTTTTCCTTCATTTCTTAAGACTCATCTATCATTTCTCAAAGGTAACCACAAAAATAATATTTTCTAATGATTTGAAGGGATGCTTTATCATAATGCTATAGTAAAAGTGGACTTTAATTGATTTACTTACTCGCATACCGTAGTTGTAATGTACTACTGTAATTCTAACACTTCACAGTACTACTGTAGCATTGTACAAGCCACTTTCTTGTAATAATACTTTTCTTTGTTTGTAAGTACAAAATCCATAGCTTCAAGAAGTGACAAAGATAGATCTTCCCTCACTTTCCAATCAATCATTCAATCAACCCGTCTAACAAAAGTCTGAAAAAGTTTAGAACAGAGAGGAGCCAAATTTATTACTAATCTACAATTGTCAAATAGAAAACACGATTTAAAAGCAAGACTCGTCGTCACTCTCTTTGAAGATTCGATTGAGATCCTCATCTCATCAGTGGCCCGCACTCGATGAAACCATTGCGCCCGAGAAATGCAGCATTCTAATCTTAACTGAATACCGTAATCCAGCTAATCTAGACTGAATATCATAATCTAGACTGAATATCATAATCTAGACCAAATACCGTAATCTGGACTAAATGCGCATCGCCTCCAGCTCTTTCACCATCCTAAAAGCAATAGTTACAGTAGGAATTTCTACAGTAGTTTTTCACAGGAATTTGGAAAATAATTAAATTCTCTTCACTCAAAAGTACCTCTCTTCTGAAATGGTTCGTGCTTTTCCCGAGGCGATCACTTCCATCAAGCGACTTCCGATTGTAGTGGCTTCTTTCAAGTATTCTCCAAAAAATGGATCGTTTTGTTCGATGGCTTCAGTCGGTTAAAAAGATAAGACGAATTTCGAGCTTCCAAATACCGAGCACTCACCCATTTTCTACACCACGACATTCTGTACTCGGGAAGTATCAATCTGTTTGAGAATTCACTGTTTGAGAATTCGGTGATGATGGGAAATATTCGGAAATGATCTAAAGCTCGGAAAATGATCGGAAATGATCTCCACCGAAAAGAAACCTCTCGTCATCGAGTTTTTCTCCACCATTAAACGCAAAAGTTTGGAGAAATTTTGAAAAATTTTCTCTTTCCAATGATTGCAACGCAAGATATAGCCTGTAATTGATGATTTAAAAGGAAAAGCATAAATTTACCATAAATATTAGGATCAGATATGGCATGAATGTTGGAAGCTCGCTCGAAATGAGATCCACCTCGAACAGAGAGAATCACTCGAAATGATCGCTGGATTGGGAGACTAAACAAATAGTGTCATCAAATAGTGTCATCAAATAGTGTCATCACTTTACATCAAGGCTACAGGAATACAGACGATCCTACAGGACCACAATACCCAGTAAAACTAGCAGCATTCTACAGAGAGCTGTTGAAGTTAATGCTGCATTTTGTGCAAGTTTTCAGAGAGATTAAAGTAAAATCTTTGATTCATTGAAGAGAAAAACGAACGTGCGAATGAATTGATTGACATGATCGCGGACTTGACACGAGAGATCTAAAGTCTAAAAATCATTTCCAAAAAGAAAACAAACCCCATCAGTGGCTGGCACAATCGTCACCGCACCCATGCACTGATTCCGCACATACCGTAATCCGTCAAAAGATCTAAAGTTTAGAATCTCATTTGACAACGCTCACACTACCACCTCGGTACTTTGATTCGAACAGCACTGCGAATATAGTTGATCGTCATTGATCTCAAAATGATTTCTCAGAGAATACGAAAAATAAAGAAAGCTTACCGCTTTGAAATATAAACGAAATAAAGAAGCATTGTTTTTAAAAGGATCAAAAGGATCAAAAGGATCAAGAGGATCAAGTGGATCAAAAGGATCCAAAGGATCAAATGGATCAAATGGATCAAAAGGATCAAGAGGATCAAAAGGATCAAGAGGATCAAAAGGATCAAGAGGATCAAGAGGATCAAGAGGATCAAAAGGATCCTCCAAATGATCTAATATGTATACAAATTCTCTTCATTATATAAATTTTTCATTCAACAATGCAACAAATGCTTCAAATCCTTTCAGGATAAAGCAAGAAAGGTCTTTTTCAAAGAAAATCTATCTAACTTTTTATGCTTTATTGTACCATATCTTCTTTCTATTTCTATCTAGAATTGTTTCTTCTTTGAATCAAATTCTCGCTAACAACCAAAGTTCTTGTTTTTTTTTGTTTAAACCAAACTTTTCAAACAAGAAATTTCATTTTAAAAGAAATTCTCTGCAAAAATCATTTCACATTTCTGTTTTTTGATGCACTGCCCGACGATCAAAAGATACCGCCAATCACTTTACATTAGAGAAAATGAGGAGAAAAGGAGAAGCGTTTGCAATGGAGTTGAACGTTTCAGCAAAAAGGGTTCACCCCTTCCACCACCGTTCCCCCACAATCCTATCCAATTCATACCGCAACTCTATAAAAACAAATACACTTCCGGTTGCCTCAAGAGCTCTTGCTCTTGTCTCATAAACTTTTCTTCTTCTTTAAAGTGCTCATATCTGAAGCTTCTTTTGCGTCTACCCTTGAGCGGTATTTTGAAAATCGTTTCTCCCCTAGTTTCTCAGATAGAGAGAAAAAAAAGCGCAAACTTTGAAATATTGCGAATGGGGTTTGAGCGGAAGCCATTCTTTATATGGTGGATAGTGATGATAGCTGGATCGGAGTGGGAAGAGAAGATTTTTGTGGGGGGAGAAGGCGCAAAAATGATGGATGGAAAGGTCGTCGAGTCGACGATTCGGCTATTCTCTTCGGCTATCGATGTGATCGATGTGGTTCGAGATCCTGAGAAAACCGATAGTTTCAGTCTTACAGGTTTCTCAAATCACAATTGGTTTGTGGTCTAGAGACAGAGACGGAGACCAGGAAACGAGATGATGATGGCAAAAGAGTTGCATAGCTTTCGTGTACTTGACAATTCCCTTGTTGAATTCCATCCATTCCATTCTGTTAAAAATCTCTGATATTAATTGCTAAACTTTCTCTTTTAATCATTTTTGTCATTGAGTTAACTCCCTCTCTTGCAACCGAGGCCAACTACGTTATGGTGTAATGGTTAGCACAATTGCCTAAGAAGCGAAAGGTCGCGGGTTCGAGCCCCGGTGGCGCACCATTTTTTTTCGATCTGCTCTAGTCTTCAACTATTGAAGACTTGAAGACAAGTATTCCAGCGAGATCAACTGCGTTATGGTGTAATGGTTAGCAGAATTGCCTGGGAAGCGAAAGGTGGCGGGTTCGACCCCCGGCGGCGCATGATTTTTTGATCTGTTCTAGTTCAAACGATTGAAGACTTGAAGACAACTATTGCAGCGAGATCAACTGCGTTATGGTGTAATGGCTAGAACAGTTGCCTGGTAAAAGAAAGGTCGTGGGTTCGACCCCCGGCGGCGCATGATTTTTGATCTGCTCTAGTTTCAACTATTGAAGAAATCAGATAATTTATTCACATCTTTAAATATATATTGGCATATAAAATGCCGCTTGTCGTGGAAATAAGGCAAAAGATTAAAAGCAAAGAAAAAGCAATAGGGCAAAAGATTCAGAGAAATCAAATTTCAAGATTTGCGCGCACAAGAAAACGCAAATATCGTTGTTTTGTCGGAAACTTTTGCAAGAAGAAATGATTTTGAAGAGTTTTTAGGGGACAGAAGGGGAAACACCCGCATTTCAGGGACTTCATCTTTGATCTCTAAATAAAGCTGAAAAGAATAGAAAAGGAAAAGGAAAAAGACATATACAAAAGGTAAAGAATCCTTTACATACTTCGTTTACATGAAGATGGAAAAGACATATACAAAAGGCAACGAATCCTTTACATACTTCGTCTACATGAAGATCAATTGACACGTGAAACACACGATTTTTTTGGTAAAAAGAAGTGATTGCAATGAAACAAAATTGTACAAGCGAGAGCTGATTATCACAATATGTTGAAGAGAAATGAGAAAAGACTTGGAAAAGACGGGAAAAGACTTGGAAAAGAACTCTAATAGTCTCCAAAGTTGTTTTCATTGGAATGGGAATTCGTTGTGGTTGTGGTGGTTGTAGTCGTATTGTTGGTACCTTCACTTGGCATATAACAAAGACCCTAAAACTTGTTATTTAGAATCGTTAAGTGATTAAAATTCTTGTAAACTCTTGTAAATGCTTAATCTTTTACCTGATGACAAGCTGGAGCATGTGTTGGACACTCTGAGCATCGTTTTTTGTCTCCAGTCGCCCATTTGAATGCGGGAACCTATAGTCATAGTCAAGTGAATTTTTTGATAACAACACCCAGTCCCGTGTCTCGTGTTATTCATGCAATAAGCTCACACTCTAGTCTGCTTTGTGAATTTGGTCGTTTTTTTAGAAAAGCTCTAATGTTAATCGTCTTCTATAGACTTCTATAGACTTCTATAGACTTCTACAGACTTCTATAGACTTCTATAGACTTCTATAGAGTTCTATAGACTTCTATAGACTTCTATATACTTCTACAGACTTCTATAGACTTCTATAGACTTCTATAGACCATTATAGACTTCTTCTACTTGTTAATCTTCTGTTATGCGTGTTCGAGAACGGAAGTTTTGTGCCATCAATCTCTAGGTGGTGATTTCTACACACGAACCGCATAAAGCTGTCCATTTCCCGTCACGTATACCGTGTTGCCTTGTGGATTGTAGTGACAAACAAAAACATTGCGATGACCGCGTCCCCAAACTCCTTGCACGTCGCGACATCTCGCGAAACCACAGCCCACCAGTGATGTCTTTGCCCAAACAACCTAGAAATGTTCAAAGTTTTGTAACTGTTAAAGTTGTTGTTGTTTGAGTTGTTTCAGCTTCCCTTTTCAATCAACTAATCAATCAAAAGGTCATTACCATTTCTACTACTTTAAAAAAGAAAGGACAAAAAGGCATTAGTCTTTCTAATGAAACAGCCATCGGCAAGCTCAATTGGTGCTGTTGATTTTAAACGAAAGGAACAAAAAGACATTCACCAACTTAATAAATGGTGAATGAGGGGCAAAAAAGGAGTTCCCCCATTTGCCGATGGCTGAGAGGAGAGGATATCCCTCCGCCAACTGATGTGATTAGAGACTGGATGAAGCTGCCTCTTAGCCAGTCCAAATAAATGCCACTTGTGCCTTTCTTTTCATTCACCGGAAGCATCTCTACCCATCAAATACAAAGGTTTCTCCTTTTCTTTTCAAAGAAATCACTTTCCCACACTTCATCAAAAGTTAAAAGAAAAACAAAAAGGTTGGGATCGGTTTTTTTAAAAAAATTCGCTCAAATCTCCAAATCTCCGATTCTCCAATTCTCCAAAAATCTCATTTATCAGCGTTCATTCTATCAACGATTTTTGATCACGCGACAAGTCGAAAAAAATAAAATAAAAGAAAATCCTAAGCAACAATGAGCCGTCACCAAGCCGTTGTTTATGAGAGCCGGATATCGGGATGACCCTTCCCCGTTTTTCTTTCTCCCCAACCCATTACCCAGTTCAAAACCCTGATCGAAAAAAAAGGAAGATTCTTTGCGGCGGGAACGGTGCAAATGGAAAGAAAAGCGATGAATGGATGACTGACACCGCATAACCGCTATCTATGCGACAATGATTTGCGAATGGGGAAAGAGAGACAGAGAAAAAACGGGCTCGCAAAAATCACCAAAAACCCTTGCCTTTCTGCTCGCAACTTCTATTACCTCTCTGTTGAGAAATGTCATAGATTTATGTTAAAGAAATGAAATTGCAGGCATCTTCAATGTCTTCTTTGAAAAACTACCTGAATATAGTGTCCACAACAATGTTTGTAAGCGTGATTGCATCCACACCACGGATTGTGAACCTAGAAAGCCAGATGTTTTTCCGGAAAAACTGAACCTGAAAAATTTAGGGCAATAAGAAGAAGAAGAAGAAGAAGAAAGGAAAGAAAGAAAGAAAGAAAGAAAGGAATCACATTTGACTATGCGGTGAAATCAAAGTATTTCCGGTTTTCTTTCACCACCATCAGTTCAAGGTCGACATTTAGTCCTTTTTTTGTTTTTTATTGACCATACGTCTAGTTAGGTAACTACCGTATTTTCTCTAATAGTAGTGCATCCAAAGCTTCACCTAAATTCCTCAAAATCTCGAGAACCGCTTATCAGAACCTATCGATGTGGGGTCGGAAAATGTAGCTGACGATGAGATCTTGTCAGGGATTTGAGTGTTGAGCTTCTGCAAAAGCTTTGAAAGCCGTAAAATAGTCACCAGCTCGGCTCGCCCGGGTGCACTATTATTAGAGAAAATACGGTATGTATCTTTTTTTACAAAACGACTAAACTTAATAGCACTTTTTTTTGCGATAAAAACGAACTACTCGCGTTAGCTAGTCCGATATTTTTCCCCCTCAAATCAACACAATAAAAAAAACCTCATTAAACCAGATCGAGATGGCGTCCGAGTAGTTGGCGTAAGGAGCTGCCCAAATGTTTTCACCGACATTCACTCGACCGCGTGAGTGACGAAAATCGCATGTATCCGCGTGGCTAGAAGTTGTGGTTGAAGTAAAACTCTATGTTTTACCGTTGTGCTGAAGCTGCAAGCTCTTCTGACCAATAAAGCATATTCATATCAGTGGCTGGAACCTGAAAAATTTGACTTTTTTTTTCCTTTCCTTTCAATCAATTAGATTCAAAGAGCTTTTTTGCACTTCCGGACAATCGCCGGCTAAAAGACCTTGGGATTTCGGCTAATTCTTTACCCCAACCTTTCCCCCAAAAAATCATCGTGTATCTTTTCAAGTTTGGAAAAGAAACTTTTCGCTCACTCACCATTCGTCGATAGCGATTGTGCTCATAAGTGATCCATTTCTTTAAGTAATTGCTTGGTGGTTCTCGTCTCACGAGAAGCCCACCACCCATACTCCACTCGTTGTTGTACCACGAATTGTATCGATAGTTGTAAGCTCGTTTCTGTCGAAAATGCTCTTCATCGCTCGTCGGCAAACCATTCTCGTTCTAGAGAAATAACTTTGTTGCTTTAGATCGAAAAAAGATTTCAACCAAATCATCAGTGACTTCAGTAGGGCCGGAATGCGAAGTCTCAGCTTGACCGAAAAGATGGGGTATTCCGGCGGTGAATGCAAACGGAAGAAATGCACAAAGAATGACCATAAGGCCGTGGGGGACCCGAAGTAGAGCCATTACAAAAGATCTAAAGATATTTGAGTTGTTTTGTAATTGAAAGAAAAGCATAAAGAGCATGCTGTTAGTGGATAGAAAAGAAATGAAAAGAGTTGAACGAAAAAAAAAGCAGCCAATTCTTACCAGCTATATCACGAGATTGAGAAATGCTTTGAGAAGCCCAAAAAAATTCTACAGTCTATAGAAAAGAGTTACTTTTTATGCAACAGCTTTTAAAGTGATAATCGAGTAAGCTGGGAAAGGGAGCAAAGAGCGCGAAACGCCTGAAGATATATAGGGAGTGGACCACGCCCCCGGCATGGATCGCTCTCCACCCTCGTTCTCTCCAAACAGCTCTCCCCAAACAGCTCACCTCTCTATCCACCCTTTTGACAAAAAGACAAAAAGAGACCAAGTCTTAAAAGAAACTTTCCTCCGTCTTTTCTAAGAACATCAACACGAAACTCATACTATCATCGCCGCCCACTGCCCTCCAACCGCCTTGAGACACCCTGGCGCCTACCGTAATTTCCCGTAGTTTCTCTTTTCAAAAAAATGATGAGAGACAAATTTTTTGCTGAGTATCAGTAATAAATCAGTAAGGTTTCGTAAAACGCCACGTTTCCGGTCTACATCAGTCAGTTTTAGAGAAATTATGCGTTTATAGATGAAAAGGATGCCGATAGGGGGAGCGGGTTTATGAGCTCGCGGCTAGGATTCTTCAAATTTCGATCATTCCACCGATTTCGAAAGTCGACTAGATTGAAAGACTAGAAAAAGACGAAACCGACTACGGTCTTGGATTTTCAAACAACGGTTGCTAATTATGTGCTCTTTCTCCAAGTTTCACTCAATCCATCCCTCTTGAGGCCGAGTGCGCATAATAGTCACACTCATCGCCTTTTTTTTGTGCGTGAGTTTGGAACAAAAAAAAACGTCAAAGCTCAAAAATTTCATAATCTACTAGTCTAGATTTTAATCTAGCTCTAGATCCAGTTCCTTGATTCGCATTCTATTGTTCTAAAAACTATGGTTAGAGTACAATCTATTGGGTTGGTGAATTGAAAACTGCCGGACTTTGAACTAAAATTTATTCAACATAAAACCATAAATTCATTCCATATAATTTCCATTATTATTGACGACTTCTGCCCATTTTACAGGCAATTTGCGGATTCCTCTTTCGGATTTTGGATTCTAGTAGGATTTTGGTTTGTGTGTGAGACAAGTGTGAGACTCAAAAATGGAGGACTGGAGATGTCGAGATGTCCCAGTTTGAGCACTTGCTTCAAAAGAAACCCATTTTGGTGTCATTAGAAAAGTTGTAGAGAATCAAAAATTAGGCTTATAGCCAAATTTCCAAAAAGATATATTTAGTATTTTCGCTTAAAATGCAAGTTTTGTGAAAATTCGTAAATTTTGCATTTCTTGAAAACCAGTTTTTGAATCGCTCTGAAAATTTGGATATAATCTTGATTTTTGATTCTCTACAACTTTTCCATTGACACCAAAATGGGTTTCTTTTGAAGAAAGTGCTCAAACTGTCACATATGACAATAGCCGGCAGTTTTCAATTCACCAACCCAGTACATGATCTCTTGTAGTAAACTTTCTCACAACAACGCCGCCTTATCATCGATTTAGTGGAATGCTTTAAAATTTTTAAAAGCATTCATCCCGACCCCCTTTTTTCTGTTTTCTCTTTGAATTCGGCTCTCTACGGAGCGCCTCCAGAAGGGGATTTTCTCATACGCATTTTCAATTCACCAACCCAATACAATACTCTTCAAATACTCTTCAAACTCCATCAACCAAAAGAACTTTGTGGGTGGATCGATTTGCATTTCAATGGCGCCTTTTTTTTCTTGGCTCAATTTCAAGATAACACATAAAACTCTCTGTAAAGATGTTTCAGAAAAAAGGTTGGTTCACTTTTTTTCACTCAATGAGTCATGTGGGCGGAAGTTATCCATTGAAAAACGATTTTTCAGGAAAAAACGAAACAAATTGCATCGAATGGTTGAAATGAGCAGACTGCGAGGAGCCGAAACAAGAAAAAACAATCATCGTCTAAGGGAAAAAATGATTCATCCATTCATTTCATCAAATCTATCAGATCGTCTATCTGATCTTAATCTCTGAAATCTAATGAAAAAGCTCTTGATACAATAGAATTGATGTAGAGACTGACAAAAAAATCAATTCCATTTCAATTTCAATTTCCATTTCCATTTCCATTTCCATTTCCTTTCCCTAGCTGAGTGAAGCGGTCAAACACACCGAACTTGACGAACAAAGATTGATTGAGGTCGAGAAATATTTCAAAGTCAAAAGTAAATCAAAAAACTTTTTGCGTCACGTGCCTTTTCCCGCTCATCAAAAAGCTCAAAAAGCTCTTTCTTCATTTCTTCGTAAAAAGTCTAAAACTTTTTCACTGCTGTACTGTCCACATTTTCAGTTTTTCGCATTTTCTTCTGCTCATCAAATACACAAAAAAAACCTGACTTCCGGTGCGATGATGAGAAAATTTGAGGTGAATGAGTGAGAGTGATGGGAAAAAGACTGCTGGTAAACGATGGGTAAAACAAGATTCATTCATGGGGAAATTCAGAGCGTTTTACTTTAAATTTTACATTTGAAAGCACGTCAAACTATGAAAAATTAGGGTAAAACTAAAATTTATCGCAAATTTTCCATTATACTTTTTGGGTTTGTTCTTTTGAATAAAAGACAACGCTTAAACAACAAGAATGTTAAAACTTTGCTCATGAGTCATTCGGGAAATCGAGGAAAACTTTGATAGTGCTTCTTGGGGATTTCAGAGCGTTTTACTTTAAATTTTCTTTTGAATAAACAACAACGCTTGCTTTCAGAATGTTAAAACTTTGCTCATGAGTCATTTGGGAAATCGAGGAAAACTTTGATAGTGCCACTCTCTCGGCAACAAAATAGATTGAGAGGTATCGGAATTTTTTTTAAGCATGTGGAATGATAAGCCAAAAATAGGCCTTCTTTCTCCACAAATTTTCTTGCACTCAAAAAAAGTCTTCTTGAATTAAACGTCGGTTGAAAGAGGCTTATTTTCACTAAAGGTTTTCAATATTATTGATGATTTCTGAAGTATTCCGCTCAGTGCGTAAGCAAACGAAGAAGTTGGTGGGACAATTGGCGAATGGAGCTGAAGACGAAGAGAAGATAGTCAAGGAAAGCAACAATAAGAAACAATTGTCATTTAAAAACAAGATTTCACCACAATTCAATGATCACGAGGTGAGTGTCATAATCGATAAGTTTTTAAAGAACTTAGACGTGACAATCTCGCAAAAATTGATTGACCAAAGGGCATTCGAGAGATAAAGAGTTTAGGAGCCACAATCACGAACCCATCCAAGTCTCGCGTGTTTTCCAAGTTGCTTTAAAAGCAATGATAAGGTAGATTTTAACTAAAGCTAATGAAAAAGAACAAATTATAGAATGAAGATCAAGAAGCCTTTCTAAACCAGGACACATCTGATAATTTGGATGTTCCTGAAATCACTCGAAAGTGTTCCAAACGTTTAGCTTCAATGTGAGTGTTGTGAGTCGCATTTTCCGTTAAGAAAAATATATTTTAATCAAGGCACAATTTTAGTTATCCCACTTGCGATGATGACGAGCAAAAATCTAAGAAACCAAAGCTTCTCAATAAGAGAGACCAAATTGTTCGACCAAAAGAAACTCAACCGAAGAAAAAAGTTTTTTACAAAGCAACAATCTTAATCAGACTTGAAATTAGCTCTTCACAAAAGGCCCGGCTGTGACTCCTCGTTTAAACCTGACACGACAAAGGAATGCAAACGTAAAAAAATACCCTGCATCCGAATTTTTGAAAGGTTTTTGATTTGTTACAATGTCGCTAATAAAGATCTCAAATTAAGTGTGGACTTTTGCTCATTCGTTACAAATCTTTATCATTCAGAAAATATACACTATGAAGTTCCATAACAAAAATACTACAAAGTAAAAAACTAAATACCTCAAAAATATTGGAGGTGGAAATAAATTGCTCTTTAAACGATCGAACAGTTATTTAGTCGCCTAATCGGTCGTCTAGTGGCCGCCAACTTCGACATCTCCAGGCTAAAGTGGATCATTTACATAGTAAATATAATGTAAAGTAACGTCTGAAAATTTGCGACGTAAAAGCTTGCTGCAAGCTAGCAAATTAGTTAGAAAAATTATGCGTAGACGACTTAGTATTTCACGAACTCAAACCGGACCAAACCACTAACCTTCTTGAGGGGGTTGTATTTCTTGAAGTACTCCTTGTCTTGAACCTTCTGCCGAATACCATACCAGTGCTCAACCTAAAGATAAACTATTAATTGAAGTTATGAAATTGTAATTTAATTCAGGTTTAACTTTGTAACACTGCAAAAACAAATTATTTTTAAAAAACACAAGCACAATACCTCGTGGTGATGGTGATCCTCCTTGCCTTTGGTGTAAGCGACACGATGGCGAGGTTGAACTAAAGTTGATGTTAATACAGTCGTTCTTACCAAGCTTACACATAAAATCAAAAACTAACTTGGAAGCAAGAACTTGTAGATTCCATACACGATGATACCCGAGTAGATGTAGAAGCGGAAAATTGGAATGTACTTCCAATTGTATCGCCAAGACCACATTCGCAACTAAATTAAAACAAAACATAATGTCATCATTGATTATAAAATATTAACGAAGAAATGATCGTTTATTTTGAGCTCATATCCTGATCGCCGCTTAACATGACCATAGAATGAAACCTTGTTAGTAAAAGACAGAAAAAATTATGATAAATTGGTTAGTTATGGGAGTTTGTTTATTATCCAGGTTTAAACAGTGCGTTTTTATGCTTTTTATGCTAGAAAGCTAAGCCCATTACTAGCGAGGTTCGTTTGTACGCGAGAAAGCTAAAACTATTTACTGGCTAGGTTCACTACCGAGATTTTATTTCACGAGAGCTTCACTTCGTTTATCACTTGATAATCTTATCAAAACGACCACGTAGTAAGATAAATATTAATAGAACACTCACATATTCCTGCGCAGTCCATGGACGAGCCATCATGCGTGGGTGCAAGTCGGTTTTTGGGACCGGGGCATTTGGGCTGATCAACACCTTGATCGCTCCCTAAAAGCAAAATTATTAATTCTTTACACAAAAACAAAGACATGGTTAGGCAATTGAATCATTCGGAAGTTTATATACCAGTTATACTTAAAAGTTGCTCCTTGAAATTCTTTCCAAACAATATAGCTTTCAGGTCGAATAATTTTAACACAAGAGACTTGTGTGATAAAATAAAAAATGTTACTTATTTATCAAAAGAAGCTTGCTTTGAAGCAAAAGAAAACTGAATAGAAAACTGAGTCCATGAATAGTTCCCTCGAGCCAACCTTACATCGAATCAATAAACCAGATAATTATTTTTACCTTAACCGTCTCGGCAGTCCAGCAAGCTGCGTCGAATGCTTGTTTGACGACCATGGCTTTACCTAAAGTTATTAGATAAAATTAAACTTGGTAAATAAAGAAAAAGTAGAGAAAAGAGCTATTTATTCGAGCCATTACGAATCAAATATGTGTATTTGCTGGATACATGTATTGTTTGGGACGTAAACACAAAGTTTTTAAGAGACTCGACGTAAATTTAGTCGATTGGGCGTAATAGAAATTAAATACAGCAAGTGGGTGCTCAAAAAGTTTATTCCAAGAAAAATTCAACTGACGGCGCCGCTCACATAAAGACGACAACCTAAGAATGAAGGCAAACGTTTCTTGTATGCGCGCGTAGGCAACCTTTTGACTTTGGGTGGTCTCGATTTTAGCATTGAAAGTTTAGAGCAAGCACAGAGATTCAGAAAAGAAACATTCAAATAAATGTTGATTTAGCTTATTGAAGCGATATAAAAATATCATTTAGCTGTTTTAAATTGTGAAAATGGCGTGGCGAGAATTTCTTAACGAGAAAAAAGCGACAAAAAATAAATGCTAATTTAAGTGCGTTCAAATGCGTTCAAATGCAAATTACAATGAATTGACTGTACAAATCGTGTCACCAAGAGAAGTTCGACTTTTCGCTCAATTTATTACTTGTCTTTCTATCGTGCATTCAAACTTCAAATTGTAAAAAGATATTACGAACAGAGTCGGTAGCTCTTCTGGTAGGACAACGGGAATTTCTTCTTGTCCGATGGGGATTGATGGATTGACTGATGGCTGGATAAAGGTGGATAAATGATCAATTAATCCCTTCTTATTTCTTTTTGCTTGGAGCTTTGCCGGCTTGTGGTGGCGCGTTTCTCGTTGGAGTCACCGGTCGACTTTGTTGGTTGGCGACTCCAAGCTCTTCTGGGAGGACAACGGGAATTTCTTCTTGTCCGCTAGCTTCAGAATCTGCAAGGAAAGGCATTGACACTTGTTTATGATAGTTCTAACCTTTATTTACATTCTTATTTTATGAACTATTAGACTGCCCAGAAAGTCTTTTCATTCCTTTTCGTAGTTCCGTTTAAAACCAACAAATGCATCAATTGAACTATGGTTTGTTTCATTAGAAAGGCCAATTATTTTTCTGAAAAAATAACACTAAAACGGTTTTAAAATGTCTTATGTCTAGATTTTTTGGGAGCGTAAAGTCAGGTAGTCAAAAAAAGGCGACGGCTCGATGATGATGATGCGGTTTAGACACTTTAGCTAAGGAAACCCATCTGTGTGTCTAGAGAAAAAAGATAGAGCACAAAAAGTTTTGTATATAGTCAAATTTCCAGAGAAATTCATTCGGCCAATTTCTTCGTAGAGATTTTTATAGATTTTTGCGAAAAACCACGTTTTCACCCTCGAATTTGCTTTCAAGTGAACCGAAATTGACTTTAAAAGATGAGAAATTCAACAGTTATTCAACAATTTTATTTAGAGCAAAACATAGGTTAATTGGTGAATGGGGGGAATTGAGGAAGGGAGGGCAAATTGTGCTGTTGACTTTAAAGCTCTTTATTCGAACACTTACAAGACAAGGCACAGTAGTAAACAAAAACTAAATAAGGCCTCGAATAGACACAACAGAGTACGATGACAAGCTCTATAGAGCAGACAACGATAGTAAAAGAAGAAGCAAGTTAGGCAGCTGCAAAAGCTTAGCGTAAAGTTTTTTTAGATCTGCTGTCATAACCGGTTGCCACTTGTCGACCCTTGTCCTTGTTGTGGTTGTTGGTCGGTTGATTGATTATTAAATTGGGCCCGTGTCGGCAAGATCACTTCAATTCGAGGAATATTTGGTCCATTTTGACCGCTCTCGATCGATGCGGCCCATGTTGGGATTGACACCTCAAGCGGATGTCCTAAACCGATAGGGTTGCCATTGATGAGCTGGATTGGGTTGTTGTTGGAGTCCATTTATGAGAAGGAGTACGATAGGCTAGCTAGCCAACTGGATTCAGAAAACCCATCTCTAGCTATTCTTTATACTCCAGCTATTCTTTTTTGATATTCGAAATTCGGCTAGATTTTGCAATCCTTATATAATTTTATTTCTTTTCGAAAGATTTTGATGCTCGTCGAATCGTCGATGATCTTTTTCCCCTCTCACCTCTCTTACCTCTCTTATCTTCGAATATTCCAAAAAGAAAAATAAAGCTGTGAGACAAAAAGCTCAGCCTGGAAGTCCGCTTTATACTTATGCAAAAAAATGAATCATGAGTGTACCAAAAGCTTACAGAAGACAAGAATATTAGTCAGATTGTTCGATTTTCTGCAGATCAAAGAGTTTGATGTTGATCTTTGGGTAAATGGTGCTTTTGAATCTCTACATTCTTTCTTTGAATCAACGATTTAACCGTGTCGTCTATCGTTTTGATCAACTTAATCAACTCACGGTCACTTTTATTAGAATCTACATGAAATTTGATGGAAGAAATACAGAATTTGTTTTGTAGACTTATCAATAAAAACATAGAGAAAATTAGGGTCAAAGTCGAGATAAGTGTCTACCCCTCCCTAGAGAATTCCCTGATTTTATTGGGGTATCGTCATGATACCCCAATAAATTTATAGGGGTATAGTCATTTTGAAACTCTTAGACACTGAAAAGCTTTCAGCTTTGAAAATATTCACATAAAGGCAAACTTTTTGAGACTAACTTCTAACCGATTCCGATTCTCGTGCAAATGTTAATTTTTAAATGATTCAAAAAAAAAAATTCAAGTAATAGTAGATAATTTTTTGATTCTTAAAAAATATCACTTTTGAATAAAATATTTAACAAGATACGGAACGAATACGGATACGGAAAAAGCAATTGAATGAAATGGTTGGGGTGAAAGGCAATTGAATGAAATGGTTGAGCTAAAAGGCAATTGAATGAAATGGTTGGAAAGGCAATTGAATGAAATGGTTGGGCTGAAAATAATGAGCAATCGTTGTTTCTCAAAGTCAAAAGGAGAGTTTATAAACAAAATGAAAAATGTGATCAATCAGTGAAAAATGGAAACAACACTTTAGCTGCTTTAGCTTTAGATCACAAAAAGGCTTTGATTAATTCTCAAAACAGTAACTCTGTTGTTGATGATGAAAGCGACTTGATGAGCGATAGATTTAGCCGAAATTTTGCATTTTAGTGATGATGAATAATGATGCTTGATTTTTTGTTGAGGATTGTTTACTTTTTGAGTATTAATTTTGAGATTTTTCTTTAATATAACGATTTTAGTTTGAGATTATTTGTTTATAGCTTGTTTTTTTTTGGCTATTTTTTATCTAGTTGGTCTAGATTCGATCTCACAACTGTTGCTGCAAGATCACGGATTGGACATCTATGAAAATCAGCGATCACGACTAATTGATCAAAAAATCAATTAGCCAATTTGTTTCTGCTTTGAAAATTTGGGTTTAGTCTGTCCGATGCATCAGCCTTTCGGCGTCTTGATCTCAAGATTCTATACTCTCGTTCTCGGACAAATCCATATGTATAGAGGAAGATAGTGACTGTTATCTGGCGGCGATATCTCTCGCTCCCTCCCGTCCATTTGTGAGAGCAAGACCGGGAGAAGACGGGGCTCTCCCCCCCACTTTGCCTGTACTCTCTTTTCCCCTCCGGCCAAGGTCGATCTATCCACCCTACACGCGCCACAACGAGCCGCATGCAGCCTTCACCCACACAACAACACCAAACCATTTCATACATCTTTTGATTGTTTATAATCTTGACAGATTTTTAGATTTTTAGATTTTTAGATTTTTTCTGAACTTTCTAGTCTTATTTTCGTCTTTTCTAAACCACTCAATGAAAAGCGATTCTGATAGTTCTAACCTTTGTTTACATTGTTATTTTAAGCTGTTCAGAAAGTTTTTTCATTCCTTTTCGTACTTCCGTTTAAAATCAACAAATACACCAATTAAACTACGGTTTGTTTCATTAGAAAGGCCAATTATTTTTCTGAAAAATAACATTTTTCGCTCATCCCTGAAAGTTTCTGAAAGTTACCTTTTCATTCAAACTAGTCTTTTTGGTGAGCACTTTTCTGGAATGAGAAAATTTGAGGGAAAAGGAGAAGGACTGTGCCACCACTTAGCCACTCTCCTCACTTATACACAAATACAAAGCCGTTGCCCAAGTGCGACTCGTTTCTCTCGAATTTACGGATTTTCCTTCATCGTTTGACCATTTTGAACAAATCCATTGCCATTGCCGATTTTCTTGAAAGTTTTAAAGATTTTCGAAACACATTGTTGCTTGACATTGATCAAAGACATTGATCTCAACTTTTTTCAACTTTTTTTCAACTAAACTTAATTTTCTCAATCGTTACCCTGAAATAGATAAATATAAGAAGAAAACAAGCGATTGATTTGAGCAATAGATTCTCGGGAATCCGGTTTTGACCCCATCCCTCCGTCGCGACTCTTGTATTTTTGTTTTCCTCTATCTCCCCTATACGTTCACTTTACTCGGCTCACAAAAAAAAAAGCCATCGATCGAAACGAGAGCAAAAATCTGTCAACTAAAAGAGGATTTCTCACCCACTTGAACGTTTTTTTTCTGTTTTATTTTCTCCATCATTTCATAAAGCATAGGAATGCATAGGTTAACTGAAAAGGGAAAGAGAAAAGAAAGAGGATGAGAGATCGTAAGAGACGACACTGACCTGACATACTAATCGCCGGCTCGGATTCCATTCACCTCTCTTATCTCTATCATTCCTTTTTTTTTCCGTCATCGTTTGTGATTTCATATTTGGGGCATCTCCCCTATCCAACTTTTCCCTTTTCAGCCTTTTTTCATGGTGATCATAACGTTCTTAAAATCTTGCAATCAATATTTAAATCTTATATTACTTTGGTTTTGTTTGATTGATGATTCCTCTTCTCTTTCCCTCATTCTTGACAGCTCTAATCTAATCTAATCCCTAAGCAAAATCACTTTTAGAGATGGTTGTGCCTCTTTGTAGATGTCGAGTACTGTATATCGGATCAGCAGTGCCTATAGTCACTAAAGATGGTTTACAAGGAATTCAGCAACCACTTCGTGAACGATATCCCGTTGAAGAAGTCACCGACACTAAGGGAATCGATAGCTGGTTTGAGAAAAAAGGGAAAACAATATCGATTTCAAATATCCATTTCAGGTTATCTGTTTGGTCAAATGGAATCCTTCTCGAATATATTGAAGGAGAGCAAAAGAGTGAAACAGCCTTTTTCCCAATCAACACTCTTCACTATTGTGCCGCTGTTCGCTACGTGAATGTCACTGGATATGCGATTGAAGGCGGAGGAGAGAAGTGAGTCTTCCAAATTTTCCAAATCTTCCCAATCTTCCAAATCTTTCTCTCTAATCAAAATTCAGATTTCTTCCTTTGGATTCACCATTTGCCAACTTGCCCGATTCCCCACATCCTCCAATCTTTGCGGCGATTTTTCGCCGAACTACTGGAGTCAAAGTATTGAAGTTTTAAAAGTCTAAAAGCAAGATTGTTTTAGGTTCTCGAATGCCATGGTTTTATCTGCACAAACAATCGTGCCGCCAATGCACTCGTTCGATGTTGTTTTCATGCATATGCTGACTCTATCTATTTAAAGGTAATCTTTAGCATTGCTATTAATAAAATCAGCATTGCTATTAATAAAGAAGTCATAAAATCAGCAATTAAATTTCCGGATATTAACTCAACCTTTCTAGATAGATGATAAGATTCCTGGATTGAAAGCAATCAAAGGTGGGGAAGATGAAAGAGGTCTTTCGTCACCTCAGCCACCACCTCGTTCTCCATCACCACCAAATTTAGATGATCCTGAAGAACTTGATGGTAGATCTGTGGCTTTACAATAAATATTTAGCTTTTAGGTCGAAAATTAACCACATTAGCTGGATGGGAACGTCGACAACAAAACGGAGACTATGATTCAGTCTCAATGTCTTCCACTTTAGGTCGTACCCCAATGGCAAAGAAAGCAGCGAGTGAAAGCGGTTTGTTCTTATGATTTCATCTCATTTCAAAAACAGAAGATATTACTTCAAAGAAATTTTGCCTAAATCTCGAGAACTCTGATTAATCTCTATATGCGATCTTATCAAAGAAAGAACGTAATGAATGAACAGCAAAAGGCTAGGAATAAAGAGCCAATAAGGGTGTGTCAAGGTCGAAAAAATGAACACGAAAATTTGCTATAGTTTGTAAATTATAAATAACAATAGATTTACAAGAATTTTAAGGTACGGCCGCTCGTCATGCAATTGTACCATATGGAGCACACCGAAGAGCTGGATCTGAAACCGATCTCTATGGGTTTGTTTAGAAACAAGATTCTTTTCGCAAATCGGGGTCTTTTCAAAAGCTTCAAAACCCAAAGCAAAAATACAGCTAAATTTGAGGGACAAATTGTTCCCAAGGGTTTGCAGGTAGGGACGCTTAACACGTTGACGACATTGTCACCTGATGCTGTCTGACACATATTCGTTCGCCTGGGACATTGTCACCTGATGTCAGGTGACATTTTTTGTCGAAAAAAACAACGTTGTCCCATGCGATTGTTTGTGCAAAAACCCCATTGTCGTCAACGTGTTAAAATGGAGTGCCCGGCTAAGTCGCTCCCCGCTCCCTTCCCTTTACGATTTCCAAAGGGCAACCACCCCATGCCCAGGCCGTTTGCCAGGTGAAGAGCGATTACACGGCCGCACAATGAACATCTTGTCATTTACACAGGGATTTCTTTTGGCCTATAGATAATTTTCAACTAAGATTTAGTGTTAGAAAATTGTGCTCCGGAGTTTTCAGGGTCGTAGAATCTATTCGAAGTTTATTTTAACTCTTTGTCTCAAGAAAAGTCTCAAGAAAATCGAATCGGCTTTGAGTTTTGGAAATGAAAGCAAAATGAAAAGAACCGGAAAGAATTATTGATAAGCTGCCACTAATAGCTACTCAAATCTAGCAAAATCTAATCTAATTAATAACGAAATTCAAATCTACACAAATCTTTAGCCCTGTTTCCCCGGCAATGGCAAGAATGGGGCCTCCACCACCACCACATATGCGCGGTTTCCCTCCTCATCCGTTTATGCCACCATTTTTCCCTCCACCATTCATGATGCCAGGTTTATTAAAAGATATACAATTGTTAAATTCTGTTATATATTATTATATTATTACTATTATTATAATCAGATCTATTGAAATTGTTAGTAATTGTATTAGGAATGAAGCCGCCACCACCTCCACCACCTCATCTGAGACATCCACCGCCTTTCATGCCACCATTCGGTCGGTTTTCAACTGTAACATACTACGACAAGAATAGATTTTGCTCTATTAAAGCTTATGAAAACGTTTAACATCTAAATACTTTGATTTCAAAGTATTGTACAGAAATTTGAAAGAAATTTGTTAGGAATGCCTCCACCACCACCAGGTGCTTATGAAAACGTACTTTGATACTTTGATTTCAAAGTACTGTACAGAAATTTGAAAGAAATTTGTTAGGAATGCCTCCACCACCACCAGGTGCCCGTCTTCCTCCACCACCACCTTTTCGAGGATTTCCCCCACATCCATTCCTTCAAAATCCATTCTTCCCACCTCCTCCACCACATTTTTTCCATTCATACAGGTGTTCATTTCAGAAACAATTAACAAACAAACAAACAATCCAGGCCACAAAGCCCAATCGCTGAAGCTGGAACCGGTCCAATAATCACATCTGCTGACAGCATGTATGGAACCATTCCTAGGTTTGTAAAGAACAAACGGAACAAGCTTTCAAATAATAAAAGATTTTTTAGAGGTCGAGCTTTCGAGGAACCAGCTTATGTTAGTGAAATGTCAGGGATCCCAGAAGTAAGTTTCTCTAAAGATCTCAATTCAGCACATAGTGAAGAAAACAAAAGCACATTGAAAGCAACTTTTCATCACGAAATTGTTAGGCAAGCTATGCTCCACACGGATATCGTCAGCACTACGAAAGCATGGATACACTACGTAGAGGAGCCCCTCGAAAGGTGTGCACATTTACACAACAAAAATTCTTTTAAAAGAAACCAATTTCACTAAAGCATGTCAAATCTTTTTATAATACTATTCACCAATTTAATAAAACTAAACTAATCTAATAAAACTTATCAACTTAATAAGTTTAATATTCTTCAACCTAATAAATCTTTTGTAGGGACCAGGCTCATCAGCTGCATCGGTACGAGGCGAGACTTCGTCAGCTGCTGCTTGGGATGCTTATGAGGCTGGGATCTATCGAAGACCGCATTTAAATGAAAAGGTAGATTTCATAGTTTTTTTAAAATGCTAATTAGATATGTTTGTTTTTTGTTTTGTTTATTTGTTTGTTAGAAATTAAATGCAAACATTTGTTAAGGCTTTCTCGGGAACGTTGAGATCAGAACGAGAACGAGAGTCGCAAACGATCGAGAGTGAGATTCGAGAGGTGAGTTGAAATATTCAAAAAATTCAGAAGTCAAAGTAGAAAATCTAAAAGCTATATTTAAGGCTATATTGAAAGCTATATTTAAAGCTATATTTAAAGCTATATTTAAAGCTATATTGAAAAGCTTCATCTAAAAGTTTTATCTAAAAGCGAGAAATTTCAAATCTAGACCCGTCCCGACACGCCACCCGTCGACTATGAGGCTTTTGAAGGATTGCACATCTCCGAGAAATCGAAAAACAATGCCCATCAACGCTCGGCTGTTTATTAAGCTATACTGGCTTTTAAAATCTATAAAGATTATAAAGATTACACTTATTTACCCAACTTTATTGAATTAAACTTTTCCTTTTCCTAGATTTCCCCTGATAACTTTGGTGCTATTTATTGTTTTGTATACTTTTTTGTATCTTTTGTATTTTTCTTTTGTATTCATCAAGAGTTTTCACATGCAGAAGCTAGAAATTTGATTTGAGAAAAAACATAGTGTCGGCTTTTTTTTCTGTGATACTGCCATTTTAAATATTTCGCGGATCAAGTTTAAATTTCGATAATAAAGGCTTACAAATATGCGTCAAAAAGGTTACAGTACCCAGTTGTGAAAATTTGAAAACAAAAATCTAGGTAAGAAACTGTTTTTTTTTAAAGATCTAGCTAAAGTTTGTTTTGATCAATTGCTAAACAAGATAACTCTATTGTCTTTATTTTCTGATACATTTCGGTTAGCCAGACAACCGTGTGGCTAAAGAATTTGAATCTAAAAACTAATTAGCATATAGCTTTCAAAATTTACATTTAAATTTTTGAGTACTTGAAGAAGAAAGGACTCTTGTGTCTGTCTGTCTGTCTGTCTGTCTGCCTATCTGCCTGCCTGTCTGCCTGTCTGTCTTTCTGTCTGTCTGTCTGTCTGTGTGTCTGTCTGTCTGTCTGCCTGTCTGTCTGTCTGTCTTTCTGTCTGTCAGCATAATCCACCAAAAATCCATTGTTGAGGTAAAACTCGACTAGCATTCTATCGTTTCGAAAACAACGACTCGTTAATTTTGACAATGAGAACTGGGCCTCCAATAAGCTTTGTGGTGGGCTTGTTTTGGCAAATTGCTCTCATGTAAGCGTTCTAGTCAACTGTCGTTGAATAATCAACCCCTCGTTCGCATCACTCAATTGACGACATTCGGTGACTTCATAAGTAGATTAATTCCATAGCTTTGACAAAAGGGAGGCAAGAGTTCTCAAATCAGCTACCGTTTCGTAGTGCTGACCTTTTTTTGACAAGACTTCACGGTATAACTTCAAGGTCAGAAGTTGTTCTTCAAGAGATAAAGCTTTGTAGGGTGACGGTTGGGGCAGGTTTTGGTGGTGGGAAGAATGCTTTGCTGTTGAAGAAAGAGAATCACTCGATTTTCGGTGATCTGAAGGTGTGAGTAAAAAATGCGGCACCGAAAAATTGTTCATTAAGAATGTCATAAATGCAAATTTGCTTTCATTAAGTTTTTATAAATGCAAATTTTGTTATGTTTTTTTTGTCGCCTAGCTAACCGAATTGTATCATTTTTCTTTTCACATTTGCTTACAAAAAAAAATAACACTTGCTCTAACAGGACTTTTTTCATTTCACAGACATCTAACCTCGAATTTCCACTAGTTCTATTTAAATTTTTGATCAAACTAGGCCATATTTCACAAGAAATTATATTTCAAAACCATTTGATGGATACTGTCAGCTCCGAGCCAAACTGATATTTTAGTTACTATTGTTATTATTGAATGATTTGTCTATTCTTATGCAAATGTTTCCTCCCCTGTGCTTATCCCTTTTATTGCCGAGAAGGGGCGGTCCTTGGAATTACCTAAGAGGACAAGTGAGACTCTCATTTGGAGTCCCCCTTCCCCTTACACTTATTTGTAATCTATTCGTCTTATTATACTACTGTCAATAAAGATACATATCTTCCGGGTCTATACAACTCCAGTACAGGTCGGTCATTTCACAGGGACTCCCCTCTAATACTTTGGAGGAGTTGAGTTGGGTTGTCGGGGTATTAGAGATGGCGGGGATATCAAAAGGGATCCACTCTCTTTAACTTAACCCAAATTCTAGTCCACATCCGTTTATAACTAGGAACGAATAATACTCTTTTTGAAGTTCATTCTTGATGTTTAATCCTGTACTTTAAATTGGATTGTTGCAATATTTACTGAGAGTTTTTTAAAAGCATAAGAGAAGTTAATGATAGAAAAGAAAAAGAAATTGAGTTTAATATCCTTGCGATCCACCAGCAGCCTCTCCCTGAGAGTACGATCCTGAGAGTACGGGGCTCGCTTGTCCGCGACGAGGACAGGGACAATACTCGGCGTCCTTTCCTGGTTCTCCCTCCTCTCCAGGCTCTCCAGCCTGAAAAATTTCATATTTGCTTTGATAAATACGTTCATAGCAAAAATCGTTAACATTTTTTAAAAGAATAACCTGTCCAGCAGCTCCATCCTCTCCCTTTGGCCCACGAGGTCCGCGCTCTCCAGGGGTTCCTTGTGGTCCAGGAGCTCCCTAAATTAAGATCACATCAAAATTTCCTACTTGACAAACTACAAAGTCAAACTATAAACCCTTATAGTTTGACTTATAAAAACGTAGAATGGATATTTTGAAAACTTTGGTCAACTTTAGGCTTCCGAATGACATCAAAAGCAGGCCAAATCATCTTCTCAGCACTGAGATCTAAGATTTTTCCAGGTTCCCGTCCCAAATGACGAGACTACAAACAGCTAGAAATGGCTGGTTCTCGGTAAAAATGATGAATTGACTCGATTTTGGTGTCTTGCCAGTCATTCGTTGACAGAAACGCTCACTGACCGTGTCTCCTTGCTCTCCCTGTTCTCCTTGTTCTCCAGTGGGTCCAGCCTCTCCCTTGAGTCCGGGGAGTCCGATCTGGTGCTCGGTGTCGAGTCCAGGCTCTCCTTGAGGTCCTTCCTCTCCTTGTGGTCCAGGTGGTCCATTTGGTCCGATCGATCCGGGGAATCCTGGTTGTCCATCACGTCCAGGCATCGCAGCCTGTCCACGGGCTCCGCGCATTCCTGCAACATTCGGTTAACGTTCGATATAATGTTAGATTTGTAGTTTACATTTTCAAATCAAACCTCGTGGTCCAGGTTTTCCAGTAGGTCCAGGTGGTCCTTGAGGTCCTTGTGGGCAAGTGAAGCATCCATCAAGTTGTTGGGTCTGAGCCTTTTGATCCTCAGCATCTTGTCCGTCAACTCCAGGGATTCCAGGAAGACCATCTGGTCCATCATGTCCCTATAAAGATTGATTCTCTATTTTCAAATCAACAATACCTTCTCTCCCTTGGGTCCGGAAGGTCCAGCAGGGCATTTGTTGTCCGCTTGACAATTGCACTTTCCTTGGTTCTCAGGAGTGGCCGCTGGGCTTCCATCCTACAAAATACAAAGCTTTTGTTGTCAGATTTCTCTCCTTACATGATTGAACTGGTTGATGCTTGGAGGAACTCCAACTTGTCCAGGAACACGTCCTTCTGGTCCAGCCTAAAAGAAAACGGATAGAAATGTTGGATTACAGAAACTCACCGGTCCATTTGGTCCACCGAAGTTTGGTCCACCAGATCCTCCAGGTCCGTATCCTTGATCACCGCCTGATGGGAAGCTTGGTGGTGGTGCTCCGGCTCCTCCATATCCTCCGTAAGCTTGACGCTTCTTACGAGGCATACGGCTCAAATCACGCCAGAGCGAATCAGCTTGCACCTAGAATTTTGTTTTCTAAATGAAAAAAATCTGGACTTTCAAGAAAACAGATTTGTTCTTTCTAAACAAAAAATAACCTTGAAGGCGTCCATCTCCGAGTCAAGCTCAGCACGGATATCGTAAATATCATTGAAGATTTGGTTGACAGCAAAGAGAGCCAAGAGAATGGCCGAAGCCGAGAGGCCAACGGCTGCCAAGGAGGCAACTCGAGTCGTCATCTGAAAGCAATCTATGTGGAAAAGAGCTACAGTAATGATATGGAAATGAAATGAGAAATGCGGGGAAATGGCTAATCCTTGAGGTATTTATATCTGCGAAGACTGGGTCAAGGGAGAAAGAAGAAAAAGATGAATATCTCCGCGAGATCCAAGGCACTCCCCATCCTCCCCATCTCACGAATTATCATCAGGTTCATCAACAGAGAGCCGGTCTTTTCCCCTCATCCTATCCCACATTTGCATATGTCAAGGAAAATTCTTATCTAAGCATTTCAAGAGAGACAATGAGAAAGTCTTTTGTGCAAGTGAAAATATATTTTTATAACCTCAAAAAGAACTTTTTTTTTATTGAACAATTGAACAGAGCACATTTAAAAGACCTTAATACCGTATTTTCTCTAATAGTAGTGCATCCAAAGCTTCACCTAAATTTCTCGAAATCTCGAGAACCGCTTATCAGAACCTATCGATGTGCGGCCGGAAAATGTAGCTGACGATGAGGTCTAGCCGGGGATTTGAGTGTTGAGCTACTGCAAAAGCTTGGAAACCGTAAAATAGTCATCAACTTGGCTAACCCGGGTGCACTACTATTAGAGAGAATCCCTATTCTCTCTAATAGTAGTGCAATATCTTGTTGAAGCGAATCCGCTTTTAGCTTTTCTAAATTGTAAATGCAAGGAATTTAAGTTTAAAGAAAAAAAGCAGGTAAACGATCAGACTAGATTCAACGAAATTTCCCCGGGAATTCTCACCCAGCACGAGTTTGATGAGTTACAAGCATGCTAATTATAGGCGGTAAATTTTGTACATTCTGTACAGGACAGGAAAGATCCTGAAGCTGATCAATCACAAGCCTGGTTTTTAGTCACAAGTAGCCGAAAATTGCTTGTAAATCTCACACTCGATTCCCTCGAGTGTTAACTGTGTACTTGGTCGATTGATGGCCTTCCAAATCGGGGTACGAAGCTCAGCGAGCGAAGACGGGGAAATGCGCATTTGAATGAGGGGAAACGACAACCATCTGAAGGAAAAGAAAGAGGATGAACAGAATGAAATAAAGAATTTGAATTCAATCAAAACGTACACTTTGTAAATTGAATTCGCAATTGACAAGTGGTGAGTTGCATCCTCGAATCAAATAATTGAATAAAATTCTGCGTCGTATGGTATATGGCTTATGTCATTTGGCCACCTCAGCCTTGTGGCCTTCCCTTTTAAGTTTTTCGTTGCTTTATCTGTTTACAGTCCTGTTTACACTCTAACCGCCTAATCTCTTGCCAAAGATCGTGCTTCCTTGGCGCAGTTGGCAGCGCGTCAGTCTCATAATCTGAAGGTCGAGAGTTCGAGCCTCTCAGGGAGCAATCATTTTTGCTTTTTTGATAAATTTTTGCTAAAAACGGTAGAAACTTGTTTTTTTTATTCATTTTAGTTCGTATTGGATCCGGAATAACCAGATCGGAACCAGGCTTCAAAGAAAGCAAAAGTGAGATCAGAAGCGTGTACATTTACCTCTACACCATCAGGCCACGTTTGAAGGGAAAGGAAAGAGCCCATATATCCGCGTGGTGCGATTACCCGAGTAGGCGCCCAAACTTGGCAAGCATTTTTCTCGTGAATCATTGAGAGTAGGCATCGTGTTCCCCATGCTCGATAGGTGTTTTCTTCTCAACGGCATAGTGAAATCGTCTGATCAGTTCGGACCATTCCCTTGTTAGTCATTTCTAAGCATATGCACAAAAAATAGTGGTCAAGACTTGTTCACCAAGGAGCTTTGGAATATAAATGGAGCTTTGGAAATATCTATACAATATTATTAGATGGATGGATACAATATTATGGTTTAAGATCAAAATTTGCGAATAAGTATGAATGGATTTGTCTCAAAACACTAGAAACGCTTTGTTTTGTATTGAATTGAGTTGTTTTTTTTTATTTCAACTTTAACTCTAGAAATCTCCAGCTATACACACAAGTTATTGCCCGTAACTGCAAGAAAAAAAACAAAGATTAATTATTCTTGAAGAATCATCTCATGAAAATCACAGCAACTCCGGCGTTGGCTGCCTGTAGGTATTATAGGTTGAAAGTTTAAAAAAAAAAATACAATACCTGAAATAGAATCAAAAGCAGAAGATCGATTCTATCAAAAATTCTCGTCCACAACTCTTTCCATTCATCTTCTGCTTGATCTCGATCCATATATGATCGAACAATATGTAATGTCTAGAAATCTGATTTCTGCGGCCACTTTGTCAATGATTTCTCTATCTCTGGTCACAGCTAATGAAGCTAACGATGACAGCTAATGAAGCTAACGATCACAGTTAATGAAGCTAACGATCACAGCTAATGAAGCTAACAATCACAGCTAATGAAGCTAACGATCACAGCTAATGATTATTTCTTATGATTCTTAAGAAATGTATTACTTGTTTAAGTTGTGATCGAACGGCGTTAAGCTTTTAGTAAATCAGCAGCAACATCATCATCTAGTGAGACCATTTTTGGGGGTATCGTTGCAATCGGATCCATCATTGCTCTCTTTTGTCCTTTTCGAATTCGTCGACCGCATGAGAAAAGTACCCAACGACATAAACTGAATAGCATTTTTTTTGTTTTTATGAAACCTTTTTCCCCAACCAATCGGGCGGTCTCCATTTTCTTTGATCGGCTCTCGCATGCACTTCAAGTAATCCAATCGAGACCACAGTCGCTGCTGAGCAAAGGAAAATCTCGGCAATGATGTAGTTTCCTGAAATTTTTGGTCGTGCAGTGGTGTGGCGAATTGCCACTGCTCCGCAGTTAGTCAAAAATTCAATACACAAGTTGAAATTCAAAGTTGATGGATAAACTACCGTAATCAGTCACTAGACGATATTCAGCTGTCCGTTTGTTGTAGCTTGTATACTTAAAAAACCCGTTATTTAAGCTTTGCTTTTAAGTGAGTTTTTTGTTCTCCTTTTTTGCTTTTTATCATCCTTTTTTTCACATGCAAGTGTTGAATTAATTGTGATAGTGTCAAGTTGCTCCAGTTTGAGCGAAGTTGAAAAAAGAAGGAAAAAAATAAAATTTCTAAAAAAAAAAAAAAAAAAAACCCCCCTTTTCCCCCCTGGAAAGGAGGTATATAAAGACTAGGTTGGTTAACCCCTTTTTTGCCGTTTTCCCCCCCCCCGCCTTCTGTCTTTTTTCCCGTCGTTTGGCGAAGTTGCCCTAATAAGGGAAAGTTGGATAAATTGTGCGTTTTCAAGAAGACCATTGAACCACACCGAGACACGGTCTCAGAAGAAATTATATAGATCAAAACATCAGCATATATTTCTTACAAGTGGCTTAAAATTCAATTTCCATTTACTACCTAAAAGTGGTAATCTCTCGGCTTTGGGCATCATATTTGAGACCAAATTCAGCATCATTGAGATCGCTAACAGCATGTTCAATCCTAGTTCAACCTAAAAAAAATTCATTCTTGCTAATCGAAAATACATTAAAGATCATCGAATACACCTTTTGCCATCTTTCCATTCGTTGACTAAATGGTGTAAACATTCCCAAAATCGTCACCGTACCAATGAGCAAAGTGGGAACCTGGAAAAGTCAATTTGAAAATCCTTTCAGCGATTTCTTCACCTGAATAACCATCACATAGTAAACGGGTTTTCGTCTCAACTTCACGCGATACCGAATAAGCGAATAATTTCCATCCTTTTTTATTGTCTATTATAAAAAGTTTATAGCTAAAAAACCCTTTAACAAACCAATGTATAGTTGCTGACCTCGATCTCCGTAAGGCTCCATTCCGAGTTTCCCACATAGATGATAGATGAGCGCTAAACTTTTTTTTGAAACGTATATCACTTATAACAAACCTGAGGTACATTACTTGGAGCCGGCTCAATGGTCATCTCAGTTGGAGTCGTTTTGAGCTAAACTCTTCTTACGAATTTCCTAACATTTTCACCAACTTGGTTTTCATCAAAAATCCATGAGCCCAAAAGCAAGTCGCATGTCTGAATTGTTTTTAATGTATATGTCATGTCCAAACCAGGTTCGGATGTCCGAATCCGATCCAATTTCTTTGGATTCGGGCGTCAGAATGTTCAAATTGTGTTTTTTTTTAGAATAGCGCTATCGCGAAGCAATCATCGACTGCATCAGAGAGATTCGGAGTCGCTTAGGAGTGATTTGACTTCTGGTTTATTGAACAATTTAAGGCTTAGGCTTAAAAACAAAGAAAGATCGAAGTGGATGTGGTAGAAAGAAATCTGGGACGGTTAGCAACATGGTCAAGAAGGTCAAGAAGAAGAAGGCCAAGAAGAAGGTCAAGAAGAAGAGAGGGAATTAGGCGCAATCTGGAGCGATCCACAAATGGCACGAGAAATGGCGATTTCTGAAATTCGAATTATGAGAAAAAACTTAAAACTCAAAGCTTTCAAGAAAAACGGTTGATTGATGCCGCAAAAACGAAAAGGAAGCAACTTCTCAGCTTCAGCAACTTCAACTTCTAGCTTGATTCCCTGGACAAGCTCATCCAGCATTTGTTTCACCGATGAGAAGGTGCTTACTCTTTAACAAGTGCTAAACAATCAGAATAATCAAGATTATGCAGTATCCAATCCACATAAGACGGTTTCACGCACTTTTTACTTAACTTTAGTCATAGTCTTTAGCGGTATCACATTCACATATCACTCTTTGTTCCTGTTTAATGCCAACAATTATCTGGATCTCTTGAAAAAGGAAGTTCTGCCCTGGGCCAATAATCACTTTGGTCAAAGACAATGGACCTATCAACAGGATGGTGCTCCGGCACACAAGGTCAAAGTAGTGCAGGATTGGTGTGGCAACTATTTTCCCGATCTGATCAACTTTAATGATTGGTCACCGATGTCCCCAGACTTGAATCCACTTGATTGCAGTGTCTAGTCAGTGATTGAAGCCAAAGTTTGTGCAAAACCGTACAAAACTTTTGATTCGTTCAAGAAAACCTTGACCAAAACATGGGAAGATCTCGATTTGACCTAATTGCGTGCCACAGTAGACAACTTTCCCCAGCGACTTCCACGGACCAGTACCATGTACAGTACTACGAGCCAGTACTATGGACCAGTACTGTGTACAGTACTAGCCCCATATTTGAATCAATTTAAATAGAGCTTGCATCGGATTCGATCCAAAGGACAGATTCGGACGTCTGAACCAAGTTCGGACGTCTGGATCTGGTGTAAAGAAATTGGATCGAATTCGGAATTTGTTTTGTTTAACATAAAATTTGTTTTGATTACCTGATCATCATAAGGAAAATTGTCAAGTTGTAAAGTGCATGGAAGAGTCACCTGAACAAAAAGTTTAGTTTATTGATAAGAAAAGTGAGCACTGTTGATGGCACTGATAGCCTTGTCGTCCCATCATATTTCACATCAGCGTACGCCTCTTTTGTTTCGATAATTCGCTCGTTATCGATTCTAACCAAAAAAAGTAAATATTGATTTAATGAAAACTTTTATACGTGCTGTAATAAATGATATCAGGCACCCAAATATCTTTCTGTCGCACTTTCACCCATTCGAAACGATAAGCTGAAAAGTTCCGACGACTCCATCCAAGCGAGTGATCATGCCATGTCTAAAATGTTCTTTTGTAATGAATAACGGGGGTGGGACAAATGCGACCTTTTTTTTGCGCACCTGGACATTTGCGCACCTTTTTTTTGCTGGAAAAGGCCTTAAGAAAGGTCGTAGAGCTTCAGAAATGTTTCCATATCAGGGAATCGTATGCGTAGATTCCGAATTTCGACAAATCAGACCTCGCTGACACGCCAAATTTGGGCTAGAAGGCAAAAACTATGCAACTTAACGCTTTTCCACAGTTTTTGCCTTTTAGCCCAAATTTGACGTGTCAGCGAGGTCTGATTTGTCGAAATTCTGAATCTACGCATTCCCTTATATGGAAATATTTTCGAAGCTCTACGACCTTTCCTAAGGCCTTTTCCAGCAAAGGTGCGCAAACGTCCAGGTGCGCAAATGTCCAGGTGCGCAAAAAAAGGTCGCATTTGTCCCACCCCCTGAATAACACAAAATTAACCATAAGAAATTCTTGCTGAAATTGAATCGTCTCTTCTTTTTGATCCTAAATAGTTTGATATGTTTGAAATGTTTGAATTGAAACCATTGAAAGTAAACGAAACGAATTCAAAGTAATATTGACATCAAGAGTTTCTCCAATTCCCATTGGAATCACATCTTTATCAAATCTTTCTGGACTGATCATTGTCCCCACTATGGCTTGTTGTGGAACCACAGCTGAATGAGTGAACAGAATAAAAGAAAACGAATTCTTCAAACCGTCACATAATGCCGAGAGGATGATTGGGAAAAATATCATGCGAAGTGAAGGGAAAAATAGAAATGATTGTAAGAGAATGATGGAATTCGTTGTTTCGATGAAGTGGAGGGAAATGATGAAAAAGAGTTCAATGAGACATTCATCGTCTCTCTTTTTTTGCTTCAGCATTGAGTTTCTCACAGAGTGAGGTCCCAATGTTGTGTGTCTATTCGAGAGTCGTCAAAGGGTCCACCCCTTTCATATTGATCGTCGAGACGTTTCGATGAAACGATTTAGAGATTTTAGCATAAAGGAAACCTATCTTTGTGTCTAGAGAAAAAAGATAGAGCATAAAAAGTTAGGTATATAGCTAAATTCTTAGAGAAATTCATTCAGCCAAAGCTAAATTTTACCATATGGAAACTATAAGTTTTTAGCTTTGTAATATATTGGGTTGGTGAATTGAAAACTGCGGGCTATTTTCATATGTGACAGTTTGAGCACTTTCTTCAAAAGAAACCCATTTTGGTGCCAATGGAAAAGTTGTAGAGAATCAAAAATCAAGCTTATATCCAAATTTTCAGAACGATTCAGAAACTGGTTTTCAAGAAATGACAAATTTACGAAACTTTCTCAAAACTTGCACTTTAAGCGAAACTACTAAGTGTATCTTTTTGGAAATTTGGCGATAAGCCTAATTTTTGATTCTCTACAACTTTTCCATTGACACCAAAATGAGTTTCTTTTGAAGAAAGTGCTCAAACTGGGACATGACATATCCAGTCCTCCATTTTTGAGTCTCACACTTGTTTCACACTTGTCTCACACACAAACCAAAATCCTACTACGAAAGAGGAATCCGCAAATTTCCTGTAAAATGGGCCGTTAATGTCGTTAATGACGATCATTATTGCAATCAAATACAGTGAACAGTTGGGAAAGGTGAATGAATCCCTGAAGAAGAATAGGCCCTCCAAGTCAAAGATCTTTCTCATCCACTCATCTTTCTCATCCTTTCTCAATACGTTTTTCAGTTTTAATTAACTTCTATTTTCTTCTATCTTCTGAGTATTTTTAGCAAGCTTTAATTACTTCACTTACCTCTTTTTCCCCTCGATTTGAATGTTTTAACAAAACTTTTTTCTAATTAATAAGAAAACTATTTCTTCTCATACTTTCTTTCAAAAGAACACCTATTATGAAACTCATACGAGTGACATAGCCTGAAAAAAAAGGCAAGTAAAGTGAACAAATATACAAGACTTCTCTTCTCTTCTCTTCATTTGACATCCGATCCTCATTTTCCCGTTTTCATCTTCACTTCACATCTTTTACTCTCAATGACTCGTTGGAGATATTTAGAGAGCGCTTCAAAAAGTTTTTCTTTACATAGATTTCGCAAAATATCTTTCAATGAGAAAAAGGACAGGATCTTTGATGAGATGCTGGGTTGAGGTTTGGATTTGTTTTTGCAGAAGAAACAAGTTTGATCATTATAGTATTTATTTGTGTTCTAAACCGTTTCAAGAGAAGGTTCTTATGGGTTTTACCCCTCGCGATAATCAGTTGTAGCCAAAATACGGAAAAATGATTCAAGATCAGCACAAATTAGAGATCTTGCTTGGAGATACAACAAACGAACCGCGCTCATCTGAGCAATGTTTACAGGCCAAAAGAAATTCGTGTAAATGACGGGTGAAGTGTACTTTGTGCGGTCGCGTAATCGCTCACCGTCTGGCGCAAGGCTTCCTGTGGGAGGGGCCATTTTCTCTCCTCGTAGGCAATGCGTTCGGTCCGGACCACACTGGCCGTAGCTGAAAGGGGCACTCCATTTTGGGCCGTACCGCGTCGTCGCCCATTTCCGCAAAACTTGTAGGGGTGCCGGTCATTTTGGTCTTCATCGTGTCGACGACCCTTCGGCGCAAAAACCACACGGAGTAGGACCCGTGAATTGGGCAACTGGCTGGCCGGGCCCAAAGCAGGGCAACCGCGCCCTCCTCCCTGGGTACTCCCAGGCCCCCCATAGGCCCCTCATAGGCGCTGCTCAACGTCCAGCCACCCTCGCGTGATGAGCAGTGGGCATCCCCCGAAAGCAGGGGATGGCTAAGAGCTGGACCAGGTAAGAGACCAAGAATAGGTACCCATACTCCAAGAAATTATCTAGGCAGATCGGAAGAGATAATGAGAAATTCTTTTCTGCAATTGAAAATATATTTTTATAACCTCAGAGAACCATGAGCTTGTTCGGAAAAAAAAGGAAACAGTAGTGATTACCATAAAACGGATTAAGCGTGCATAAATCAACAAAAACTGAGTCGACAAGTGTGCGGCTATCGATTCGTTTTTTCAAATTTCTTTTGAATCAACATGCCGGTGAATTACAATTTGTCAGCGTCCACTTCTCGACCGTGGACATTCATTAAGCTAATCTTTAAATGGGACGGATCCGTCTGGAAAGCGGTTTGACGAAAGATAAGCAAATTTGCAATTAGATTTTTAGATTTGGATGCAATACGCAGTTTGGCTAGGTTTTTATTTTATTTTAAGCGGCTACTATAGATGGATAATGGATATCGACCAGAAAAAGTCAAAATAATCAATCGTTTTTTTTAAAATTTACCTTTTAGAACGTTTGCTCAAATTGTTGATTATACGGATCGTCGGCTAAAATATTTTCCCTTATCTTGGATGCTCGGTTTTTTTGTTGCTGCAGTGATGGCTCGATGGAAATATTTATACAATATTATTGGATGGATGGATAAGTAAATCATTTGCATTTACAAGAGAAAGCCTTTCATATAAAGTTGATTTTCAGTACAGCTTTAATCGTGGCTCAATATGTGAGGGGTACAAGTGAGAGAGCGCGAATGTATCGACGACAAATCGTTCGCCATTGTATGGTCACACAGGTTCAACTTAAAAAATTTACAAAATCAACTTACCGTATTCTCTCTAATAGAGGTGCACTCTTTAATAGAGGTGCACTCTCTAATAGAGGTGCACTCTCTAATAGAGGTGCACTCTTTAATAGAGGTGCACTCTTTAATAGAGGTGCACTCTTTAATAGAGGTGCACTCTTTCACTCTGTCAAAAAATTATAGACGCACCCTGTTTTTTGCTAGTTTAGAGCCGGATATAAGTGCTAGTGAAAAGTGAAAAGTATTTTTTATAAGTATAAACATAACTAATAGGCAAAAAAAATGAGAAAAACTAACAATTATCAATAGAGTAAATCGTCAAATTTAAGTTGCGTCTATAATTTTTTGACAGCTGATAAAACGTTTTTTGTACGATAAAGTACTTTGGATGATTGAAATGACTTGAAATTTTGGCATGGGTTGTTTTTTACATTAAAGAAACTAAAAAATACTTTTCACTGGACTAGCACTTATATCCGGCTTTAAACTAGCAAAAAACGGGGTGCGTCTATAATTTTTTGACAGAGTGTAGTAGTGCACTCTTTAATAGTAGTGCACTCTCTAATAGTATTGCGGTCCAGGAGGGGGTTGAAAAAAGTTGAAAAAAGTTGAAAAAATAGTAGTGCACCCCCGAAAATTTGAATTTCTGTTTGCTTCTTTTTCATCTAAACCTTTTTGACTTTATGTTTATGTGACATTCTAAAGCTATTCAAGCAAGCAAAAGTGAGGCTTTTTTTATTCATTTATTAACTATTCTTCACATGAAAAAGTTAGCAAAAATCTAAAAAATCTAAAATTGTTGTGCAAAGTGCAAAAACATCTTTTTGTTGTTTGTCAAGACACAAATTGTCAACTCGCCGGCCCACAACTGTATGTCAAAAGGAGCCAAAGGAGTACGTGAAAAAATTGCAAGAATTTTTGGAATAAAGTTTATATCTGTCTTACTTTGGTAAATGATAAAACTCTTTAATAGTAGTGCACTCTCTACAGGGTGCGTCATAATTATTGCAACAAGAGTTCAAAGACCGTTTTCCAAACAGCTTTCTTATTTTTTTTGCCCCCCTTTTCTGTTGTGTTGCGTTCTATCTTCTTTATTCTTGCCTAATTGCCTCCCGCTCAAACGAAGAAGACGGTTCAGGACTGGTGTGTGGCCAACTTTCCCTCAGTGATCACCAGGGATGAATGGCCTCCAAACTCACCGGATCTCAATTTGATGGACTTTTCCATTTGGGCAATCTTAGAGGCTAATGTCTGCTCTTTGACCTTGAAGAAGTCTTTGACCAAAGGACGGAAGGCGACTCCTCAAGATGACATTCGGGCCGCAGTGGAGGCATATCCGAACCGATTAAGGGCTGTTATCAAGGCAAAAGGCGGTCATATCGAATGATCTCTTGTTTCCTTATTTGTTACTGTTAAATAAAGCTATTTCTGTTTAAAAATCTTCTTCCAGTGAAACTTCTTGGTGTGCAATGCCTTGAGTATCTTGTTGCAATAATTATGATGCACCCTGTAATAGTATTGCGGTCCAGGAGGGGGTTCAAAAAATTGTAGTGCGCACTACTATTAGAGAGAATACGGTAACTAATTTACAAATAAATATTTTTAATAACATTTACAAGATATAACAATTTTTAAATTAGGCTTTGGTTTTTCGCGATCTCTCGGTGAGGTGTCGAAAGCGTTTCCCCACTTTGGACACCCTTGTCGCAGCTGGTAAACGATCAGACTAGATTCAACGAAATTTCCCCAGGAATTCTCACCCAGCACGAGTTTGATGTCTTTGAAGAGATCCAGTATCGATATGCAAGATATTGGGTTCCCTTCCAAGTATGTTTGACTCACTAGGGAAGCCAACTAAAGGTAGAATTTTTAAATGAGATCTATCCTATCTTGTTCAAGCGAATCCGCTTTTAGCTTTTCTAAATGGCTTGTAAACGCAAGGAATTTAAGTTTAAAGAAAAAAAAAGTTCATTTGAACAAACACATATTGGTTCTAAAATCCTTGTCTTGTCTTGCCGACAAAGGAATCGAACTGGGATCTTGCAGTTTGAGCAAGACTTGTAACAGAACTACCTCTCGGGAACTACCTCACTACCTCTAGGTCACAGGGACATCTCTTCAAGGCAAGCGAGGAAGCCCTACAAAGAGATAGCTTTAAACTTTAAAGACAAGTTCCTTGCGTTTAGGAAAACTAAAAGCAGATTCGAAAAGCTATCCCTTTGTAAGGGATCATCGCTTGCCTCAAAAAAAAACATGTCGCTGTGGTCCAGAGGTAGTGCTCTCGTTCACAAAGGTCATAATGCCGAGTTCGATTCCCGCGTCGGCAACAATCTGACTATTTTATTATTTTATAACCAAAATTTTGTTAATGGAAATTTGTTTTTCTTTCTTTTTGTTTAAAACCAAATTCCTTGTGTTTGCAGCCGATTTAGGAAAAATTAAAAACGGATTCGGAAAGCTCGTGAAAAACTGAACAAGATAGGAGGTTTCGTTTGAAATTCCATCTTAAGTTGTCGACCTTTCCCGGTCAGATAACTTCCATCATCAGTAATTCAGTGGGCTTGGGCTGTCTCATACAACGCTTGGAAAGAGGGTCTCATTGAGGGAGCCTACTATCAACAAATTGTTTCTGATGTAGAAATTTCTCTAATTTTCCTTGAAATTTCATAATTCCAGACGATCAGAGAGTTCCGAACGGGACTTGCCTGGTTGTGCAACTATGATTGGTGTCCTTTGCCGATGGTTTATCCGACAATCGTTTGCTTGTCTGGTTAGAGTTTCATTTTATCATTAAATCATTCAATTTCAGTTCATATTTACTTTCTGGTGGCCATTGTGGCACGACAATATGTTCAAGAAAGCGAAAATTTTCATGTGACTTTTTTTTATAGATGTTACGTCCGAATCCGACCAGGCGACCAGGATCTGATCCGAACGTCCGAATCCGGTCATTGATTATCTTGTGGTCGGTTTTGGACGTCCGAATCCGGCCATTGATTATCTTATGGTCAGTTTCGGACGTCCGAATCCGGCCATTGATTATCTTGTGGTCAGTTTCGGACGTTCGAATCCGATCCTGATGTCCGAATCCGGCCATTGATTATCTTGTGGTCGGTTTCGGACGTTCGAATCCGGCCATTGATTATCTTGTGGTCGGATTCAGACGTCCGAATCCGATCCTGACGTCCGAATCCGGCCATTGATTATCTTGTGGTCGATTTCGGACGTCCGAATCCCACCACACTCATTCTGGTCGCATTCAGACGTTCGGATCAGATTCGGACGTAGCATAGACATAATGAAAGTTTTTAGATTGATCTCGTTTTCCCTTTCATGACCAGCTTTCAATTTATCTTTTATATGGGCTGGTTGAAAGTCTGTTAAACATATAGTTCAAATAAAACTTGAAAAATGTTGCAGGTAGGTGAAGCAATGTTAAATCCATGGGGTGAAGATGATGACGACTTTGAGACAAATCTTCTCATTGACAGAAATCTGACGGTAACTTGGTAAAGCGTATTGACGCTTGTTAAAGCTTTTCATTCTTTAGATGTCACTGAAAATAGTAGATGAGGGTTATGGTAAAACCCCCTATTTGGCAAAGGATACTTTCTGGGATCACGAATGGCAACCAATGTTTGAAAAAATCATGATAAAAATAGAAAATGGTTTAGGTATCCGGAAGATTTTGATTTCTCAACTCAAAAAGATCCACGCTTAAGCATGGCTGATTTGAGGTTAGTAAAGTTGAACTTCTTTTTTTCTATTTTAAGATTCAGACTTCCTTCGTCAGTGAGTGAAATTCGAATGGTTCCTTTGCAGCAACGACGAGGCAGTATGGCGAAAATTGTTTCTGTTAAACCGTAGCTAAAATAGCTAAATCGAACTTTAATTTAAAGTCTCTATTTAGTGAAGTTCGAGTTCAATCACATGCTTCTCTACTTAAACTCCAATCCAATAAAGTAATAAATGATTAGGGGAAAATAGATAAGAAAAATTTTTAGGGTGATGAAGGCGCCAACGGGAATCTTTCAATTGGGAACCGGTTTCGACGATTTTCTCGCTCACTTTTGCAGAGAGAAGAACCGCAAATCGATCACAAAAACCTTAAAAGAACTTTAAGTGCTAAAGGTTTGTGAGAATGAATTGGTTATTGGTTTATCAATCTGAATTAAACCTACCGTAATTATTCTAATACAAGGGAACGAAAATAGACGAAAATAAATCGATCAAATCGAAACAAACCGATCAAATCAAAATAAATTGATCAAATGGAACCAACCAATCGATCGAAACAAATCGATCGATCGAATCAAACCGATCAAATCAAAACCAATCGATCAAATCGAAACAAATCAAAACAAATCGATCGAATCGAAACAAATCGATCAAATCAAATCGATCAAATCAAATCGATCAAAAAGAAATCGATAAAAAAGAAATCGATCAAAACAAATCGATCGAATCGAATCAAACCGATCAAATCAAAAAGAAATCGATCAAAAAGAAATCGATCAAATCAAATCGATCAAATCCATCGAATCGAATCCCTTATCTATTTTTTTGGGTTGGAAAATCGATAGGCCGATTCCCTTCTAGAATATTAGAATAATTGCGGAATAAGGGAATTATAGAATAAATGTAGAAAGAGAATCGAATCCAAATGAGAAATCGAGTGCATCCCTGAACGAGCAAGGAGGATTGCCCCGTCTTGGCAGTATTATTTTACCCGGTTGGTTTCTGGACGATAAAATAATTGGGAAAGATTTCAGGTGTCACTCTTGTTGAGGAGAATAATCGAAAAATCTCCGTTGATCCAGGAAATCATATTTTATCAATCAATGAAGTGAGTTGACAGGTTTAGAAAAAACGTTTCGATATTGCAGTGAGCCAAAAAGAATGAACTACAATAACTTTGCAGTACTTTAAAAGCTTTGTAGATGAGACAAATTGCTAGAATTTATAGTATGATTAAGGGTGAAAAGCTTCGAAAAGATTCGAGTGGTATCAATTTGAGCACTCTCAATCTGAGAGCTTTTCAATCTCTGCAATCACTCGAATCGAATACGGAAAACGAGAAAGATCTGCTTGATTTAAGTTCACTTAAAGGCTCGAAAAATGATATTGATAAAAAGGATAAATAAATCTTATTTTCTTTTGTCTCAAGAAAGTTTATTAATGATAAGACAACAAATATCTACTGTAAATACTGTAATAGTACTCCACCGCCGATAATGACGGTGCGGAGTCTTGCGTAGTCTAGCTTTGAACGAGTTTTTCTCGACACTGGTTTATGCTACAATGCGCGTTTAGGTATCAAAAAATAGCTGAAATTCAGGGCTATTTTTTGATACCAAAAACGCATTTTTTGAAAGTACGGGCGCTTTGAAAAAAATGAAATACTAAACAACGACTACGCGACTTTGCGACTACGCGACTGTACGAGGGGGCTGGGGTACTATTACAGTATTTACGGTATGTATAAAGACCCGTTGTGTTTTATTTTTCTTTTTCCATTCATAATTTCGTTTTTACATCATCATCCTCGTTTATTTTTATAGAAAAAGTAGTGCCATTTCTACAAAAATTTTTTTTACATAATTTTTATAGGGTTTTAAAGTTTTAAAGTTTACCTTTCTTTATAAATTGAGCCATTATGTATGCCATTTTCATTGATCACTGCTTCTTGTCTTTTCATTTCTGAAATTTCACTCTCGAACTTGCTTCAAAGTGAACTTGAAATTGACTTAAAAAGATGCGAAATTCAACAATAAACACCTTTTTATTTAGTGAAAATCATAGATTAATTGATGTTAATTGATTGATGGTTAATTGATGTTAATCATGGATTAATTGATGTTAATCATGGATTAATTGATGTTAATCATAGATTAATTGATGTCAATCATGGATTAATTGATGTTAATCATGGATTAATTGATGTTAATCATAGATTAATTGATGAATTTTTTATGTTTTAACGAAAGAAACAAAAAGAATTGATGAAAAGCGTAATAAAAAGAAATATATTATTATTATTATTCTTACTCTTATTATTATTATTATTATTATCATTATCATAATATCAATTTCAAACCCTCAATCGCTTCCTCATCCTCCAAATTCTTTTGATAGTCGTCTTTCATAAATATAAACACACAAATCGAGAAGATAATTGCTGGAACAACGCAAGCCATCGAGAAATGAAAAGCCTGAATAATTCATAAATCAGAAATTCAGAAATTTTCTGTAAAAACTCACATTTAAAAGACTCCAAACCTCCGACTTATGATCTTCCTTGTCACCACGAAAAGCATCCGCTATCTAAAGAAATGTTGAATAACTTTCAGTTGAATAAGTTGAAACTTGAAACATAAAATATGATCTTCAACTTTGCCTCGTCTTCAACTTGCCAGCGGTTGAAACCGTTGAGGAAAAGGCTTTTTTTTGAGTTGAAGATCATATTTTTTTTTTGTTTTAAAACAATCACCGCTCCAGCAATGTACGGTCCAGGCCCATCACCAATCGTGTGCTCAAAGAGATAACAGTACATAATTGTTGTTGCGCGTCGATCTCTTGTCGTCACTGACTGAATCTCATTTTATGACTAGTATTTATAGTATTTTAAGATTTACATAAATGATATCAGTGGCCAACACAAAGAAGCTTCCACCCCAGAACATGCTGAACAATTGAGAGGCCTAAATTCGTGTTTTTTTATGGAAATCAAAGAGGTTTTTTCTTTTACCAAAAACAAGAATAAATCGACTAAAAGGAGCATTTGTTGGCCATAAATATTTGGAGCCATAAAGCAAAGACCTGGAATTATTTGATGAAAATAATTAACAAAAATAAAATAAATGAAAATAATTAACCAAAAATAAAATAAATGAAAATAATTAACAAATTCACTATACGCAAGTTTAAGTACTTTTTTTGAGAATAATTTGGCTAAAAATTTGTAATCAGAGTTTTTCGATGGTAAAGAATTCGAATTCATATTTGATTTTTAAAGAAAACTGATCTATTTCTGGAAATTTCAAGAAATCGCACTCACAAATGATAATCATAATAGCTGGAGCTCGGAAATTTTGTCGATTCTTGAAGACTCCTCGTCCTTTTTTCCAAGCCTGAATTTATTGATATTGATTGATTTATTGATTGATATCTAAATTCTTTATTTTATTGATTTATTGATTGATATTTTTCCGTCTTATCATAGATTTGGTTGAGTGCTTTAAAATTGTAAAAGGAAAACATCAAAACCCTCTTTTTAAAAATCTTTTTCGACTAGACTCGAGGCTTTTGGCGACTAGGCGTGGCTCTTTTATCTTGCATCCCGAATCTGCTTTCTCTAAATCCTCTAGAGCTTTTTTCGTAAATCGTGTGACTAAAGTTTGGAATGCCCTTCCCGACAAGTTGCGTTTGATCTCCACCGTGTCTGATTTTAAAAGGGCTATTTCGTTGCATTTTAAGTGACTTTGTGATCTTTTATTAGGTTGATGCATAAGTCTTTTCGTTCCTTTTCGTCTGCCGTTTCAAGCCAACAAATGCACCAATTAAACTACGGTTGATTTCATTAGAAAAACCAATTATTTTTCTGCAAAATAACATTAAAACGGGTTTAAAAATATTTAATGCCTGGATTTTCTTGAGAGTATGAAGTCGGGTAGTCAAAAAGGGCTAACTCGATGATGCGGTTTAGACACCTTAGCTAAAGAAAACCTATCTTCGTGTCAATAGATAAAAGATAGAGAAAAAAACGTTTGATATTTCGCCAAAATTTCAGAGAAATTCATTCAGCCAATTTTTCCGTAGAGTTTTTTATAGATTTTTACGAAAAAGGCGTTTTTCACTCTCGAATTTGCTTGAAAGTGAACCGAAATTGATCTAAAAAGATGGAAATTGAACAAAAAAACACTTTTTTTTATAGAGCAAACCATAGATTAATTGGTGAATTTGTTACTTTTTAACAGAAGTACGAAAAAAACGAAAAGACTTATGCATCAACCTAATATCTAGTACATTTTTTTTATGTCGTTATTTCTATGTCACTTTTCTATGTCACTTTATTTCTTTCTGAATAAAGTATTTATATATATCTAAATTCTTCTTTATCTAAGTTGAATCATTTTCTTTTTTACTTCTTTATAAACATCAAGCGCTTATTTTCCGATTAAATTAGTTTTAAAACTTTAAAATTCTGACTGATCTACGATTCAAAAAACTAAAAAAAAAGAAACCTTAAACTCACCTCAGCAATATTAACTAAAATCGTATTTCCTGCAATTCCTACTACTGACGCGGCACACATTGAAATGATCACATAGCTAAACGCTTTAGATTTATCGATTTCCCTTCTTTTTCCTCACTTTTTGTAGTTCACATTATGAAATGTGTTGTTGTATTTCTCCATGGAGATATTTTTGTACCATTCCATCGTGTTTGAAACAATATCCGGATTCCACCAAGCCTATAAACGAGAAAATCCAACCAGCTCCCCTTCGCCCTCATGGCTGACTGGCTAAGGCTGACTGGCTGACTCTATCTTAGTCGGGCCTCTTAGTCGGAACCTCTAGGGTTCAATCCCGCCGGGTAGCTTATTGATTTCTTTTATCATATATTTGGTATTTCTTTCCTTTAGTTGTACCGTATAATGTTATGGATATTGTACTGTACTGTATATTGTTTGTACCATATAATATTCGTCTAAATGTATTTCTTTATATTAAATGTTTTTTTTCTACTCACCGATACACCGCTTGTATGCGCAATCATGCCTCTCGTTAAACAAACGAATATGTAGGTTTTTCTAAAGTTTAAGCAAATAGATTTAATATTAGATTGATATTTACTTACCGTAAATACTGTAATAGTACCCCAGCCCCCTCGTACAGTCGCGTAGTCACAAAAGTTTTTTAGTATTTCATTTTTTTCAAAGCGCCCGTACTTTCAAAAAATGCGTTTTTGGTATCAAAAAATAGCCCTGAATTTCAGCTATTTTTTGATACCTAAGCGCGCATTGTAGCATAAACCAGTGTCGAGAAAAACTCGTTCAAAGCTAGACTACGCAACACTCCGCACCGTCATTATGGGCGATGGGGTACTATTACAGTATTTACGGTAGGTTACTTTTTATTAGATTACTTAGATTACTTAGATTATTTAGATTACTTAGATAAAAGATATTTGACATCGCCGAGAAGACCCGTGTCTTTAATTCGGCCTTCCTTTTTGATGCGTGGCGGCTCTTGGATGACGAAAAAGAGGAAAACGAGCAGAACAGCTGTGATCGCTGGAACCAATCTGGAAACGATATTATTATGGATAGAATTTTAAGGAAAATCTAGTAGCGCTTACCGAAGTGACCACTGCCATGGATATTCATCAGCGATCACTGTTGCAAAGATGGCGCCAAACTGGCTGTAAAGATGTGACAGTTTACCCCCATTTTTCTTCTCTTACCCCCCGAAATTCAATCCATAATAGAAAACCATAAAAGCATAGTTACGATATTTTCCTGTAAATAAATTAGTTTTCTCTTTGTTATTTTTAAATTGCCAAAAAAGTAATCGGCGATCAATGACGGGGCACACGCGTAAACAATATTATCGGAGAAACCATCAATACAACGAAGGACCATAAATAGCCAGAACATCTGGAATTTTTAGATCAATAACTGATTGATGATAGAGCAAACATCTTCCGGGACGAACGAAGTGGCAACCATGATCAGAACCCAAAAGATCCCGCCGACAAACATGATCATTTTTCGATTATACCGATCACCGAAATACCCGGCTATTGGGGATCCAACGATGGTGGCTGCCATGAACAATGTACTCAATAAGCCAGATTGAGAGTTGTTGATGTCATAGAATTTCATCAACTTTGGCAGAACACCTGAGAAAGTTTCATTTGTTTTCAGAGTGAATTTAGTGCACAGTTTGAGAGTTTGGCTTTAGATAAAGATAGGAGAAATTAAAGATCAAAGAATTTGCTTTTATGAGTTACAAAAGAAGCTAATGATTAGATGAATTGAAAAAGAAAGGGATTTTAAATGGTTTATGTTAGGATTTTGATGAAAAACGCGTGTTTTCACTAGTGAATTTGTTTTAAAGTGAACCGAAATTGACTTTAAAAACATGGAATTGACTTTAAAACCATGGAAATTGTCTTTAAAAACATGGAATTGACTTAAAAACCATGGAATTAACTTTAAAAACCATGGAATTGACTTTAAATACATGGAATTGACTTTAAAAACATGGAATTGACTTTAAAAACATGGAATTGACTCTAAAAACCATGGAATTGACTTTAAAAACATGGAATTGACTTTAAAAACATGGAATTGACTTTAAAAACATGGAAATTGTCTTAAAAACCTCAAAAACTATAAGTTAATTAGGGAATATTTGTGATTTTTCATTCATCAGCTGAAAATATTGAATGAAAAGAAAAGAAATGAAACGTCTTATACCAGCGATTCCAAAACGATCTGCATAAGTCATCGCGTGGAGAAGAGTGAGAATGACAAGCCCGGCACATCGTCGCCATAAAGGCACCTGTTCTAGGGATGTTTAGAATAAATCCAAAATTCATTTCCCTACGGGATGATCTCTGATATCTCTACCATCTTCTGGACCAGCATCACCGTGATAGCCCTGTAAAAGTAAAAGAATTTGAAATTAAATAAGAAAATTACCAACCATAAGCAATCAATTTGTGGTGGTGAACTTTTGGAGAAATGAGAAGAGAACAATTTTTTTACAAGACACGGCGGGAAGGGAACCAGGAAATGATTTGGTGGAGGGGAAAAGTCAGAGCCAATCGACCAGAGAAGACCAGAGAAGACACGAATCTGCAAAAGAAAAGCTTGTCGATCGGCCCATTCCAAGGGGATCTTTACAACGCTTTCACACCTATAAAGATAACACCTATTCAGATCAGAAAAGGTTTTCTTCTTTTAGAAAAAACGCTACCCACTCCCTTTTCTTGAGAAAAATGATTAAATCTCTTTGGCAGACGAGAGAAACCGACGACGAGAAACCGACGAAGAATTTCTCGGTTCAAATTTATTATGGCTTTTTTTTCTGCATTTTATACAGATCGTTTCGGTTCTTTTTCCTTGTTTTTTTATTGCTTTACTGTCAAAGCTTGGCATGAAATTCAGTTAGGCTGAGTCTCTTCGATAACAAAATGAAAACGTCAGAAAATATGGAAAAATTGAATGAAAGCATAAAAATTAAAAGTAAAGTTCGAAGTGAAATTAATCAAAAATTGCATTTTGTTTCATTAACGAAAAGCCTCGCTACTGCTCCGCGGCAAAAAAAAAATGTTTTGGAGCAAAAAGTAAAAGAATTGGCGGCGAGAGGAGGCGAACCCGCGACCTCTCTCTTCCGTTCGTTTGCGAGACGCGTGCGTTAACCACTCGGTCACTCGATGGCGCAGTGCGAGCACACTTGTCTCTAGCCCACACGACCCGGGTTCGACTCTCACCCGCGTCAGGTATTCTTGATTTTTTTAAAATTTTAAAACATGTTGCACAACTAAATGAAATTCTAAACGAAATTAATTATGAATTATTTGAAACGGTTCTCTAGGGGTTGAGGAGTAGCACTCACAGACAGACAGACAGACAAGCGTTTTAGTTCTTTTATATATAGTAGAATATATATTATTGAACCAATCGATCCATCTTGAATTCAGCTTTAGGATGAGCTATAAAACGTCAAAATTCGACAAATTTAAGGTACTCTCCCAAAAAATCGGAAAGGATTTTTCCACCAACCCAATAGATACGTCAACTCGTAGATAGTGAATCAGAAAGTGCCTTAATTCTTACCATTTTCAATAAAATCTTTTAAAATTATAAATGAAATAAACTTATTAAGTTTTAGATTTAAAAATCATACCAATTTTCAGTAGTGGCTTTGATTCTTGACCAGCGAACAGCTTGAATTGATTGGAACTCTGATTGGAACGTTTAATTTTCTCAACGGATAGTTCGATCGGCGCTCTCTTCTCCACACAAAAATTCCTTTAACCGATGATATGTGTGTTCAACGATTAGAAAAAAAGAAAAATCTCATCAAGATACACACCAAAGTTGAAAAGCAAATACTCCCGAAAGATGAAAAAGATCAGAATTCTCAAGAGTAAAAAAAATGATGTCTGTTTTTGGACAGAAATTGCATATAAGCACTGCTTTTTTTACCCAAAACATGTTTTTGTTGTTGTTCTTTTCACTTTGTCAAAAGATTTCTACTAAATTTTTACATGCGGAACTTTTTACAAACGAATCGAGCGAGATAAGGAGAGCAATGGCAATAGCAATATGCTCTAGTAGAGCAAACTCTGAGCACACGTGGGGTCATTCATCAGCTAAAAAAAGGAATTAGATCCGTTCAGGGAGAGACATAACACCAACCATAAACCAAACACTTTGCTGATCGATAAATCCGTGAACTGGAATGAAATCGATTGTCGAATCATCCAACTCTAGATATGATCTGATATTGAAAATTGCTTTCGGCTTGATATTGTTTTTCGATTCGATTCGAAGTCCGATCAGCGCTTCAAGAACCAGCCATCAGAACGGTGTCATTCTTTGTCTATTACAAATCTTGTATTTCGATCAAATCTATCTTTTCATTAGTTATAATTTAGAACTATCAACCTAGCTCTGGATATTTATCTATTGGGTTGGTGAATTGAAAACTTTTAGGAAGCACTGCTTTTGCACTTTGCTAGTTCAGCTAACAATGCAGAAATCTATTTCAAAGCTGTATTACAAGCTGTATTATTCGGTTGGTGAATTGAAAACTGCGGGAGTTTGAACTAAAATTTATTCAACATAAAACCATCAATTCATTCCATATAATTTCCATTATTATTGACGACTTCTGCCCATTTTACAGGCAATTTGCGGATTCCTCTTTCGGATTTTGGATTCTAGTAGGATTTTGGTTTGTGTGTGAGACAAGTGCGAGACGGAGGACTGGAGATGTCCCAATTTGAGCATTTGAGCACTTTCTTCAAAAGAAACCCATTTTGGTGTCAATAAAAAAGTTGTAGAGAATCAAAAATTAGGCTTATAGCCAAATTTCCAAAAAGATACACTTAGTAGTTTCGCTTAAAATGCAAGTTTTGTGAAAGTTTCGTAAATTTGGCATTTCTTGAAAACCAGTTTTTGAATCGTTCTGAAAATTTGGATATAAGCTTGATTTTTGATTCTCTAGAACTTTTCCATTGACACCAAAATGGGTTTCTTTTGAAGAAAGTGCTCAAACTGTCACATATGACAATAGCCCGCAGTTTTCAATTCACCAACCCAATATTATCAAAAACTAAACGCAAACCCGAATTTCGAGTTTTATTTCACACCAAAAGACGAAGAATTCAATGAAATACTGTTTTTAACGAAATCAATCGTTAAGTTTTCTCTTCTAATTACTAATAGATTACGATACTATCTTTTCAAACGTTAATCCACTCACTCAACAAATTTGTTCTCATTATCGCTCTCGATTGAAGCAAGATGCCCGCCCATTCGAACTAAAATCAATCCAAATTGTAAATAATAGCAAAATCCTAAAGAAACTAAATATTTATAGCCTTCCTCGCTTTTTGTTTCTAACAAAATATTGTTAATGAGATGGATGAGTGTTTTCGGTTGAGACTTAGACTTTTGTCGTTGTAAAGCTGCCTAATTATTTTAACTACACATCTCGAAGCTCTACTTGTGCCGCAAATTGATGAGAGCTCTTCATCACAATCATCTATAATCGAAAAAGCCCTGCTTGCATCGAAAGATCCACATTTGTTAAAAGCCTTTGACTCATCTATAATCGTTGTCATTTTTATATTATTTCAATCATTACCGTTTCTCCATTTACTGTAAATGATCGGTGTTGGCTATCTGAATATGTCTACACTCGATTTCTTTGTTTCACTCCAATGTGAAAAGTCTTGTTGTTCAAAGGTAATGCTATTGTTGTCAAGATGTTGCTAATGATATTGTTGTTAAAATCAAAGCTAATGATATTGTTGTCAAAATCAAATCAATTCTCGACTATTAATCCCAATTTTTGCAATCAATTTGAGAAATCCGTCTTTGATTTGAAAAAGTGAGCCAATGCTCCACAAATTCGTTCAGATTTTGAGAAATCGGCTTCTTAAAGTTAAAGGGTGAAGAGAAGTCCAATACTTACAGTCAGTTTAGACAGTCCATTGAGACTTAAACTGTTCTAACCAGATAAAATAGTAAAAGAAAATTACGCTGAAGTCAATTGGATCGGAAAGTGAATTGGATTGGAAAGTGTACCTGACTTTTGTAACAAGCAAAGCCCCTCTTCTTCTAGCCCCAGAAGGGTAAGCTAAAAGAAAACCAAATTGACTGAACACTAACAAAGTACACTCTCGCATGCATTTCATGAATTCTTGTCCAAAAAATTCCTTTCAGTAGCACTCATAAAATCCCCTTTGATAAGCGTTGGCTTGGTGCTAATTTGAGTTTTGTTCTTTTTCCAAATCGATTTATTGAAGTAACAATAAATATATTTAGAGTTTATCTCTAGAGCTTAAGAAGACGACTGAGTGGCGCGACCGAGCCGATTTGAGCGTCACTATTCCAAAATCCCTGGGATCAGTCAAAGAAATTTGGCTAGCTTTTGCTAGAAATTCCACATCCCCAAGCCAAGACAATTCGGTTCCCCGAACCCATTTCTACATAATAACAGAAACGAGTTAGATTATTATAATGCCAAGAGGCTTCGCAAGCTCTTTTTAAAGAGTTTTCATACACAAAATCAAGAAAACGTTTAGGAGTCGTTGTGGGAGTGGTGGTGTTGTGAAAAGTTGTTGTTGGAGTTGTTGTGATTGTCGTTTTCGTTTTTTTTGGTAGTTGTAGTGGTTGACGTCGTTGTTCTGGCTGTTGTCATACTTCGAGGCATCGTTGTTGCTAAAACTCGAATCATTATCACTGAATTTTGAAGCCAATGCATTACTTTCTACATTACATCGCATTACATTACAACTTCACAAACGAACAGCTGATAGTGAAAGCATCGATCGACGGATCGTCAACTCGCGCTTTCTGGATTGAAAACAGCGCACTCGCAATCTGGTTGATCTGAAAACTTGCTTATAATTTCTATCAACTTACTCATTTTTTAGATTAAGACAACGATTAGTAAATTTTTAATAATATCTAGTATCTTACTTTTATCCTATTTGTTATAAATGAGAGCTGAACCGTCAGCAAACGTCTAAATTTCACTTTTCTGTTGTCTAACCCCAACCAAAACGGTTCGATTTGAGAGATCTGAGATCAAACTATTGCACAGAGCAATGCTAGTAGCATTATTTATCCAAATAGGCAATATTAATCACTGGCAAGCATTTTCCGAGAAAACATTTTGGGGTGGCGCACTAAAATGCACTAAATACCGTAGTCCGCCTTTTTGCGCAAAAATCATTTTTTTTTGCAACTTTAGCTCATTTTATGGGAGTGGGACAAATGCGACCTTTTTTTTGCGCACCCGGACATTTGCGCACCTTTTTTTCCGCACTTAGCCCATTAGCGCACCTTTTTTCGCCTTTTAAAAAAGCTCTAAAAGCTAATATTAACCAATTTCTATTCCAAAAATTGTTTTTCTAGGTAATTTTAGGGCGTAGAATCGAAATTTTGGCATATCAGAGCTTGTGGAAA